AGACGTTATCGGCGTTATCCTGCGGGAATTAACACTTAAGGGATCTGCGAATTTTCTTTATTATTTATTTATTAGAGAGAAGTAATACCTAATAATAAATAATCGTATTGAAAGAGTTCAAAAGCTTCGCAATAAGTTGTGTAGTATATTTTTTTCATAATTTCTTTAAATAATCAAGCAATCATCAAACTACTTACTCAATTTTATTAAATTTACAAAATTTAAATTGAATTAAAATCTTAATATTGTGTCTTAGAAATAGTTAAGGTCAATGACTATCCATCCTCGAATAGAATAACTACTCGAGAATTATGTTTGTTAATAATTTATTTGGTTATTGTAGATTGTAGATAGAAATACTTGTGATGCTGAGTTTTTCTATTTTTATTATCGATTAAATTTATAATTATTATGTGAATTAAATTAAATTAAGGTAGTAAATTAATTAAACATTTTCTATCTTCATATTATTTAAGTATAATTTAGGAGTATATTACTAATATCTGTCACATCTTCGATGGTTAGATTTCCAATCCTTGAGAAAGATAGTATCCATGCATCATAATTTTGAATGATTCTCAAGTTTTTCATTGAAATTATATTTTTAATAGCAATTGAAGAAGAAAATTTTAGATTGAATATCTAATCTAATAATGAAAGGTAAACTGACATCCATCCAAAAAATGGAGTTCGAAGATTTAGTAAATTGTAAAATTTGCAGGTCCCATTCTATTAAATATATTTGTAAATGAGACATTTATCATCCTGAGGTGAAGTTTACTATTCTAAGATTATATATGAAAGCATCCGATACTTTTTTCAATTTATTTTACGTTGTTACTTACTCAATTTACTTTTATATTCATAAAATTTATGTTGCCATCTGATTTTGTTATTATGTCTAGTATAAAACAGTCGATCACCAAGATATTTGAAAATGAGCAATTTATACAAGTTATATTAGAAACTAAGAATTGGCCAGCACCTCCTCCATTATTTTTTACTTGTAATGCTTCAAAAACAAAGTCATTTAAACTATCTTAATTTAATTCTCCATTAAATTGAATGTCATAATGATTTATCCATAATTCTTAAAAATTGAGGTTATTTAATGTAAAGTTATTCATCATTAAAGTATCCGATCTTATAATCATCAATGAATTAGAGGTATTAGTCAAGGCGTTATTTTCATAAAGTAAGTTTTTTATATCTAATCTACCTGATGATGACAATATGGATATAAAACACACTATGGTGCTTACTGCACCACTTGAATAAGAGTGGAGAAAGTTTTCAACATATGAAATATTATACAGATTTATGTTAACCTTGTTATCAGATTCTATAATTAAGCATGATATAGGTCAAACAATGTTGATTGAATGAGGGTATTTTCTATAAATTACAGATTAGTAATATCAATAATTGAATATAAAAATGAAAAACTTTGCTAACTTGGGCTAATCTATACAATTGATTCATCAACATTGAGAATTCTTGAGATTGTTACATTATTTAAAATATACTAAAATTTTTCTAACACTATTATCAAAACTATTTATACTAGAACATTTGAATTATTATGTTTGATGCTGAAATTTATTAAATAAATTTATATGGAATTTGTTTAAAGCGACGAAAATATGAGAATGATATTCGAGCTGGAAAGGTCATTATTTATGGCATCCAAATTTGTTATGTTGCATCTAAATTTGCTAGATTGAGTGATTTATTTTATGGATAAGAATTGAGAAAATAAAGGTGAAGTTTCTGATATTGTTATTTAGCTAAGTGAGATTTTAGAACTAATCGAGATAATACTTGAGTTTTCTAAGAGATTAGAGTATATGTGACCATTATTAAGACTTGTTCTTATCTAAACAGTGCGGTTTATAAGATTGGAGTTAACCCAACTGGTGTTTCTCATTGTAAAATCATCTCCAATTAAGATACCTTCTTAAGGTTAATTGTTTAAGATACTAATCATGGATGAATTATTTAAATAGGATTCAAAGATCATTAATTGTTGAATTGATAGAAAGTAATGTATTTAGGAGAAATTAAATAATGCAGATTATATAAGAGTGCAATTTTTAATTGATAATCATACAACTTTAATTGATCCCAGTCCAGTAGCATTTATTATTGAAAATTAAGAATTGATGAATTCAGAAAATTGTGTTTTAAATAGTAAAATTTGTTAAAGTTATACTACCAAAATGTTCGGTTGCAAATGATGAATGAATATTGTTTATTGTACTATTTAGAATTGTAAAATTGATAAGCTCTAGATGAATTTTATTCTTACTATTATTAAGAAGAAAATAACAATCATCTCAATAATATCAAATCATAAAATTTGACGATAAATTATTTATTATTTCTAAATATTGTATAGATTATAGTGTAAAATTCACCTTTTGCAATGTAAATAATTTTAGTTTTAATTCAGTCATAAAAATAAATGGAAAAATTAATTAACAAACTATCCAGAAACGTCAAGGGGAAATTCAAAAGTTAATTCTACAATTCCAATTTGGTTAAAATATTAAGTATTAATTATCTACTCATAATTTCGATTAAATCTTGAATAATCGCAAGAGTAATAATGAATTTCAAACACAAATTTATTTTGTCAACCACTATTAAGACAGTACTTAATTAAATGTGAATAAGGATTATACATAATAACAGAGTCCTTATGAGGATAGTTACATTTTTTACAATAGATTTAGTTATAATTATTGACTTGGAAATTTGGAGATATATTCTATTTAAAATTTTTATTTTCAGACTTGTATTTCCAAATCTGTACGATCAATACATGCTTAACATAATGGAGGACAGAATGAACACTTTGCACTTAATTCTCTGACAATTGGTTTTTAAAATAGTTTAAAGGACATTCAAAGCAATTTGAAAAGTAGTCTTGAGTAATACACTATCCGCATTGAGGATTACATGGATCATACAAAATTGGTTATGGATCCAAAAATTAATTATACATGCTTGATTAAAGTTAGGGTACAAATTAAAGTAAAAAAAAAACTTTAAATTTAGTTTACCTAATTTTCAATAAACTAGGTGTTAATATCAAATTCATCATTTTAATAGCAATTATTATTTTCTATAATGTAATTGCTTGAACAACTAACACATCTAATTTCTATCTCTCTTTTAATCATAATCGTACATTATTAACAATTAGTAATTAAGTTCTCAAAATTGGAAATTTGAAGTGCTACTGAAAAGTCATCATTTTTTGATAGAATACACAGTTCCTTACTACGTATATTAATAAAAGAACTTAAACAAATTTCTATTTAAGGTTTTTAGAGAAAACAAAACCCTAAGGAAAAGTCAAATATATAATCTTTTTTGCAAAGAGCGCATCGTATTTTGACATCCTATATTAAGAATAATTGATTTTGAGAATAGTTCAATAAGGAACAAAAATTCTAATCCAAAGTAGAGTACTCAAAACATTAGATGCAAATTTTTATTTCACATAATTTGCCTTTTTTCTCGAATGAAGCATAAAATGGTGGTAATAGTTATGATAAAAAGTATAACCTATGTAAAATAAACTATAAACAGATTAGTTCATTTTTTTAAAATACTTCTTTATCTTCCCATATATAATGAAATTAACGAGAATATCAGTATATAAAATATACAATTACCATCTATTAATTTAGATGCTTCATCACACTTTACATTTAATGGAGTCAAAATTGATTTAACAAATTAAACAGTATTAGCTAAGGCATTAGTAACAAATTAATTCATCAGTTCGATAAATAGTACTTTTCTAACACAAATTATTAAAATACATTTATGCTAATTAAAATTCCTTAAAGATACCTTCTGGATCAGATAGATTAAGCTCTAGAAGAAACCATTAAAACTGAGTTTAATGAATAACATTTAGTTAGATGCCATCAAAATAAAACTGAAATTTCCTGTAAGTTTCAAAGCTTCCATAAAACTGGTATTCATCTATAAAACTAGTGATGAATAACAGTAGGATTCTGATACCAGTTCTTTGGATTAATTTAACATTCATAACAAGTAATCACGCCTTCCTTTATTATTGAAGGACTAAATATTTAAAAATAACTTACCATTATAAGCAAACTCCATCAAACTCAAAATAACCATATTCACAATTTTTACTTATATATATAGTATCATCCTTTGTCAATTTGAGATTAAAGTCCTTATAGTTTTGACATTAATTTTCATTATCATTTGTAAAATATGGAGATATACAAACCTTATATTCTGGTATTACAATCTTAGCAGCTAAAATGACAACTTAACTATGCTAGTTCCTAATAGCAATTAAAAAACTCGAAATTTCTAACTTAAAAAATGAAACCATTAGAGGATACAATTTGGCTATCTCCATATTATGCTTAAAACTGACGATTATGAAATTAATTAACTTCATATTCAAGATTATAATCATTGATTCCCTCTTCTGCATAGAATGTTATTTTAACTATTAATTTTGATTATAATAACTCTACTTTTATAAAATGCCAAAGTGTTACTTAATCTAAGATTAGCCATTGTTTATTCAATAAATACGGATCATCTGAAAATCAATTGAAACATCAGGAAAAGTATAATTATATGTTTTTATTTCCAACTCATTGTATTGCGAAAGGAAATGATAAAATAACTAAAAAGGATATAAGTTTTAATTCTATAACTTAGGATTTTTTTAAAGTAAGGAAACCTTTATTAATTAATAGCTAAATTTTTCAAATAGGTTCTTATTTTCTTTTATTCTAATCGATCCTCTTAAAATAAAGGAATCACAATTAGAGTTTTCTGATATAAATTCCTATTATTATTAATTTACAAAATCCTAATCTTTAATTGAATATATTTCATTCGGATTACACACACAATTTCTAAAATTGACTCGTATGTTTCTCTCACTACATCAATAAAATTAAAATACAAATTTATGCTTTAAATTGAAACTTTTTATAACCATATTGGGTCTGGAAAATATGAAAACTCCTAATTCATTTATTTTAGAATCGCGTATAACTATTATTTTCATTTTATTCTACATATAAATTACCTCCAAATGTTAAAATTAAATTAACACCTTTAAATAATTTTTTAATTTTTTATGTGGTTTATAATAATAATTCCTATTTCTTTGTCACCATCAACTAAAGCTTATCCAATTTTGGCCATTGGAAACTTGAAAGAAATACCACGTATTTTCATATTCAAATGAATTTCTGGCCAAATCATACCTAGTATATTAGTTCTAATATTTGATAAATTAAATTGTTTTTATTATCTTTTTTGACTCATAGTTAAGACAATCACAATATACTATATTTAGATTCTTTGATTAAAAATTTATGGCATAATGTAAATGAAAGCAATGACTATCAAAAATTCCTAATAATCCCACTTAAGATATTGCGCTAAGCTGATTAAATTTTGACCAGACTCCATAACTCAAGCAACTCTAAGTCTAATAATTATCATCTTGTAATTATAGAATTTTTCTTTCGAATTGATTATTAGGATTCATTTAAGTGGTTGTAAATTTATTACCTATTTTTATGATTAAGACTAGAATAAATAATAAATAAATTTATTCCTTATGTACTCGATAATATATTTGTATTGTTCTAAAATTTCTTTAGCATCTTAAAATGCTTAAATAAGTAAAATCAAAGATTTTCGAATTAAAATATCCCTTTTAAACAAAAATTGATCAAACTATGATTCATCAACTTTCTTCACATAAATTTGATGTCATTATCCTTTTTTAATGAAGGTATTTAGCTGATATTAGCAAGATATAACTGAGTCTTCCTAAAAATAAAATTACATTAAACATTAGATAATCGTTTGCCAGGTCATTAAAATATATTTGAATTTTAATCTAATAATACAAGAAAAAACACTTTTAAATTGTATAGATTGGAAATAATATCAATAACTAAAAGCTCAGAAAAATAAAATTCTTTTTAAAATGTAATTCACTTAATTAAATTAAAACAGACAATAAAAAACAATTTTTAATAGTTTTTGTAATTAGAGAATGATAAGAAATATTCTTCTAATAGTTTATTTATGGAGGCCCAAATGGCAAGCGTTCAATAAAAAATTTTAACTCTAAAAAATGAATTTTACTTACAATTAAAACTGTTACCTAAACTAATCAATCTCAAATATAGTTTTAAATTCCTTCTTTTTAATTTACTTCACTAATCCAAACTCCACATTGAGCTAAAACCTTAGATTTATATATATTGCAAAGTTTATTCTAATAATTCCAAAGTATTATGCACATTCTAAATTCTATATAAATAGCATTCCATTTGATATTTTTTTTTACAATACCCATATTTCATGCATTTGTTTGAGAACAAAATTTATCTCTAATAGATTAAATGTTTTTTTGAATGTCAAAGAAATTAATTTATTAAAGCTTTTGGTTACTTTAAATAAGCAGCTGAAAAAAATCGGATAGTTTTACCAGAAATTCAAACAAATTGGGTATTGTTACAAAAAAATATTTCAGTTTTACATAATAAAAATTAACAGATATTTAGAAAGTTAATAGGATTTAATTACAATTATTCACTCAATTGATAGTATAAAAAGTTAGTTAAATGTTTTGCTATGTTCAATTAGGAAGGAAGAGCTGAAGTATATTTTTTAATCTAAATACGATTATTATAACTTTTAACCTAGTTCTTTTGAGAAAAAAATAGTATAGAGAATGTTAAAATCAAATAAAGCTCAAGAAAAATCTAGATTTTTTTAAATTTAGTATAGAAATTTTACGAAGAGGACCAACTTAATGCATAAATTTGAGCTGAAGAATTAATCTAGAAATTTTTTTAGTGTTAGAAGAAAATTAGAAAAAAAATATGCATCAGAATAAGTTGACTCAAATTCTTCTTCCGTTTCAAAAAATGAGGACAAAAAAAGAAGGAGAATATGATTTGAAATTTAGTTTCGAAATATAAAGGCAACTCAATTTCTACTCATTCTTAATTCATTATTAGATATTTTATCCTGTTTTTTTTTTTTTACAACAGATCATGAATTGAACAGATGAGAGTTTCGGGCTTCTTTTCATTTATTTTATTTGATTTCAAATAGAGATACAAATTGAGCAATTTGTTCAATGTATATTTTAGGAATCCTATTCTAAAACCCAGTAAATTATTTTTAATGTTAATTGATTGATTATTTATCTCGGTATATCATTATTAATACAAAAATCTTTAATTAGCTAATTCCAATAAAGACATCTTTTCTCATATATAAACTCCCCTATTCTATTATTTAAAAAGAAATTGAATTATTAAAAATTAAATTTTATGCCTATTCATCAAAGATCATTGTTAAGGATCCATATGTCATTAAGATATCGAAAATAAAGCATTTTTTCAATTGCTTTTATTAAAGAGGGTGTCCATAATAAGTTCTACTCAAATTTTTGTCTAATTTTTAATGAAATTTTAATAAAACCGATAGTCTTAATTTTAAATATATTTTAATTATTATTTTTTTAAAGAATTAGATCATCCCAGAGTCTTACATGTACGTTTTACGAGGATGATTTTGGATAATAAATCTAAGAATAAAATGCTAAGGATTTTATTATTGAATAATACGAGGATTGTGACGAAGAGAAGAACTTCGAGGAAATGTGCAAGAGAATAACAGAGTGTAGGATGGATGAGAAAGCTAAATGTGGACCATGAAGTCTTAGAGGATTCTTGTAATAATTAGATATTAGAAACCAACATATTTAAAATGTATACTAAAATTAAATTATAAGATTAATCATTATTTAAAAACCATTCTATATTTTTAATATAAGATAAATATAATTTTCAATTATAACTAATATAAATCATAGTATAAATTTAATTATTATTTAGAATGGAATTTCATTTAATTTTTAGATTACTTTGTGAAATATTTATGAATCAATTTGCATGCTAATGATTTCTATACTCAAAAGGGAGAGCAAACAACTTCTAAAAAAATTGCATTTCATTTTATCATTTTTATAATAGAGATAACAGTATTAACATAGATTCTTATAAGTATTATTCAATGTTGAAACATCATCAATTCGAGAATCATCTTGAGCTGATAAATGTAAATAATTATAATTTATGTTTACCTAAATTTAATTTTAGGAAATTAAAAATTGATCCTTTTTGTAATAAGTGAGCTTGTGCACAATAAAATATCCAAAAGTAAAATTGAAATTACAAGTGTATGAAAAAATAATATAAAATTTAAGCTAAATGCATTTATGCAAATATAGAAGACAATCATATATGGAATTTCAATGGCCACCCAATTATTATATTTACTTTGTAAGTTCTTCTATTAATGGATCGTCAACCTGGTATTCTCCACTTTCAATCAAATATTCTCTCTCTTATAACAATCGTTAGAGATCAGACTTATTTTCTAAATTTGGGTAATTTTTGTAGGATTTTGAAGTTTTTGAAAAGCCAAGCTTTTAGGATGATTTATCAATTAAACCATTTTTAAACGGATTATTAGATTAATTACCATATTCTTACTCGACTTTTGGAGGGTTGATGATCTATTACTATTAAGATTGCTATTGTTATTATTCATATTAAAGAATTTCCTTATGCTATTTATTCATTTAAGAATTCGTTTGTGAATTTAGTTATTATTTTTGCTTAATTTCCAATAACTCAAGTTTTAATTTCTCTAATTCTAATAATGTATTTTATGTTAAAGAATTGTTATCTTAAGTTTGTTTCTTTTCTTTAATCAGTTCATCTCTCATTTTTTCATAATATTATTTATATTATTCTTTAATTTGATTGGTTCTATCTAACTCCTTTTTTAATTCAGTAATTTCCATAATTTTTTCTTATAAATTTTCCTTTACCATCGCCACAGGTGATTTTTCAATTTCTTTTTTTAGACTCTTATTTTCCTCTTCAAGTTTTTGAATAGCTGCTTAAGCATCAGTTAGCTTAAGACTTAATAAAGTTTTTTCTTTTTCCAAATTCAGTTTCTCATCCTTCTGTCTTTTAATAAGTATACCCATTTCCTCGTCTTTTATTTTTATTATTTTAGCAGTCTCCAACAATTTAGATTTTACTTCATCTTCTAACTACATAATTTTTTATTCTCTTTTCAATAGTTCAGTTCCTTTATTCTTAATTTTATTTTCTATAACTTAAATTTATGTTAAGGCTTGTTTGAGTTGTCTTTCCCGATCCAATTCTTTGTTTTTAAAATCTTAATATAATTTGGTTGTCAACTCAAACTCCTTTTATTTCAATTATACTCTAAATTTAGCTTCCTCACTTTTTTTCCAAGTGTCCAATTCCCAAATAACTTTGTGTTCTAATGAATGTAATTCCAATATAACTTATTATTTTTCAGGATCATCCGAATTTGGATAACTAATTATTGGCAAAGCAGGATCCCCAACTATTTATTCAATAGCTGTTTATTCCTACTATTATAATTAATCAAGAGGGCCTAAATCTTCAAGATAACAAATGCATCTAAGTAATCCAATTCTCTTAGTATCCTAATCATTATTATCATCAATAGGATAATAAGCATCTAATGCTCTAGCGTAACTCTTAGAGCTTTTTCGAATTGGGCTTTTTAGTAACTCTGCTAAGTTTATGAATGATATGCCAATAAACTAATCTTTCTTTAATCTGTCTTAATGAAATAATTCAATCTATAGATAGGTCTCTTCAAATAGCTTTTAAAGTTCTTCTTTATTGGTATCGAAAATGTAGGAAGCAAACGAATTTTAAAAGGAGATTTCAACAAAAGGTTTGGTAATTTCACTACTATACTAATTGAATATTACATGACAGGTGCAGTTCTAAATTATTATTTGATTCCCAATTATGGATAATGAGAATAATGAGCGTAGATCAAGCCCCTAAAAGAATGTTCTTTAATTGAATGAATATCAATGGATAGTTTTAGTCTGTGAGAATTTGAATCTGACATTCTGTTAATTAATTATTAATAATGCAAGATGCTAAAGCAAGCGAGGAATTTGTATAAAACGAATAGGAATTCAAATACATTAGTGAATAAGTGAAATAGAAGTTAAGAAAAGGGGAGTACAGTACAGATGAATTTTATAAGAAAAACGTGGATGAATTAAGAAGATGTGTAAGTTCTAACAATAAAAATAGGTGAAAATGATGGAAACGGAAGCTTAGATGACTTCAACTCATTCTAAAAAAATATTATAGAACAAGATCTTATAATATAAGAAACAATTAGATGTGATAGAGGAAAGCATAAATGAATTATTGATAAAGCAAAAAAAGACAGATAATTTAAAGGGAAACCTGTTTGAGAACGACTTAATCATAGAAGAGATTGATAGATTAACTTAGGAGACTGAATAAATTGCCTTAAATGTGGACTCTAAAATGAATGCAGGAACTTTGGCATTGCAATAATCAAAATTTAAAGTATGATTTAGAAATGAAATAGAAATAAGACTTGAAGTCAAATCTAAGGAAAAGTGATTTTACAATTTAGATGATGAACAACAAGATAACTCTGGATAAAGCATCCTTATTGGTTATTATAATATTGTTAGGAATCATAGACATATTTGCTATTTACAAAAAGTTTCTATGATTATATGTTCATATTTAATAAAATTAATAAATTATAGAATAACTATTATTAACAGAAATGTAATCCGAAACACAAAACAAGAAAATCACTTTCAAATTCCTTAATGTATACAGATTTTATATATTAGCAATTGAAACTCATGATCAAACCATCCTAAAAAATAGTACAGATTACTCATGCTCTAGTAACAATATTAAGTGGGACTATAGCATCAATTCAAGGAAATTAAATTAAGTCAGATTGGTAATCAATAAAACATTGTTTACGAAATACTAATGAGATTCTAGAGATTATAAATGATTCATAAACATTTTAAAAAAGAGTACGTTTTGAAAATTTAGAGAAATCAACGTTGATTTAATAGTCAATTCAATAATAAAATGAGGATGAATAATATGATGAGACATTTGAATTAATATAGGACACTTTGAATTAGCTTTTAGCTATTGCAAGACCTTTGTTTAAAAATCTATTATTATGCAAAAGAAACAATTCAAGAAATAGATCATTAAGTTAATAAGGTTTATAGAAAGTGTAATAATCTTAAAAGTCATTCAGCAATAAGACAAATATCTCCTTGTCATAATTAAATCAGAGTCATGGCAAAATTAATAGACCCAAAAGTCAATAATCAAATTTAAGTATGAGTCGTTCGTCATCAAATTCAAAGGATTATTAGAAGAGAGTAATTGAAGCTCAAACAAAAAAAGTACATTATAAATTAAAAATAGTAATCAAGATTGGATAGAATTTTAAAATTGTAAACCAATAAACCTTAAGCTAAATCTTAAATAAAATCAATGATTGAGGGTCAATAATCTCTCAATAAATCGTATAGATCAAACAGTAAGGAATCAATAATGAGATAAGAAATCGAGAAAAACAAAACAATAATAAAGAAGTTAAAGTAATAAGAAAATGCCATTAAATGGGAAATTGAAAGAGAAAGCAAAAGAATAAGAGAAAATGAAACTGTAAACTAAATTCAGGATCAAATTAATAGATACAAAGAAAGTTGGTAAAAAGATTAAGAAATCAAGCAAGAAAGAAGAAAAAGTAATTAAAAGCAAAACAGTCTAAATAAATAAAGTAACTAAAAAGTTTCAGGTCAAAGGAATAATTCAATTAATTATGATGAGAATAAAGGCAATGCTTTAGAAAAGGATCTTTTGATATCAGAATAACTGAAAAGTGAAAAGGAATAATCGTTAAATAAAATATTAAAAACAATAAATAATTCTAAATAGAAGTAGTTAAAATGAGGCATAATCTATAATTTTAATATAAATTTCATTTTTCCTTTTTGACTATATTAAATAACTCTGTTTTCCTTAGATTATTAATTATTTCCTATGTGATTTAATCTAAAGTATTGTTTGAAATCAAATATTTTAAATAAGCACAGATGAAAATGCCTGAATCGTTTGGTTAGGATAATTAGGGACAGTCGGCTACAATAATATCTTTTGACTTCCAAGAGATTGTCAAATTATGTTATTTAATAAGTGGCTCAATCATATTCCATACATGTTTGCACATAGTAACATAAAATATAGCCTTTTTTTTAGAACAACTATCATAGACTTTCATTTTTATATCCTAACCTTCAAAAAGCAATTCTAAAAGAATCCAATGGCCATTTTAATTTACAATAACAAAAATTTTTTGATAAACTTACCAAAATTATCCTTTAAGATATGAAAATTCAGCAAAGTAAGTGAGTATATCTAATTTTTATTATTCGAATAAAAAGTAAGGAATAATAAGAGTTCTTTTATAGGCTTATATTTCAGGCAGCAACTTCAGATTAAAGTACTTTTCTGAATCCATGTAATTTATGTAATTAAGATATGCCTCTATGACTGATTCATTTATAGCCTTTTCTGATAATAGAGATGATAAATGATCTTTACTCAATTCAACGTCAAATTTGGTCCATTTGTCATTTTATTTTACTAGTGGTTTTTGCGATTAGGATTATGGAGGTGTTTGCTTGACTCCTGATTTAATCCTAAACATTTTATTGGTATTTCTATCCTCTTGAATAAAGGATTATTGTAACATTGATTATTGTAAATTTTGTTATTTAATCAGTACGCTTCCATCCGAATTATATTCTTAAATTTTTTCAATTAAGGACAACTTTGAGAAAACTCCATCAACTTTTTTATTATTTGTTTTTCCATAGTATTCAGTCCCTTTTCCATCAATTTGATCATTTTTAAATTCACCTTCATATACAAAATAATTATTATTGCAATAGGCATCATATTGTTTCATATAGATTTTACCATTTCCATGCATTTTATTATTTTAGATTTCACCAATATAAATATAATCCTTTTAGATTATCATTTATTCTTTTGTATTTTTTTTTTAGACAATTAACTTAAATTATTTTGAATCTTGATTATCAAACTATTATTGTGAGTTAGAATTAAAGAAGACAAAATCAAATTTGAACTCTTATGTTGGTTGCTCTTATGGTTATTCTTAAGCGGGTTTTGATTCTTTTTTGAGCTTCAAACCAAGACGCATAAAATATATAAAATAAATAATATATTAATTCACTTTTAACCAAATATGAGATTATATATCATTCCTCTCATTTCTCCAATTTATTTTATATTTTTTTCTTTGTAGTTTTTTCCATTGAATATTTAATACAAAAAAAAACATGTATGATCCCCACAAGAACTTCCATCCTTCTATTACTGAACATCTTCAACAATAATGTTATTCTCAGAGCCAAAACGATAATTATCTTCTAAATCTAGGTGGAATTTCAATAAATTGAATATCTTTTCACAAACATGTTTATATTTTTTACGTGGACCTAACATTGAATCTAAAATATGAAATTTCATTTAATAAACTCCTTACTATTTCTCTCTCTTCACTAAAACCAAATACCAATGGGAATTGTTAGAATTAACAATAAAAGCAATATTATTATACACATCAAAGATAGTAATTCCCTTAAATTCAAAGCATAAGGCTTTCAAAGATGTTACTAATTTGTAATCAATCGCAGCAGATGTTAGATAAGTTGAATCTATTACAAATGTATTTAAATTCTTAATGGGGTCGATACTTTTATAAGCTTATTTATAATGTTTTTTATATAGAACCAACGCAAAACCATCTATTATAGAGCTATTTAACCATTAATCACGGCTTTATAGTATATTTGCATCATTTGAATTAAACTATTAATTAAATTTCACAAATGTATCTGATTTTTATGTCCTTTATCTATCATTCTCAGTTATATCTTTATTATTTATTATAACTCCATCTTCCATTATTACAATTCTCCTTTTAGGTAGCTTTGGTATTTTTTTATCTTAGGTTTCGACTTTAACAATTTCAGGAACTTTAATTTTCCCATTTTCATCTAAATCTAATTACTTTTTGAATTCATCATCCAGGTATTCAAGTCCATGTAACAGAGTTTGACTACGAGAACTAAATTTCATCATGATTCCATTCTTCTTACCATGTTCAAAATTTCCTTATAAAATTGTATAATTAGGATTACAATCATTCCAACTAGTTTGAAATAATATTCCTCTACCATGTTTCTAATAATTTTTATTTAATTATCCATAATATGTTATAAAGTTAGGTTCAAAACAAAGATAATATTTAAGGCATTTTCTATCAACAAGCCAAATGATTGTTTATTTATCATCAACTAATCTACATTCAGGTATTTATGGCTTCAAATCTTAATAAGGCTCTTTTACTTACACTTGAGGAAATTAATTTATATAGAAATCCTTAACAATTTCTAATTTATATTAATCTCTAAGTTATTAATCTTTAATGAATATATTCACCAATTTTTAAAGATAAGGAGATGAATAAGTAGAAATAATTTTTTTATTCTCAAAATTATAGATTATATTATTTTTTGGAGAAATCAAGATTATTTAGACGTGCTTGAAAAACAACTCTTCAAAGGACAATCTAACATTATAATAGTAAGAAATAACATGATTTTTTGCCAACATTTTGAATGCAATTTCAGGATTATCATCAATATCTTAATTGAAAATAAGTACATCTATAGTATCTGATTGATTTCCCCAAAATAATTCTTCTGATAATTCATTGTATTTATGAGTCTAGCTTATTATTTTTTCATATTCACCCATATTAGATTTCTAAACCTAATTTTGATTATTCTTTGAAGGATAGTAAAAAATGACTTTATTCTATTTTCTTATTTAAAGTTTTTCCCATAGAAGGTTAAATTTTTAATTTTCAAAAGGTTATCTTGGCTAATCCATGATTAAATATTGATAAATAAATTTATTTGTAAAATTATAAAAAATAAAAAAGCCGCCCTCCAAGGGGGTCGAACCCTTGACATTTGGCTTAAAAGGCCAACGCTCTGACCAACTGAGCTAGGAGGGCTGGATTAAGGATATTATTGATGAATGTTATTAATATTTCTTGATTTGTGCTATTTTAATGATTTGGTAATATAAAGTGAAAATATGATGAGTATGAAAATACTTAATTTTAATTAAAAGAATTATATATTTTTATATTTATATATTAATATGAGCAAATATAAAAAATAATAATTAATATAATATAAACAGTTATCAAAATGGCATCCAAATACTTATAAAAATATCCAGTACCAGAGGGTTTCCATTAAATATTACATGATTTTGCAAGAGAAGTAAATAGAAAATTAACAAAAGGTATTAAGAGATTAGCCAGATGATATAATTAAGTATGGTGCTGATTATTTTGAATGTATGACATAAGGAAAAGAATTTAAATTTGAAAGCAAATACAATATAGCAAAAGGAGAAGCTCCCGCAAGAGTACACAAGCCACCTAAACCTTCAAATATGACAGAGAAGGCTAAGATAGTGGTTGAGATGTCAAACAACAGACCTGATAGTCAACAAGTGAAAAGAGTAGGATCTGGCAATCCAAATAATGTCTCACATGTCAGTTCTTAAGGGAGCTTTCCTGAAGAGAAGAAAGCTGCAAAGGAATATGTGAATAATCTGTACGATAAGGTCACAAAGGATATTGATGAATTTGAGAATCCAATTGTGGAGCAAACGGAGGAATTGCCAAAATTAACTAGTTTTGTAATCAAATTTTATTTTATATTAGGATGATAGAGATATGCAAAATATTATCAAGATTTAAGCAGCAGCTAAAGGAAAAATAGTTCGAAATTAAGTGAATAAGAATTAAAAGAAATCAAAAGAAGAAGACTTAAAACTGAAAGAAAAGATAATTGATGAATAAGAACAAGAATAAGAATAATAATATGAATAATAATAAGAATAAGAATAATAGATGAATGAACAATAAGAATAATAGATGAATGAACAATAAGAACAATAGATGATTGAACAATAAGAACAATAAATGATTGAACAATAAGAAGAATGGATTGCTGAGCAATAAGAAGCATAGATGATTGAGAAATAAGAATTATAAGAAGATGGAGACCAATAAAAGAATGAAGAAGATAACTAAACAGGTTAAGTTGAAGAGGCTAGCATCCTTGAGACCCAAGAAGTTAACAAAAATTTTAATCAACATCAGGAATTTGGTTAAGAAGAGGAATGATCGAATAATAATAATATATATATAAATAGATAAGATTATAATATTATTTTATTATGTAAGTTGAGTTAATTAACGCATAATATAAAACATATAGTAAATGAAAGATGTGTAAAAATTAATTATTTTTATTAAATATTATGTAATTGAAAGAGAAAATAGGAGATGGCTTTTCAAGCGATCTATATTTATGTGAGTATTAAAGCAAATAGTGCGTAGTAAAGATCTATAAGCAAAATTATTCTGATAAATTGAGATAGAAGGAAATTAAAATATTGAAAAGTCTAGATCATCCTAATATCATAAAGATTGTTGATCAACATCCTGATTACAACTACTTCGTCTGTGAATAACTAAAGACAGATTTTTATACAATTGTCAAGAATGGGACTAAATTTGATGTTAGAACAGTGAAGTAGATTCTACTAGAATTAGGTGAAACCATCTAATACCTTCACAAACTTAATTATGTTCATCGGGATATCAAATTAGAAAATGTTATGCTTAATAACCACTTACAAATCATTCTAATTGATTTTGGTTTTGCTGATATTGTGGATGATAAAAAATAGTACATCAGAAATTGTGGAACACGTAATTATATGTCACCAGAATTACTAATTTCTGAAAAATATATGCAATCAAATCTTCTGAAAAAATCTGACATTTTTGCATTGGCTGTCCTAATATTTATACTCTTATATGGATTCCCTCCATTCTCTGAGGCCTCCCTAAATTGCCCCTATTGGAAGATCATCTCTGAGAAAAAATGGAACTCCTTTTGGAAACTAGTCAATAGAAATATTAAAATAAATGACGTCGCATTTTAAGAATTATTTGAAAAAATGATATCACCTGATCCAGACAACAGATATACAATTGAATAAGTACTCAATCATCCATGGATTGATGGAAACCACGATCTAAGCTAATTAATTAATATTTTTTGATTATATATATATATAGGGTTATATATCATTATTCTTAATAAATTGTATGATCTTCAAAATTCAACAACTTCACTTATTCTTAAGCTTCACTTTAAATATGGTTTAGAACAACTTGCTATTTTATTTTACTTCATTAGTGAATACATCCAACTCCATATCTGTATCATTTTCCTCAAATATAAAATTATCATATAAAAAATCCAAAATTAAAATACAATCATTGATTCTTTATTCAGCAATAATTAGGAAGTTTGAAAAAGCTGAACTCTTTTAGTATTTTGTTCCATTTTTGCTGCTCTATAGACAAGAAATTATTTGATATCAGCTAATAATGCAATTAATTTTTCTGAAGTTTATAATATTGCTTTCGAATAATCCATAAGGTTCAGATGAGAATTTATTATGAATAACAAATTAATAACTTAATACTAGATCCAGAACAATCTCAACAATTATAGCTAGGTTTGGCAGTAGAATTTGAATTTTAGTATATGTTGTCAAACTAAGATTATACTTCCTAACTTAATCTAAGTATCACATCTAAGTTTGGTTATACGTAATTCTCAAATTAGGCCAATATCAATTTTATAATATATATTTTAACATTTTATATCATTTCTTTTTCTTATTTTTTAATTCTTTCTCATTATAGATAGTTGCATATAATTCCAATTGCTATTTCTCCTTTTCTAATAAGTGTAATTTGGTTTTGTTGTAGCTATTTTTGTTTCGCTTACAAATCACATCAAAATCATCCTAGGTTATGACTGATGGTCTATAAGAAATGAAACTAATTAGGAATCATAAATAAAATTACTTTTTAAATGAAATATATATCTACACCAATTGTCCTATGTAAGATAACTAATAAAATAATGTTATCGCATTCATACATAATTATGAAAGTATGAAGACTGTATTTAAAATACTAAATGGTAAATCTTTTTCTAAAAATTCCCTTAAATTATAATAGATTTTATTGTGAATAGCTTTTCCCCAAACACTTTTTGGCAACATTCTCTATGCTAACTTTGTTTTTTTAATAACAGTTGAATTAAATGGCAAGATTTCATTTACTATATTTTCAACCTCTGTAAACTTACCTATTCTACTTAATTGATATAATTCCTAAAGAGTGGCTTTTTTATTCTTATATTATTAGTAGAGTATTTTTGAATTCTAAAATAGCAATGAAAAATAATGACAAAGATAGATGATCATAAAGAGAGTGAATATAATGTAGGATTCAGATTCATAGAACATTAATATCGAAAAGGCATTAAATTAGGGGATGAATTTTAATAAAACCATTTTTGGTATGTCTTAGACTTATCTTAATATCAGTTATTTCCAAGAGGTTGGCCTATTTCTTAATAAATTGTGTATGAGATAGCACTCGTAAGCAGTTGAAGCAAATATTATAAATTGGAAAGGGTTTAATAGACTAAAATTTAATTGATGATCTAATGAATATCTATTTATATGTTAAAATGGTAAGATGATGAGTAAAATCAAGTAAAACATATTAATTAAAGTGACTACTAATATTGGATTAAAGGCTTTTTCAAGATATTACTGTAGATATTCGTTGTCATTGTAAGATGTATAAGTTTATTGCGGAATGACCAACCAATTACTTAAGTTATATCCAATTGTTTTAAGTTTTGATTAAATTGAGGACTTGGGCACATAATTATAAGCATACTCTCTTATCTAATATGCTAAGCCTGTGTTGATCCAATCATTGAATGAATATTTGACAATAGATGATGAGAAGTAGTACTGGTTATGTAGAATACTATAAAATCCTTTGAGTGTATTTAAAGTCAAGGTATTTTCAATTCTGATTTTAGCAGGAGGGATTAATGTAATCAAATCCAATAGATCGGATTCATTATAGTCTTACTTAAACATCTCTTCTATTAATTCATCATTCAAATGGTATTCCATTTCAATCTTCTGAATTTGAATATTTAATTAACGAATTTACTACCAAATTTAGAGGGCATCCAATTAAGAGAGTTTTTCTAATTTTGCAAATGGGGTTTAAATCAACTTTAATTTCTTTATTTTAATCTGTTGTTCTGATAAGTATTGTAATGATTCCTCTGAAAATACTAATCTATAGGGATAAGGAGTGGCTTTAATTTATGTAGTATAGTTAAAGAATTGGCACATAATATCAAGAGTGGATAAATTTAAATAGAGGTTGGCTAATTTGTTTTTTCGTTAATAAATATAGGAATTCAATATATCTAAGTAATGTTAATGGAAGTTCAGATGATAATTGGGAAACCTAATATCTTCGAATAATTTCCATTTATTAGTTTCTATAAATTCATTTCTCTTTTTTATCAAGGTATTCACTAACATAATGATTGAACCGATTTCTTCGGGAATTCCATCAAAGATTCCATACTTCCAACTATCATAATCGATATCAACAGGCAAGTGTTTTGGTTTTGGATAATCTTTAGCAGGAACCTGGAGATAAGGTTCGATAGAATTTTTGAGAGATACATTGTAACATAAAAAGACTTGTAATTGTAATTTTTAATTTGGTTCTTGTAAGGCTCTTTTTTTAATGCATTCGTAAATAGTATTCAATTTGATTTGAGTATCTAACATGGTGCTAATCATGTTCAATTCAATAAGATTAACTTTCTTATGTAAAAAGAAATTGTCAAACAGATTTTTCCAACCTTTGTGAGTCAATGCATTATTTTACGAGAAGTTGATCTTCTTAATTGGTAATACATAGCCATTTGGTTTTTGATCTAAAAACAATTACGCTTGTTCAACTAGGTAAGATATGGTTTCATCATTAAAACCCATAAATTAGATATTTAGAGTTGATAATTCGGTTGCTTTATCTGTAAAAACTAATGTTTAGAGTAGATTGGCCCAAGTGGCTCTTGATTAAACAAACTCATTTCTGCCAATATCCAAATATTTCAGTGGATATTTATCTTTGTATTTTCGATTATGTTCTTATTGGAATGCTAACCAATTTTTGGCAGCTTGACTAAAGTGATCACACATTTGATCATTAAAATTGGTAACCAAGAAATCTATTCTCTCAATATCAATATATTCAAAAAAGATTAAATCCTTTGAAATAAGTTCACAACCTGTTTCACCAATATACAATGAATAATAAATTGAAAATTGCTTTAGTTTTAATTAGCAAACACTCTCTCTTTATTATTGAATGATCTATTGTCTGAATTGAGCTGCTGGTTAACAAAAGGCTTCAATCTCCTCTCTCTTTAATTAGCATTGATATAAGAGGATCTCTTCAACATGACTCTATTCATTGTAAATAAATCCTTGACTTAGTAATGTTAATTTATCTCTGTTTAATCTAACAGTAGAACTGTAAAGTAAACTCATATCTAATTTTATTGATTTTATAAAAGGACTCATCGTATCAAATCTAAGTAAAGTGAAATTTTAATGACTATTCAATACTATGTTAGTAGCTTTGATGTTTTTATTAAATGTAAAATGCTCATAGAAATGTTCAGTTCCAGTAGGAACTTATTTTATTTCTACTGTAAATTTAGATTTCTTCTCCTTTCTTTTTAGTTTATTAAGACTCTCTGCTAATTTCTATGAATATGGAAAATCTACTGTAGTAATATACAATGTTTCTAAGGATGTTATGCATTTATCTAAAAATTCAATAAATATCTCATCAAAAACTACCTTGCCTTGAATATTTATTTCCTTCAAATTCAGTTCTTAAATATCAGTCAATTAATTTGTTAATTATGAAAAGAAATTAGATGATAAGTTTTCTTATTAAGCCTTTGTCTGTATTTTGATAACTTCCAATTTACTTTCAGGCTATTATAATAGATGTCCTAAAATAGGAATGAAAGTCTTAGCCTATTACTCATCAATCAATTGGATTGTTATTTAATTTAAAGATATCTGTTTTTATTTTTAATAAATTTATTAAAGATTGGTTGAGCATTTAGTTTAAGTTGAACTTATTTGCTTATTTTTTTATTGTACTCCTATACCATTAAGTTCAATTTTTGTTAAGGGAAACCTTTGACAATAGATAATATCGTTTACAAACATGTCAAAGTACTTCTCTTCAATTGATTCATAATTGCAATTGAGAGTAAGCTCCGTTATTTAATAATCTTATCGATTATGAATTTAGTTCATCAAACTTACTATCAATTATTCATTAAAGTTGTCTAATAGTAACTTCTATAAATTCACTGATTAGGAACAAATAAATGTTTTGACGAATTATTCTGTGCTTTTCTAATTTTAAGTAGCAAGATTCTTTAATGATAAACTTTCTAATTTGCTTGACCATTTATTATCTTCAGTTTTAATACATTTATTCTAATAAACATTTGAGTAGATAAGAAATTATTCACATTTCTCCATAAACAAAATTAAATTCAAATGAATCAATGTTAATTCAGTCAATTGATTTTCCGGATGCATAATCAATCCAGATATCAATCTTTCATAAATTTATGTTTTATCATTTTAATTCAATTCCTAGAAATTCATATTTAGATTTAACGATTTCAATTGTTTAGGAAAATTTGGAGTAAAGATATGGTAATTATTGACTATCTTACTCTTTAGATTCAAATCGTTCTTGTATAATGTTGATTCAACAATATTCTTTTATAATGCATCGATCTTCTCTTTAATTTCTCTATCCTATTGATCTTCTATTTTGCTCCTATTGATAGATAATTACTATTCCTTATCGTGTATAGATTTAGCTTATTTTATTTTCTTTTTTTGACTGCTGGATTTCTATTAATGAGTACTTGTCTTCTCAGATATCTTATCTAATTCATCGATTGATTTGCTTTTCATAAGAACATTAAAGAAATCTATCCAGGTTTATTCAGTAATTGATTGATTTGAGTCAATCTTCAAATTATATAGGTGAAATGCCTATTTTTATTTTTGATTATTCTCTTTAATGAGTTCGATCTGTTCTTATAGGATTCTTAGATGTTCATTAGTTAAATTGCAATCAGAAAGGTTTAGTTTCTTTAGTTTTTGATGTTGTAGATTTAAAGCAATCTCCTTAATCAACCATTTGAAGATCTTTGTGTCCTCCACTTTACTTAATTTAAGTGAAAATGATTCAAGGTTAAAATTGTTGTATTATTTAACATTCGATTAATGATAATTATCCATACTCATTTTCAAACCTTATTCCATATTTTTGCATGAAACAAATGATAAGTGATTCAAAGAACTAGTGTATAAAAAGGCTGTTAATGGATCTACCATAATTTCACATTTTTTATATTTTAATTCCTTCAACTCTAATTTCAAAATTTCTCCAGAATTCTCAAAACATTAACTAATCCCTTTATAAAAGGCATCATTCAAATTTTATTCTTGTATTTTCAATGTTTTCAATTTCATTGTTGGATGAAGCACAAATTGTTATAAGAAGAATTCCCAAGATATTTCATCTTCAAAATGCACTTATGATATCTTAAGGAAATTCAAATCTTACAAGGAATGATTTAAATTCAATTCATTTTGTTATTCAATGAATTATTATAAGAAGTACACACAAGCTGAAAAGTCAAGATTTCCAAATTTTAATTTCTTTAATCGAATATTCTTACAAAATACAACATATTTAAAGAATTGCAGAACTCCAACGTCATCTATTAAATTGAAAAATTCAAATTCCTCCAAAGGCAATATTTTATTTTTATGTTTTGAATCTATCACTTCTTCTAATTTAGAAATAGACTGTTAAGAATACAACAATACTATTGATTTTAATGCCAATTTTTTAATTTACATTCTATCATGAAATACAAAGAATTGCAATAAATCACTAATATTAAATACAATTTCATCTATTGAATCTAAAATTATTGTTTATAATGGTAATTTGAATTCCAAAGGTTGAGTAAGAAAGAATTATTCAGTTTCATTAACAAATTAAATAAATTCCCCTGCAATAGTATCCTTCTGTATCATCAATTCTTCAACATTAAAACATGTGTTTAAGAATAAACAACGATATGTCACACTATCAAATATATAGGATGCTTCTATGAACTTAATTCTTTTAATTGAATATCGTATTCCAGGATTAGCTTGTAGTTATTAAAATATTTCTGCACAATTCTCTTTTAATCCTTCCTCTCTATTTGATTATTTGAAACACTTCTCCATTATAAATTCTTCAATCTCTAAAATATCTCCTACTCTAGTAAAAAAGAACTCTTAGAAAAACTATTTCATTGTTGCACTTTCCATTCTATATGTTTAATTAGGTAACTTTATGGATTTTAAAGGTAATTTGAAATTTTAATAAAAAGGGTATTTTTACTATTCTTGTTGAATATACTCTCTAAATCTTTAGGCTGTTTAGATGTATGCTTAAGTACGTCCGATATCAACATTTTGAACACCTATAATAGATGAATAGAATTTTGTTACTTAATTTCTTTAGATTCGATGTTTCTGTAAAAACAAAGGCTGATAAAAATTTGACAATTAAGTCATGTCTATTATAATTTTCAAGGCAAGATAAATCTAGTACTTTTAAATTTTATTTGAGAATCCTTCCCTATTCTTTGGATTATTAGACTAATTGGTTTGAGTATTATTAAAAGGATTCAGTCATCACAAACATCTTATAAAGAGTACTTAATTATTAAGGCAAGGAACTACTAAATTTAATTTATTTGCAATGTAAAAATATATTGTCAGAAAGGATCTTATATGTTTTCTCTAGAATCGATATATTTTTTTCAATATCCAATTCATTTACTATAAATTTATGATATCTATTTCCCATTAAATTCTCTATAGGAACTGAATAATTGAGCATTTGCTATTATTACATCTTCAGTTTTAATAATCCTTTTGAAGTAGACATTTACTCACACATAATTGCTGAGTTTACAATCAAACTTGATGATATTTGTAATTTAGATATTTAATCAATTCTATTTTCATTGAAATTCAGATTAATTAATTATTCTAAGGCTCTGAAATTAGATTAAGTAAAAGTTGAATTGAAAGAAAACGAGAAGAAGTTGAGTTTACTAATCTTTTAAAATGCTTTCTTTTCCCTTATTTCTCTCTATGCTTATGATTCATTAAAATTCTATCTAATGATTGCAATTGACAAGTACTATTTGTTTAATACCAATTTATATTCTTGTTAATAATTATTTGCATTTTATTGTCTTATAAGAGTTTTCAGATCAGATATCATTTATTCTTTATAAATTCCTGGATTATTTGTAATTAATATCTAAAATTGAAATGAAAATATACTTTTTTTATTTAAATATCCCCTTTTACTATAGTATTCAGGAACTCCTGAATTTCAATGTTATCTAGTTTGTTATTATTTAATTTGATTATAAAACTATTGCATTGCAATTGTTTAAGCCACTAAGCCAACAATGCAAAATGTTCAATTGTTAAAGCAGTACTTGAAAACTTCACTTATCGAATGGTATTGATTTATCTAAGATTTGATTAGACTTTTAGAAGATGATCTATGCGATATTGATTTTGAAACTCTTTAAAGCAAATTTTTTTTAGATTTTATTCCTCTAATATCCTTTTCTATATTGATATAATTATATCGAAATACCTCCAGATCCTAAATTTAAGCATCCAACGGTAAGGATGGTACAAATGAGAAAGATAATTTCTGTTTCATTTTTCTGAATTTATTAATATAATAATTATTATCCTGATCATTACTTTAATTATATATATATACTACTTTTATTTTCCTAACATTATTTTATTTTCAATAACTATGGAAATCTATCAAATAGTAATAATAATAATTATAGCTGCTCTCCTTGGATTATTATTAATCTACATTATTCTAAAGTACTGTAAATTTTTAACAGGCGAATAAAAGGATCACAACATTAAGAACGTAATAAAATAATCAATATCAATATTACATCATTCTAATGATAAAGATATGTTAGATCAATAAATTGAGAATGACTCTCCTAAAGTAAAAAATGTTGAATTGGCTATTTCAAACAATGAATTTTAGATTCTCAAAATTTCAACAGAATCCACATCATACGAAACAAGATCAGAATAACCATAAGGAATGCGAATTAAAACTTTAGAATATCAATTCAAGCTAGACGATCATTTTAATTAATTGTATAGATGCACTCTGCAATAGAACAACTAAATAATAATATATGAAAAGAAGACAAAAAAAATCTACTTTCAAGGCAATACAGAAAAAGCCCCGAAAGATGCATACTTCAGTTCTGAACATATTACTAAAGACAATTAAGGTTAATATTATTTCAATTAATTGATTACAAAAGAGGCAATTACATAGGAATCATATGAAATTATTGATGCTTTCGCCTAATATTTAAATCAACAGAATTTAAATTAATATATCAAAGACAATTCAAATTAGGCCAAAAAAGGTAAGACACTAATTTTCTTTCCTAGTTCCATTTTAAATTAAGAAATGAATTAAAAGTAATTTATGGAAAAATACTAAAACTATGTTTTTTAATATGAACAAATTAAATATGATTTGGAATTAATTTATGAGAATCTCTTCTTTATTACGACTAGTTCAGATAATCGGGAGTACTTTTATATTGAACTCAATTTTTCAAATAGCATCATGAAAATTCATCTTCTAAATGAAAAATAAACCAAGTATTATTAACGATAGATTGAATTGTTATAAGGACTTTATCCTAAATTTACACAGATTATAATATGTGCACAGTGCAAATTGAATAAAAATTCAAAGCAACCCTATTTAGAAGTATGTATGAATATGTTGAGAGAATCCTAAAATAAAGAGCTGATAGAAAAAATAAAATAAAAGGATTAATTATTACAACATCTATAATCATTAATTAATTTATGATTTTAACCTTTTGCAATTAAATTATAAAATATACAACACTTATATTAAAAATATAATATATTTGATAATCGACTTTTAGTAATCGCAATTTTATGTAAGGGTATGACTTTATTAATTATTTATTTAATAATATTTGTTTTCTTTCTCTCAATTGTAGGATGATTTCTTTCATATCTTAGAATAAATAGCTTGTGCAATAAGAAAATCTTATGTACATTTATTTTCAAAGATCATTTTGATAATTGATTTAATACTTTTAGACATTATCTGATTATAAATATAGACCTTGATTTTCAAATATGTTGACTTTGCAGAGTGGATGGATTTATTAATTATTAATAAATAGTAGTTTAAGTAAATTTCATAAAAAAAGCATTATCAATACTTCATTATTACTGAGTGGCCTATCAATAATTGAATTTTCCATTATTTAAAAAAAATAAAATAATTATTTTTAGATACTTTAAATAATTCTATTTAATATCTTTTGGGCTATTATCCTAATTTTTAAGAGCCATATGTGTCTAATTAAGTCAAATATTTCAATCTTCTCAAATGAATTCACTTTATTATAATCATTATTTTACTAAATATTTGAAAATTTAAGCAATATAAATATGTATTTGATATTATAAAATTTCAAGTCAAGGACTCAGTTAATTGATCGAATATGATCCAATATGATGTAGAGTAATAAAGTATTCTTAGTATTGATTAATAATTGATACTCTTTATGGAATTTAGGCTTAATAGATTTCATTTAGATAAAATTATTATCCATCTAAATTACTAACTAAATCTCTCAAACTATTTGGTTTACATAGTAATTAATGTTAAGATATTTTCCTTTTAATGATTTCTAAACAGCCGATAAAAAGTAATAAGTTTGATTTTGATAGATTAGTTTTTTTTAAATTATTAATATTAGTATATAGAAGAAACTCTTTAGATTATTGAGGATATTTTTGTTCCTTATTGAACAGCTAGAATACTTAAAATTAGTAAAAAATATAAATAAAGTGGAATATTGTTATAATATACATATAATCAATTATTCCAATCGCTATTAAGGCGAAAATAGCTACTGAGATCATCGTTTACAAGAGACTTGGCCCATCTATAGTTTTTGAAGTAAGACTTAGCAATAGCTTAGCCTTCTCTTGTTTCACATAGTCGCTAAATATGCAACTTGATATGCCTCTAATTTTGTATATCCAGAAACTCTTTAATTAGAGGTTGATTCATTATTTGAGGGATATGAGAGAAATTTTCAATAATGAATTCCTTGAGCTTTGGCCCAATGTTTTTGAAATAATTTTTAGATTCTCTAGGGAATCTATATTTTTTCTTATGAATTTATTTGCTTGATTTTGGGATTTTATTGTGGAATGCTGATTGAGACTCACTTTCTGGTTAATCAATATTAAAGCTGAGTTAATCTTATAATTGAGCTTCTATCAGCATTCCACTATAATTTTCGAATTCATCAATTTAGGTAAAAGGGAAAGTATCAGTCTCAAGATTGCAAAATCCTGGTGCTGTATTTTCACCATATAAACAGTCTTCAAATGAAGTTAACATTTAAAGAAAATATATTTTAATTACAATAGGTATTAGCAACTTAAATTAATTTTACTACTGTTTAATTCTGACTATTTGTATTAGAACTAAATAGATACTTTTTTATATCTTTAAAGATCTTCATCTAGGGTTCATTTTAGATTTTCAACAGCAATACAGAACCAAACAAATGTAATCATTTAACAGTTAACATCAATTGTTAGTATACGACAAAACATTCTAAAATTATTATCTTGTCTCATAAATAGACACTTATGACTAAACAATCATTATATATACTCAGCGACTAAAGTGTGTTTAAATAAAAATGTGATAAGAATGTTGCTTATCTACATTTTCCTCATAATAAAATTTTAATTTTTATTAATTTGGGGAAACATAAAACTTTAATCAAAGATTCAGAAAATAAACATCCACAATTCTACTAGATACATTGTTAACTTTAGAAAGGTGGTAGAATATGATAAAATATTTATTTAATATATTAATTATTATTTTTAATTACATATTGTATTCGTTTGAATATTTCATTTTATATATAATTCTAGATGCTACTTAAGATATGTAAATATCAAATTTATTAACATTATACATTGAGAGACATTCTTAAATTAATGATAAATTTAACATCTATATATATTATAAATTCATTATTACTGTAATTATTATTATTATTATTATTATTATTCTTATTATTATTATTATTCTTATTATTATTTTTAATCGAATCTAATTAATACCTTTCCTTCACTCATGTTTTTCTTATAAAAGTCTAAGCCCTCTTTGAATTCAGATACATCAACTGTTTTAGCCACAATAGTTTTAAGATTGGTTTTTATCAATCCCTTTAATTAATTCAACAATAGAGCTTAACTAATAATGTTTTTGCTCTTCACATATTATGTCAACCAAAACCCAACAACTTTTTTATCTTTAAATATCAAATCCATAATTGAGACATTTCCAACAGGTTTCAGACTTAGTCCTCCATAGACATAACAAGTTGAATGACTAGGCATGACTTCAAGAATTTTACCACTTTATTCTCCTCCTACAGCATCAAAGAAAACAGTTGCTCTATTGAAATAGACCTTATAAATACCGTAAAGTTTAAAGAACATTTTTCAACTTTTCCAAGAAATCAGAATCGGATGAATTTAATATTATATCTGCTCCTTCCTTCTTCAACATTTCTACTTAAGCATCTCTTCTGACAATATTAATAACTCTAACACCATTCGCTTAAAAGTGTCGAACCATCATTCTGCCTAATTAAGAGGCAGCTGCTGTATGAACAACAGCTTAAGTTTTATGCTCTTTTGCCACTTCTAGCATTGAGATCACTGTCAAAGGATTAACAAATGAACAACAAGCCTCTTATAATGTAATATCATTTTCTAATTCTAAACAACCCAAGGCATCTGCAACACTATATTCTCCAAATGTTCCAAATTAAGATTGTGAATAGAAAGCCACTCTTTTTCCTACCAATCTCCATCCGATGATTCCTCCGCTAAATTATTAGATTCAATCATACCCATTAGCAATTACTGTCCCAGAACCTTCAAATCCAGGAACACAAGGAAATTATTTATTGCTTGAATAAGCCCCATGCAAAAAGGAAATATCTGATGGATTGATTGGAGCAGAGTCTACCTTGATCAAAACTTAGCCTGATTAAGGAGTAGGAATTGGAATTTCTTTGACAACAGGTTTTTAACCTGGACCTTCCATAACTACTGCACGCATTGAGATTTACATATGAATTAAAAATATTTTAAATATGGATTTAGTATATATTCTTAAATTTATTAAATTTCTAATATACTGATAACCATAATAAGAGAGACTAAAATATATTCTAGAAGAAAATTAATAATTCATACAGCTTTGTAATCTTTTAATATGCTCTCTATGTTCCATTACTGTCGTTGTTCTCTCATGTCTTTCAATCTTTTTTCTATATCGATAAATATAGGAATTATACCATGAGATTCAATATTGTTTTATTTTTATTAATTTTATTAAGTGTCCTCTTTTTCCTTTTTAGCCTCTTTTTTCTCTTCAAATTTTTCTAATTTAGGAACTCTTTTGGCTTGATTACCAACTTACACTACTTCCATTTTACCTGGATAGCGAACTTAGCCTTTATGTTCTTGTAAATATTATTTGGACAATCTACATATTATATATATGATCTACTTATCTTTATAATTATTTCTTAATTGAGCATGTATTTCTTTTCTAAACAATTCAAATTATCCAACCTATTCTTCTTTTTTGATATCTTCCTTTTTAGGTTCTTACTTGAATTGATTTTCATCTAGAATTTTGTTATCGATTTCTTGTATCTGAAACTCTTTTTCTCCTTAATCTGTCATTAAAACATCATATAATAAGAGTTAACCAGGAAGAAATGTTTCAAATAACATTTTGTTTTATTTAAGAGAGTCGAGAAACTTCTTTCCTTCAATTAAACCTAGTTCATCATTTTTAATTTCAATCTGTTTATCCATTTTAATAGTAGCCCATGAAAACTTTCTCATAGCTCTTTTGAAAGCCAATTCATTTTATAATGCTTATGAATCACTAGTTATAAGAGAAGTTTCCCTTGTAAAATTCTTTTCTATTCTTTTAATCATTTATTGTATATCATCAATAGATAGACATCCATCTTCATCAACATCACTTAAATCAAATATCAATTCCAATTTCTTCTCTAATTCCATTCTTGCTAATACTCCAAGAGATAGTACTAAATCTTAGATTTCAATTTTATCATCAAATTCCAATTAAAATCCTTAGATATGAATTGATATTACTTTCAAATAACTTTTCAAACAATGTTTCATATTTCTTTCCAACCCAAATTTCAAAGTAAGTTTTCTCTTACTAAGATTTCTCTTATTATGCTTTTTCAAATATTGGTTAAACATTATTTGACCTAAACCATCTTTCAAACAAACCATCCAAAGCCGAAATCTTCATCTTTTTTTTGTCAGAATTATAATTAGTTCCAAACCATTTAAGAAATTATTAATCATAATTCTACTTAAACCAATTTTCAAAGGCTTAATCTGGTGGTTGATGTTTTTCTGATTAATTATCTCGTCTTTATGCAGGTTCTCGAACCAATTGTGTATCTGGATCAAATCGATATGATTCAGCACATGATCTTTCAACAATGGCTTCAAAATCATTCTTCATTTTATTTTAATATCTTGTGAATTCTTCAGGAGCCAAAATCAAAAAGAATTAAGAGGATATATAACTGTATTCTCTACTTTTGACATGCAATTTCAGTTATTTTAACATCTCTTTAGTAAAATTAGATTTGGTCATTTTACCTTCAGATAAATTACCTGATTCTCTGAATTCCTACTTTTGTGTATCATTGTTACCTTCCAAATCTTTTTAATGAATACATCTGACAGCAGTTTTTGAAAGACTTCACAAACTGCTGGATTAAGTGGTTCCTTTGCTTATTAATTCATTATTTATTTAAATGATTGCTGATTAAAGGGCCATTTAAAAAAAGAGAAATATCCAAAATATAATTGATAATGATGATGAAATAGGAGAAGTAGCAGAATGGGCTGGAGTTTCAGCTGCTTAGGCCAAAGATGATGATGATTTCGATTTTGATCATAAACAGGTGTTCTAATAATCGAACGATCACATCGAATAAGCTAGATAAAAAATAAATTAGAAATTAAATAAGAAAGGAACAAATGTAAATTAAAGAAATGGACCTTTAGTCAATAATCTCAAAGACAAAGCTAAAAGTATTGCATTATAGAATAATCAAATCAATGAAACACCCATTAAGCAGCAATGCCAGTCTAGTGATGATGAAAACGACAAACCTCCTGTTGGACAAATGGAGAAAGAAAGTCCAGACAAAAAAGTTTTTAGATTGTCAGAGAGAAAGCATTTTGGCAAAATTGAACAAGAATTCGAATAAGCTCAATAAAGAGAGAAATGATGGATTTGGAAAGGAAAAAAAATGAGATCAAATAAATAAACTTCATTGAAGCTTGGGAATTAAATGAAGGGTTCTTAAAGACATCAGAGACCAGATTGAATTTATCTAAAAAAAGACATCTTTTTTAGATAAACTATTCGGATGTTTTAGTATCCATTTAAAAAGTAGTAGACTCATCTAAGAAAAAAACTCAAGTACTATAATTCTAAACAAGGTTTGCTTAATGTCGCAACTGTCATTTGATGATAATAACGAGTCTCATTTTAGAATTCTCTATACAATCTATTGCCAACTCATGACTACTGACTATTGTCTAAGATATGGTTCTCATTGGGAAATGATTGGATTTTAAGGCACTGATCCAGCTACTGATCTTAGAGGTGCTGGTATACTTGGATTATTGTAAATGCTTGCTTTCATAACAGAATATAAAATATATATCAAGTAAACACTCAAGATCTTTCAAGATATCAAAATCCCATTCAGTATCACTCTTATCAATATTACAACCTTTGTTTTAGTTAGTCTCAAAGACAATAAATTAAATTAACTAATAAATTAAGAAGATTCTGTTATCAGTGTTATCAATAAATTATACTTTGCAGGCTTCCATTTATTGACCAAAATTCTTAAAAAGTATGATTTATTATTATATTATGAAAGAGAACAAATTACTTTCCACACTATAGGAAATCATTTGACTCATATAAGGAAGTTAATACATGAATAACCTCAGAAACTAATCAGAGAGTTTCATTCAGATATTCAAAGATTTTATAAAATTAATAACATCTGATTGATTTATCTATAATCATTCATTTTTAAAAGACTATTGTTATATTTTCTAATCTATTCTTTTTCTATTGACAATCAAATAAGACTTACCATCAGAATCATAAAATCATTAGCTAATGTAAATACTATCTTAATAATTTTATTCTAAATGAGTTTAAAATACAGATTGTAAAAATTTAAGTAATTATCTAACATATACTAATTATCTCCAGCCATCTATGATTAAAGATCCTTTTCATAAAAACAATTTTTATAAGCAAAGTTTCAGAATTAATTTCAACCCATTCAACTTATAAATTATCAAACGATTTTTTAGTTTCTAATTCAAGGTTCTCACATTATCACTTTATTTATTATTATTTATGTCATCAGAACATATTTTTATTAATATTAAGTTATTGGATAATTTTTATTGATGATATATTTGATAGTTACTACTATTCACTAATAATAGACTATATAGTATAATTGCCTTCAAAACAATAAGATTTCGGTATGTTTTTAAACTTAAATTTCCCTAAAAAAAAATAGTGGAGTTTATGATTAATTAATTTTGCTAAAATCAATTGTTAATTTTTGAGATTTTTGTAAAATCATACTCTCTTTTAACCAAGTATTAGTGAAAATTTCATATTATAATGTTATATTTTAATATTAATTCATTCTTCATTTATTTTTTTTTTTTCTATTTCCACTTTTTCTAAATAATCTTTTTTTAAGTCATAAAGCAAAGTGTTAACTGATTAATAATAGTTAGTCACAGTTTTCTATTCCATGAGATTTTGTTATTATTTTCTAATATCTGATTTATTATTACTATTGTAGGATTGCAATTAAACCTTTCTATGTTTTCCATCTCTTAATGACATTATTTTAAATTAAGGAATTAGATCCTCATCATCATCTGAATCCCTTATTTAAAAAAGTTGAGTTTCTTCCTCCTCCATGAAATTTAAATTTTATAAACAAATAAATTAAGTTGAGTTTTATTGCATCAATTAAATGTGTTTTCGGCGCTTTTTAATTACTTATTTTGTATTAGTAAAATTACAATCAGTAGAATGAGACCAAGATTTGAAGATTAGAATTTGATCAAATATGAAAAAATTAAGAACTACATCTTAATAATTAGCGTTGATAATCATGATCTTAAGACTCATTATTTTTCTCAATAAAATAGTGTCGAAAAATATGAAAGAAGATTTAAAGAATATTTAGTAATGGCATTATTTCGTGTATGGATAGGATATTAAATGTTGATTGATAGTGGAGAATTTTGATTTAGAAAATTATTAATTTATCATTATTTGTAAAGAGAACTTATAATTACTATAAAATGAATACAAGTTTAATTCCATTATTGATATTATTGGACAGGAAATGTCAAGTTATTTTGATGATAGTCAAATATAGAAGTCAAATAGAGAATTTGACAAAATTAAAAAAAGGTAATTTATGATTTAATAAATATTAATTAAAGAATCAGTATTGTTATGTATTTATTCTATGTATTAATCTATATTTTGCAGGCACATTTTTGGATTCTTCAACTAATAAATTAATTTTAAGATAATTACTTGTTTTGTGAAATTGAAGAAACTATTAATCAATTTCTGAGGCTGTATATTTCATCATGTTATGAAAAACATTATATTCTACTTTAATGTCTTGATTGGCAGTTTATTTTGATGAATAAGCGAAATCAGTAATATTCAGTTATTTAGAAGGTATTTTAATGCTCGAAACTTGTTTAGTATCAGAAAAGCAACACTTTTAGGAACTAAAATGACTTTTGTTGTTTTATTTTTGTTGTTATTGTTATTGTTATTGCTATTATTATTATTATTATTTGACTTTTTAATCTATGAATTAAACAGAATTTTCATCATCATCATATAGAGTAATGTATTTTTTATTGTCAGGATCTTCTTTGACTTTTGATTCTTCTTGTATTTTGTCAGTAAATTTAAGATTTTAATCATTTATTTAACTTTACTCAATTTTCATTTTTTCATCGTAATTAGAATAAATTATTTTTTCAGGCTATTAGTCTCTGTTACTAATAGGGATACCATTTTTAACTCTATTAAAGAATTCTGAGGGAGTCATTTTATCGTTGTCTACAATTCTATTGTTAAAAGTTTCAGTTTTTCTTCCTCGCTTTAATATCACTTTAATGTTTTTCTATTCAATTGATTCTTATTGCTACAATTCCTCTTCTATATTCTTACCTCTTACACCAAAATAATATATTTTAAAGGAATCAGATTTCTCTGATTATATAGTTATTGTTAATCGTGTGAACGGCTTATGTAATAAAGAATAATAAATACCACTTCTGATTTTACAAATGCAGCGTAGGTGATATAATTTTCTTCATTCCTTATTTTTATCAATTTTCCACTAATTCGCTTATACTCTTGATCTAATTCGTTGAGATTGTAGCATTTGTATAAGATATCCTTCTCAGGTTCAGGACAAAGATCTTGCTTTAAGTTAAAATAATGTACGTAGGTTGATTTCTTAGATTAATGTGTTTCCGAATTCGGCTTCAATGATCAAGTTTTGGCCACCATTAAAATATTATTAGTAAATTTGGTTGTCAACAAGTATGTCTAGATTATTCTAACCTTGATAAGGTTTTGTTTGGACAGAAATAAATCTGATCATTAAATTAATGAAATTATTAGTATAAACACTTAAGTGTAAATTATTTAGAGGATTTTGCTCAATTTTTAATACTCATAACAATTTATACTATTGGTTCTATTAATTAAAATGAAAAAAATAATTCTAATGACATTTAAAATTCTATATATTAATTTTTTTATAATGAATTATTTATAACATAATAATTCGAGCATATTCCCTTTGATAAATCAATTACCCCTTACTTCAAATGAAAGATATTTGTATGGATAATTATATGGAATAAATTACTAATAATAATAACAATAATAATTGCAATAACAATAACAATAATTTAACCCTTATTTAAGCTCTTTAAATTATGCCTATCAAACAAATTTCATTCCAGCATATTCTAATAATTAGAAATTACCCTTTATTCAATCTTAAATCATCGACCCATTGCCATTAAATTATAATCTAGGATTGATGGTTCATCAACCTGAAAGTTAAATTAGATTGGCATTTGATTTATCTGATTTTGGATTGCCAAAAGAACCACCAAAACCATAAAGAGTGATTGTTAAAAAAAAAATTCCTTAAACAATCTATAAAGCACCAGAATTTGATTATTTTGAATAAACAGATATCCCAAAAATTTATCTATCTAATGAATAGCAATTTAGAATTATAAAAAATAGATCAACAGACGCCCTAAAAAAGCAAGAGTATTTAGAAAGAGAAATTCAATTAGAAAGATTAAAATTAGAAACTTTTCGAAACAAATAATAATAATAATAAGAAACCGTTCGGGGTAAATAATAATAATTAGAAAAAGATAGTCAAAATAGTTACAGGGAGGAGAAATCATAAGATGAAATCAAAGCTGAGAAAAAAAAAAGAAGATTAGCAAAGAAAGTCAAAGAGGATAAGAAATAATAAAGATAATTTGGAGATTACAAGAAACCTTCCGTCATGAAATTTAAGAAAATTGTTAAAAGGGTTCAAAATATGCAATGGTTTGGTAGGACATTTTTATAAACATTGGAAAATGAAATAAAAATAAAGAAAGCCTAATAATAAAAGTAGTAATAAACTAATCGTGATGAAGCCAATGAAATGCTCTAAGATTGGATCGATGATTTAACCAATAATTTCCTATTAGATTTATTGAATACTTCTGATTCACTGATAGTGTAAGTGGGTTAGGATAAATAGAATGCGTTAAGTAAGAAAAAAATTAGTACTTTGCTGGATACTTTATCAATTAAATTAGTTAAGGAATTTAAAGCAGAGGAAATTATCATAGGGCCTTTAGCATCCTATTTGAATGATATCACTTAATCATTTTAATTTCCTCCTTTGAAAACATATACTAAATTTGAAATAGTAAGAATTCCAACCACCAAATTTGGTAGTTTAGGATAAATGAATGAAAACTGTTAAAAAATGATTTTGATAATATTTATTGTTCTGAAATAAATTGCATTTAATAACATTTTCAAAGCTTGGGAACAACATCCTGATCAATCATAAAATAATCAATAATAACTATTAAGAATTTAGTAGAATTCAATTATTCTATCCTCAATCATACATGAATTAGTAGTGAAATGGGTTGAAAAGAATGTTCCTATTCAAAATGAATATAAATTGAATGAATTAGAGAATAACTTTTAATTCTTATAGAAACCATTTTCAACAGAGAAGGAACAACCTAACAAAGAATATCCAATTAGTTTCTTGATTGAAGGAGTGATGGCTTCCTCTTTAATCTAAAAATACATAAATAATGCCAAGGGTGAAAAGGAGCCTTGGATTATAAAATTAGAAGATAATATTTAAAAATTTATAAATTCAATTTTGTAACAAATGAACAAAGAATATGCAAACACTAGAAAATTGATTAAAAGATAGAAGTTATCTTAAATGATGATTAATTATTTAAATTCTGAATGAATACATAATCAATCTTCGATTATTATAATATTATAAGGTTTTGTATGTGTTTCTTTGACTTCTCCTCTGATTTCGATATACCCTACAATAGATTCTCTGCTGAATTTATTAAACTATTTAAAATATACTTTTTTTTATCATTTGCTCATAACACTTTTTTTTTGCCTTAAATACTTAGATTATTTTGTAAAATAGGAATTTCAATAAATAATATATATTTTGAGATAAATAATTCATTGTAGCACACTTAGTATATCTTAATATTTAATATTAACAATATTAGTATGTGCAAATTTCAATAGGTCCAGTAGGGATACTATTAATAACACTATTAAATAGAAAAAATATCTATACATTTTAATTTATAGGATAATACTCCATCTTAGACTACTTCAACATTAGAATCCTATCATAAACCTTACTCTTCATGTAATCAAATGAGAAATTTCAAGAATAAAAACCGATCTAAAAAAAAAAATCCTATTTAAATTCTGGTGAACTAGCACATTGGGATGTTGAAAATAGATGCATATTTGAAAGAACAGTAACTCTTGAAAATCGAATTTTAGGAATTTATTATATTAAACATCCTTTTGATATATTTTAATAAAAATAAAAATGCCATATCTGTAGATGGAGGTTCCATTCTTCTTAATAGAATAATTATTAAATTCTAATAGGACTCATCTTGACCTTCCTCCTACTTAATTTAATTCTATCATAAACATATTCTAAATCTAAAATAATATAGTGAAATTAATTAATGAAAAAATAATAAGTATAAGCCAAAGCCAAGGCTAAGACAACTGAGAAATAGACCAAGTTGAATCAAAATTCTAATGACCGTTATTACCCTGACCTTTTAATAGATGAGGATGCTTATCTTCGAAACAATTACAAGGTGGTTCGTGAATTGGGAAGAGGAGGATATGGTGTGGTTTATAAAGGGTATTTTTCACACTATTTTAGTTATGCATACCATAATGGACAAGAAGACAAGACAAAGAAGTATGCAATTAAAGTGAATTTCTCAACAGTCTCTCCAGAATTGATATTTGCAGAGATTGGATTCCTGAAATTAGTGTAAGGAAAGGAGAACTTGCCTCAATTGGTTAATTTATTCTTGACAAATTAGAAAATATACATAGTAACAGAGTATTTTAGTTTTGATCCATTCATTACTTTTTTTTCTACTTTTAACATGTAGGAAATTAAAGATTATTTACGAGAATTGTTAAAGGCTTTACTTATATTGAAATAGAATGGAATATATCATAGAGATGTAAAACCTGGTAATTTTCTTTATAACCCAAAATTAAAGAAAGGTATCCTTATTGATTATGGATTATCGGAAATCGATAAATCGTTTGTCAATAATATGGTGGAAAATGGTGGAAATACATAAGAAATAAGACAAAGAAAGCAATTATATGAAGATATTATGAAAACAATTGCTTAAATCGGACACAATAAAATAGGCACTGAGAGTTTCATGCCATTGGAATCCATTTTACATTATCAAGAGTAATCCTATGAAGTTGACATATGGGCTGTAGGAGTCATATTTTTATAGTTTCTGACAAGGAAATACAACCTATTCAGTAATGTGAGGATGGTCCACAAACCTGCAGTGTCTAAAAATCTATTCTATGTGAACTTTATTCTAGAATTGACTTCACTATTTGGAGCTGAAGCCATTACTAAGATTTGTAATAAATTTGGTAATTGACAATTATTATGTATATATATAGGTTATAGCCTGAATTTGCCATCTGTTGTTGCTAAAACCCCAATTAATTGGAGGAGTGTAATTCATGTTGAGGGATTTGATGACAAAGCAGAAGACTTACTAACTTAGTTATTAGAATTAGATCCTTAAAAAAGGATTAAAGTTGAGGATGCTCTATAACACCCATTCTTTGAACAGTGAATTTATCAATGCATAATAATTAATTATAATTATTAATTATTTAATTATCATTTAAAAATATCAGAGCCCTCCGACTCCTATTGTGTTATTTATTGTCTTTATTGATAAAATTATTTTTAAAGAGTTTCCTCTTCTGACAAATGCGACCTGAAAGTCTGCAATTAGAATTGTAATCTATAAATTATTAAACTAATTTTACGTTTAAATTTCTTCCATCTTTGTCAATAGTATCTAATCTAACCCTTTTACGTACTCATCTACATCTGAGCCTGGCTTATCAATATTATGTAACAACATCATTTCCTAATTTAATCACAAATAATAGTACTTATTTAACTAATTCAACCATTGAATCTATATGAGATCTATGATTAGAGATCAAGTTCTCTTCTTCTTCCAATATCACACTAATCAATTATTCGTGTTTCTATCCGATTTTCATTAAATCATCTTCCATCGATTGATTTACTTCTATAAATATTTAAGTATTGTTACTTGATTTACGTTCAACTGGTCCTGGGAATACATTTTCATTCACATAGGGACGAGGTTCGTTCAATTATGGAGTTGGCTTTTAGAAGGAATGCTTATTTTTAGATTCATTAATTTTTAATTGTGGTTATTGTTGCTATTGTAATGGAATCATGGGTTGAGGTTAAGGTGGAGGAGGTTAGATATAATTTTGATATGAATATTGTTATTATGTTTATGATGATTGTTATGTCTAGGGAATCTACATTCCAGGGATAGAATTTTATAAATTTAAAAATTAGGGTTGCTATTATTGTTAAAATAGATTTTGATTCTAATAATTTTGCAATGGATTATTCTTAAAAGGATTAAATTATTATTAGACTTAAGATTATTTCTTAACTGGTTATTATTGTCTTGGCAACATTAACTCTCTGGCTAATTTATCCAGAGATGTGACTTAATCCTTCAATTCTTTATCATTAGGTTTTTTTAATTCTTTCACTCTGTCTGCATATCTTAATGTATTCAATGTATGTTCAGATGATGAATTGGAAGGAGAGAAGTTACCAATCATCACAGTCTTACAATTTCCAACAAAGGAATCCTTTAATACCAGAGTCAATTTTGACCCTCTAAAAGGAGTATGGTTTTTGTTTAGATCCAATGCTCTAATGCATTCCTTTAGTGCTAACAATGATTTATTAATTTCAGCTCCATCAAATCTAGTCTGTTTATTAGTATCACTGACATCTGCCCCTCTTTCACTACCAGCCAAATCAATGAATGACAATTTGCCATGACATTTATTGCCATCTTTTAAGGATATCTACAAAATTGCATGAGATCTTGAAGAATCATTATTTGATGAGTTTGATGCTGTAATCCTAGATGCACTCCCTTATTCAATAACTTTCATTAATTATTCTACAGATTACACTTTTCTCTCTTATAATCCTACTACATTAACATTTCCTTTTGCATCTTCTCTAGCATGTAAAAGTGTTCTTTCATTCAGCAAATCAAATAGTTTACCACAATAAATTTCATAAAATGATATAGATATTTAGAGATGACCATAACATTCATTGTTTAATAGACAAAAAATGTCATAAGCCGCCAATAAATATAAACCAGGCACTCGCTCTGAATAATCACCAAGCATTGTATATGTCTTACCAGATCCTGTTTATCCATATGCAAAACAGGTTACTTTTGCCCTATTAAATGCTGCTTCAACTATTGGTCTTACGATTTATAAATATAGTTGTTCATTTGTTGTATTTTCATCAAAAGCAGCATCGAAATTAAATTAATGCTCCTCTATGTATTTGGTCAAATCAACTTTTGTTCTAAAATGATCAATCAAATATTAATACCTTTATTCTTTGACTACAACTTGACTTTATTAATTATAAACATCGACAATATCGATATCGCCCTTGTTCATCTCCTTCTTATTTAATGGCCTCTTACGAACTGCTACTATAATCTTGGGTTCTCCTTATTCAATTAGCATTTTAAATTTTACTTTTTTTTGAATTTAATTTGTTATTTTTAGTTCGTTATCCATATTCATATATATATACTTGGATATACACTCTAATGTCACTTCTATATTAGATTATGTATAAATCATTATTATGTAATAAAATAAAAGTAATAATATCATCTTAACTTTGATTTCAGCTTAGCCTAATATTCTAAGTTCTCCTTCTATACTTTTTCTAGTAATTAGGATTTTTCTAAGACTTTCTATCGTAATCTTTCAATCTCCTTATCTTACAATTCACATTTACTCTAAAATTCATTGATAGTGATGCTATTCATCTTTACTTCTTCTGATTATTTCTACAATTATTTATGTTATTGGACTAGATTTCTGTAATTCTCAGCTTACCTTGATAAATCACTAATCAAACTGTCATTCTATTACTTTAGAATATTGATTTCCCCTTCTTTAATCTATAAATTCTCTAAGATTTATTCTTGAGATTAATTTTTTCCATTAAGATTCATCAAATCTTTTAATTAGACTTACAATCTAAAGACTTACTCATCCTTTTATTTGATGATATTATTGAGTCTAGTGCATTCATCTCCTAACATATTAGTCTTACATTCTAATTCTCTAAAGTTTTATTAATATGATTATTGATTCTCTTTATATTAAGTTTCCAACTTCTGATTCATCAATTTCAATTGTTAATTCTATTCTTTATAACCAAGTAATTCCTATTCTAAAAATTAAATCAACATTTATTTTTATTTATGAAGATCACTGATTTCATTCTAATGATTCTTCTCTTAATTTTCCAAGGAAGTTTATAACTTCTTAATTTAATTCTGCTCTTTAGTTTATTACTGTTATAACAGACATATCTACTCCTAGGATTTTCCATACATTGAAGTCAATTCATTTATCTTTGATTATAATGAATCCTTGTGCTCATTATAAGTTTAAGACAAATGTTCAAAATCACCTTCAATAAGCTTCAACTTTTTTTATAACACAGATTCACTTGCAGTCTTAGTTTCAGCCACATCCTTGTATTTGTTCAATTACTAAGATACTTCCTTATTCTATTCTCTTTACTGAGTCAATTTATTCTTCAATTCAACAACATGTTGTTCTTATGATCCAATCACAGCTTATTATTTTAATAATGTGAACTCCTAATCCTTTGATTAGGAATCAAATTATTAAATAGCATATGACAACTTCTCCTCCAATGTGTTATTATTTTTCTTTAGATTTATTAATTGAGTTTCCTAGAATTAAATTTTAATATTTACCAAAGCTTAAACGAGACTCTAATTCTTGTTATCTGAACTAGATATTTATGATAAGTTCTATTAGAGTCTAGCAATCTCTTGCTTTGCCTATTATTATTCCTATCTCAAAGCTTATCTGTGTTTTGATTCCTATTGCTCCATCTGGTATTTCAAATTGGCTATGTCTTATTTCCAACTTAAATCAATTTATCTTACTGCATCATTGTGACCCTTTTCCTATAATTCACATTTGTGTTTATGGAAATCCAATTAATCCTATAATATTATTTAGAATTCATACTTTGAGTTCCTGATTTTCAAGTGCTAATTTCGGATCTTGTTGCACCACCACTTAAGGTTCTTGAGTCTTTTCTTTCAGCTTTTAATTCTCTAATTGTAATCTGTCTATTTCCTTAATAAAAGTTTCCAAATCCTAAATCGAACAATTGGGCTTTGACTATTTAGTAATCTATTGTGGATTTATGATTGGAGATTAAGGAGTTAATTAAGAGTTAGATGATGTCAATGGTTGATAATTTGATACACCTGGTTTTATGAATGAGAATGGTTTTGCATCCTGCTTAGTTTCAGGTCGATTTTCTCTCTTATCGATTGAGTTATGATGTGATAGTGGTTATCTGATGGTTGAATTCATTGGGTAAATTATTAACGGATAATTATATAAATAAAATTTCTTATTATTTATGTCTCCTTTTAACATAGATTTTATAAAACATTCAAATCAAATCGTTTATCTATCATAAATTCAACCTTCTTAAACTTATTATCTACATTGGATCTTTCAATTTTATTCTTTGCGTATTTGTTTATAAACTCTGATTAATAGCTATATTAAGAATATTATTAATAGGCTAATAAGGTTGTAGTAGTTTACAGATTTTTGCTGAAATCGATGGATTCTAGATTTTTCAATCGATATTTTTATTGTTATTAACTATTTTCTACAAGTTATCTTTCTTCTACAATTTTACATTTAAACATAATTAACTTTTACATTCTTGATATATTAAAAATTTGCTTACTTTTAATAAAAATTTACCTTTGACATCTTTTTAGAACATACACTTAAATTACTTTTTGTAGTCATATATCTAATTAATAAGTGATATTATGATTAAAGTAGACAATAAGTATTATGTATTTTTAATAAGATTTTTAATTCTTTCAAAAAATTAGTTTCATATTTAAAGAAAATTAATAATATTTCTTTTGTAAAGATGTTATTTTAACAACTTAATCTAAGATATAATAAATTAAGAAATTTGATTTCTGAAAAACTAAATAGAAATATTATAATTTAATTCTTAAAATCAGATTTTATAATTAGGTTAATAGTGAAATAGTTATATGCAAAATGATCATTAATAAAACTAAATATATTAAAATCTAATTGAATCATAAGACATTTTGATATCGTTCATACTAGCTTTCTAATTTAAATTTCTTTTAATTCTTTATTCCAAGCACTCAAATATTAACCATCAGGACTGATTGCAGCAACTGTCTCAATTCCCTGATATTATATCTTTTCTTAAATAGTAAAATGGTGGTCATTTGTTCTTTTTAGTAGATAAATGTTTTGGCCAGATTTAAACATTAGTAGCCCTTAATCACTTAAATATATTGTTGGAGAATATAAATAACAGTTTTCTGTATTTGTTATTTAGATTTGATCTTTTGGAGTAAAGATTTATGAATTTTTCTCTTGTAGATAAATCTACAGTGTTGACTTAGAAGATTGAAAAACAAAAATCCTATTATTAATAAGGCTGATCCTATAGATAGGAAACTATGAAGAGATTTTTTATATTTGTTCACATTTGAGATTCTCGCGATCTATTATTTGATGCACTAGAATAGTTTCTTTAGAACACGACAACAACAATTATTAATTTTCTGATAAACTCAATGCTTGCACTTAATCCTCGTGTTGAATAAAGGTCTCAGACATCTCCCATTCATTTTTTAGAGTCCAAAATCTGACTTTATCATCCGTACTACCTGAGATGAGAAGGTTTTCGTCTTTATTAAAATCCAAACAAGTCACTCCATAACAGTGACCAATTAATTTTTATTCACAGAAATATTATTATTTATCATTTAAAGACCATACTATTATCAATTTATCTTTTCCGCCAGATATGAATCTTTACGAACGATTCATAAACTTCAAACATTAAACATTTTCTGTATGGCCTTGAGATATAGTTTGAGTCAATGAAAATTATCCATTCTAATTTTTAAACACCTTAATTTATTCATTAGAACTGACTACCATCTAAGAACCATCACGATAAAAAGAAATAGTAAAACACCACTTTTCTTATTTAATAGTGCTTATTTATTGATTCGCAATTTATTATGATATATTCTTACTTTATTAAAGTATTTTACTCTAGGTGTTTTTATTGTTGTACAATTACAATTGTATAGTACATGAACATATTTTGAGCCTATCACTCTATCGAATCCTCTCAATATTCTAATTCTTATTACACATTTAAATGTTATAAATTTCTTAGTAAAAGTCAAGAAATAATTTAAGTTAATCATTATATGCCGAATTTAAAGCTTCTTAAAATTTCCTCACTTTTGTTTCATTTTATTATTATATCTTTTTTTTATATTCATTCAGATACTACTTATTGCTTATTTCTTCGGCCAGCTCTGTAAGTTCACTTTAAGATAGATCTTTTAAATCCTTCGTATTCCTACTCTATTCTCTAGAGAGTTCATCTAAATGTGCATCGCTCAAGCCTTTCAGTTCTGAGAGTGCATTAGATAAATGTTAATGAATTCTCGCAATATGGTCATTTAGTTTTTCAATTGCTAAGTTTGTTTTTTAAGTAAAACACTCAAATTTAGTTAATTCTATTTTTTTGGCTTCTAAATGTTTTTTGCATTATATATTAAATTCTTCTAGTTTAGTAAAAGATATCTTCTGATCCTATATACAATCCTAACAAGCAAATCTACCTAATATGACACTACTTTCATTCAAATCAATCATCAATCCTTCTTGAGTATGCTTTTAACATTTCACACTTTAATTCTTTTATTTTCTATTCAACAATTATTAAAAGTTCTAATTCATTTCTTTCACTTATTGAGAATTTTCAAACTAAATTTCAGTCATTTTTTAACTAATATAGTCTTAGGCTTATTCGAAATATTTTAAATTGTGTAATTGTTGATTAAGCAATTCTTTAATTTAAAGTGCTCTTTAGGATTGTTGTTAAACTTAATAGAACAATTTTTGAAGGGATTCTTCGTCTTAAATATCAACATTTAGATCAGAAAGGAGCGTAGATTCTCTATGAATAGCTTCAATTTGTTCATTCAAATTTAATATATTTTTGTCCACTATTGCTATAGTATTATTCTTTGTGTCACTTTATGTTTTTATAATTTCAACAAGTTTCTCTATATTATTTTCGTTCTTGTTCTTTTATTCTTGAATGAGCATTTATATAAGTTCCCTTTTGAAATCTAAAATGTTCTCAACTGGAATGAGGTTTTAATAGTTCTAAGCCAAGCATTTTATGCAATAAATTTTCTTCTCTGGACATTGTTAATCTGTATCGAATATTATACTGCTTTCATTGTGTATTGAGCATTTTGAAATATTAATTGAACTATTCATAATAAATAAATTAATAAAAACATAAGGTTAATTAACTCATAAGAGAATTCACTTTCTTTAATTCTCCTACTCCTAATATGGTTCTGGCTGATGGATAGAACTCTCCTCAACGTCTTCATCTTAATCATTTTGAGAACTTTCCTCATCAATCGGTTAAAACTCGGAAGGTTATTGTTCTTTGCCATTTGAACTCCTAATCTCTTAGTCTGAGAAATCCTCTATCTAGTTCTATTCACTATTCACAATCATTTCCTCTAAAGATAATGCCTACAGCAATAGTAAACAATGCAGTTAAGATATCTCCTATTTCATAATTTGTGGAGGTTGACTCTTCAATCTATTAAACTTTTAGAGATCTTCTTCTTAACTGTTCAAGATCTCATTTATTCTTACAAGAGATTAGAAATAGGATGTAGAATCTTAAATATCATAATTTAATTTTCTCCCTATTTTTGATTGTGATTATTATGATTCATTCATCTAAAAAGCAAACTCTAATTCTTTTCTTATTTCATCCATCTATTTATTCGTTAATCTATTATGAGATTCTAATTTCTCTTTGAAATTTCTTAAATCTTGCATTTATTCAATAAGTTCTTAAGCTTATTCATTCTAATTTTGTTCTACTTGATTTTTAATGATCTCATCGGTGAAATCTCCAAATACTTATCTCAGTAAATTGACTTATTCTTGAGTAGGACGTTCTTTAGAGAGAATAATCAATGCTAATTATTAAGCTTAATCATTGGGATTCATCTTATTGAATTGTTATTTATTTCCAATTGCCTACTATTCTAATTGTTAAATTGTCAATTGAAGTTCTTAATTCTATTTTAATAACTAATCATTTTATTATCTCTAGATTAAGTGTTGATGACTGATATTATTCATACCGGCTTGATAATCAAACAACTGCTTTCTCAATTTATCTTGTTCTTCTTGCATAGTTTAATTTAGAATTCTCAATTCCTTTTCAAATCTCTAACTGATCTCTAATTCTTATTTTAATTAGTCAAGAGTCTTCTCTAAATGAATCTTCTCATTACTCCATTTTTATTCTTAAGTTTAAAATTCATTAGAAAATTAAGAAAAAGATTCCTTTTTTATCACTTCTGATTCCTTCTCCAAATGATTAGAATGAATTTTTAATTTAGTATTCTCTAATTTCAACCTTGCTAATTCCTTCTCTTATTCCTTAAGATAAATTTCAAAATAGGAGACATCTGTTTCTTTTAATTATTCTACCGGATATTACTACATAGAAATATTATAATACCTCCATTATTTTGATTAGTAAATAATGTCTGTCTAATTGGGCATATTGAAATAAAAAGTAATTTTCTCTAATTAATTATTCCTTATCTCTTTCAATTATCATCAGATGATCTTAAGTTTCTTTCAAAATACTTTTCAAATACTGAATTTCCTTCTAGGCCTTGATTGTATTTTCTATTTACTGCTTCAAACCTATGGTATTATTCTATTCTAGTAATTCCACTTGCTCTTTTACTATTTCCCACTATTCTTTGTAATGCTATATTTTCTTCTCTTGCATCTAATACCTAATGCTTGAACTGGCTAACGATTTCTTAGTGGAATCTTACTGTATTGACTTAGTACTATTATGTAATGTTTCATAATTAATTTCAATTTCATCAATTGAATAGATTGCCAAAGTCTCCAGAATTGGTGCAACAGAAATATCCCCTTTTTAAATTGATTTTACATTATCCTCCAATTATTCTCTTAATCTGCGAATAATTTCGTAAAATTATAATACAACATCTGGTTTATGATATTCTACTTAATAATTTAGTTGTTTGTGTTGAGGGATAATTGAATTTTTGAATATTTTTTAAAATTCTCTCAAGAAAGGATGCCAAGGTTTTATAATGATATCGTTCATTTTATAAGTTTCCAAGGTCCTCCTCTTCTTTTTAGATTTTTAATTGGCCAATAGTAATGAGGCTTATTTTGGTTTCTATCTTTGACATCCATAACATTAATATGTTGAGGTTAATGGATTGTAATCATAGAAATCACTATGATTCTCCCTTTCTTTGCCTTTCTGCAAATTTTTAACCATATAATCATTAAGGATTGCTTCATTTTCAATAATTGACATTTTTGAAATAATAATTAAATAATTCTTATTCTCCTTGAAATTCGTTTTTAATTATTTTATTAATGAAAATCTTTGTGCTTTGCTTAATAGCCTTAGCTATTGCAGACAAATTCGATCAATTCAGAGCATTTGATGAAGATGAATTTGGTAGAACTTTGATCGATACACTTTAAATGCAAATGAGTACAGGTGAACCAATTGCTCGTTTCATTGAAATTATGAGAAACCTAGAAACCTCAATTGAGAACGAACAAAAGGAAGATGATAAAGCCAACAATGAATACTAGAATCAATGCACTGAAGACATTAAAGTATTGCAATAAGAGAGTGCAAACTTGGAAAGAAGAACAGTTGAAATCTAATCAATTTTGGATGAATTAGAGCCATTAAGATCATACAAATAAGGTTAAGCTGATGCCAAGAATGCATGGAAGGTTGAAACAGAGAAGAAATTAGCTGATCTAGTAAAGAAGCGAGAAACAGAGAAGGCTGAGTTTGATAAAAAGGTTGAAGAACACGATTATGCAACATTCGTTATTGAAACAGTTAGAAGAATGTTTTCAGACAAAAATTAGAGTTTCTTATAAATGAACAACGAAGCATAATGGTAAAAGGTTAGAGATTACTTCATTAATGCTTCTGAATAAGCAAGTATTATAGATTGTTATATTTTTAGAGAAATTTGAAATCAAAAAGAGTTATTCGTAGCACGATGTGTCAATGAGGTTTTTGCTGAAATTGCCAATGCTGCTTAAGCTGAAGACTTTTAGAATTCCCCAACTGTTAATAGAATTGTTAATTTATGTGATTTGATGCTTAAACAGATTGAAGACAGCAAGGCTTTGGAAACTAAGGCAGAATAAAAGAGATTGAACATGTTTGTATTGGAGAAAGGAAACTTCGATAAAGATTTGACAAGTTTGAACAATGCTCTTGCCTAATTGACTGCTGCCATCTTAGGTTTGGATAACAGAATCTAAGATCAAAAAAGAGACTTAAGTGACTACAATGCTAGATTGGATGCCAAAAACAAATAGAGTGAAGATAGAGGGGGTGAATGCAGAGAAAAGGCTTACAATTACTAATTAACCAGAGAGAAGAGGTACTTGTTATTTCATAACTCTATATTAGAGAATAGAAAAGACAATTGGTATCTCAAATCATTGGTGCCTTCTCAGCCAATTAAAGAGATTTCGCAGAGTATGTTAAACTTAGAGGATAGGCTGGAGATTTCAGAGGAAAGAACTTTTAAGTCTTGGGCAACCCCACGGAAGATTGAATATGAATATTATCATATTAAGTTATTAATCAACTATGTTCCAGAATTTCCATAATGATAAATTCTGAAGTATTAGTCTTCAGATAATGATTAATAATTATGAAGAATCACTACATCACCTTGGGATTAGAAAGAAATGCTCAACAACCACAAATTAAGGAAGCATATCATAAATTAGCTTTAAAATGGCATCCAGTATGTTATATAATTAATCTATTATTAGGATAAGAATACAAACTGCAGAGCTTAGGCTATTACTCAATTCCAAGAGATTAATGAAGCCTATAACACACTATCTCAGTCAGAAAGCAAGAAAAAGTATGATTACAAACTCGAAAAGAATGATCATTCATAAAAACTCAAATATTTTCTGGAACAAATTGAAGAAATGAATGAAGAATTTACTTATTTAAGTAAGGATGATTAAGATACTTTGAATAAATTCATCAATAGGATTAACAATCAAAGTAAAAGAATAAGGAAACACTGATCATGTCTAAGACAAATAATTCTTTTTTGATACTTATAATTTAATGATTATGAATATTAATAATTTATGGTCATTAATTTTTATAATTACTTTTTGTTTAAACTATTAAATTAGTCATAAACAACAAGTAAATAATTGTAGAATAATATATAATATAAACAAGAATAAGAAGAATAGGCGAAGTCTTCTCTTATATCCATCTTAATTATCTTAAGAAAGTTTCTTACATTTTTGAAATAACTTCAAACCCATATAATCTTCAAATATGATTTATCAAAATTTTGAGTCTAAGCTTTTTAATAAGATAATCAATATCATGCTAGTAATATTTTATTTTAGTTGAGAAATTAATTTCCATCATTTTGATTTTTTAAATAATATTAATTAAAAAAATGAAGTACTTTCAAATTTTGATATTATGAACACAAATATAAATAAAATTACTGCAGATAAACAGAATAATTATGTTAAAATTATCTAATGGTTAATAGATTATTAAACAAAATTAATTCATTAATCAAGTGATTAAAAGGGTTCCAAAAATGAGGCATTCTGCTTTTCATTTATTCTTTTCTATTTCCATTTATCAACTAAATTATTAGACTATAGAAATTCTAATTTATTCTACATTTATTATGGAATTCATACCAAAGAGAACTTTTATTCATTCTACTAATAGTCAAGCGTTGTTTATTGAGGAGTTTACCAAAAGGCCTAAGGTGGCTGCTATTAGGGAGCAATATTGGGAGACAAATTCTCAGGATAGGGACTTCTAATCAAAAGAGGTGATACTCCCATATTATAAGGATTGTTATTATTATACATGTACATCGCTTAGGCAGGAGTGTATAGCCATAGGTGTTTAGTTAATTTATGGGAAAGGAGAAACAAGATTGTAATTTTATTAGTAATTCTTTAAGTACTAGCCCATAAACATCTACATAGGAGTTTGTTAGAATTATTATTATACATCCTCTTGATATGGACGAAACCCTTAATATAGATACTGATTAGGTTATTGAATTGGAGATTGCTAGACTTATTTAAATTAAAATTGATCGTTTTTTAAGTCCTCCATTTTTTAAAAGGAGGGTTAGATGTTATAATACAATGTGTTGGGAGTTGAGAGATCTTTTTTATTATTCTCACATAATAACTAGGATTAAAACTATTACTGCATTTTTAATTATTATTCAAATGAGAATTATTATTATTATAATTATTGTTATTATTATAATAATTATTATTATGATAACTATTATTACTATTCTTATTACTATTACTATTACTATTACTATAATTACTCAGCTTAAACTTCTTATATATTTTCTTCAACCTTTAATTTGGTGGCTTTTTACTTTTATTTTATTTATGAATCTTTCGAAGACTTAACTTGCTATTATTCTCCAATTTGTAATATATCCTTAATATTTTTTCTTCTTTTAGTTAAAACTTCGATTTCATCGATTTTATTAGATTATTAAGGATTTGTTTTAGTTTTAACCTATCTCAAGTAAGTTACTCTAATTTGAGACTCTTCCTTTTGTGGTTCCTAGATTTATTATACATTTTGTTTATTCAAATACTCCTTTATAGCTTCTAATTCTTCAATATCATCATCGTCTTCGTCTTTGTAGATTTTTTGGATGAGACTTTTAAATCTGTTTTAAATATGAAACATGATTACCTGTTTTTGACTTGATTTTCTGTTCTGCCATCCAAAAGACTGGAAATCAGTGACCATCTCTTGCCATTCTTAACAACCATGTTCAACAACTGTAGATCTTCTTATTAGCTCCAATTAGTCCTAAAGGTAATGTTAAATTGGCATTATACTTTTTAAGTTTTGGATTTAAATAATTCATCCATCTTTCTCTAACCTATTTTGGAGTTCTGATGTATTATCCATTGTTTTAATTATACAATTCTAGAGCGATATGTGTCCAAATATGCTTTTCATCCTGTTCACTTGATTACAAATATGTATAAGGTATACTTCATAAGTGATCGAATGATTTCATCCTCTTCTGGATCCCAATTAATGCTCTTAGAAACTGGGTTTATAAGGGTTATCCATCGTTATTTGAGAGTAACTTCATCAATTTTAAGAATATTAGATAATTGTCTCCATTCTTCTTCTGTGGGGTTGATGGTTTTCTTATTTTTCAATTAGAAGAACTTGCCCAATATCCAGATGAACATCATTTTGCATTATTTATCCCATTTTCGTTTTATACTTGCTTTTTCTTCTGAGAGTAATCTACATATATTTAATATTGATAATGTACTTCTGGGCAATTGTATCGAAATGTTTGCTATTTGGATTGATGAAGTTTTCTTTGATTTTGAATTAATTTCTAAATGGAAAGGGGAGCTCTGAGTTTTTGAGAGGACCCAACTCCTGAAGAAATTCATGAAACATTAATTATATATAAATATACAGATAAGAATTAATTAATGCTATAAGAAAAGATAAAAAATTATATAAAATCTCGAGAATGTGCAACTAATCGTGTGAAAACTTTATTAAGACAACCTTGTCCAATTCAATTTTAGGTTAGATATGATTTTAGTCCTCAAAAAACCATACATTAATTTCAATCTCAAAATGGACGAGTCCGATCAGTTTTAAAATTATCAAGGAAACTCACAAGACAATGTTCACCTCCTATGAAATTCGATGAGGTGATTACAAATGCCAAATCTAACATTGCAAGAAGAACATCATAGAAATAACAATCAGCCCCATTGTTGAAATAGAGAGTCAAGGATGCTAATTTGTAAACCTAATTCCCTTAAGTACCAACATTTCGGATGAGTTCTTAATGGTTTGGCAAATAAAGCAGATCTCAGTCAAATTAATTTGCTTTCGTTACTTTATCAACATTGATTGATGATGAATTCAACTACAATAAAGAGAGAGTCCATAAATTTAATCATATGGAGAACAGACTTGCAGAACATTAATTTATTATTAATGACTTTGATCCTATTCTTAATGTAAATTGAAAAAATCAAAATTATTTAATTAATTTAATATGCTTTATAAGTCTTCCTATTACTCCGATCTGAAACCTTTGGATAGAAATCTTCAACCACAACCTAAAACTCAATTTTTACCTGAAATCCAAATGTACCAATAGTTTAAATCCCTCCAAAATATCCCACACACAAGTAGAGCAACAGATGCATTATTGTCTGCCAGAAATAGTCTTATTGATTAAATTCAAGAACCTCAAACATCAAGATCCTCATATCATTCCATCATCAAGAATAAGAAATACTCCATAAACCCAGGAATAACCAAATTTAAAAAAAAGGACTATTAGTCAAATTCGAAGATTTGGGAACCCAAAACAATTAGCCTAAAAGTATATTAAAAAGAAAAAATTCGAACAGTAGTCAACACTCAGACGTCTTAGATTTCTTTGAATTAGTGGAAGAACAACCTCTACCTGTTCGGAACAAAAAGCACACTATTCTTGAACCTTTACAATCTACTCCTTCTCCATAAATGGCCAATGCTATCTCGCCTAAAAGAGTCTCCTTTAACAAACAAATCTAAGTCAAATTAATTAGTGATGACTACGTTGACTCTAATGAAAAAAGACTCTAAAGTAGACACATCCTTAGAAGACAGATGACAGACTTTATAAATTGATGACAACCATACCAAAAATATTTTTATAAATATTATAATGTCAAACAATTAAATCATCTACTAATAGTAAGAAGATCAAAGATCTCTCTTTTCTCGATTGTGTGCTTGTTTGCACATATTTAAAGGCAACAAGAAACGAGGATCTCAAAACCAATATCATCACGAAATTGATACTCCTAAATCATCCTTTATTGTAATATTAGACAATTTATTCTCAGTTAGGTTAAAAGAAAACAATTGTCCTGGATTTAGATGAAACATTAGTACACAGCCAATTTCAACCCATTGATAATTACGATTTATGCTTGGATGTACCTTTCTATACTTATATAAGATTGTCGTTTAATCATAAAATTTCAAAGTTTTTGTCCTCGTTCGACCAGGTGCCAAACAATTTATTAATGAACTAAGCAATTTTTATGACATTATCTTATGGACTGCAAGTCTCAAGGAATATGCTATGCCAGTTATGGACTTTGTTGATCCTGACAAAAAAGCAATCGAAAGGTTATTTAGAGAGAGTTGCACTATCATCAAAGGAGGTCTGACCAAAGACCTAAGCAAATTGGATCGTGATTTCAAAGATATTGTCATTGTTGATGTAAGTATACATTAATCGATTTTCAGAATTCAATATTGTCTTTTGCGTTGAATCCAGATAATGGTTTCCAAATTAAAGATTTCTTCTATGACAAACAAGACAAAGAACTTGAATTGATTCTCCCATTCTTGATTTGGATCTCATAAGTAATCTAAATAAAAATATGATAAGCTTCCTGATGTGAGACCAGTTTCCTTATAATATGAGTAATTTATAAATTCATCACCTGAATAGTTAAATCAAAGAAGGAATGGCAGCATTGTACCACTAGACTAACAGAAGTTTTACAGTGTCTCCAGATCCTTCACAATACAAAGAGAAAAAATTAAATAAGGTTCTATAATAAAAACTTTAACATTATCTAAAAATGACGAGGAGGAATTTGATGAAATTGCTTTTAAAAAAAAATTAAATTCAGGAGTCATTTCTAAATAGGACTAAACAAATGATAGTGAAAAGGAGACTTTTGAAATTAGCAATTGATTATCATAATTATTTGTATTATAAATTAATTAGTATAATAGTAAATTACAAAATTTAGAATTCTACATTAATAATCAACGCTGACAAAGCATAAATACTAGTTAAAATGGATAGTTAATTTGAGAAATCTATGTATCAAAACTTTATACCTTAAGTTCTATTAAAATATAAAAGAATAAAATCAGATTAACATATTAGCTGAATTCAAAATATTATTTACTATCCTAGATTTGTATTTCAAATGTAATCATATCAAATAAGAAGGAGGATTGCAAAATTGTATCTATTATTGTTTATTTTATTATAAGTAGTAGAAAAACAGACAGATTTATCGAGCAATATATTTTTTCAGTTGCAACTAAAACGGAATACTAGAATTATGAATAGAAGAAATTGAATAATTAAAGGTTTTACCAGTAAACTATAGAATTGGGGTTGTAGATTTGGCTTATAATTAAAATTAATTTTCAAGAATTATAGCAATATTCTTGAAAATTAAGAAGACTTATGAATTAAAATTATATTTATAAAGAATAAAATTCAATATGAATGAGAGATTTTTCATAACCTTTATAATATAACATTGAGGCCGTTATGATAAATCTAATTCATTAATTCTTTAGTTGATGACGAGATCAAAAGGACTAGAAATAGTCATCCGTTTCTATGTTGATGTAGTTGAAGACGATGAATATAATTGAATTATGTAATATTAATTTTACGTGCGTATTATTTATAACAATTACATGATAAGTGCATCATCATAGTAAAAAAAATAATTATAAAAATATACAATGTTAGAGGGTGAAAGAAAATAAGGATAATTCCCATTGTTGGAGATGTCACATTTACTTTATGGTGGCAAAGATTAATTTGATAAGTTTCTTGAGAGATAGAACTTCTTTGATACTAATCCTATGTTCAAAGTCAATCATGATTTCTACAATAAATCAAGATAGGATCAAGTTAATATTATAATATATAACTAAGATTCTCTTGAATGCTGAAAGAACAGTAGAAGCAATGAAGAAATTATCATTGGGTGATCCAAATTACTACACTCCAAATGTGTTGTGCCCACAGGGTATCTTCATATCCACAGTTCATTTTGCCATGGTTATACCTGCATTCTAAGTCTTGGCATCTGATGATTAGATTACAAAATGGATGACTTCATTAAAGAATTTTAGTGCAATTGGATGTTATGCTTAGACAGAATTAGGTCATGGTTCTGATGTTTAGAATTTGTAGACTGTAGCTGTCTTTGATAAATAAACTACAGAGTTTGTGATTCACACACCAAATATAGAAGCTACTAAATGTAATTCTAACTCATTTAGACTTAGTTTGGCCAGGAGAATTGGGATTGTATTGTGAATTTGCCTTGGTATTTGCTTAATTGCAAGTAGACGGCAAAGGATATGGAGTACATCCCTTTTGGATCAGAATCAGAGATAAGGAGACTCATAAACCATTATCAGGTATTGAAATTGGTGATATTGGTCCAAAAATGGGTTATGCAGTTAAAGATAATGGATTCATGAGTTTTGACCATTTTAGAGCACCATTGGACAGTTTGTTAAATCGATACATCAAAGTCAGCAGAGATGGAAAAGTAGAGAGATAAGGAAATCCAAAAGTTGGATATGGAAGTATGATGTATATGAGAAACATTCTGTGTGATCAATATACAAAGTTTGGTGGCAGAGCTTTAACAATAGCAGTTCGTTACTCATTGTATAGAAAATAGTTTAAAGATGACAATAAACAGGAAATCAGAATCTTAGATTATCAATTGTAATAACAAAAGTTATTCCCATTATTGGCTGAATTCTATGCTTGTGTTTTTGGAAGCATAAAGATAAAGGAATTAGTAAATGACAATTTCAACAGAATTTCTTAATCAAATGATTTTAGTTTACTTGGATTGACTCATGCTGTGTTAAGTGGAGCCAAGGCCAATTATACATATTTCGTATCAAATTGTGCAGAATGGTGTAGATTGAGTTGTGGAGGACATGGATTTGCTCATTATTCAGGATTGCCAATCATTTTCTTTGAAATGTCTCCAAATGTAATACATATAATTAATTTATTTAGATTACTTTAGAAGGAGAAAATACTATCTTAAATTTATAATTAGCTAGATACTTACTTAAATAGTTGTAACACATAGTCTCAAAACCAAGTGCAGTCCCAGAATTTTTCAAGTTCTTATCACTAGAAACAGTTAAAGTAGATGATGTCACAACAATTGATAATTTAATTAAACTTTTAGGTTTGAATTGTGCTATTCTGACTAAATATGCTGCCTAAAAATTAATGACTCACTCTGATATGAAAGAGAGTTGGGATACAAAATCTGGCATAGCATTAGCCAAAGCTGCCTCTACATTCATTCCTTACTTTAATATGCTTTGTTTCTTAGATACTATTAATAACAAAGCAAAAGAAACCAAGGAAATTCTAACAATTTTGGCTAGAATATATGGTATCACCATGTTATTGAATAACATGCAAGGATTATTATTAAGTAATATAATATATTTAAGAAATAGAAAATCAACTTAACAGTTAATAAATTAAAACACTGTAAGACACAAGGGAATCACTATACCCAATCATAAGAACAAATGCGTTATGTTTAGTGGAAGCACAAGGATTGTCTGATAACTCATTGTAAAGTTTGATAGCTCCAAAAGAAGGGGATGTTTATATGAACATGTACAATTTCGCTTCAAAAGAAAATTCATTAAATAAATAACAAGTGCACAATGGCATTAACTACATTCAAAAAATGAGAGAAGTGAATGCTAAATTATGATTTCTAACATTATCACAATTCATTTTAAAAGAAAATAACAACTGCAGTAATGTCATCTATTCCTTCACTATGTTCTTTCCATCCAGCCACTGCTTCTTAAATAACCTTCTAACATGCTCCCTAAGCATCATTCTTCTGATAAAACGGATACACCATCTCAGCAATCTTGATTATTAAACTCAAAATACACTCTAATTCTCCAAAAACTCCCATATTCCATCTGATCCTAAAACTATAAAAATATCCTCCTTATTGTCAATTTCTACTGATTTGATATCAGGTGTTTGAGACACTCCAATAGCTGCAGCAACAGTGTCTCCCAAACTCCTGCTCATTGCCAATCCAGGAAATTAGGCTCCTCTTGCCCATACTCTTGATGGTCCTATAGGTGCTCCATTAGGTAAATGATATGTATCAACTACTCCTCCATTCTACTCAATTCTCATTCTTTCATTCTCCTAATGTGGTTTATGATCTATTGACAATTCAACTACGTTTAAATTGTTGGTATTGCTGTTCCTTTTGACCAAGATTGCTCTACTATCTCCTACCCATCCACAATGAATAGTATTTTCTCTTATCAATATTACTGTCAAAGTAGTCCCTGAAAACTGACAACCAAATTCCGTCTAAAATTTCATCTTCTGATGCATCTCAAAGAATACCTTCTGAAAATCAAATGCCTTATAGAATTTAGTTAAATTATCTACATACATAACATTTTTATACATTTTAACAACTCTTTGATAAACGAACTCACATATTCACCATCCATCCCATGTCCATCCATCACCGCAAAGCCATAATTATTATCATCCAATTGTAAACATAACTCTCGATCTTGATTTGTTTTCTCTTATACTCCATCAAAACCTGCTCTTGATTAACTACAATGTGTAATCTTTATTTTATTTTTTGCTTATTATTAGGTTGTCTAACTCTCTTCTCTTTAACTTTTGATAGGAAGAGTCTGAGTTAGTGAACTCTATTATCCTTATAGATGTTATTTTGTTTTAGAATCTAATATAAGTCTATTCTTAAGGAGAGGAGGCTTTTTAGTTAGATCAGCTCCTGATGTTGATTTTTCCATTTACTTCTAATAGCCTTTTAGGTCTGGCAACTTCACTGTCAATCTTTGTGCTGGACCGACTTAGTTCGAATTCGATTGCTGTTTTAAACTATTCTGATTTTAATCTTCAACTGAAGATTATTGTACTTTGGATTCACTTCTCTCTCTTTTCTATGTAAAATGGTAATTTGGTTTAGTTATTGATTATTCTTTTCTGTTCTCAGAAGATGATCGGTTGATTATAGGTTTGAGTTGTTATCCAAATTTTTAGAACATGACAAATTAATTTATATAAAATTCACTTTTATAGTAAATGGAAACTGTCTTCAATTTTGTATTTGGGCAGAACGTAATTGAAAGTATTTGTTTAAGGTATGTATCTACCACCAATGGCATGTTATCCTTCAAATTCCTTTATGCCTTTCAAAGGCAATCCCAAGGAGATCACAAATTGGGGCACATAGACATTATACAGATTTCCATTGTCAGTATGCCATCCAACAGGCAGATTGATGGCGAGTACTTTTTTGTTGACTTCTGAGAAGGCATGCATAAATTCTCTCACTGGAGTTTTGGGTTATTCTATTGAACTGAGTGAGATGGCATCAACAACCAGGTCGTAATCGTTCAACCAATTGGCTAGAATGTTCTTGGTCATTTAAACATTCAATTATTCCTAAAGGTTTTGAAGTATGTCAAAATGCAAGGTTGCCGAATGTGATTTGCATTGCATTGCCAATCTACTCCTTAATGGATCGTTGGGATACAAGAGCACCACATCTACTTCTACTTTTCTCTAAGCCAAATATCGTGCAGCTGCCAATCCGAAATATCCGTTTTGAAATGAGGATCCTGAGAAATCCTATCCAATAATAAAAATAACTCTCTTAAGTGGCACATCTATTCTTGATAAATACAGGATGTATTCTGCAACACTCTGACCTCCTATCTCTGCCAACTAAGCCTTAGTATATCCATATTGCTTCCCAATTAATGTTTCCATCAATTGTTGGAACTCGCTTCCCTTCAAGTAGGACAAGGTGGGAGCAGGCAATGAGGCTTGGTCTTGAGCTAGGAGTGAGTTGAGCAAAGTTAAAAAAAATATTAACATTTGTTAATATTTAATTAACAAAAATAAATTAGTGAATTAAAAGGAAGTGGAGTTGGACAATGTTGCAATGGGTTTATGTCTTTGAATTACTTGAATAACTTGAATAGCAAATCAATTAAATATCTAATTCAAATAAGCAAATGATTTTCATATAGAAAAATCATTTGTTTCAATATATCTATTTCTTAATTATTATTTTATATCTTAAAAAAAGATGAATGAAGATTGGACAACTAAGAAAGTAGACAAGTATGTCGTAGTGAACAAAACTTTGGGCCAAGGAGCGTATGGAATTGTCTATAGAGGCTTTTATTAAGAAGACGAAACTAAGCAAGTGGCTGTAAAAACCATAAAAATAGCAGTATATTTGTGAATTTAAGTATTTTAGACAATTTCAGACACTCCAAAAATGATTGAGTTGATCAAAAGAGAAATAGCTATCCTTCAAAAAATCAATCATCCAAATATAGTGAGGTTGTACGATGTGGCTCGTACGAATAACTATTTGTACATGTTTCTTGAATATTGTGCTGACGGTGATCTCAAAGATTACATGGCCAAAAAGGAAGAAAAAAGATTAAGCGAGGTAACTCTCATTGATAATTTTATAAGCTTGAAGCTGTGATCTTTATCAAACACATTGTCGAAGGATTTAAGAGATTGTACAAGCAGAAGATTATTCACAGAGACATTAAACCTGCTAACATTCTTCTTCACTAAGGAGTGGCTAAAATTACAGACTTTGGTTTTGCACGTGTGATGGATTCAGAAATGAATGGTATTTTTATCAATTCAATTTTTCTTTAGATCCTGCTTATCTCTCAAGATTAGGTTCCCCTCTTTATATGGCTCCCCAAATTCTTGAAGGCCAGCCATTCTCAGCCAAATGCGATGTTTGGTCTGTTGGAGTTATGTTTTATGAACTTCTTTATGGCAGAACTCCCTGGTCAGCCGAAAATGCTTACTCGCTACTTGAAAACATTAAAAAACAAGTAAAATATTCATTTGATCAACAATTAGTCACTTAAATTTCCCCCCAAGCCAGTAAGATCTCAGAAAATCAAAGAACTTATAACCCTAATGTTGAGAGTTTAAGAAAAGGACAGAATTTCTTGGGAAGGTGTTTTTGAAGATCCTACAATCAAAATTGATGAGGAGACTATCAAAGAGAATATGAAAAATATCCTGAAAGAAAAAGGTATCATTAATCTTCATTTATAAAGATGAAATTTCCAAGTCCATTAGTCTTAATAAATTATATATTGATCAAAACTTAGTTGTTGGTTATTTGGCTAAAAATCCTATTAATACTCTAGAAAACTCTAATCAATAAACATTAGAAGCTTCTGCTGAAGCCAGATCTCAATCAGCTAAATTTTCAAGTCAATTTGATTCCGATTCCAATGTATTTTATTCTATCCAAATTTTAGGCTGACATCATCATGAGCAATTACAAAAACGAGAAGAAGAGAAGGGATGCTATGCTCAAATACAACAATTACTTTTTATTTGAAAGAAATATAGCTTTCTTCTTTAACTTTGTTATTCAGAAAATTATTAAATTATAAACGAAATTATAGCTAGCAAATGACAATTATTTCAGATTAATTTATTTGATTGCCAAAAATCAAATGGTTCATCTTGAAAGAGTCAATCAACAATTATAGAGAAAGGATCATGATAAATTCGATAAGGAAACTTGGGGCAGATTTTTAGCATCCTAAGTATGTCATTTTAACTTACTGAATAGGAATACTAAAAGTTAATATCATTAATTTCTATGGATATGAAGCATTCATTGGATTTCTATACTGAAATCTCAAAGAAGTGCAACATAGTTCAATAAGAAGAATTAGTGAATGGAAAAGCAACTGGTCCCACTTCGAGTTTGATCAAGAATTTCTTATCAATTCAAAACAATAACTTTGAAGCAAATGACACCTTCCATATGCTCTATAGAGACATCATTGTTGAGAACTTGAAAAACATCAAAAATCTAAACAGTAAAGAAACCGAAATTAATTTGCTCCTTCTTTACCTTTTAATATGCTAGAATCCATATGAGGAATTTAAAGACATTAACTATGACTTCAACACCTTTTATGAGGAAATTGAAAATTTAACTCTTTCAGAAGTACAAGAAAAGCTGCAAAAAAAAGGATAAAAATGAGTAATATTAAAATAAATAATAAATTATGTCAAACCTTGTTTTTGTCTAGTTTTTATTCTACCAGATTTACTAGATTAGAACATCCTTTAATTCATATATACATCTAACATAAACTTATAAAAACTTATAACTTTATTTAATGAATAAAAATAAATGTATTATATCATTCAACTGAAGATCCTCTTGAGTCTCTCTATTTACGAATAACGGGGCTTGCTCTTCTTGACCCTCTTATCTTTAAAATTTTTGGGCTTTACTTGATTTCTAATTCATCCTCATCTTCATTTGGGTCAATGTTTCGTGCACTATAACTACCATCAGATTGACTATCAAGTTTCATCACAACATTTTTCACATTTCCAATACTTTTGCAGCTACCACCACTATAGCTTTAACTCAAATTTAAATTTCCATTTTTAAATTGATTCATTTATTCTTCCTCATCCTCACACCACTCCTCGGAATTATCTTAATAATAGTACAATATTAATACTTATAGATCTCTATCTTTAAATATGATTCTTCTATTTGTGTAACATCATGGCTTCACCATCCCTCTCATATGTCTGTGGCTTACAAACCTACTTGATATCATTCAAATCTTTCAAAACAACAACTAATTGTTTACTATCTTTGAATAAGGAATTTTCAATTTCATCAATCATTTAATTCAGTAATTAAATTGACTAATCATATTTCTTGCTATTAGCTAATTCCTTTGCTTAACCTATTCTATCACCAGCCTTGGCTCTTAAATAATTAACTTCCACCAATTCCACTGGTTAATACTATACTTCTGTCTTGGAGAATTCTAATTCTAAATTAGATGACTTCTTAAAAGCAGTATTCAATCCAATAAACACCCCTTATAGATCAATTTACATGATGTTCTCCAAAACGAGTTCTTGTTGTTTGAAACCTGGGATTTCGATTTCCAAGGCAAACTCCTTTTTGTCCTCATCCACTAAGTAATTCAAAGTCAGTTGAAATTCAGTTTCACTAATTTTGTTCCACAGAAAATCATCTCCAAATATTTTAGATAATTTGAACTCATTATTTAATTATTTGACTGTCAATATAACATTCTTGGCTTTGACTGATAACATACCACTCATAGCCAATATGAAATGTTCAGAGACTCTTTAGATTTGATCAATATACACAAACTATCCTCCTTTCAAATTTGCAATGTTATTCATCACCTTAGCATCATGATCTGAACCATAACCAAAAGTGTTTATCGTCAAAGTATCTTAGATGTTATATTGATGCAAAGCTTATTAACATCTCAAATCAGCACCTCTATCATCATCAACACCATCACTTAACACAAACATACTTGTAACTGGATTCTTGAACTTCCTATCTCTAATCATTCTCAAACCCAATGCAACACCTGATGCTATATTAGTTGAATCTCTAATTTTAATATCTTTTATTGCTTTCTTTATTTTCTTTTTATTTTCTGCAATATTTCTTGTCCATTATAAATTTATGCCTGCTTAAGTACCAAAGGTCACCAATGCTAATCTATCGGTTGGCTTCAATATCTTTTAGATGTATCTCAAAGAGTTCTGTACTAATTTAATCTTCTCTCCGTTCATAGATCCACTTACATCGACAACACACATCAAATCAATATTGGCTCTTTATTTCTTCAATTGTGATTTCAAGGATTATATCTACAAAACAACTGGTAAGATTTGCGAGTATTCTTGGACTTGTATTGCTTTCTAACGAGGGAGAACATTTAAATGAACACTATTCAATAATTCAACCTGGAGAGCATCTGGATCAGTAATTTCCTAATCAATTGTTATAACAGTTTGTTCTTCCACTTTCTCTTCTAATTGCATTCCTTATTATTCACTCAAAAGTGATTTTACTATCTCTTATTCAATCTGCCAATTGCCTTGACTTGTTTGAAAAATTTATTATTGCTATGGTTAGGAAAGAAAATCGTTTTGTTCTGAACCAGAACCCGATGAATATCCACTGTTCCTTCTATATACCTTTTGCATTTGTTTAATATATTATACTTATCATTTTATTTTCATAACTAAATATCATATCAAACTGTTAAAATATGACAAATGAATGTTAAAATATCAATCTAATAAATGATTCTAGAACATTAATTTAAATACAAGCAGTCTCAGATGGATGAATTGTTAATAATCAGAGAATTAAATTTGTAACTACAATTTAAATAAAATAGTAATAATACGTATTTGCATTATGATATTGTAAATAATAATACCTAATTACAAATTAAGAGTTGATTTATAATATTAACAATTAAATAACTGTATATCAATTGCCATTTCAATTTAATAAAAATGAATGCAAGATTATTGATATTGCATTAAGTGAAGATTCAACAAGTGAATAACAATATTGAAGAAATCTTGAATCACTATTATAAGGATTATCAAAATTAGAAATAGTACATATAACTTGCCATCAAAGTAGGTTTATAAAATATATATGTTAATATATTTTCAAACTATTGAAAAATACTATTTTAATTCCCTAACCATCTGCCAATCTTATATAGTGAAGTCTTCTCTATAATATTCTTTAACAATATCTATATCCTTTCTTGAAATCTTTCAATAAATCAAAATTATTACTATGCTTGCAAGCTGTGGCATACTCAAAAATTGACATTAAAATTTATTCATATCTACATTATTCTCAACAGTTATCATTACTGATCCAGTCTAAATTCTGGCCCAATTCAAGACCTATTTTTTTTATTCTATTCTCCTAACTACTCCTATTTATTTCAAACCAGCTGTTTTTCTGCTGAACTGACATAGTGGTGTTCCTGTGGCTAAGATTCCCTAAGCTACTTAAATCTTTAATATCATTGGATCTGACATTTAAATTATTTCTGTCACCTAAGCTATTGAACACATTTACATTTAGTAGACAAGGAAATATTGTTGTACCCTTTAACTACTCTTTTTTAACTTCAATTACACTTTTGACATACTTTTAGTAATTGGATATCAAAGATAAACAATTATCGTCCGAAATTATTTATATTTAATGGTATTTGGCAATTTCTAAAATATCCTGTTGAATATTGATTCCATAAGCTAAAATACATGCAAATCTAATAAAATAGATAAGATATTTACTTTTGATTAAACTACTGTTACTAGCACTTATAAATAAACTTTAAAAACAGATCTTAGGAAACCATTCCAATATTAGAAAAGGAAATCTAAATATTATTTTACTATAAAAATCGCATTAGTTTGAGAAGTGAAGCCTCGTCTAAAGCAAAAACCCCTATACCTTCTTTATCTAGTTCAAATTTTGACAAAGAATTAATAAACTAATTTTTAATAAACTCTTAAGCTTCTTAAACTTCTTCATCTGAATTAGCAATCTTAAATTGACATCCTAACAAAACTGAATATAACTTATCAGTTATGACTCGAACAAATGCTAAATTAGTTTTAACCTCTTCAACTGATACCCAATTTTTATCGAAATATTTTTTACTAATTTCTTAATGAATAACTTGGAGATTCTTTACTATAACAGAAGTTGGATATCCGTCATCTGAAATTAATAAGTATTCTCCTCTTTTTAAATGGCCATCAATTACCAAACACTCTAAAATAGATTCATTTTCTTCAATATCCTTATTGTTTAAGACTAAGAAGTTAATTTTATTGTTGGAGATTGATTTTACAGGAAGATATCTTACAAGTGTAGCCAATACAGCTTCATAACCCATAGCAAGATTTCCTGAAGTAGGAACTAAAGGGATATTAGCTTTTCCGTCCACTTGCTCCCAATATTGAACAGCACTTAAATTTAGTTACGCTAACTAATTCAATATGGAATGCAAATGATTATGATAAATACATTTACTATTTTTTGTTTGGTCCTATAATTTTTGATATGATAATTAATGAAAATTTCTATTTTCAAAACATCTATCACACTTATTAAGAGCAATAATAAAAGGGATCTTTCGCAATTTCAGATATTCAATATCTTTAATACTTTATGATTCTAAACCTTACATGAGATCAATAATTACTATAGCTATATCACAGTTTGGAAAAGTTTGTAAATTTTTTAGTTGTTAAGGTTGATCATAAAATATAAATTTTTAGTTTTCATAACGAACAGGAAAGTAGGATTGCATTTAAACGAACAAATTGTTATTGTTTTAAGTTGGTTGGCAAACATAAGAGTAACCGAAAAGCTCAACCTGAAAACCCATTCTTTTCATAAAATCGACCAATCCTCTTATTATGGTTGTTTTTCCTGATTCAAAATCTCCCAAAATTGAGCAAATGTAAAATTCTTTTTTTTATTATTATTATTGTTATTATTACTATTATTGTTATTATTATTATTACTATTATTGTTATTATTAAATATTCATATACTGCTACTATATAAATTATTACTTTTTAGTGTAATCCTAAAGTTTGTTCTGTTTTTCCTTCTAATTTTAGGGATTTTGAGGCTTATCGAAACAAGCACAACGAAATATACCTTAATATTCTCGATTATAAATTTCATTTCTCCTTTATTCATCTATTCGAAGTTGTTCCTCTTTTTATTTTTAAATTAAATAAAGTCTATTTTCTTATTAAATAATTCTTCTTTATTCTTACATTTCTAAAGCCAATTAAGCACCATGTTTTATTTATTCTGCTTTATTAGCCCCTTCATTTATAGATTCTTATTAGATTTATTAATTTTATTATTTCTTTTTATTTAATCTTTATTTCTTTTTTCTTTTTTTTTCAATTCTCTTTAATTCTTCATTAGTCTAATCTATTTGATTTACATCTGAAACTTAATTATGGATGTTATCAATTATTAAATAGTGATTATATATTTCATCTTCACTTTTATTTTAATTATCTTATTTCAATGTTGGTTTTATGCAATTTTATTGTTTGAAATCATTTTAATTATTAATTTGATTTTCATGATCACTTTCTAAATCTAGATCTTAAAAAAACTTTGACTTAAAGCAGTGTTATTAATTAAATTAATTTTCACTCTAAATTTCGCTTTCAATATCTGATATTTATAAGAACTTTGACATTAAGTTAATTATTCAACAAATCTATTTGTGGAAATAGAATTTGAATATGTTTATATAATTCTTTAATAATTTATTTATAAATAACATATCTTCAGACTAGAGATTGGATATATTCATCATTTTCATCTTCTTCCCATAATTATTGCTAAATCTTCCAGATTTAGAGTATGTTTTTCTCTTATTCAACACTTGCAAACAAATGTTTATGATTAACATTCCAAGATAAATCATTCACTTTAGATCTATGTCCTCCGTGATAAAACTAATTGTATAATAAACATATCTACCAACAATTCTGATGGACCATCTTTCTCATCTTCAGCCTTAATTTCATTTCCAATTTTATAATAGTCCCACACAACAATTTTAGTATCAACAGAACCAGATGCAAGTAAATTTCTTTAATGAGGAGACCATTAGAGACTATAAATGGCATCTTCATGATTTGAAAATGTGTGAATATCCTCCTCTGGTTTATTCATATCAAACATTTTAACTTGAGCATCATTAGACCCAGTGGCAAATATATTAGATTAGAAATTATTAAATTGAGCACAGTTGACTTCTTAAGAATGGGCTTCTTATTTAATTGTAACTCCTTGATTTGTTCGAATATCACAACTAGATTATAATAGTAAATTGATTTTACATCGCAAATGTTTTATCATCAGAACAAGAAATGAAAATATTTGGATCTTGAGGATGCCAGCACACATCTTCAACTTCAGCTGAATGAAAATTGTATTACTTTATCAATTATCCTGTGTTGGAATCCCAGTGGTATATGTTATGATCATAACTAGCAGACAATAATTATCCAGAATTCGTAAGATTCCAAGACAGCCCATAACCCTCTTTCTCCTATCCTTTCAAAGCGAATACTTTTGATTATTTGCTTAAATCGTAAATACCTAAGTGAATCCATTAGATTGATACCAACTTCCCCATCTCCAGCTTATGCTGCTAATATGAATTGATTATTTGGTTATTATCGAACTCGATTGATTTCAACTTCTACTGGAATTTGCAATTCCTCTTATACCTTTCCTACTGCTTAGGTTTTCCCTTCGAATAGTAATTTATAAGTACAAATGTTATTTAGCAATGTGTTATCCAATTATTCATCTAGTTTCTTAGGAATAGCAACTTTTAGCAATTTGATATAATCCTACTCTTAATTATTGGTCTGAGTGGCCACTATCAATCTATGTATTTCATTGTCATTTTGATCACTAAGATAATAATGCAAAAGACATCTCAAGTTCATTCAACCAGCAAACTGTTAAGGATGGCCAATTGTTTTGGTGGTTGATGCAGATTTCATACATAAATGGGATGTTCTACTTCCAATTTCGATACTACTCTTCATTATTTCTCTCCTCTTGAATTTCATTTTCTGCACTCATATTTTAGGCGCGATTTTATTAAAAATAATTTAGTATAAATTCCACTCAAAATACTTAAAATGTGTTAAAGTATTATTATTTAATTATGGACGCTGCTGAAGTATAACATGATGGTTCCTCACCATCCAAGAAAGTTAAATCAAATCCAAATGCTCTTAATTCTCTTAGAGAAGTATTTATCATCCATACTCATCCTAGCATACTGTGGTTGTAGCTGACACAGGCAAGATCAATGACATCTAAAAATTCTAACCTCAAGATGCCACCACCAATCCTAGTCTAATCCTTGAGGCAGCCAAATTACCAGAATATCAAGCCTTGATTGACGATGCTATCCAAAAAGGAATCAAAGCTTATCAACTCTCCAAACAACCAGTGTATGACTCTTTTCTTAACCTTTAGTTAAAAATAACCAAAAAGAACAAATTCTAGAAAAAAGAAGGATGAACCTGAAAATTAAGAAATAGTTGAACCAGAATTACCATAATTCAATTTTAATACCTTAAATCCAGAAGAACAGAAAAGTGTTATTGGATTGGTAACTGACTAATTGAGTGTCAATTTTGGATTGGAAATTCTTAAGTTAGTTCCTGGCTATGTTTCCACTGAAGTAGATGCTCGTTTGAGTTACGATAAATAAGCAACAATTGATAAGGCCAAGAGGATTATCTCCCTATATGAATAAGCTGGCATTTCTAAGGATAGAATCCTTGTAAAAATTGCAAGTACTTGGGAAGGAATTCAAGCAGCAAAAGCCTTGAAAAAGGACGGAATCTCATGCAATATGACACTCATTTTTAATTACCATCAAGCTTTGGCTTGTGCATAGGCTGGAGTCAGATTGATTTCCCCATTTGTTGGTAGAATTTTAGATTGGTTTGTTAAAAATAAGAGTGGTGAAGATTATACTAAATAAAATCATCCTGGCGTTAAATTAGTAACTAGCATCTGGAATAGCTTCAAGAAATTCAAGTATGATACAATTGTCATGGTATTTATTTTTTAATTACTCTAGGCTGCATCTCTAAGATTGGTAGATGAAGCTGCTGAATTAAGTGGATGTGATAGAATGACTATCCCTATCAAATTGCTCAACGATCTGTAAGGATTAGAGGGAACAGTATTGGAACCAAAATTGAGAGTGGAAAATTTGGAAAAGTTAAATATTGAGAAAATCACTGTTGATGAAAAAACTTATAGATGGGAAATGAACTGTAATAATGATGTGTTATTATTCTATAGAAGATGCTATGGGTACAGAGAAATTAAATGAGGGAATTAGAAAGTTTGCTTAAGATTTAGAAACTTTGGAAAATGTAATCAAATAAAAATTAACATAAAATAACTAATGAAACAGTTAACACATTAATATATATAACAAAACATTAGTATCAAAGTTTAAAGTAAGTTTAATTCGTAATTAACAATTGAATTTCAGAATTCCCACCAATTTCTCTTTAGTTTTGGAACTCCTTTTCTCTCATTATTAAAATTAGTATCATTAGAAAATCGAACTTTTTTAGTTTATTTCATTTTAAACACTGTATGACTTGATTAAATAGAATTCTTTCCCATAGAAATGCTTCTTTAAGAAAAGGATCTATTTTTTTTTAATATGCTTTTCACACTCTTTACTGTTTTGTGACTTCCACTCTAACTTCGTTCATCAAAAGAACATTCACTAAACATTTTATCAAAGGTATCCTATTAATACTTCTTTTTTGTCTCATTTTTAGGAGTACCAATACTTGCATTATTACTTGCTACTTCTTCTTTGCTTTACTTACTCTTTTTTAAAGCACTTTTTCTCATCATATCACTTTTGGGCGAAACTTATTAATCTTTTAAAGGTATTGTTGGCGCTTTGGAAATTTGAGATTTTTGAGAAACAGTGTCACAATCTGCCTTTTTAGGTGCAAATTAAGAAGTTTACCTTGGTAAATAAGGATTAGAGGTGTTTTAAACATATGTTTATTCGATCTAAGTCTGTTTGATTGAGTTTTAGAAGGAAAATTGATTTTCAAGCTCCTATTAGGTTTTCTCCATTTCTCTTTCCTATCTATCTTTTTCCTCTTATTGTAATTACTTTTGCTTTTCAAACTCTATTTGCAGTTATTTAAGTTCTTCTTGGTCTTTTAGCAAACTTTTCATAATAATTTTATTGCATACTTTTGCTTGATCAAATACTTGACTTCCTACTCTTAATCATTTAAGAATCTATTTTTTCTATCAGTTGGAATAGCAATACTATTGATTTGCTTTGTCTTAACGAATTGTGGCTGATCCTTCAAAGTTTGACTAATTTTAGACTCATCTCCAATGGATTCCTCCTTGATCAACAACTGAGATGAGCAATATGGATCAGTCTTGGAATCTCCATTTGAATGTTGTTGTTGTTACTTTTTTGACTTTGCTTTTTTCACAACATTAATATTTAATTCTTTTTCTGCTAATTATGGTTTACAAATATTTTTGCATGTACTACCCATAAATTATTTATAATAATAATTGAATTCAGTTTTATTTTTATTAAAAAACCACTTTAAATTATTTGAAGTTCTTTCAGAATTTTTAAACTTAAGTTTTTCAGTTTTTTTGCCATAATCCTAGTCTAAATTTTAGTTTAAATTGCTCCTTCTATCCTTAGAACTGGTATCGATAATAATGTTGACACTTTAAGTAGTAAATTGCTTGTAGTACCTATTAAAAATCTAAAAATTAAAAATAAATGAATAAATCAAGTCTCGGTCCAAAATTATAACTCTAAATTAATATACATAAAGGACATAGTGATGATCTTATCCCAGAAGAGCCGTTTATCGATATGAACAAAAAACAACAATCTGTAGAATCAAAATAGAGATATGACACTAAGGGAAGATAGATAGTTAAGGGCAAAAGTTACTCAATTGATTTTTAAAACTGCGTGATTGTTTGTGTTTATGATCCTAACGAAGAAGTGTTGCAGTTTAAGGAAACACTTTCTTAGCTTTCAAACGTTGAATTGACGAAGGTCAACTTTAAATACCATGAGAGTTTCAAAAAACAATAGCAGTACGCTATATTGCCTTCAAAATCCATACTAAAAAAAACTAACTAATTAAATGCTATAAAGTAGAAATGAAGATTCTAAATTGAGAATAAATTGCAATTTTGATGCTTTTGTGTTTATTTTAGAAATACTTATTAGTATTAATATTATGTATCGAATAATATACAATAAAAATCTTCTTTGAGTATATTTTCTCTTAAGAACTTATCATTACAAAAATTACACTTCCTTTTTACATTTTCAAATTTTATAATAACAAAAGATTTTTTAATATATATAATTATAAATTTTATATTAAATACGAATCTCTAGTGGAATAAGACAAAAGTGAAGCAGATTGATTTTGTTACATGATGTTGTTGATTTTGTCATCGGTTATATATTTATCTCAAATTAAATTTTATCAATAAAAATAAAGAGGTATAAACACTGTCTAATTATTCCTAATGTATTCATTCTTTTGATTTTCAAATGTATTTTATGTTGAAGTTAGATAATGCTGCTAATTATAAATAATACTTAAAACCAAAGTATTTTTGTCAATTAATTTAATAATTAATTTTTGATCTTTGCTTTTATGATTTATTGCTTCTGAGGTAATTTTACAACTCTAAGAAATGAATTTTATAATTTAGACCATTCATTTCTAAGATTATCTACATCACCAATCTAGTGTTTAATTTCTATATATATACTTAAGAATTATAATTTATAATAAATTTATTTATTAACAACTAATTTTATTTGTTTAATGATGGAATAGGAGATCTCAGGATGGATAGATGATGCCGATTAATTAGATAGAATGAAGTTTTAAAGGTAGAAGGAAGAGAAAATAGATAAAGTTCCCTTGCATTAAAATCTTCGTAGTTATAGTTTATGTTAAAAAAAAGAAGATTCTGAGAAGTTGCTCACTTCAAAATCAAGTCTTTATTGAAATGTATTTTAGATCTCTTTACTGACAAAGAGAATTCATCCCAATATGTAAAGTACAAGATGTAGAAAAAATAAAATAGTACAATAGAAGAGTTGAAAAAAGTGATGGAGTTCCTATCAATAAATGAACAATATAGGTATGAGACTCATAGAGCATTTGATCCAAATGATGACAGGTTCATCAAGCAGTAATAGTAGCTTATTGAAAAATAAAAGCAATAATAAGAACTCAAAAAAAATAAGTTCAAGCTTCAATTGGATATCAAAGACAATTATCAATCAATGCCAAAATCTAAAAGGTTCTTACAGCCATTAACTGATGTCTAATCAACATAAAAGATGAACAGTGAAAGATCACAATGTAATTAAATTCAATAGAATGGTAATCTGGAATCTAAAAGCCAAACACAAACAAAGTTTAAATTTCCAAAATTCATCATTTAACAATAAAGATAAAAGAGACAACATTATAAAACAGATGAATTTATTGGAAATAAAGACTAATTGGAACAACAAACTAAACATTTCATCTAGATTAATAGAATATTTAGCAATAATAATTTAACAGATAGCAAACAAACCATCTATACTCCTAAAACTGTTACATCAACTAAATACTAGGTTTAATTATAACAAACGATTAGTAATTTAAATTAGGCTAGAGATAATGCCTATACATATGATCTATTGAACAGAAAAACACCTTCAATACAGGAAAATAAGGAAAAGCAGAAACAACTTAAATTGTTAGAAATAGCTCTAAAATGTAAGAATATTAAATGAGATTATTATATATATTCTACTATAATAATTAAAGACATTTCTAGTCATATATTTGCTATATTTGAGTATATTTCAATTTATAATTATTATAAATAAATTATTGTTATGATTGAAGAAAGAGATATAGCTTGTTAGACAACTCTAGAATATAATGAAAGTACAGTATATTAAATACCAAGTCAATGAAAATAATACTGATGTTTAATAATAATAAATACAATCTCCAATAAAATAAATTCAAGTTCGATAACGAAGCTTAACAACTTAATAAAATACAAAGCAACTCGTAATTCTATAGACAAGAACACCTAAGAAATAATCTATGGCCCATATTGCCGATTTAAAATAGCAAATCTTAGATATAGCTCAAAAGTTTGATGAAATCATTAATAAAGAGTAATCATAGAAGAAATAAGTTCCAGTAAAATCTTAAGAAATACAAGATTAAGAGAGCATTATCAAAGATTAGATGATTGAAATAAAATCACTTTAAAATCAAATAGAAATTAATCAGCGTAGATTGTAAATTAGTTTGGAAGACAAAGAAATAACAAAATTAGAAGATAAGTTAAAGTATTTACAAGAGTTGGAAAGAATCTTAAGAGAGGAGAACAATTCCATAAAGAAAATCCATAATCAATAGCAATAAGCCTTAAATCAACTTGGAATTAATGAATAGGATGAAAAATTAGTAAATATTATCATTATTTTTTAAGAAAATGGACAAATTGAATATTCTGAAATAAGAAAAACAAAAAACTAAATAGTTATAAGAATAATTAAGACAATTAGAAAATTAATCCAAATAAAACCATAATAATTGTTATAAATAAGTTGAGAAGTTAAGATGGATTGATAACAGAGTTTTAGAATACAATAAGAAGAAGAAGAAGAAACCTATTAGTAAAGATGATGTTGAAATCTTAGAAAGTTAATTGCATGAATTAGTTTAGGAGATAGAATAAAAGAACTCAATTAACTCATCAAAATTGAAAGAATTGGAGAGGGAAAGAAAATAGTTGACAATGGATGTTGAGATCAGAGAAAGATAATTGAAAGAAAAAGATAAAGAATTGAAATTAACTATAATGAAATTTAATGAGAACAAGAGATTTATAATTAAAAACGAAATAACAAAATAATGATTAAATATTCATTATAACCATTAACTTTATTATACTTCTTGCATGGTTAATCTTTCCTTTGGATCTACTTTTAGCATGTTTGATATTAATTATTTGGCTTAAAAGGAAACAAAGGATGGATATTCTATTTTGCCTAAACAAATTTTCTTATTTAAATCCTTTTCTGAGTTTCCTCTAAAAGGAAATACTCCTGTTACCATTTTGAATAGTATTACTCCACAGGCCCAAATATCTACAGATTGATCATAAGATCCTTTCTTAACTAATTCAGGAGCCATATATTATGGAGTTCCACATGAACATGTTTATTTCCCATTAACTTTGATAGAGTATCCAAAATCTATTAGTTTAATTTTTCTAGTATTATAATCGATTAAAAGATTCTCGAATTTTAGATCTCTGTGACAAATATCTTGCTCATGCATGTAATATACAGCATCTGAAATTTGTCGAAATAAAATTTTAGCTTCATCTTCGTTTATTCTCTTGAATGGTCTTCCTTTCATAAACATTTCTAAATTTGTTGGAGATGAATACTCCATAATCAAATAGATTGACTTCTCATTTTCATACATATGATATAGGTTAATTATGTTTGGATGTTTAAGTTAATTTAAGATTTCAACTTCTCTTTCTAGATTTTTTAAATGCATATTGTTCATTTTCTTCTTATCATATATTTTAATTGCTACATCAATCTCTAAATCCTTATGCCTAGCCATTTTTACTTCTGCGGTTGCACCAATCCCAAGTGTTTTTAAGAATGTATAACTATTGATTGATTAATACTCCTCTGGGATTTAAACAATTTAAGAGTACTCTTTTCTAATGTTTTCATTTTATGGATTTTCTTCGTAGATAGGTTATTAAGCAAAATTAGTTTTAAGTATATTTCTCAAATTGCTACCTAAATTTTTTGAAACAGGAGGAGTCTTCTTTTTTTGTTAAAGAGGACAATTTTCTTGTTTCGGCGAATACTATTTTTTTGTCTGTTGAGTCTTTGGAGGAGACCGATTAGGTGGAATTCTACTATGATGGGATACTGAACGTCTTTGAGTGTCCTCTCTATTTTTAAGGTATTTTTTTCTTAAATCAAATAATTTAGAATGTTAACTAAACTAAGATGCTTAAGAATATATCTATTAATGAGTCTTATGATAATCTAAAAAATGAATTTATCCTTACTTAAAGACATATACATTGCAGGTTCATTGGGTTATTCGAACTCTTGGTTGTAAAGTTATTGAGGGGTGGGATGAGATGTAACTTATTATTGTTAATCAAGTCTTAGCATTTTATTTAACTATAATTATAAATTCAGTTAATTATATATTTAATATTATATATATATTGATATTATTATTATATATATATTCTCATTTCTTAGGTGGTGCTTTGGCTGCAGGTTTAGCACCTCCTGCTGCTTTTGCTCCTGCTGCTGGTTTTGCTGCTGCGGCTGCTGTTTTTGCTGCAGCTGCTGCTTTAGAATCATCAGCTTCCTTTTGTTTTTTTTCTAAAATGATAATAAATGATAAAATAAACCTGCTGCTTCTTGCTTGTCTAAGATTTATTTCTTTGAGGTTGGTGCAACTTCATCAGGCAAGATTTTAGAAATAACACCTGCAGCTACAGTCTTTCCTCCTTCTCTGAGTGCAAATCTTTGACCTTGGTAGAGTGGTAAGTTATAGGAGAGATTCAATTTGCAGTGGAGGTATCTCCTGGCATACCTACTTTGATATTCTCTGGTAACTATAATGTAACAGCAACGTCGGCAGTTCTTACGAACATCTAAGATCAATAAGAATTTGCATTTACTTATGGACGATAACCATTGGGGAATGGTTTTTTACGACCTCCTTCTTCTTCCTTCAAGATGTAAAGATTAGATTCAATGCAATTGTGAGTTGTTAAGGATCCTGGTTTGCACAAAACTTATCCTCTTCTAACATCATCTCTTGTAAGACCTCTGATCAAAATTCCGACATTGTCACCAGCCTCTCCGAAATCAAGTTGCTTTTTGAAGGTTTCAACACCAACAATTGCAGTTTATTTTGGTTTACCATATCCGACAACTTCGATGTTGTCCTTGATTGATGCTTTACCTTAATCGATAGTTCCAGTCACAACTGTTCCTCTACCAGCAATGTGATATGTGCCTTCTATTGACATTAAGAATGGCTTATCAATTGGTCTTTATGGTATTTTGATCTCCTTGTCCATAGTCTCAAGTAATTGAAGAATGGACTTTTCTCCTAATTCTGGTTCTTGATCATTGGATGCAAGCAATGCTGATCCTTTCACAATCTTTGCATTGTCTCCATCATATTCGTATTTGCTAAGAAGTTCTCTGATTTCCATCTCTACCAATTCATGGATTTCTGGATCTTTGGCTAAATCTATCTTATTCACAAACACAATAATAGTCTCCACACCAACTTGACGACATAGAAGCACATGTTCACGTGTTTAAGCCATGCAACCATCTGTGGCTGCTACGACCAAAATGGCAGCATCCATCTTGGCAGCTCCTGTAATCATGTTTTTGACGTAATCAATATGTCCTGGACAATCGACATGACTGTGAGATTAATTATAAGATCAATTATTACCCATAATGTCTAGTTTTGGTTTGATATTCCACTGTAGCACTATTGATGGTGATACCACGAGCCTTCTCTTCAGGAGCCTTATCAATTTTACCATATTCTTGGAACTCAGCTAGTCTATTTCCTTTATGATTTATAATTACTATTATTTAGCCAAGACTTTTGTGATGGCAGAAGTAAGTGTTGTTTTACCATGATCAATATGTCCTATGGTACCAACATTAAGATGGGGCTTGTCTCTGACAAATTTGGCGAAGAGTGCACGAGCAGTATTATTAAGGGTGAAAGGAGCTTGTATGGAGCGAAGAGTGTGGAGCATTCTTTAATTTTAATTACGGTTGAGATTTAAAATAATATAGTCTTTTGTGATAAAGATTTATTTATTTAATTAAAAATGCAGAGATTATAGGGTGCCACACTCAGTTTATGGAGCAGCTTTACTCCAGTACCTCAGTATGCATTCGCCACATTGAATCTGAAATAATTGAAATAGAGAATGAAGTCTGTGGGATCAATTAGAAAGATTACCAAGGCCATGAAGATGGTTGCTGCATCCAAGATGAAGCAGGATGTCCAAAGATTAGAAAATGGAAAGTACTTCGGAGTACGTTCCCTCTAAGATTTATTTGCCCAAGAAACCTATCTCTAGAAGAAGCAATTGACATTTAAGATCAATAAGACTCTGATTGTCCCAATCACATCAGACAAAGGACTTTGCGGTGGCATCAACTCATCAATCATCAGAGAAACCAGAAGCATTGTCAGATAAAATCGTAATGCTTACAAATTATTTTTGATCGGCGAAAAGGTATTCAATATCATTTTTACATTCTAGTCGTTAGGAGCCCTCTAAAGAGGTTTCCCTGAATTGCTCACTCAAGCAATAACAGCCATCTAAACACCGATCAATTTTGTGAATAGTTCTTCCATCGCACATCAGATTCAATTCAATGTCACAGATGATATTGATTAGATTTCCATCATTTTCAATTAATTCAAGAATGTGGTTCAATAAGTTATCAAGCGAGTTGATTTACTCAATAGAAAGAACTTCATTGCTCAATTCAGATTGGTTACTAAATATGATACTGCAGAACCTGAAAAGGAATTCGTCCAGAATTACATGTACGAATACTATGTAGCTACTGCCTTTTATCATGCTATGTTGAATAATTTTGCAAGTGAAACATCTTCTAGAATGAATGCTATGGAAAATGCTTCTAAGAATGCAGGAGAAATGCTTGATAAATTGACTCTTGAATACAATAAGGTTAGATAAGCCAAAATCACAGTAGAATTGTGTGAAATCATTTCAGGAGCCTCAGCCGTCTGAAATAATAAAGACATATATAAATAAAAAAATTAAATATTTATATGGTTATATTCAAACCTTTCTCTATGAGGATTAATAAGGCTTTAAGAAATATTCATAGAATTACAGAAATTAAACATTCTACACAATAGACTAATTATATATATATAATTTAAAAATTAAAATTATGAATAAACTAAGTCCTAAAGAGAAGCGATCAATAAAAACCATATATAGTCTGGCATTCAAATTTGTGGGATATTTATTAATAGGCTTCTTTATGGCTTTGTACATTGGAATCATTTACTCATTCATTTATGACACAATGCTATTATATTATTTAGTTTACAATAATAAACTGCTAGTAGTTGTATTGATGCTGGTTGGATTGATCGAGGGTAATTACTGAATTGATAAATTAGGATTTAATGTGATTTTCAATTATGGGTTGGTGTTAATAGTGTCTCCAGGATTGACATCGGAAATATTTACGAAAAGAGATGACAAAGAGGAGGGTCCATTCATCTATGATCCAATAAGATGCTAATTCAATAAATCATAGTGGGCGATTAAACTGGACCAAAGCACCTTGAAATATTGCGATAAATGTTGTTTGCCAAAACCTTAGAGGGCGCATCATTGCAGTATATGCAACAAATGTGTATTGAAGATGGACCATCATTGTCCTTGGGTTGGGTAGTGTGTCGGACACTAGAACCATCGATACTTTATTTTATTCTTAACTCATATTGCAATAGGGACATTCTACATTTCAATTCTGAACCTGAATTTAGTGATGAGGTATTGGTTTAACTGGAGATAGCAATAAATTTGAGGAGTACAGAGTTCATCAAACAAAAGAATTTTCAATAATATGGCCCTTAAACATTTCATTGTTTTTCATGTTGTCAGCCTTTGCAGGTTGGAACTGGTTTTTGGCAATGAGAGGAGTCACCACTTTAGAATTTTGGGATAAGAATAATGATTTCAGAAAGAGTAAGAGAATATAAAATTTATAATAAATCTTTGGACAGGTGAAAAATTGGATCTAGATCTTGTCACCGAGTGTTAGGGATCTACCATCGAATGGAGTAATTTGGTATGAAACTTAAGTAGAACACTCAAAAATACTAAAGGAATTATAGGAGGAGGACGAAGAAGAAATAATTGGTTGATTTTATAATGAAAGTTAATTAATTTAATTTTTGGAGCCAAAATGGCAGCAAATTAAGATTAGATATTTGATGAACAATCACAAGAAGCCACAATTAATGAAGAGTACAAAATATGGAAGAAGAATGCTCCATTTCTATATGATTTGGCAATCAGTCATCCAGTGGAGTGGCCATCCTTGACTGTGTAGTGGTTGCCAAAGAAGGAAACACCACCAGGCCAGGATTACTCAATTCATAAGTTGATAATCGGAACAAATACTGGGGATAATGAGATGAATTCTTTGATGATTGCTAAAGTACAGAAAACCAATAATATTTAAGGTTCGATTACCAAAAGATTCTGATGTACAATAAGACCCTTCTGAATACAAGTAGAATGAGCCAAGTGGCATAGGCAAGGCTACTGGAGAAAGTAGAATAGAAATCGATGTAAGAATAAACCATGAAGGAGAAGTAAACAGGGCAAGGTACATGCCATAAAAATCAAACATCATTGCCACCTTCACATCTAAAGGAGAAGTCCATATTTTCGATTACATTAAGCATCCATCACAGCCATCCAACAATCTAGTCAAACCTGATTTGAAGTTAGTGGGACATCAAAAAGAAGGGTATCAGATATCAAATTATTATAGATTTGGTATGTCTTGGAATGAATAGAAATTGGGACATCTCTTAACTGGAGATTACGATGGTAAATTATGCATTTGGGATGTTGAAACCAATGCACCAGAACCAAAATAAACATTTTAAGCAAATAATTTATAAATTGAAGATGTCTGTTGGCACAGATTTCATCCAGAAATCTTTGGTTCATGTGGAGATGATAGACATGTGAGAATGTAAGAATCATCATTTAATTTATAGTTGGGATACTCGTAAACCATCACCATTGAGTGATATTCAAACCCATGCAGGGGATGTCTATTGCTTAGATTTTAATCATTTTAATGAATTCTGTTTTATTACTGGGTCAGAAGACAAGAGAATCAATCTTTTCGATATGAGAAACACTGAAAAACCATTTCATACTTTTGAAAGTCATGGTGATTAGATCTTATCTTTGAAATGGTCACCACACAATATGAGAATATTTGCCAGCAGTTCAGCTGACAGAAGGTGTATGATTTGGGATTTCGGAAGATGTGGAAGAGCTCAAACACCAGAGGAAGCTCAAGATGGACCTCCTGAATTGTTGGTAATTCTACTATTAATTCAATTTAGTTTGTCCATGGAGGACACAGATCTAAGGTTTGTGATTTAGATTGGAATCTTAATGAAAAATATATCATTTCTAGTGTCGAAGATAATAATATTTTGTAAGTTTGGTAATTGGGAGCGCATATTTATTAAGAATGATTTTATATATATATCAGTATTATTATTAAATTTTTTGCTGTTAAACCAATCTGCCTGTTGGGGGTTTTTGATCTAAGGGATTTAAATTTGAAACTAAATAATAATATTTGCATGAATACTTTTCTTAACTAAAGGAGGAGTAATTTAAGACGTATTTTAATTATTGTTTTAATTATTATTAATAACTATTGGCTCACATTAATTATTAAAATTTTGGACTTGGTTCCCTCTATTATCAATAGGATTTAATATAATCTTCTAATTGACTCTTTTTTATTACTATTATTATTATAGTAACTCATCTTTTTAAGTTTTATTTGATTTTCCTTCATAAATTTCTAGAAGCTGCTAATTCAGTTTAGTCTTCTCTACTATGCTCATTCCCTTATTATCATTGTTTCCATTCATTCTTGGTTATGATTCCCCTACATTGATTATGTAATTATACCTTTCCTCTGTCTGCCAGGTGATGCAATTCTAGTGTTTTCTACATCTCTATAGCTTGATGGTAATGGTCTGTGATGGATTTCAACTTGCCTCTCTTATTTTTCTACATCGATCAGATCCATGGCTTTCTAATAAGGCAGATTTGGAAAGTTGACCTTCTTAGCTTTGATGTTAAATGGAGGTATTTTGTATTCTTCCACATCATCATTCCATTCACAACAATTAGTAATTTTTTCTATGTCTTCTTATAATAGAATCATCCTCAAAATTCCAGAAAACAATTTAATTTCCTTTGATTATGATCTAATGGTATCCAAAAACTCTTCCTTGTCATATTCAAAGTCTTATTTCATTTCATTTTATTCTTATTGTTGCTATTCGTATTTATTTTTCAAATACTTAACTTGTTTTCTTAATTTTTCTACTTCATCCTGTACACTATTATATTTATATTCAATCTCAAGCATTTCCTTTTCCTTCTACTCCTATTGAATTTTCAATTGTTCATGATCTTTCTTCTATTGTTCTATAGCCAATTGCATTTTCTTATATTTTTTTTTATCATCATCTGTTCCCTTCCCACCCTTAATCATCATCTACTCCTTCTCCTTCAACAATTCTTCCAATCTCTACCTTGCCAATCTCTCTTATTCAGCCTATTCACTTTTTTCCTTCATCTCATTCTCATATCTCTATTTCTCCTATAGTAATTAATTATTAATCTCTTTGAATTGATTTATTTGTTCATGATGACTATTATCAACATTGTTTAATCTTCCATTATTATCCACTTTCTGTCGATCCCCAGTGTCCTAGTTCTATTTAAGCAATAGTTCTCTTAGTTTCTTAATTTCTTCAGCCTATTCCTTTAACATAGCATCTTTAGGATCTTCATTTACTTTTGGTTGATTCTTAATCATCTTGGCTCTAGATGCATATCTTAGACTTGACAATGTCTCATCATAATTAAAATCAGAAGGAGAGATGGCAGCAATCATTATTGTCTTAGTATTACCACCTAATGAATCCTACAATAATCTTGTTAGTTTAGAATCTCTGTAAGGAATGTGTTGTGTTTTACCATCAACCAAAGCTGAAATCACATTCCCTAAGGCAGACAATGACAAATTAATTTTGGTAGCTTCTTTCAACCTATCTCCAGTAGCCTAAGTTTTAGATTGTCTCTCACTTCCTGCCAGATCTACTAAGTTCAGTTTACCAGCAGTAATGCGTTCATTTCCCTTGTCATCAGTCATTGAACATTCAATGTATACAGTAAAAATACAATGACTCCTACTTGATTCCTTATTCATGGCTGTTGCCCCTACTGATCGATTCTACGCTCCTAATGTCATGAATTTATCCATGTCTTATAATGTTTTCACAATGGGAATATTCAAATCCTTAACATAAACTCCTTATTGTCCTTCTTTTAATTCATATCTCTATTTAACATCCTTACTCAATAAATCATGTATTTCTTCATTGTAAATTTCAATGTATGAACACCTCAACAAGAACTTCTTATTGGAATCTGAATTGTTGTTGATGATGCTGATTATCTATTCAAATGTTCTTGGTATTATGCCTTTCATGTTATCCTAAGATTTATGTGATTGAATATACATTTAATGGATCTCCAATCATTGTGAACGTTTTACCACAACCTAAATGATTATACATTTTGCATACCAGTTTAACCATAAGCAAAGATGGTTCCGTTGTACCCCTCCGCTACGGATTCCACCAAATTAAATGCAGTTTATTAATATATCTAAAGTTGAGGTGTTTCTGGCCCGAATACATAATCATAAGTGAATTGTTTTGAATCGCTTTCCGAGCTCTAGTAATACAATAAATTTGTATTCATACTCTAAAGAGTTCTACAGAATTTGTACTTTCATTAGCATTTACACATAGTTTGCTACCATTATCTCGTTCTTTCTAGTTAAATGGTCTGACTCTAACTATAACCTTCACACATTCAGCTGGCATAATAATATTGTTATAACGATTGTAAAATTAATTAAAATAATAATGTACCCTTAATAGTCTTCTTTAGCAAGATTGCACAGAGAATATCGTCTGATACCAGTAGGGATTTATTCTCCACAAAAGGAGAACTTGTAGAGATTACTGCCTCGATATCCTGAGAGTGTTGATGTAGCATCGAATAGTAGTAAGTTTTAAGGGAATGTATCATTGCCTGCTTTACCTCCTATGAAAAAGTTGAGCAGGGTTGAGTAGACAGTCCAGATTTACAAGGGGAAAGCCAACAAATTGCCCTCTCTTCAATTAAGTGATCAACAAATACAGAGGAAAAAATAAATATCGGAGACTGATGGGATGAGAAAATCAATCACGCCAGAGAGGAGACAAGGAAAAAGAAATTCAGTTTAAATTGCAACGAGAACTAAGGCTGGATGTTAGCCAAACAAAGCAACAAAAATTAATTAAGATGCAACTATTTTGAGTCCAAAGAACTTAGAAAAGTTTTAAAATGTTCTTATTTCTAGTATGGGCTATAAGTTCTTTGCCGTCTGTGATGGACATGGCTAATATGGTCACATGGTTTCCAATTAAATCAGGTAACAATTGCCCAAACATCTTGGAAGACTATTGAAAGAAGCAGGCGATTTAGAAATCCAGATCTCCAAGGCTTTCGCAATTACTAACAAGGAATTGTGTAATTCAGAAATTGATACTAATCTATCTGGATCTACGACAGTCTCTTTGCTAATCACAAAAGATTAAGTATATAATTGATATGAAATAGATCTACTCTGCAAATGTTGGCGATTCTAGAGCCATTATGTGTAGGTTTGATGATGGATGGAAGGTCGTGGAATTAAGTAGAGATCATAAGCCAGATGATCCACAAGAAAAAGTTAGGATTCTGGATGCAGGTGGAAGAGTTGAATAATAAAAGGGTTGTCAATCTATTTTTATATTTGTAGATTTCCATGGAAATGGAATAGGACCATACAGAGTTTGGTTGTCTTATATCCAAGCTCCTGGTTTGGCGATGACCAGGTCCTTTGGAGACAAAGTTGGTGTTTAAGCTGGAGTCATCGCTGAACCTGAAATCAAACGGTTCTCTATTAGTGCACAGGATCAATTCATCGTCATTGCATCGGACGGAGTGTGGGAGTATATGAGTAATGAAGAGGTACATACCGAATCAATTAGGTGATGAGTATTGTGATTCCATTTTTGGAAAAGGACAGCCCTGACCAAGCAGCTGAGCGTATTATAATTGAAGCCACGTAGGCATGGAGAAGAGTAATAGTATTATGCTTATTTCAAGAACAGTTTAGCAAGGGACGATATTACTTGTATAGTTATATTCTTATAAAAATGAAAATTTTAATTAATCACAAAATATCAAAGTATCAATGTCTTAAGATCTTTTCCCTAATGAACCAAATCTTAATACTGCTAATGATGTTGAATCATACATAAAAACACTTTTGCAATATCAGGATTCTTGTGAAAAATCTGCAGAATACATGTAGGCAGACGCTGCCCAAAAAAGAATAGTGGAGTTGAAGAAACAATTGGTTTAAAGAAGGAGAAAAGAAATGCAATAAGCTCATTATTAATAGGAGCAAGAAATTGAAAGAGCTCATCTTGAAGAATTTGATCAATTCAACCGATTCTGGGATGAGAAGATGTAAAAATTTAATGATGAAGCTTCAGCAGTGGAATAGGAATTATTAAACAAATAATAAAATGAATTTAATAAAGTCTCTGAAGAATTAGAAAGAACTATTCCTTCAAAGCCAAAAGAATCTTCTGATGTTCTCAATCTCAAAAAAAGAGAAGAATATTTGGCCAAACAAAAGAAGTATCCATTTTCTTAATTTTTTGTTATGTTGAGGCTTAGAGAATTAAAGAACAGAGAGTCTAAATTGAAGACGTTGACTATTAGAGATACTAAATAGAAAGAACAAACAAAATAAACACTTAGTTGAAACAATTAAAAATGAGATACAGAAATGAAATCAACGCTCTGCAATAAAGAATCAAAGGAGGTTAAGATGAACAGAAGAAAAATCGTACTCTCGAACTCGAAAAGTACAGTTACATATTTTATCAATTAGATTGCTATAAAAATATCAAAACATCAAAAAAGAACTGGAAATCAAACAAAAGATGGACAAGTTAGCATTTGAAGGATAATTCACTAACAAAGGTAGTTCCAATCAAAGCGTTTATATGAGTTAAATGTGATTTGTAAATTCATAAAGAAAATTATAAATAGCATTTTTCTAATTATTTATATATTAATTTTAAATAAAATTCAACAAAATGACAGACACAGGTTTTGAATGCTCTCTTTGTATGAAATTAGCCATCAAAGCTTAAATATGTGAAAAGTGTGGTTCTATGTACTGCAAGGTCTGCCTCCAGGAAATATTTGGGAAAAACTATGAATGTGTTTAATGCCAATCAATCTAGTTTAGATCTATTAAGAAGTCTGCTTTAAAAGAAGCTTATAATGAAATTCTCACTAAATCATAGTTAGTCCAAGCCAAAAAGGTTGAGTATGCCCCTCTCAAGTAAGTCAAGTAGGCGATAGTAGATTAACCAATGCAGCAAATACTAATATAAGCCAATTGTCTAAACTTTGAGATTTGCCACCAAAGCATTAATTAATAATTCATAAATGAAAAAGTATGTAGTCTGGAATGTTTATATTTCTGTAAATTATTTCCATTTGTCGAATAAAAAGATTTTGCAAGGATTAGAAAAGAAATTATTAATTTAGAATAATCTATTAAAAATAAAGAAGTAATACCAATTTTTCCAAAGATGCCTTAGTCTCTCGCATTTAGTTAAACTGGGCTTACTAACTTTAATTTTGATAAATGCGGTCAAGGAATCGTAATTAAGCAATCTGTCATTACATTACAAGAAGAAGATTACACTTTTAAAACTGTAACTAGTTCTGTAGGGTTCTAAAAAGGAATTCATTTTTGGAAAATTATTCCTCTGGCTATGACTAAAAATGAAATGAAAATTGGAGTTTCAACATCTGACAAATATGAGCTCAAAACAGCTTTTTCTGACTACAATTTCGGATATGCTTATTATACTGTAGGCTAATTTAGAAATGGAAGCAATGCGAATGTGATAATTGTATTTAAATTAGGGTTTTGAATATGGAGAAAAATTTAAAAACAGTGGTGAAGTTGGAATACTCCTCGATATGAATAGAGGAGTTCTGGCATTTTCATACAATGGCTATTTCTTGGGCAAAGCCATCTCCTCAGATTTACTTAAAAAAGGTCCTATCTATCCTTGTGTTGCCTTACTTCATCAAGCTGGGTTTGAATATAAATGTGGAATACCAATTCCGTAGAATCTACTTGAATAGTTTTTAAAATGAATCCTATTATATATAGAATTAATTCATTTAATTAATTAAGTCAAATACTATATTTAAATGGAATCCAAAGGATGATTATCCTTGCTCAATTTGGCCTTATTTTTCACAAAAACCCTACTTGGAGACTGGAATGTCTTATCTAATTGCAGAGTTAAATTAGATGATTGTCTCGAATTAGTAGTTTTCGGAGAAGGTAATCCTAAAATAAATTTAATTCAAAACTTGATGCTACGCTACATAATATTGCTTATTGATCCTTAAACAGTTATTGGAACTACTCATTATATTGCTTTTAAAAGAAATTGGCCTTCTGTTTAATCACATTGATCAAATTATCCAACTAGGATTATGATTCTCCATAAGCCTTCTCACACAACTTGTAATACAGTCCTTGTATAGTAATATTAATGTCAGATGATAAATCATCAGGAGAAATATAATAGCAAATGTAAGAAATTATTTGTACAAAGAAGTTCATCCAATTCTATTCTTCTTTCATCATTTAACTAGAATAATATAATGAGGATTACTTTTTTAATTCTTTTATTTTATATTGGATTGTATCTTTAAGTTTATCATTTTCAGTCTGCAACCTCCGAGTCTCAGTGCTAATAGAGTGTTAACTATTGCTATTCACTAGTTTTGGCATTTCTTATTATAATTTTTACATATCCTAGACTAGATTTGAAAACTACTACTCTTTAAATTCTAAGATCTGATTAACATCCTATAATTTAGTTTGTAGCAGATTATTTATGTTCTCTAATTCAATGATATACATTTCTTATTCATGTAAATCTAGTTATGTTTATTACAATTAAGTGGCTATTGAGGATTTCTCCTCCTGTAATTCTTTGATGAATGATCTTAATTCCATTTCAGTACTCTATTATCTATCATAGAGAGTGGAAAGCTTTTGTAGGTTTTTAACATTTTCTTCATGATAATCTTAGGGTTAATATTCATATTATGACTCATTGTGAATACTTTGATCTCCATTCATACCAATTATATCTTTAATTATTTGATATAGCTAAACTTGCTAAGGATTAGCTGAGCTCTTAATTTATAACTATCTTGAAGTGTAATACTCTTATAACTATTCTATTCTGCTTTCTAAATAATCATTTTCCAATTGTAATTCAACTATTTGTTTTTTCTATATTTTATTTTCCTTATTCATATCTTCCAATTGTAGTTTACTTTAAAAAGCTAAATGCTACGATTTTTTTTTGATTGTTTTAGTTTTCTCTCTCTCCTATTTCAAGAGGGTTGAAGTTGTTGAAATGAAGCTTTGCTGTAATTTATCTATTGTTTCTAAGAAATTCTTTTTGGATCCCTCCAAATTCTAGTTTCATTTATTAATATAAAATACTTTTCTAATTAGATTAATATCCAAACAATATTGTTCAATTATAAATTGATTTTGGTTTTTTGTATTTCTTTCCTTGTTTATCAACAGATTCAAAATTTTAGCATACAAAAACTAATCATCTTTGTTCTCTGCAAGTAATTCTAATCTAACCCCATTTTTTGCTTCTATTGCTAAAAAACAATCTTATTCAGCATTTGGAGGTAAAACAAAGTTCTTTTTAATCAATTTGTATCTTCTTTTAATAGATATCTTTACTTATTGTAATTCGTATGAATCTGTATTATGGAATCTATGGGGATAGTTTATTTGGCAGATGGAAATTTGGAAGTTTTTGATTTCCAACAAATCGAATCCAAAAACGAACAATAAAAGATCGTTCTTTAATCCCATTTCTTACAATTAGAACGGGAAAACTTAATGAATTATGTACCCTTCATCAGTTGTTAAAACTCTCTAAATTTGGCTTCGGTTTTTTACTGCAAATTCATACAAACATCGAATTGAGTCGCAATCTAAACTATTTAATTGTCAATATCTTTTATTTCTATTGATAATTCATAAATTGAACCTTTCTCAAGTTTTTAGACAATCAAATTATCAATCTTATATGCTTATTGCCATTATCGCAAATCGTGTTCCAAAGATTGTTCTAGAATACTACTACGATCCAAACACTAGGAGTCAATTGAAAAATCATTCACAACTTTGATTTCTGATATTTTAGATATTTCTCAAATTATTCTTAATTTAATACTCTAATCCGAAGTCTGTGATTTAGTATGGGTGGAATCTATGACTGTGTCCTCCTTGTATCTAATTGCTTGATGTCGATATAAATTGTGCTACTTGTTAGGACATCTCTGTTAATTCATCTTTAAATTTTGAATTTAACGAATATTATTGACTATACTCGATTAAAATATGAACAATTAAGATCAAAAAGTGTACAAATGATGGAAACAAATGACATTTATTTAGAGATCACCATAAGTCTACACTAATGGTAATCTAAAAACAATAGAAAAAATGATAAATGATATTTTTATGATAGATTTCAATGTAAATAATCAACATTTTTTAGATATTTCATGTAGCTGCCAACATCAAAATTTGAGGATGTTTGATTCATTGAGGAATTTTAAGTTGTATTAAAAGGGATCTTTTAAGCAGATCTAGGCTTTTCCATTTTAGTTTTCTAACCTAGTCGAATTGGCATTGGTGGTGCTGTCGTTTAAGAGAAACCTTATAGAGAATTTTAAGTAATTTCTTATCTTAAATGAGATAATGTTTTATGCATCATATTCAATTGACTCTTTTCTTACTCAATTTAAATTTTATCCTATTAATTCATTGTTAATTGTTAAGTTAATTCAATCTTCTACTTTTGAATTTACTCTTTTTCTTATTGATGTATTTGTCTAAACTCTTAAACATTTGAGATTTCTTATTAGTAAAGTTTCTCCTTCTCATTAATTTCTTTCAATTTATCCAATAATAATTATCTTTCATTTTCAACCAAATTCAATTTCCTTGAATATTCAGCATGCAAACTGTTAACTTAATTATTTTTCATATCCAAATCTCTTTGTTAATTTATCAATTGCATTTCTTTAGCAGCAACCTTTTGCTATTACTTTTCAATATCTGCATACCTTTATTAAATAATTTCATTATTCTTCTAAGTAAAATCAGAATATTCCAATTTTTACTATTCAAAAATCTATCTATCTGCCTCCAATTATCTTAATTTACTCTAAGCTTAAGAATTCAACTCATGTTTTTATACATCAAATTCATTTCTATCTTAATGATCAAAATAATTACTTTTATCTTTATAATAATAGATTCTCTTGTTCCAATCTTTTCTTCGTTTCCAACTCCAAATTTCTCAATGAATCTTTGATATCCTATAATAACTGTTTCTCACTTTATAACGACTTCTTCTCTCCATCAATAGATGCTTAAAATAATTATTCTCTTCTGCTGAGATCATCTTATAGGTTTTGCAATCTTCTCTTTTCATTTTCTAAATATGACTTTTCTTTTTCTAATTAAGATTCCTTGTCTTAAATTTCTAGTTTTTTGGTATCCAATTATTTAATTTTCTCTTATGTCTATTATTCATGCTTTTAATATAATTAATTCTTTAATAATTCCAATTCTTTTGCACTGACATTTATTTTCTCTGCCAAATTGTCAAGTTGCTTTTATTCTCCTAATTGCTATTTGATGAGTTCATTCTAAGATTAAATAGATATTTAAATTTACTTCTAATTTGGCTGTGTCAAGAATTCTTTATTTTTCTCTTTCGAATTCCGATTTGAGGTAATCCTTCTCCTTTATGAATTATTTCTCAAGATCTAATTTATCTTAGAGCAATCTGGTTCTCTCCCTTTTTTCAATGTCTAATTCATCTTATAGTTTATTTTTCTCATTCTTAATTTACTATATCTCTTGGTTCAATTTATCTCGATCTTATTTTAATGATTATATTTCATCTTATAATTTTGTTAAATTTGCATTATTGATATTATTATTATTATTAGTATTGATTATTTGATTGTTATTGATATTGAATCCAATATCTGGTTACTTATTTTATTTATTTGAATAATCTGATTGTATTGATTATTTTTCAATTTCAGATTATTGATTATAATTAAAAACAGGGTCTTGACTCAAGTCCATTCCACTTTTTTAGGGTTGCCCCTTATTTTGTGAAAGCATTCTCATCTTACCTCTTCTGCTCTGAGTCTATTGAAAATCACTGGTAGCGTTGGTCGAATCATCAATTGGTTGGATTGGCAGTTAATCTTTGGCTACATTTGGTTTTGGCAATTAAAATAGATCAGCCATCTTCTGTTTTTTTGATTCGTCTATGATAGCAGTTTAAGGTCTTTAGCGAGAAGCATAGGTCTATTGTTTATCGAGTGGAGAATCTGATGATTTTAAAATACTATCAAATTCATATGGATCATTTGAAATTTTTTGTGTCTCTAATTTCCTTCATTAAATAATTCTATTTACGGTGGATCCACAAATGACCTTCTACTTCTATCTCTTGAATTCGAAGGCTTATACTGATTGTCCAGAACTATCTCATCTAATAATTCATCGATATCCATATAAATATTAATTAAAAATATTCAGATTTGTTTTAACTGGTTTCTAATTTTATTTGATTGTTCCAATATCATGTTATATTTCTCATTCATTCGTTGTAACCGTTCTACTATTAATACGAATTCCTTACAATTTAAATCCTCCTTTGAATTCTGCAATCCGTCCTTCTTGACAACCCTCTCCTCCTGCGATTAAGATCGAGTGGGCACCTTGATTGGATGAGTGACTTTGGTCTACTTTGGTGAAGTCAAAGGAGTAAACTTTGAACTTTAGGAAGTATTCAATTTTCTGCTTGTATTGCTATTAAGTTATGGCTTGAAAGTGCATTATTCCATCTCCTTACGTTACTTCTCTTTATCTGCTACCTTTTTCATCTATTGTCTTTTCTCATATGTAGATTTCAGATCATCTTTTTAGGTAGGATTTTATTTCATTTTCTAACCTCTGGGGGAAATATTAATTGATTATACTAGAGATTATTACTTTTTCTCTTTCTCTCTTACTATTTCTTTATCTAATTAAGCAATTTCAGTCAGCAACTACTACTTTTTGCTTTACAATTACTAATGAAAGGATTGCTAGAGGAAATCTGAACTATTTAGTTAGGATTATTTGGTACTCTTATTGGAATTATTATTTTCAATTATTTTATTTACTTTCGGATGAGGCTTAGGGACAGTCTGTATTGGCTAATCTATTGACTTTCTTCTAAATGTTTGGGATGTTCTTGAAATATCTATCTATTAAGATTAAGCAGTTGAATAGTCTAATTATTATTTCTTTAAGGCACTTTTCAAAGTAGATTTATTTGTATCAACCCTCTTTTTAGCTTTAAATTTTCCACTGTTTTTGCTTCTCTTTATTTATTCCTTTATTATTTTTTATCTTTCACAATATGCTTTCTCTGCTTCTTCGGGAGGCATTTAACTATAGGTGTAAGTTTTATGTGTCTTCTCCTCTTCTATAATTGGAGCATTTTTTACAGTTGAGTAAGAATTTCCCACATTAAATAATGCACTATCAGAGTAGATGTTGATTAATTTTGAAGGCGATTGCTCATTCTCATCAAGAGATTTGAGTGGAGAGTTACCAACCATAAAGTTCTGTGTTTAAGAGTTAGACAGATTCTTCTTTTTGAATGTCAATGCTGATCCGTTTGTAAAGGCTGAACTAGCAACTTTAATCAACGGAGAAGCAGACATTTGAATTAATTAATTTAATTTTTATATATACAAATTTATCACCCTTATTTTTAAGAAAGACTAATATGCTGGTAATGAGTCTTAGCTATTCCTCCAGAGAAGATTTAATATTTTGATTTAAATTTATTAAGTATATAATTATTCAATATGTAAATTGATCAAGGAAGCATTTTATAATAAACTTAATCAAACTCTGAAAAGGAATAATCAATAATACAAACATTGTTAGAGCAATAAAATGAGTAAGATCATATTCAGATTTAGTAAAGTATATAACATCCAACATTGATTCAATAGGATGATAGTAATCAAAAAATAATTAATAGTTTAAAATCTAAAAATTAGATATTCCAACTAATCTAAACATTTATGGATTAAATTAAATTAAACCAGAACTGAAGCTAAGAACGTTTTATAGGATTTAGCTTTTGCTCTTTGTGAACCGAGTATACCAAATAATAGCATTGTTCAATTTACATTTAAAACAGGAGAGTTTGCTGGAGTTATCATAGGAATATGTGAACAAAAGAACTTTAATTGTTGTACTATTAGTCCCTAAGGTTGCATATTAATTAAACTATTTTAGACGCATATCTACTAAATGATAATGGATAAGCAAGTCTTAATTTTGATGAGGATGACGAGTCTGAATAAATCAAAAGTGAATTTGAATGGGGATGCAATGAAATTATCAATGTTCAAGTAGATACTAAAATAGGGAAAATGAAATGGATTAAAGTGAGAACTTAAGAATCATATGTACAATATTATTAATTTTAGATAGTTGATATAGACCCCACAAAATGCTATTTTCCATTTGTTGGTTTAAATATGTAAAGCAGCATCTAGATACTGGATTAGACTTGATGTAGAATATTAATAAATACAAAAAATAGAATTACACATTTCAAGGTTCAGCAAATAATCTTTACTTTTCCTATGATTTTACAGGGTAATAATAAGCTGGCTGTCTTTTTTTGGTTTAATATTTCACATCAAAATACTTTTTTTTAATAAAATATGTTATTCCTAAACAAATAAATCCAATAATTAAGTATGAGTATTTAATGCCACCATCAGCCTATTTTTCGATGGTGGTTGTTTTGGGTTTATTGATTTGAGGTTTTATAGGTTCTGTATATGTTGGTATGTCACTAACTCTCCCTTGTTTGATATTAATATTATCTTTTTGAGTCACTTAATCTTCTTCAGAACATTTTGTTTCTATTGGTCCCAAATAAACACTAAATAATGATATGAAATATACCCATCTTAACATTCATCTCCTGAGATCTTCCTATATCCTTAACTTTTAAGGTATGTCCCCTTACATGCTTTTGGTTTGATTTCTTTCATAGGTACACAATTCGAATATATGTCTCTCTTATACCCCACATCACATTCCCAATCAGCTTTGGTGCATGGACAATTTTCAGTTTGAACTGGTAGATTTGGCAACTTATTATAACATTATGAGCTTCTCTTCCTTCTAATGTACTTTTCTTTTTATCCAAATAAACATTTATCCCCTGCATAATTTGAAGGATACCAAAACTCATAATCTGAATCTTATTCACCTGGTCTATCAAACCCTTAGCATTCTCTAACCATGATTTAATTGATATCTAAAGATACAACAACTCCTTTAAGAGCATTTGATGTAAAATCATCTTCTTTTGCAACTCCAAGTGTTTTACTATCTTGAATTCCATGGAATAAGAATTTGCCATTCTTATAGACCACATTAGTGATATCAAAAGTGGCATTCATCTTAAGTCTTTAGAATGTCAAACCTTCATCCCAAGTGTATAATATTTCATTTGCTTATTCTTCATCACTCACAAATACAATGACTCCTGTGTTTTCAGCAATGTCATAAATGTGCATTCCATCAAGTATTTCAAACCAAGTGTGACCACCATCTCTTGAGAGGTATGTTTTATATTCGTTTCCCAAATAAATCCCTGTATTACCTGTGCCTATGGCAATGTAGGAATGACTTATTATTCTATTACGAGGCGCTTCACTTCTTCCAAGGAGATGCAAGGAACAGTCCCCATTGCATTATATAGGTTAGCCCCTGTAATCATATTTAGGAGCTTTAAGAGCATGCCATTCACCTCCTTACTCAAATGTAATTCTTGTTTGCTTGTAGTTTTCCAATCTCTTGATTCCATCGGTGTTCTTAGTTGATCTTCTCATCTTGAATTTCTCAAATTCAGAATTGTCATAAATATTGGCTATGTAGGTTCCTCTTATGATAGGTTCGAAATCACAGTTTCCTGTATCCAAACTTCTTACATTGTTCATGAGTGACAACGTATATTTTGTGCCAGTGCTGTCACTCAAATAGATGTTCATAATTTTAGGCATGTCTTCTATATGAGAAATGGAAATGAATATGGATCCATTGACAGTGTCCAGGACAGTGAAGGTGTACTTTTAATGATCCTCTACTGGCAACACCAATTCCACAGGAGTCAGAGTGCCTTGTTTAATAACTTCTAAATCATAGCCCTTACTAAAAGAGTCAGCATCAATCAAAATGAAGAGATACTCTTTTGTCTGATAAAACCCGTAGGAATTATTTCTGAGCAATTTAAATGTATTGAAGTAATCGTCACTATAACTTACTTATAATTGACCTTTATCGTTGAGATAGGATGCAACAATTCTAGAATCAGGAATCTCCGGTAATTCTATCAATTTATCCCATATTGCATCTCTGGTTCTATTCAGTACCATCCTCCAATTTGCTCCATAATCATTACTTACATAAATCTATTTCTTGTATTTATCTTTACACAAGGTCGTTGAGGAATTACATCTGAAATCTTTGAAAGCCATCAGACTATGTGCTTCCAAAGAATTTAGTTTGAAATCATGCAAGGTCTTATCATGTTTAAATTTCGTGTACGTTTTTCCGCAATTTTAAGAGACATAGGAAGTATCGAAATCTCCAATGAAATAAACCACTTAGGCATCTGCTTCAGATTGTAGGATTTCTCTTATGGTAAACTATATAAATCATCTGAGATGAGATTACATTGCTAATGAATTTGGGCATTTCAGATGTAAAATTTTTATAGAGCATACCCTTGGCTGTTAGGATGAAGGTTTCAGACTTGCACCATACGACCTACTCAAGCGGAGAATCCAAAATCTTCTGTGATAACACCACTTGTAGCAATAATAATGTTAACATAATTAAATTATAAACTAGAGAGTCTAATATCTTTTATAGATCAATATATTAATCTTAAATGATGAGTTCTAAGGCTGGTGTCGATTATGTGTTAAGAAATCAGAGTAGATTTCAACGTGCCAATCAAAGAAGGCAAAGTGGAGAATGCTACCAAATCAAAGGAGCTATTCCAACAATCAAGAAGATCCTTGAATAGAATCCAAAGTATGTTACATTGATGTCACACATACGGAGACCAGATGGAAAGAGGTATTCAATATGAATATATTTTAGAGTTGAAAGATTTCTCCCTCAAAATAGTTGTTCCTAAGTTTGAAGAGTTACTGGGCATTAAAGTTAACTTCGTAAACAATTGTGTAGGTTCACAAGCCGCTGAAGCTGTAAATGCTGGAAATGTTAAATCAATTTATTAGAAAATCTGAGATTTCATATTTAGGAGGAAGGAGAAGGCCGTGATGCAAATGCAGCTTGGATCAAAACTGACAAATAGGGTGTTAAGTAATTTAGAAAGGAATTATCTGCCTTAGGAGATATTTATGTAAATGATGCATTTACTACTGCACATAGAGCACACTCCTATATGGTTGGAATAGATCATAAAGTTAGAGTGGCTGATTATTGATGAAGAAGGAGCTCGAATATTTTTTGAAGGCCTTGGAAACACTTCAAAGACCATTCGTTGTTATGTTAGGATGTGCTAAAGTTGCTGATAAAATCCAGTTACTTGAATCTATGATTGATAAAGTAGATGAGATGATCATTTGAAGAGGCATGGCATTTACATTCTTACTAAAATATCTCAATATTCCTAATGGAAAAAGTCCGCTTTGATGATGTATATAATTTTGTGGATGGCATACTCACTAAAGCTAAGGAAAGAATCTTAAAAATTCGTGTTCCAGTCGATTACTTAAATGATGGATGGTTTGGTAAAGTTGAAGGTTCATTGACAAAAAGAGAAAATGTTGAGGTCTTTGGAAGAGCTAAAACAAGTTTATATTTTGTGGATTTAATTTTCAGTTGTTTGGAATTGACAATAAAGAGATCTCGAATTTTAGTAAGTCAAGGATGGTTCTTTGGGCATTTTGAATGCCTTGGTTAAATAGACATCAAGTGGTGCTACAACCATAGTTGCTGATATTGTCGATATAGTTGACTCCTATTAGGCTAATGATAAACTCAATTATGTTTCAACTGGTAGTGCTTCTTTGGAATTGTTGGAAGGAAAGATTTTACCAGGTGTTGAATATTTGACCAATATCAAAGATTTATAATATATGATTCTTATAACACAATTTAATATCATTAATATTTTAAATGGATAAGCAATTGCTATAACAAATCGACCTCATTATGCAAGATAGTGTTTAAGGTGCCTTGATTGTTGATTAGTTTGGATTCCCCTTAGCCAATAAATCAATCAATCCTCAATTAAGCCAATATGTTAAAAGTATAGCAGATTGTGCCACAGCTTTAAAAGACTAAGTACCTATCATTGCCATAGAGACTGGCGAATAAAAAACATATGTTATCAAACCAGGATCTAAATTTAGTCTATGCTTGCTAGCTTGAATAATATATATAAAATATAAATGTCATTTGTTTATCGTTCTCGTAATCAAAGTTAAATTTTGGATCCTTCCCCAGGTCCAGGTTCCTATGAATTGGATAGGAAGTGGGAGAGAATGAGCACTCAAATACCCTCTTTGCCTTTGGTTGATATCCCCAGAAAGTTAAGTCCTGGACCAGGGGCATATGATTATAAAGGATCATCTCAAAACAGCCAAGCCGCAAGTGCAGTCTTCAAAAACGAAGAAGAAAGATTCAAAGATGAGAAATGTGGCTTAGTTGGGTATTAGTATCATCCTATAATATAGTCCAGGATATTATGATATTGCAATGTTATAAAAACATAAATACCCACAATCTCATCGCCCAAAAGTCATTGAATAGTTAATGTATGCAGGAACCTATCAAACCGCAAACTCAATACCTTATGAAAGTATTTTTACTCATAAATTAAGAGAGATAATAAGCCAACGTTGGACCTGGTTATTATGACACTCAGCTCTCTCAACTAAATAAACATGCCAGCTTAGTAAGTAATTGGTCGAGGAAATCCTCCAAACATGAAGAAGCAGAGAATTCCATTGGTCCTGGACATTACGATGTTGATAGATTTTATAGGTATAGAGATAGAAAAGTTGGATAATAAGTAAAGTTTTCGGCCTCATAAGAACCTAAATTCTACGTTAAAAAGGGCCTTGATAATAAAATCTATTACAGTTTCTAAAAGTCTTCCACTCCTGACTCTGATTCCTCATAATACGAATACTTAGATGATTCAACTCCTGGCCCAGGTTATTATCAAACCTAATCAACTGCCATCTCTACAGGAGCCAAACTATTAACCAAAGCCCCAAGATTTGCACTTAAAAACCAAAATATTCCTGGACCTGGTCAATATAATCCAGCTATGATCTCTATTAGTTAATAAGTTGAATTTCCTAAAGCAGAGAGATTCAAACAGAATTCCAACTCTGTTTCACCCAGTCCAGTGACCTATTCCCCTAAAACTTCCATGAAGGATAAGATCGTCTAAAAATTGATTCAAAGTCCTAATTAAGAGGTTGGCAGTAGATTGCCAAGATTTTGTAAGAAAAAACCAAAGAACACTCCTGGACCTGGATATTATTATAGTGAAGCCAACAAAACAGAGAAAAAAGAAATTTCGTCAAGTCCATTCAAAAGTAAAGTTAAAAGAACTTCATTGACATCCACTGAAGATGTACCACCTCCAGGATTTTATGATACATCACTAGGAACCATTTAGGAGAAATTGAAGAGTCAAATTGAATACAACTTGGAACAATTGATTGACAAACCACCATTTGGAATAGGGGAAGAGAGATGGAAGCAAGCAATCATAGAGGAATCCGAAGATGAAAGGATTGAAAGAACTTCAAATTATAGGAAACCAATGTCTAAAGATCCACCTGCATTTGGCTAAGGACAATAAAGATTTCAACATCAGATTAATGAATCTCCAGATCCATTATCATATAATATATAGCTCTAATGGGTTAAAAAGAGCTTCAATTTTTAGTAAATTAAAAAGTGACTTTAATTACTTATGTTTGTATTCCATTTTCGATTATGAATAGATATATATACTATTTTAGAGACTTATTTAATCTTATACTTTCTATAATTGGTTTAATTAATTAATTAAATGTAATCCAAAACTAATCAGTATTAATTTATTTCTTTTATTAAAATAATATACATATCCAATGAATGCATAATTAGAATTAACTATGCTAAATGAAAACAGAAACCAATAAAAAGCCAAAATTACTTAATTGTTTATTGAACTGTAACAGTTACAATAAAAGTATTTGCTAATCTCAGGTAAAAACATTCAAGCCCAAAATTCAACATTGTCTTAAAATTAAAATTTGATTGTTCAATACAAGAAAACTGGAAATTTGTTTTCAAAATTTAGAACTGAAATAATTGTCCAATTTACAATGTATTTAAATGTAAAACAGATTCTGTAATTACGTAAAGTAAATAAATTGTTTAATTTAATCATTTGTTCATCACTTCCAACTAGGATTATATAATACTAAACTCTACTAGAAAATATTCAAAATAGTTTCAAGAACATTCCTACCACAATAAATAAGATACCTGATGATTATTAAATGGAGCAAAACGCATTAATAGATTGGGAAGAAGTATGGAGTTTCAAAGAAATTAATAAAATTTATGGTTCCAAAGAATTAGAACCTGAAATCTTTTAAGTATTCAAATTCATGTACATTTCAATATATCCTGATTTTCCTGAAGATATTAATTTAGATAAAATTAAAAAGATGCTAACTAGGGAATCTCTTAGATATGATCTACCAGAATGGAGTAGAATTCTTACTGAAAAATAAATAAGTGCCTTGTAAGATGTGATGTTATTAGATGCACAGAAAATCAATGCTTAATATAAATTTTCAGGATATGTTTGCTTGTATTTGCAAAGATATGTAAAATATACAAAAACTGATTCCTTTAAATTCTTAGTTCAATCATCTGAATTAAGAAAACGAGAAAAACAAATTTAAGAAAGATTGTAAATACTTAATAAACTTAATAAAAAAATAAACAAATGAAATTAATAATAGATATAGATTTATTTATTTTAAATATTGACTTCATAATTTAATTACTAATTATTGATATTTAGTTGTATTAAAAGGGTTATAAAAATACATAATTCTAATTGATGATGGATTATCACTTATATTTAATATAAATTAGTAAATATTATCAAATCAGATATTTTTGTTAATTTTTGTAGCTTCTTTTATCTATTCTGCAATTTCAAGAAGCTGTTTTCTTATATTTGCTTTAGATTTCATATCGTTCTCTTGTTAAGCTTATCGGATGAGTGTTTCATATCTTTCATTTAGAAACTTCAATTTTATCTCAATTTCATTTTACTATTGTGGTGATATTGGTGAAGTTAATCTCTTTCTGGCAACATTTTTTTTTTCAGGACTTTAACCTGTATTTTTCATATCCTCTAAACAATCTCTAATCACTTATTTCAATTAACTCTATCTAGTATTCTCATTCACTCTAGGACTAAAGTATGCTGGCAGAATTTAATCCAAATTTAATTTGTTCAAAGTTTTTTAATTTTTATATCCTTGATTCACATAAGATTCATCGAAATCTTACTTCAAGTATCTCTAATTCCTTTCTTCCTAATCAAATTTAATGCGAATAGACTAATATTTCATATTTAAATCCTTATAATCTAAGGTTAGTTATTGAATTATATCCTAATACTCTAAGGATTTTACTACTAATTCTTGAATTCGCTTAGCCATCTATTCTTCCCGACATATTCGGTTTGTTTAAACTTCGTCAATACTTTTATAATATACTCTATCTTTCTCATCCAATTAGTATCTTAAATTATTAATTTGTTTTTCGAAATCATTCAACCTAATTTAGGGATGCTAGAGTTTATAATTTTCATATTCATTTTAGATGCGTTATAATTCTTTATCCAAATAATCAATACGGGTTTCTAGATTACTTATCATTGAATCTTTATATTCCAGCTTCTATTTATAATCCTGAATAGTATTCAAGAGAGCTGAATTTTCTTCAAACTTTTTTAATTCTGCCTTGTGTATAAGACCCTTTTCATTATTTTTATATGCATATAGTTGTCGTTAAAGATACTCATTCGACGATTAAAGCTCATGTTTATCATGTTTAAGTTCTTCATTCTTTCTTATTAGTTCAGAAACACGATCTTAATAATCTTTTAAATGCTAAAGTCGTTCTACTTGTAACTGTTCTATTTATTATGATGCTTTGTTATTCATTTCAAGCTCCTATTGGATTTTGGACAATTGAAATTGAAGTCTTTCCTTCTCTCCAGATAACTCACTTATTTATTATTTAAGATGTTCTATTATTATGTCTTATGGTGATATATCAACTGATTTTCGAATGCCATCCTATTTTAATTTATCTTGCATATTTTTCATTGCTGATGCATAAGCATTACTCATGGTTGGAGTAGTTGGTGAAGTAGAAGAAAAAGCCCTCTAAGTTATCCTTTGTTCTCTTTGATGCATGATAAATATAATTTTTATTTTTTTATGAAAATAAGTCAATTCTCAATCAATCCTAAGTTACTCTGAATCGAAGTACGTTTCCAAAGAAATAAAAGGGTTTTTATTAAAGAAACACATTCATTCAAGGGTTCTACCAGTTTAAATATATTGGTTTAATCTTTAATTTGAATCAGCAACTTCTCTGGTACTAATATAATTTAAATATTTCTTTTATTATTTAACATAAATATTATCTACATCAATATTAAAGATAGAACATTAAATTTCAATTAAAGTCAGGTTTTTTTATTACACCTTTAATGTCTTATGTTGAAATTCTCCAGTTCTCTTAGGCTACAATAACTATTATTTCTTTAATAGTATTTTTCGATATATAAATATTTTTGAATGTGATTCAGAACTAATTTGCATAAATTCAAAATGGTTTTCTAGAACTCATGTTAATAAATAGATTTGGATTGAAAATTACTTTTATAACATAAATTATTCTAATTGACAGTTTAATTCAACAAAAAGTAAACACATATTTATAAATAGTAGCAAAATTATTGTAATAATCACAATTCATATAGATTAGTAATTATCATAGGTTCAATTTTAATAGAAGTAATTTCCTATTGATAATATCAAATCTGCAGATAAGATTTTTAAATCTTAATGTATAGAAATCAATTAATGAATACTTTTCCAACAATAATCATATTTAATGATTATTTGAGAATTATCCAAAACAGTTATATCAAATTAAATAAAAAATTCCGATTTTACTCTAAATAAGAAGATATTATTTTATTTTTGAAAACACGTGAGCTTTTTAAAATCTAATTACTTTTCTTCCTTGTAAATATTTAGAAATTAAAAAAAATGATTCTCTCAATCAATTGTAAAGTGGAAGTATTAGTACCATTATTTATACTAATAATATTCATTTTTGCAGAATACTAACTATCGCACTACCAAATTGATTTTACTATTTTTAAATTATAATATGCAATCACTAGTTTCATCGGCTAGATTTCCTTCAGCTTCCATTTTACATAAGAAGAAGTCTTCAGATTTTCATAGTCTTAATTCTAATTTGACTAGAGTGCAATCTCCGTCTGGGAATAAAATGAATTAGGCATTTGGTCGATGTCAGACAATGAAAACTTTGAATAGTGAAAGAGACCCAGTTGAGATTACAATCTCATTAATTTTAAATGGCCAGAAGTAAATCAATCAAATTAAACTAGATTTATTGTGCCCATCAGCATTTACTAAAACACCACTGATTTATATAAGAAATTAATTGCAAAGGTACTACAAGTGAATCCATCTATTGTAAATAAAATAAAACACTTTCAAACACACTCTAGCGTTAAGAATTACAACATTGATTACTACTTATCACTTGAACTTAAGCCGTTAGAAGTATTTGAAGAATAAAGACATTTGAAATTAGAACCTTATTACTCAAACCCAGTTGGCAATCAAATGAGTATCGAAGATTACGATATACTGAAATGTATAGGTGTAGGGTATGCAATAATATATATGACAATAGTGGATTTTCAAGAGTATATTTGGTGAGAAAGAGAGACAATGGATTATTTTATGCAATGAAACTCATTGACAAAAACTTCATATTAAAGTCTAATAAGGAAATAATTATTTGTAATGAAAAGTATGTTATGGAACATTTAAACTCGCAATATTTGGCTAAATTATTCTATTCTTTTGAAACAAAATTCTATCTTGTTTTTGTGATGGAGTAACTAATCCTATTAAATTTAGATATTGTGCAGGAGGTGAACTATTTTTTCATTTGAGAAAATGGAAAAGATTGACAGAACCATTAGCAAAGCAATATTTTGTTTAGGTTTGTTTAGCAATCAACGAGTTGCACAAATTCGGAATCGTCTATAGAGATATCAAACCAGAAAATATATTATTAGATTTAGATGGGTATATAAGACTATCAGATTTCGGTTTATCTAAGCCGAATATGAACAGAGATGAGACAGCCTATTCATTTTGTGGATCACCTGAATATATGTCTCCAGAGATGTTAAAGAGAGAAGGACATAATTTTATGGTGGATATTTATTGTTTAGGTGCATTACTCTATGAATTTATATTCGGATCACCTCCTTTTTATTGCAGGAACATCGACTAAATTTATAATAGTATTTTAAATGATAAAGTTTAATTCCCTCCCTTTAAAGATATCAATCCAGACCTTAAGGACTTGATTTCTAGTTTATTGATAAAAGATCCATCCAAACGGTTGGGAGCATAGGATGGAATAAGAGCAATTTTATAGCACAGATGGTTTTAAGGTTGCGACATTGAAGCTTTAGTGAAAAGAAGATGCGAGATCAGTTATAAACCGATGCCATTAAAGTATAATTTTGATGAAATGGAATTCAGCAAAGGGGATAATGAATTTTTGAAAAGGCTCTATGATAATCTGAGATTAGAAAAATAGGTTTAATTTAAATACTACGATTTTAGGGTAAATTTACTCGTTCATTTCCTCATTTTGAATATACTAATAAAAGAATGATAGATTACAGACAGGTTATTCTAGACCAATTAACAAAATCAAGTCAGATTTAAGGATAATAAGGATTGCCAAAGAAGTAATAGAAGACTCAAATATGTGTATCGCCAGTATCTTAAGTGAAGGAACATTCAAACATTTTAAAATTGATTTCGGGATCATTCAAGTAATCGTCTCAGGGTAAAAGGTTCAATACAGATACAGACCTCATTCAATTGATGAAGTAAGTGTGATTAATTTTAATATATTTATATATATAATTGTTTGTAATTTCATTCTTCTTCAACACCTAGTAATCTTACGATATCCTTGCAATAGCAAATTAATTTTTAAGATTTCAGTGATTCTTGCAAGTAATTTTCAATTTAAGTTACTTTGTGGTAAGTCTTTAAACAAAAATAGTTAACATAATTTCTATTCTTGATGAAGTAGTCAAAATCTCTTATAATTTATTAGTTAAACTCTTTTACGTTATTATTCTTCCAATTGATAAGGGTGATGAGAACGGTGAAGAACTTTGGTAAGCTCTCTTGAATTTTACACTTGACTACTTAATCAATGTAATGGATTAGATATTGATAATGATATGTCTCACATTATTACCTGAGAAAATCGATGGGAATTTCCCAATGCCTTAGACTTCTGCCTACTTCTGGGATGAACATCTTATCCTTGCTAAAGATTATAACAGTCCTTTTTAGTTTGCAACTTGACTCATTAATCCTATATCCCCCATCAACTCCATCATTCAAATTCTATTCTAATAAGTCTTATTCTTGTTAGCTTAATTTATGTGTATATCGAACTAAAACTATTCTAGGATTTCGTTTGCATTCTGGAAATGTAAGCCTATTAACTCCAGTTACGATTTCTTTGCCATTGAGATGAACCATAGCAGTCAACAAATCAATTAAAAATTGACATTTATCAAGACCAGGACTGAATGCATTTATAACCAATCCTGAAGTCGACTGAGTATGTAATAGATTCAAAAGATACTTGATATTGCCGACCTTCTAACAGGTGGTTCTCCCAATTGATCTGCTAAATTAATAGATACCATATAGGAATAAAGTTTACTCATTGAATAAATCAGTTATATCAGAGAAAAGAGGGAAGTAGATTTGCTCTCCTCTTTGAATTCTAGCAAAGTTCAATTGAACTATTGGATATTTGATCATATTCAAATAGATCTTTTCATAAAAGATACAATTTTTGGTAATACAATTTGTATCTCCATTTAATTAGAGTAATATTTTATTTGCAGTCTTGCATTCTTGGATGATCGTAGAATTCAAATAGAATTTATCATAATATTGTAAGGATTCAACAGCAATGCACACTTTAAGTTCTTCTGGAATTTGCTATTGCAGAGTATTTTCAAGTAGACAAGTACAGGATGTATAATAAACAGGATCTGAAGCAATAGAGGTAGTCAGTAGTTGAGGTTGCTCTATGACAAATTCAATCTTTGGTAAAATCATGAGATCATCGTCATCCTCATCTAATAGAATGGTTTGAGGAGGCTTTTGTTGCTATTGTGTTCCATTTCTCTACATTTAATTGATGGGAAATGTTTTTTCATGCTTGATTGCGAATTCATCTTTTTTCATCTTGACTATGTCTTACTTTTATTTCCGAGTGGCATCATGAAGTTCTACCAAAGAGGTTCTTACTTTCAACATGGTATCTGATAAGATATGACCACATCTTCTGAGCAATTTAAACTTTCTCTCAAATGACTCTTGATCTGAAGGAGGTGGGAAATAATTCTTAGGAACCTTCTGGTAGTTTTCTCCTCTAGAAGCTGTATTGAGTCTTTTGAGAGTTGCCTAAAAACTAACAGATTAAGATAAATCTAGGACATCTTCTGCCTTGCGAACAATTTCATTAAGTCTCAAATATAGGTGTTCTAAGGTACGATAAATTTCATCATTTATATGATCTGGTAGTATTTCCTCTGCTTACATTGTTTTTAATTAATAATCATGGTTCTTCCAAACATTTAAGTAATATTAATTTAAAAAAAATCATTAGAATAAATATATCACTACTCATTTTTTTCATTTTCATCATCACTCTAATACTCCTCTTCTTCTTCATCCATTTCATCTATTTCATCATGTTGCAACAATCCACCATATAATTTTATCAATTCTTCTGAATCTTCTCTCTCATCAAAGATCAATTGAAATTTATTATTTTCCAATAAGTTATCATAAAAAATAAGATGCTTTTTACAAGGTGGCCATACAGATGCATCTGGTGGTGGGATTATCGTATCTATAGACAGTCTCATAGCATTTTCAACCATCTAAGGTATTATTCTCTACAAAATTGGACTACTAGTTTCCAAACAAGGATTAGTGTTAATTTCAATTAAGTATGGTTTGAATTGTGAATCAATCATAAAATCCAATCCAAAAATCTCGAAATTAAACTCCTTTTTATGTGGAGCCAACTTACAATAAACTGATTTGATGCTAATTGTAGCTATCTCAATCAATTGAGGATATAAGTCTTTGTAAAAGTTATACTTCTTTGATTAATTCTCCAAATAACGTTGAAATTCAGATAAAGATAATTTATTGCCATTCTCATATTTCCCATAAGTATCAGCATATTTCTAGATCGCATCATTTGTTAAATGAACATAAAGATTAGCAGGGTCATCAAGATCGAATTCCTCTGATGAAGTTCTTATGTATCCATCTTCATACCAATAAGCTCTAAAAATGTTATTCAATTAAGTGATAAGAAAGTAACACCTGATATCAAATTTTCTTTTGTTATAAAGAAATGGTTTCTCAATGTACCTTTGAATTAAATATGTAAATGGCTTTCCATTTGGATGCACTTGCTTTTTAGATATGATTTTGTTTATCTCAGATAAATTTTGACAAACTATGATTCCAGTTCCTCTGTTTGTAAATTCACCAGGCTTGACTATCCAAGTAGAGCCTCTAGATAGTAAATTTATAATTACTTTGGAAGTTTCTTGTAATTTTCTAAGAATTATAAGTAGACCTTGTCTTTAGATCCCTTTTGCACGTGGAATGTCATTGGGATTATGGAATGTAAATCCTACTTAGTCAATTCATAGTATCTTTTGAGATTGTGATATAGTGCTTTCTTGTTTCCCAAATGATAATTCTTTTCTATATGATTATGAATCTATATTTAATTATGATTGAATTACCTTCAAATTTGGATGAACATTCAATATCGTGAATCCTTTCTGGTTTATCAATTTAAAGTACGCTTTTTGATTTCTTTCTATTTGTTTATAATCTGAATCATCATTCATTAATCTCAATAAGTGATCAATTTGAATTTTCTTCTTTATTTGAGTTTGTGATTAAGGGGGATTAATTTTCTTTCTCATGTAGGACTTAATTTCATTGGTTGATAGATTTTAAGTGTCCATGTAATTCTAAACTTTAATCTAAGTCCAAATGAAATTACTTTCAGAATCAATCAATTCACTGTACTTATAGCAATTCCACCACCATCTCAATTTAAATATTTCTTTGATAAGAAGTGAATTGTTGCCCCTGCCTATTTTAAATTTCAAATCAATCAAACAATCCTATGGTACTGTGTAGAACCCACTCTAAGTGGAAACCAAAAACAAGAAATGCTAATAGTTTTACAATTTAGTTTGGAATAACTATTCTCTGGATAGTGATGCATAATCAGTTAATGAAAATTTGAAATTATTAATTTATGTAGAACTGCTTTGTGGAGCGATAACTTTTGGTGGGACTGGACTGGCATTGTTAGAATTAATAGAGTGTTTTAATTTGCATTTTTGTGGAATTTTGCATTTGGTTTTCTTTTCTACCTCTTCAGTAAATGATTGCGACTTTTCTCTGTCTTTATCATGAGATAAAGCCTTTAATCTTATTGTCTGTTAGGTTAATACAGTACTGGTATTTGATTCCATTATTTTATTGAATGGAACTACTTGTAGCCCCATAACTCCAAAAGTTTTTTCAGCTGAAATTCTCTGTTGCATTCCCTGCAAAATGTTCGTTAAAATCAGTTTGGTATTATTGATATCAGAAGGATAAAAACCTTTGACTAATCGAACTTAACTATTTTTAAATTCTTCAATTTAATCGCAGTTGGTAGTTTACACTTTCCTCTTATCTCTCTTTTGAGGGGCACTATTAGCAAAAACTACACTGTAAGTGCCATTAGTTTAGGGTTCTTGTGAAAGATTTCTTTGCATTGAAATGGCTAAAGTGAGAGAAGAGGAAGCAGATACCTTATTGTAATCGATGAACCGGTTTTCGAGGTTGACTTTGTCGTCGATAAGATATTTTTTAATTGGATGGTTATTCTTTGGTCAATTCAGAGAATTTAATGCTGCCCTACTTGTTTAATTGATTGATTTTCTATTAGATGGCGAGTCCATTATTGAGTTTTCGAATGGGGGGAGTCCTGATATAGGTTTCGTCTTTCTACATTATTTTATTGTGTTTTTATTATTAACTATTAATTTATAATAGAAACGAATATTTTCTCCTATTATAATTAAATAAAAATGATGTTCTTCAAGTAAGATTTTATAGGTTGTATTTTTTAAGCTTCTAGCGATTCTTCGCTGGTTTTGGTTCGGTGTTAGACCCTCTATTGGCTCAAGAAAACTGTACCTTGGAGACAATTCTTGACGATGACACTTTACAAGAAATCAAAATGAATGGAGCTCAAAAGTTTGGAAATTTGTAAGAATTTTGATTTATTAGAGTGTGACAAAGAATATTGATACTTTTAGTAAGATGATAGGGTACTTGAGTGTCAATGAGTATGAGGAGTATAACGAGAAAACTTAGATTAGGTAAGATGATTAAACTAACACATCATAAGATACCCCTTTATGATAAGTGAAGCAATAGGAAATGAGAATGGTCCCATCATTGATTATCTATTCGAAGCAGATAAATCGAGTCCGAATTATGAGAAGAATGAACAACGTAGACAGGAATTCCTGCCCAAGATTTTCGATATCTTGGATAGGGATTACTTGAATGTGACTCTCGCCAGTTATCTATCCAAAGTAGTGTGTGCAATCATCAGAAGAAGAGGTTTCGATGTATATATTGTGCATAAACATATTAGTTGTGGAGATTCCTTTCTCTGCCAATTCATAAATCAATTTTAAGTAATTTAATTAAGAACTTGGATGTGTTCCATGTTGCTGAAATCATTGAAAAGTTGATCATACTAGACACCAATCAAGAACAATCCGACAATCAGACTAACTTCCTCGAAGAGAGAAGCGAACTCTTACGTCGAGTGATTAGAGTCTTCGAATATAAAACTCATCAAAATGACATCACTGACAATTGCAGTCACATAATCATTGAAATCCTCAATAAGTCAGAATTGTTCCTTTAAGTCCTTAACATCCCTGAAAAATTCTTCGCCATTGCCGTAACTATTTGTTCAATATAATCATAGTTAAATTCCAGTTCAGCCACTGTAGTTTCAGTCCTAATCACATTAATTGAATCCATTCACCGATACGTCTAATAACAATAGGAGAAGAATCCCGCCTATACTTTTGATTATAACTAGTTCTACCCCATCGCCTAAGAGTTCAAGAATGCCTTGTTAGCTGAAAAGATATCCATCAGTAATTCTTTCTCCTTATTCAAGGTGCCTTCAATACCACCTATGGAATTTCACAACAGCCCTTCAGTCAAATGAAGTTGAAATTGATTCAATTGTACCTATCCATATTGAGAATCAATAATGTTCAGTGGATCAATCAATTTGATCATAAAGGAATCTATGAATCTCTCATGAAGTTTGTTATTGAATACGAATTCAACAATCAATTGCAAAATCACTTCTACGAAATTACAATCTTCATCTTTGACAGACCTCAATTCGAGGCCATTTAAGAAGAGTTCCTCTCACTTGGTCTCTTATCATTCATTATGAAGCACAATAGATATGATAAGGAGATCATCGGAGCCATGAATTCATAAATTACAAGAGGCTATGTGGGAATCCTCAGTAAAATTGCCTATTATTTCATTAACAAATTTGAGAACAACCAAGAATGGAATCAATATGTTGAAAAAGTACTCGAACCTGTTAGGACAATTGAAAATCAATTCATGCTGGGAGTTAATCCAAAACCCAAGATCCCCATAGATACCGGTGATGATAACATGAATGAAATGTTTAAAGTATTTTTTATTCATTAAATCCTTAGAACTTTTCAAAAAACAAATACTCTCAAAGCAATCAATAACCATAAATTCAATAATAAGATCAATAGCTAACTGTTGAGGTTGAAGAAGAAACAGAAGAAGAATAAAATACCGATGAAAATGAGGAAAATATTATGTGTCATCATAGGGAAGATGATGAAACTGAATAATTCTAAGATGGCAACTCTAAGAAACCTGAAATGTTGATAGATGTTGAAGAAATTGAGAAATTCATTAATAGTCCAGAGACAAGTCCTAAAGTTGGTAATCAAATCATTTGTTATTTTAGTTGAATAAATCATTCAATTCCAAGAGTAAAACTTAAAGACATCTCCTTAAGCTAGTGAAATTATCACCGATCAAACTGTTAATAAATATTGGAAGGCTCATGAGGGTTTGGAGCATCAAGAACCTGGCAGAAAGGGATCACATGATGACACCCATAAACATCAAGTTGATCATCATGAATAAGTTAAATAAGATTAATAATTAAATGAAACTACAGAAAAAATTGAAGAGAAATAGTAGGTTGAAACACATGAGAACTTGAAGGTTGAAGTATAAGACGTAAAAGTTGAAATAATTAATTCACCAGAGGAACAATAACAATAAGGAGAATAATAATAAGAAGAATAATAAGTGGAAAAATAAGAAGATTAATAAGGAGAAAAATAAGAAGAATAATAAGGAGAAAAATAAGTAGAATAAGAAGGAGAAAAATAAGTAGAATAAGAAGGAGAAAAATAAGAAGATTAATAAGGAGAATAATAAAAAGCATAAGAAGAATAATAAAATAAATAAGAAGAATTAATCAGTTGATTCCATTATTAAATAAAATTATACATTATTTTATGTTATCATGTAAATTAATATAATTCAAAATAGTAAACTTATTTGTATTTCTTTTAATATTAAATCTTTATAATGAATTAAATTTCATTACAAATAAATTATATTATTATGTTTAATAAGTTAATACTTCCTAAAACATAAGAAAATAGAAAAATTTTATTTCATCAAATATGAAAGACAACATATCTATTATTTTTTCGATTTAATTTAATATTATAAATAGCGTAGAATTCTATTTTAATTACACCTAATTTTTATGTAATATAGGTAAATATTTTATTTAATTTGCTTATTACATATATATGAATAAAAAATAATATGATTAAGAGAAACAGCCTATTTAATTGAAAAAGATAATTAATTTGTTGATTGGGAGGAATTCAAGAAATAATACTATCAGGAAGAAAATTAGTTATAAACATCATTGAAATAGATTAATCAAATGCATAGTGATATTGGAAGCAAATTAATTTAGATAGAGTATTCTATATTGATTAGATTGTAGAAAATCAGATCCAATTGTGCAGCGGATGAAAAAGATAATCGAGAATACTTTTAGTCGATTGAGATTAAAAAGTATGAGACTCTTTTGATGAACTAAATTTGATAATGAGTACAATGTCTCGAATGCTCATAGATTATACAGTCAGTCCAGAAGAGGTCTAAGCAAAACTCAAAAATAATATGTTAAGAAGATTCAAAGAAATTCATAGAGAACATGAAAAGGAAGTTTTTAAATTGAAAGTACTACATGAAAGCATAAATAGTAAGCAATGAAAATAAATATCTAAAAATATGAACTATTTAAAGAAGCATTAAAAAACCAAAATACAACAGGAAATTAAAAGTATAAACGAGATTACCAACTAAATGACTATTTGTCAATTGGAGTGAATCAGGCATCTTATGTTCTTGATAAGGCCTCAACATTACATCAGACTCTTTAGGGTTAAGAATATAGAGTGGCTTCCATCTCAAACAAAGCCGCAGACTACTTAAGTATAATATTTGTTGATGAATAGGGCAATTTGAAGGAATTAACTCACTGATCAATGGAATATGCTACCAAAAAGATAAGGGTTCATTAATATTGATTGGTTTGATAGTTTTAATATTAGTGATAATTTTATTTAAATTGATTTGATTATATTTATCTAACTAAATTTGTAAAATAAAGATTTAGAAATTTAATAAAATTATAGGTGTTCATTTCTTTAACTTATTCATTGAACAGTATGAACGAATTTAATTTACACTTTTTCTAAAACTTGATTCATTCTTATGAAAAAGTAACCTATATGTTCTCTAATGAAATCTTAGGTAATTTTTTTAAAATCTTGTTACTGAGCATCTTGGTTCTGTTCATCTTGCTTCTAAAATTCTTGTATTTTGGATTCAATTAATTAGATTATAAAACCTAAAGTCTCTGGTAGGCCCTCTAAAAATAAAAAATAGAATTACATTTCAAAATCTAATCTAATTGTTATTATTATTCAACTAATTACTCTTATAACTGTTTATATTTATTAACATTCTTTTTGTTTTTCTAATTGATTTGTTAATTTTAATTATAACCCTGTTAAAATATTTTTTATTAATCAATATTAACTTGTTGAATGCTTTCATATTGTTATTTAAGATCTTCTATTTAATTGAGGTAACCCTCCTTCTCAATTTATTACTATGACAGTTCATCTTGTAATCTATTAACCTAATCCTTAAGATTTTTGATATCGATTTGCGAATTATCCAATTATAAAAATAAATTCTGAATTGTTTCATCCAATTTGATCTTAATTTTTTAGTACTTTTCTCTACTAGCATCCAATTCTTAAATTTTAGTTTTTAGTCTTAATATCTCAGTATCCTTCTTAGAATTTATAACTTAATGATTTTGTATTACATCTTGCAATTCTTTTTCCACTTTGATTCTTTCAGATTCAGATATTTGTAATTTATCAATCATATCTTTGATGAGGGCTTCTTTTTATGCCAGAGAACTATTAAGACCATTTAATTCATTAACTAACTTTAATAATTGAGCCCTCTCTTATTTGATTTCTTCTAATTAAATAGACATTTCTTAATTTTATTTATTAAGTTATTCGTACTATCTTTAAAAGGCTTGTCTCTTCTCCTCATACTATTACTAAGATTCAGCCGCCATCTTTTGTAAAAGATATTGGGTCTCTTAATGTTGAGATTATGAAAAACCAAATTAATTCTAAAGATTTTGATTCTCAATTAACGCTTAATTTAATTTTGTATGCATTTCATCGTTCTGATTGATCATTTATATCTTTTCTGAATTTAAAGATTCTATTTATGTGACCATTTATGAATTTATTTCTTTTAATTTTGCTATGTCATCTTACAATTCTCTGACTTTATCCGACAAAGATACTGAATTTTGTTATTCCTATTTCAATTATAATTTAGTAGCTTCCAATTGCTTATCTAATCCATCAGTATGTTATTTATGGTCCTAATTTAACTCATTTATTTTTTCATTTAAACCAAATAACTCTTTTTAGAGATTTTCTATTTGTTAGTCCTTCTCAATGGTGTTTTGGGATTCTTGCAATTGCTGTTTTAAATTTAAAATCTCCAGTCTGTCTTTCTCTTACTTTTTGTTTATGCTCTTTAAATCGAGTTCATATTAAATATTTTGTGCTTCGGATTTTTTTAAATTACTCTCCAACTGAGCCCCTAAATTTAATCGATAAGAATACTCCAATTCTTGTTCTCATAAGACGATGTTGCGTTGTCCATCTCAATATTTTTTAATTTCTGGTGCAATTATTATATTTCTTTACGCAGCTGTTTTTCAACCTAATACAATCTCTAGTGGAAATTATAGATAAAATATATGTACGGCAGATTCGGTTTGGAGACTTAAGATCAATTTGTTTTGCCTCTAAAATTCTTCTTCTGACCTTATTATTTCGATTTCCTCGTCACTCATTTTAAAAATAATAATATCAGAAAATGGATGAATTAGAAAAGAAATATTAAGATTAGATTAATACTTTACAGAAGGCTATTAAGACATAGAATGAAGTGCTCATCAACAAGATTCAAACCATCATCAACTAATCAACCCTGGATGTGTTCCAAACACTCGATAGAAACTTTGAAGAGTTCAGATTAAATTATAGAGAAATTAGAGACTTCAAATAATAGGACTAACAATTCATAAATTATGAGTATTTATGGGATGAGATTCAAAACTACGGCAACTAAAATTTGAGAAGTAATGTGTAATTAAACATTAGCACTGAGAGAATAAATTTCAAATTCTATTGGTGGCTTACAAGAGAATAAACTAGCTACAAATGCCGATTAATAAGTGTCCTCATTATTAGATGTGATGTAGCTATTATTGAAGGCAGCAGAATTGTACATGAAAAATTTAAGGGAAGCCGTGTCTTTACCTAATCCAATTTCTTTAAAAGATAAATTCAAATAATCTCAATAAGTAGTTGGAGGTTTTAAAGATGGAAGAATAGGTAGATTTGCTAATACTGTTGAAAGTATCGCATTTAAAGAGTGCTAAATACTTAATTGCAGTCAAATATTCGACATCTTTCCTTTATTGAATAAAGATCAAATGCTAATTGCAACATATGAGAATGAATTATTCCTGTATGATGCAAATTTGAATTCATTGATACAAAGAATAGATTCCATGAGATTCGTACCATGTTCCTGTTTGCAATTATACAAATAGAAAGAAAAGGAGCTGATACCTTCTAATTTAATGTTGTTGGGAGGAAGTGAATTCGATCCAAATATATATTTGTTTGATTTATATAATGGAAAAAAGATATAAACATTTCCAGGACATGAGAAAAGTGTGAGGTTTTTATGTTAATTGGGAGATATCAATACATTTGTAAGTTTAGGAAGAGATTCAAAAATGTTCTTTTGGAATTTAATTAAGGGAGAACCTCATTAGATACTGCCCATTCCAACTATTGAAATTATTGAGATGCAATTTCAGGTTTCGACTAAATGCATTTATACGCTAAGCATAGATGGTAGAATCTGTATCATTAAAATATTTGACGATTTACAGACTTTTGGTAAGGCAGAGATAGTTAATTTGATCGAATTAGCACAGACATCAAGTCTATCGTAGATGATAATTGAAGAGAGATTGAGGGTGATATCTTTTAGTAATGGGTGGTTGACAGGGTAGAATTCAATTAGAATATATGATGAGATTCCTTTATAGACAGCTAGAAAGATGAAGAAAATAATGGAAATAGGATTGGAGAGTGAAATTTCATAATTGAATACCATCCTTACAAAGGATTAATTGATTGTGATCAGTATTGATAAGGGTAATGGAAAATTAAAAGCATTTGCTAATGGGAAGAGTCTGAGTATCAGTTCAAATGGTTTACAAGATGTTTAAGATGAGAAATAGAATAGGCAGTCAAGGTGGAATATCAAGTTGTTTACTATTAATGGGAAATTAAATTTAATTAAGTTTGGAGAAACAAATGAAATACAGATTTATGAATTACAATATAAATAATAATGAGTAATTAAATTAGAAGTCATAATATAAATGACTATTACCATAATCGATTGGATTCCTCCTTCAATAATGTGAACATCACATTCATAAGTACACTTCGAGAACCAATTTAGAACACTGATCTAAATAAAACTGTTCATGACATCCCAAGTTGCTTTGGTCGCAAAACTCTTTCGATGGAGAAAAGACATACTACTAAAGATATAGAAAAGTTAGGAAACATGTCAATGGTATCTCATCAATCTAAATAGAGTATGAACACTTGATACGCAATAGGATAGGAATTAAACCACATTTAGGATCTGTAATTTTTGAAACCTCCCTAAGGTATAGTAAAAAGCGTTCATTCTCTTAAAATTAAGATCAGAAACCTTAAAAGGGCGTTAAAAAAGAAAGAACCATACTACCTAAAGTACTTAAGGATGGCTATCTTGAAATTTAAGAAAAGAACATCAATTAATTTTTACATTGTCTTAAAGAGGAAGGACAAGGAACAATTAGACCATCATAAGTTCATTGGATAACTTCATTAAAATCAGAAAGAAAAAAGAAAAAAAAAAGATGAATAAATTTGTTAAGTTTTTTTTATATATATAATTTATTGGCGCAATTTTTATATTGTCACTATAAGTTTTTGCTATATTATATCTGATTTCTGATGGATTTACTTACTTTACGTTATGTTTAGATGTTGGGAGATGAGGTTAAAAATCTTTGAGGACAAAGTATCAAAACAAACGATTTTAATTTTTATTGATTTAAACTAAAATAAGCTGAGGAACTTATTTAATTTTTAATAGATTCATTATTTAGTTTAGAAATAAAAAGAATTATTTATTTATTGATATACCAAAATATAATTCATTAGTGCAATTCATATATATGTATATAAATGTCTTTTTAATCCTCAAAATAGGTATCTGTATAATATTAATGGTAAATTGATTCAATCTAAATTTAGTAAATATAATTACTTTATCATACTAATCTAATAATTTTTGAACATTTTCATTCATCAAGTAATTATAAATTACAATGTGAGAAGGCAATTTAGATTATTATAATTTCTTTTAAATATAATTAGCAGAGTCTTAATGCAATTGATAAGTTTCTAAAGATGAAACATCATTAGTAGGGGAGCAGTCAGGAAATGTCATTGAAATATTCTGGTGAATAAAACTGTAAAATGGAGTTCTGTGACATTGAGTGAAAAATTAAACTTCAGTAGCATTCCTTTACCTTAAAACTGCCATAGTCTTTAAGGCTCCTACATCTTAATAAGTATTCATTAGAACAAAGAATGAAACGTTAGAGATGATTGCCAAAATTATTAATACCGATTTCATTTTTTTCCAGTTAATTTTATCCAGATATTCCAGACCTAAACAAATAAAGTATATAATGATAGGGAACAAGGGAAGTAAGAACCTATCCTCTTTATGAGCTGATAGACTCAAAATTAAAATAGTGAACATCATGTAATACAGTAATCGTAATGGTTAGGCACTGAATAACCCTTTTTTTGCGTAAGAATATCTATTTTTATAATCATTTATACATTCCAATAAGAAATGAGACCACCCAACCAAGTTGTACATATGGTAACCCTTAAGTTATAAACCATAATCTATCATGCACTCCATAAAATGAACTCATTCCTGACAATAAATTAAACTCCAAAAAATTGTAAAAGGTAGATGTCAATTTGCCATGATATAATGAATCAATAGAAATAGAGAATAAAAATAGTAGTAAGAGAGTGATTCCATTTATTACTAAAATCACGAATCTTCCCTTTAGATTAGTTTTTGCAGTTATTAAATGATAAGGCTATTATGAAATTATGAATTTTAATTACCCATATGAATATCCATGGAATTATTGCTGATTGACGTGCCATAACATTTAGAATAACAAATAATCTACACAACAAGTTGTTTTTATTGTGATTAGTTTATAAATATTAGACCCAATTATATAAAGCTAATGTAAAGAGAATAGTTTCAAAAGTGTTGATAAGTGTTTTTGAAAAGCAATTCAAGGAAAACCAAAGGGTGTAATTAACCAAAATTACATATGCTTTATTTCTTATTCCTTCTAATGTGAGCAACTTGATCAAATATACATCATATATAGCTGAAATTGCACACTATAATCTAAATGTCTAGATATGAATATCATACATTCTGGGACCATAAGCAATCATTTAGGGATGATCTAAATTCAGTTTACTCAATACCCAATACAATAAACTAAATAAGCTATGATAAATGGGGCCACGCAATGGCTTGTCCCTTGTCCATTCCCAAGTTAGCCATCCATATCCAAAAACATCATTATGAGCTATTTCTGGGCCTTACCACATTTCATCAGCATAAGGAAGTGCTTATGGTATTATCTTGAATTATAAGGTATTCATACTGCCAAAAGGACTCGAAAAGCAAAGAAAAATATATACATTAATTATCGATTAATTAATTAATTAATCACATCAAAACAATTTCATTTATTTTGTTTTTGTTTAACTAATAGTCGTGTTCATTTCAAATTCTTCACTTAATAATTCTATGCAAATGTATAATTCAATCTATATAAAACATAATCTTTCCATTAATACTTTATTCTTATTATATTTAAAGCATAAATGTCTTTCACATAACAATTATTTTGAATCTAATCATATTTAGAAGGGTCTCTTAATAAGATAAGGATAATCAACTCATAATATATGTAAATATTTTGATATTGAATGATTTCAGTATGATTTATTTTATATTCTCTGTTCAAATTTACTATTAAAATATAATTATCTACACTGATTCAAACATAATTAGATTTCATTTGAAAAACTCATCAATTCTATTATAGATTATGAATAATTCTTGAAATTCTTAGAAATCGAATGTTATTGATCAAAATATATATATAAGGAGCAATTGTGACTAAAAAACAATGGTTTTTAATTATAATACTAAACAAAGGAACTTAAAATTTATTTAGTTTATTTTCATCATAGATTATTATTAACTTTAAAACCATTTTTTAATAAATTAATTTAATTAGTATCGAATGTTGGTTTGTCTAAATAAATCGTCAATAAAGAGTCTCTTTAGAAGCACAAATCACTCATGTGAAAGTTTAACAGAGAGAGATAGGAGAAGATCAACAGCTGAAAATTTAGACATTAATGCCTATTTAAGTTCATTATAAATGATGAGTGATAGAAAGGATGTTGATAAAAGGATATTCAAAAACTTGATTTTAAGTAAAACCAAAACCAAAAAGACCCCTTTGAGGCAAAATCTTTTTGCTAGCAATTCAGTAAAAGAATTGAATCAATCTACATAATAATCAGCATCCAGATAAAAGCCCTTTACCAGAGCCAGATTCGCATCTCAAAGATCTACAATTTTAGGCAAATAAGCTCAAGTACAAGATTAATATGATGAGTTGAACAGTGAGAAACTTTAAATGCTTAATGAATCTCTCTTTAAACTTGTTGGATAATTATTGAAATTGAGGGATGAAATGAATAACAACAGAAAGTTTTATCTACAAATCTATAAACTGATCGGCTTAAAGAAATCCCTTTCAAAATTGTTATTCAATTTAGAAACACAAACAATTATCGAACCTTTAACAGTATTTCATTTGAAACAAAACATCTGTATCAAGGAACATGTAATGGATGGAACCACTCTTCTCTCCCTTGATACTTATAACTTCAACATTATTAGGGATATCAACTTTTTAACTGAAAAAATCGATGAACTATAAATACAAACCGAAGCCAATGGAATTCGTTAACTTGAACATAAAGTATCACTCATTCTTTTATTAGATTACAGATGAAATTTATAATCTCAAAATGGAACAGAACAAGATGAAACACAAAAGGGTTTTGAGTCCCAAGTTGCTGTTTCAATAAAGAATTATGAGAAATCAACTATTGCCAGAAGGTAGCATGGAATTGATAGAACAAAAATTCGGACCATTTCCACTTATTTAAAATAAAAACAAAATCATTCATAACTAGATTTAGACTATAATTAATAATCTCAATATCAAATTTAAATATTGAATCATTAGCTTAGTTTCTTTTATTATTCTAAAAATTCATCAATATTTTGGATTAGAGATTTGAAATGTAAAACTATAGTCTTCGCACCTTGAATATCTAATTCATTTGCACTCTTCGTTCTAAAAAAACATGGAGCGAATATTATTGATAAATTGTGAAGGCCCATCTATCCATATTTATTATTTCTTACTTTATTTTCATTCTCGAATTATGCCACAAACTTTATAAATTCTGTCAATCTAAAAACAATCAATCTATTAACTTTTGGTAGATGAGCAAAAAATATGCTGAACATATCTATCAATTGGTTAATTGGTGCTTAAGGATCAGTTTCCCTTAGAATCGCATATATTTCAAAAGGAAAAATTGGAGTTTTCAGATTAACCAAAGAGTTTTTTAATACTGTAGCTATTACATTCGGATCTGAAACTTTTATAGCTTCATAATTCGATTATAATAATTAATCTACTAATTTTATCTCTTCGTCATAGGAACCTGACAATCGAAATATCCCCTATTTTTGCAAATGAACCGTATTGTCAGTATAAAACTTCAGAATTTCTTCAAGAAAAACAGGTAGTCCTGACTAAGCAACTGGATAAGAATCCAAATCCCTCCCATAAAAAGCCTGTTATTCCTAAAACTCGATTTAATTGCACATGAACCTCAAAATTGACTAATTTAACTCAATATCATAAAGATTCAGATAAGAAGCACTTAATATTGTATATTTATATGGAATACTTGTTTATTAGGTGGATTTTATCCTTTAATACTAATTTTAGTGTAAAAGGTATTGTTTTTTCCTTCTTTCCGTAATTCTGATTACTACTGATCACAATTAATTTATCAATTCTCTTTAATTGCTAATAACTCACATGTCTCTTAAATAATATGAAAAATTACTTAATAGTTTGTTTTATTAATTTTTTTACCTTCTTTGAGTTTATTTCCAAGTCATCCTAAGCGCAAATAATTAAGACGAATCCTCTAAAATTTAATTGATATTTTACTTAAAAGGTCTGAATTATTGAAAGTAGGATTATAATTTATTCACTATCAATTCCTCATTTTTATTTTGAATAATCTAATTATAGAGCAAAACATAAATAGGCTATTCCTTTTTATCCAAGCCTTAGAAGAACTATATGTATGTTATACCTGCATTTAGTAATCCTTGGACTTCGTATGATGAACATAATTTCATTTACAAAAGTTTATAAAATTAATCGATTTAGTTGATATCACGAAATATTTAAACACATTTTTATATATTCTGTACAATTACAATAGTTTAATATCATATTTTATTGCGTAATGTAGATTAACAAATTATAATTTTTTTTTTATAGAGATAAATAATCATTATTTATAAAGTAGTTTTTTTGATTATAACAATATGGCATCTTCTTGATCTATGGGTATGTTACATATCATTTAAAAATTTCAATTTGAAACAAAAAATAAATGTATATCTTTTTAAATTACTTTATCTACTAAATTAAGTAACCATTAAATAAGTTCCTAAAAACCATAGATAACCTCCTAAAATAATAGTTTTTATTAAGAAAGATAATTGAAAGAGCCAGACTCAGATTCAAGTTATAAAATGCTGTATTCAATCATTCTAAGAACGGATAACAAAATTGTATTTTTAAATAAATTCAAAAATATTTAAACAAAGTTATTGTAATTCTGTTTACTTGATTTTCTTCACCATTTTTATAATTTATCAATTTTACAAATATAAATGCTTTTTCAACATTTTCATTTAATAGTTGTCTATATTAATTTTTTTCTTAGATGCTAATGTTATAGTGATCTTAAAACTATTTATAATTCTATAAAGTCTTTAAGGTGTGATTGTTGTTTTTAAATTATTCTAGAATATATAAATCAAGAATCAACTGAAGATTGTAAATTTTCTATGGACTTTTGCAAGATTTCGGAAACCAAAACCTTCGAGTAATCATTGATGAAATTTGTTTAATCAAATTCAACGTTATTAACTTATTATGGGGGTTCAACAACGAATTTGTCGTTCTAAACCTATGTATCTTATTATTAAATTTCCTAAGTATTATTTTCTATTTTTATTTCTTATTGCTTATCCTATTAATCTTCTGATTGAAATATTTCCTCTTGCTTTTGTTCTTATTCTTTGAAACAGGTTTGTTCAGTGTTTTCAATGTTTTCAATGTTTTCAATATTTGCTTTTTATTCTATGTTTATTAATGTTGGTTGAGTAGGCGGTTAATCATTTTATTTTTTATATTTCTCCTTAGTATTGTTATGGTGGTCCACATCATAACTTTGTTTTGCGCTAATCACCGCAATTTATAGTAATTCTTTCATATAAATATTAGTCGTATTTTAGTCTGGATTTATTATTTTCAATAAAGTAATCTTGGAATCAGTAGAGTTAAAAATGAAAAATTAGAATGCAGATAATATTAATTTTGCATATATATCCTTCTTCTGATTCTGTGCTATGTCTTTAGGAGGCTCTGTGAATGAAATGCATTCCATATTTTAAGAATTCGCTAATTCAAATGCATCAACAAATGCTTGTATTTGATCCTCCTAATCTTGTAAATGCTTATATTATTAAAGTATTTAATACAAAGTTGTTAGGGATTTTCAGGTGAATTACAAATGGGATTCCATTCTAATGAAAAGGAGTAATTGTTGGTATTCCAGCAATTACTAAGGAATAAAATAAATGTTTACGTTGAGGTCTAGTGTTTATCGAGGATACTTAGATTTTAATGAATTGAGCAGAATAGGGATCATGAGCAAGATTTACTAATAATAATCGACAATTTGAAATTACAAATGGCTGATGCTGATTCTGACAAAATATCACCTTGAAGTATTTGTACAAATGCCTTGCCTATAACCTTGGAGAGGCACAACTTAGATTTCATGAGTTATTTCTACTCTTGTCTTTCTTCTCCACATAAATCTATAATATATAATTTATCTTACTTCCCATTTAATTAAAAAATAATGAAATAAAGAGAGCGATCACATTCTTAACTATATAAACGAATTTTTAAACAATTAAATGATCTCTTTTTCATTAAGTTACTTGATGGCATTGATAAATGAAGACAGGGAAATTACTCCATTTTTTTACAATACCTATTATTTAATAGTTTAAATCAACAAGGTTTATTGATAATGGAGATGAGAGGATTGTAATGAAAACAAATCTGTCGATATTTCATTTTATAGTATATTTCTTTGATATTTATAATAGCATATCTGTAGATAATTGTTATCATTATGGCAATTATTCTGCGGATTCTTATAGGGTTGATTAAGGCTACTTAGGAATATCTTGCATCTCCAATTCAGCTTCTCTGATTTCCTGAGAATTAATCCACTCGTCAACATTCTGTTGTCTTTAAACCTGAGAATACTCACTATTGTAGCTGATCGCAAAAAAAATAGCGTAAAGCTTTAATCGAATAAACACATACCACGGCTGTAATGAACAATGCAAAAGCACCTTCAATTCGACTATGAGGTACTACATAGACAGTTTCAGATCCAATGGCTATCATAAATCCCAAATAGGTCATGAATATGCATCCTGGAGCAGATATAAACATGCAATATTAAGCACAAGAAACCATTAAATTTAATTATGAAATTCATAAAAATAAAAGGAGTTAATTCTTTTTATAATGCTATATGAAATTATAATAATTTTAAGGCAAAAATGTAAATCAATTTTTAAGTTTTAGAGCTAACTTAGCCGATCTCGGTGTGTTAGTAGTTGTTGGCTATTTGGTCATTCGAGATGAAGAAGTACTCGACACAACCATCTAACTGCTGGGAACACTCACAGGGTTATTGTCGAAATCATATCCATTAAACAGATCTACTTATTCCTACAATCATACTCTATACAGAATTCCTCCTCAGCATTATTTATTACTCTTCATTAATGGAATCATCAGAATCTCGTCTGTTATCAGAGGGAAGATAATTGTCTTCATTGCCCTAATAATCTGGTTTAATAATAAACATTAGGGATGAATGGAGCAATAATCTATTTTGTGATCAACTTATCCCAATTAAAATCTCTGAACCATGGGTGTTCCTTCACTTCATCTGGTCCATTGTTACCCAAACGATTCTATGGCTTCCTTTATAGAAGCTAAGTAAAGATATCACATAATACTTTATTTGTAAAATCAGCTGCCTCTAAACTCCATCCTGGAGGAATTTCTTGTCTCTTAATGACTACTTATTTGGCAAGCATTTGTTCTCTTATTTCCTATCTGCTCCTTCCTAAATATGGTCTCCTGCCTAACATGCATTCGTATATGATCACTCCAAGTGCAAAGTAATCTACTGCTACTCCGTGATTGTGTCCTATTATTAGCAAATTTTTGACTTACTACACATAACCTCTGGAGCCATGTACCCAGGAGTTCCACTTGTATCTTGAGAATTCTCGGGTTTCCATATTCTGGCTATTCCCAAATCAGTCAATCTAAGATATCCTAGTCTCATTAAACAAATCAAACGTACCATTACTGTCAAATACTAAATTTTCTGGCTTAAGATCTCTATGCAATACTCCTTATTGGTGCAAGTAATCCAATGCTACAATGATACACCCACTGAAAAACTCTTGCTTTATGTACATCTATATACTTGTTTGTTCTTCATTGAATTTCCTGTGTCTTCCTATGTGATATCTCAGATCTCCTCCAGAGAGCAAATCCATCACCAAATATAAGTATTCTCTATCTTAAAAAGAATATTGCATGTTGATCAGAAAACTTGATTCAATTTCAATTTTTACTTGTGTTTCAGCCCACTCAATAACGTCTTTTCATTCATAACAGACTACACAGACTTCTTTTAAATGATTCTATATTTTAATCACTTTTACTTTGGTTTAGACATCACTTTAAGAGCATAAAATTACTTATTTTTCTTTTATCTAACTTTCCACACCTTACCAAATCCTCCTCTTCCGATTGCATCAATAAATTGAAAATTCTAAACTGAAACCACTAAAATTTTAACCATAATCTCATACCATTATTCTCAATAAGATCTTCCTTTTTTTCATTAATATTACAATTACCCATGCCTTTTTATTTTTAATTATTGATAATATGATTTTTTTATACCTCCATTTCCTAAAGAAATGGAATATACACAGGTGGAAGCCGATTTTATAGACATGATTCAGATTGTGCTAAAAATTATCTACTCCACTTAGTAAAAATGTAGATTTAGTAGAGTATGTGATGGTAAATTGAGAATGAATATGACTTTTTGTATTATATAAATTTACGATCCAAGGTTTAACAAATTCTTGAAGCTATTCTTAAGAACATTAAAACTAGTCTTAAAATGTCACAAAATCAAATTTTAGATTCTGATTCAATTCTTGGCTCCACTAATTCTTATGATAAATGTTTTTATCTATTGGTTCAAGAATTTGCATTAAAGCTTCTTGAAAAAACTGTAAAAGACCTAAATGAATCTGCATTTCAAAATCATTCTTACAAAATAATGGATATTTTATCTTTACAACATAAATAGAAGGGAGATTTCGTCATAATGCTTGAAATTAATTAGAGAAAAGTTGAAGAATTAACAAAAGAAAGCACATTTTAACACTTATTAAAGGAATAATAATTGAGAATAAGAGGCAAGAGTTTAGACTTGGAGGAGAAGTATTAATTTTTCATTATTTTTCAGCTTTGAGTTATCGAGCTTGGACATATATTATTAAATATGATGCTATAATTTTAATTGATTATATTGCCCAAATAAATTTATGCTCATCATGCATCCACTAAATCAACTACTCCGCAAATATCAATGAAGGGTTAAAGCTCTTTACTTAAATCAATGGTCATGGTCTACATAATTTACAAAATTACCAAAACTTCTTCCTTGTTAATTATCCAGGTAAGCGATTTTTAACTTGATTTGATCCTCAATGCAATGACGTCAGGTGGGTTAATCTTAAACTTGTGGGATTTGTTATTAACCTATTCATCTGAATGAGAAAAACTCATACTGGCACTCGTAATTAAATAAAATCTATTTAGGAAAATAACTTTACCCATGGCCTGTTTTTTGTAATTTCTCTGAATAGTTTTATTCAACAGTTCTCTCTTTATAGCATAGCCCCAAAGCAATGCTGAATCCACTATTATACTTGAATGCGAAAATTGAATCTCTATCTTTTGGAATCACAAAATCACAAATGACAAATCCAATTCCACTTGCTTACTTCCCACCTTTTTCTATCTTAATGTTAGGGGATATTTTGCTTTTATCTGAAAATGTTAAATTTAATTGTGTTGGTTGAGCATTTACGGGGGGTTATACTTATTATATTGATTAACCACCTTATTTTATCCCTGAAGTTGATTAAGATTAAATCAATTGTTATTACTGACTTGCTGATTATTAACCTGTAATAGGTTTCAAAAGTAGTAATAAATTACCTATATCAGCTTTAACTTTATTTATTAATGAAGTCAATTGTGCTTCTGAAGATTTCAGTGTCAATAGACCTTTTGTGTATTATTCTAGCTAGCCTATGGACATGGTTGAAATGTCTTAATTTCTGAAATTATTCGCTAGATTTAAAACGTCGTTCAATTTATTTGATGTTTAGAGAACTGTGTCCTAAAATGGTGTAAATTCTTGATAAGGTTTGAGACAAGTAGCAATCCATTATGGGTAAGCCTGGAAATGCATGTAATCTGCTTCATGTCCTTTGTGAAATTCGACTTTGCAGGCAACACAAAAAGCTCTATTTTATTAGCATTATTAATTCAAACACACACCACTTATAGGAGCTTATTCGTGGTGTTCCCTAGAGCAAACTAAATTTGGATTTCTGCTCATCATTTTCTTAGTCTATTTTCTATTATAATAATTAAATAATGATTAAATATTTTTAATTGATTTACTTAAAAACCTCGATTTTTAAAATTTTCATTTTTTATATATACACGATTGTTTCCTACGCAAATCTTGGTTCAAATATTGACGGATACTCTTTTAATCAGTAAGAACAATATGAATTACATAATAATTTACCGTGAAATGAAATAATAAACATCAGCATTTAATTTATATTACCCAATTTTATCGAACTTACCTAACACGCTATATTAAGATCTATCAACAAAGGGTTGTAGATATGTTTTAGATTTAAGAAAATGCGAAATCAAAATAGAATTAGAAGAGTTATATAAAGACGGAATATTATAAAATTAATAGAAATTATTTAATTTTAAATGATAGAACAGTATAATAAAATCATAAATAAATTAAATAAATATGTAATTGCTCTCGATTAAGAACATATTTGAATATTAAGATAAGAAATTGGATGGTGTCAAGGAGAATCTATTCAAAAATATTAGTAAAAATTCAATATAAGTTTAGATCAACTTTAAGGATTAGGAGTGCCCGATATCTGCATTATCACCAAACAACAGCCCATCAATATAATAAAATCATCCTATGAGACCTCCTCTTCATTCCACTTCGTCTAAGGCCTGTGCCCACAATCGTAGGCAGATGTTTTTGCGTATTTAGAAAGCGTTGTGCAAAATTAAGAAAAAGAGAGATAAAACATCTTCTTCTCCAAGGTTTAAAGCATTACTAAAGTAAATGGAGCATATATCAAGGTGACATACCTCTGCTATGACATATTCTCAAAGGCTTTCTTAGTCTGTGAAGCCTCGTTTGAAGGCCAGAAAAACAAAAGTGTATTTTTAGTACAAGAAAACTAAAGAATGATCTAGCCCACACAGTAGCATTGGAATGGGGCATACATAAGCAATATATTGCGAGCAATAGATGAAGATTTTAAGCTTGTAGGAGTGGGACGATTTTTTAACAACCTATGTTTAAAAAATAACACTAAATTGTGCAAAATGATTGAATCAATGCTTGAATTAATCACAATAAACGTAAACTAATTTTAGGACTTTGATAAAATAAGATCCAATCAATGTTTTTGTGATATAAATGATGTCTTATACTATTTATGTTGGCCTTTGGATATATTGGTATCACATTTAGTAAAATCTCATCAATTATTCATTTTGGTTAAAGAGTTAGACAAAATATAAAGCAATGTTATTTTTCATCTGATTAAAAGCATGATATTCTATAAAATGAAGTAAAGCTAAATGTAAATTAGATAATACCAAAGGTCCTTATCATGTATAGGTAATATCACTCAAAAAGTATAGTAATTTAATTTGGTAAAATACATATTGGGCAAAGTTTTGATCAAATTGGGCAAATATTAGCAGGCATTTTAAATCCTCCAAGATACTCTGACAAACTCATATGAGAATTAAGTAGTTTGGATTGCTCTTGTAAAAAGAGCCAAACTTATCTTAGGCATCCATATTTAGAAAATAAAATAATTATCAGGTTTCTCTGAGCCTATTAAACAAAGCAGCAGGCCTTTAAGGAATGAAGATGAGAAAATAAACGTGGTTAGAGATTCATCTCACAAATTACCGAGTGATGACTCAATATCATTCATTAACCAGTCTAAATGATTTAGATGATATATATGTACAAATCAATCCCTTTGAAGTTGATTAAGTCGAGAGCTTCTCCTAATTGAGTAGTCACCCTGTACTTTAACAATTTTTAATGAGATCAAGGGGTTTAGATAAAAAGTAATTAAAAGTATTAATTTATTTATCAATAGTTGTGGTATCACCAAGCATAAAAATATGTGAACAATTGGAATTATAAAATTGAGAAGCAGGTTTATGATTTTATCTCATAAAATCGGCTTCTTGAAAATAAAAATGAGCTTACTGCATTTTAAAAAGAAATAATTAAACTGTCAATTTAAGTTGGGCATAAGCAATTATAAAAATATTTAAAATTATATTTCTTTTAAACCCCTCATAATTCTTGCTCTTCATTTGCTACTAATAATGATTATGAGAACTTCAAGATTAGCTTAAAAAATAAAAATGTAAAAAGAAATTTCTAAGATTTTGCAAAGGTATTAATAATTTCATATTAGAAATAAATTTTTGATGGTTCTTTGTCTTTGAACTATATAGATTCAGAGGATGATGATCAACCTGAATACGTATAATCTAACCTCAATAAATCATTTGATCTTTCAAATCATATTTCACTAACCAATATACCAACCTAAAATACAAAAAATAAACCTTAAAAGCCCTAATTTTAGAAACAAATCTCCTCAAAATTTAGCAAGCAAACATATTCGATTATACCAGAAAATATGTTTGAAAGTGTTGAGTCTTAAAGAGATATTGTTTGTTAATTTAAGAGAGTTGTTAATCGTCCTATGTAAAATTTAAATGAAAAAAAAATAATTAAAGCCCCGATAGTGTAAATTTATGGGTTGATTGATCATCTCAGCAAGAATCTTCCTTTATTAAAATAAACTGAGATTGGAGATTAAATGAAAAGAAAAAAAGATCATTTAAATCCTTCACTTGAGGAATTTGTTGATTATATCTCTTAGACATTTAATATACTAGATAAATTATTTTACAATAATAATAATGTATTAAATATTAGCTCAAGTCCTTAGAAGCAATAATTTCATAGTTCTGATAAATAAGCATCAAAGACGAAATTAACATAAATCTTTTCATCCTCATTAAAGGAATCTTTGAAGGATAAACATTATGAAGAAAAACAAATAGAGTTCAAGGATTATTATACAATTTTTGGACTTGCACTTAATGATCAGGATGAGCAACAAACATTTAATTAGTTTCTGAAACAAGAATCCATTTTTTTATTTAATTGTAGTATAATCGCTAAGAGACTTAAATAATACAAACTAGCATAGAAACTCTTATAGAAAATAAACGATCGGGTTATTTCAATTTAGGTTTCCTATTCACTTTTAAACTTTTGTAAGGATGAACCTACTTAACTAATTTTATTGTATTAATTTATAACTATAAAATAGAATTTAAAATATCTTGATGGATTTTTTAGTGTGTGGGATCTCTAAAATAGTATCAATCCCTCTTTGGATTGAGATTTTTCTGATTAGATTAATTAAATTAAAAGGGTGTAATTATGTTTTAGGATTGCTATCTGCTCTAGAAGATTAGGATACTTTTTAATTAATAAAAAAAATAGTCTTACAAACTGAAAACTTACTTTGAATTTTTACTACTTGATATATTAATTATTTACTTATTGTTATTGATAAATAAAATATCAAATTTTACAGTCAAAGGATAAATTTGAATTCAAATAATTAAAGAGTTTTTTTAAACATCAATAATTTAATTATAATATACACTTTTATATTGAGAAATATACGAATTGTGTTATTAAATAATATATAATCAAACTATCGTTTAATGAACAGAGTTTCTCGCCTAAAATCTAGACTTGTTGAGGTTTAATTGAGTATATTCTTAGGTTTCACTTTTTTTTAATTTGGAACTTTTTCTTACTGCTTGAGATGATTGTAATTGAGAATCCTTTTTCAATACTTTGAAATTGGGGATTGCACTAATACGTGGAGATTCTTGATCTACTTATAATTCCTCAGGATTCATTTCAATTTCATTGATTTCTTTTTAAAGGAGATTATTGCTTCTTTCTCCAGTTGTTTGGCCTTATATTGACTTTTTCTTAGCCAATTGTTATTAGTCATTTTGGCTATTGTCACTTTAAAAGTAAGGATGGGATAATGCTGCTTCTGCACTAATTCTTTTTTCTGGATCAATTTCAAGGAGACTTATTAAAAGATCTGTTTCCTCTGGAGTGAGTTTATATAACTAGAGAATTTTAAAGTCTATGTTGCAAATTTTATTCATCCTTAAAATTTCATTCGATGTCTTTCCAGGAAACACATCTCTGGTAGTGACTCTATTATACGATTTACAAGGAAAATGTATACAATTTAAAGAAAATACATCCAACACTAAAAAGATCTACTTTTTCATTATAACTATCTTTAAATTTTTCTGGAGCTGCATAACCAGGGGTACCACAGACTCTCAAATCCTATGAAGGATATATGTGAACTGCTAAGTGAAATTCTGTTAATTTTAGTCCTTCTATGGAATCTTTATTTTTGAATACTATATTAGTTGGCTTGATGTCTCTATGCATAATATTACTGGAATGGATGTCTCTAACAGCAGTAATCAATTGCTTTATGATATTGGTAATACAAATTACTTTCATAATAATTAATATTTAAGTTCTATCTAAAGCGACATTCATAATTAATTCATATAAGTTTAATCCTTCCAAGTACTCTTAAATTAAATATACAGTGTTTTCTCCGTTAAATACCTCATGTAAATTTTACACTTAGTCAGATCTAATATTTGTTAAGCAAGAGATCTCATTATGAATCCGAGTCTGATGTAAAATATGCAATAAATACAATAGAATCTTCAAATTAATTTTTGGCAAGACATTTTATTTCGTATGAATTACCATTTATTCTGTCTATGCATAAATATACCTATATGTTAGAATAAATTACTTCATCGAAATTTCCTTCTCCCAATTACTGCATGGGTTTATAAAGATGGCGAACAGTTTTATACATTATTTTATTTTTAATAGTTTATCGCAACTTCAAGAGATCCTCATGCGTAGAGTGGAATTATTTCTCGATGTTGTTCCACATAATGCTAAAGCTTATGAGTTAATTCATTTGATTTAATTGCCAAGAAATTGTATTCTGCAATTCTAATTCGATTATATATTTCGGTTCTTTGCCAATCTTTATTATCATTCAAGCATACTTAATTTAGAGTGATCTTAGTGGGAAGCAATTAAAGAACATATTTCTAATCTAAAAATGTGTGTTATCGGATACAAATGAAGCTTAACTAAGACTCCATTAATTAAATAATAGATTTTTATATTTCATTCAATTAGACCGAACTTAAATTCTAATCTTCTACTTTGGATAATCAATAATGAAAGAAATGAATTCTACTAATTAAATTTATAATTAGGAAACTTTCATATTCTATTTTTCTGTCCCAATATATTATCACATTACTATTTTAAGTATATCTTCTAATTTTATTTCCTTAATTTTATATGATGAATGGAATATTTTGTAATTCAATACTTTCCTTATAAATTATACAATTCTTTACAATAAAATGGATATATCATTTAAATCAATTAACTTTATTGTATTTCATGAATAAAAATCATCTTTTAACGTCTTATTTTCTTAATAAAACCTCATTTGATAAACCGCTTAAGATATGTTTAGATTTGAAAAATACAAATGTTATCTTGTACAACTTATATACATATCAATGAATCTAAATTGATTATAAAAACAACAAATCACTAACTCTTACTTATCCGTTTTGATTTATTATCGATTGTAAAGTAAATTGCAAATATCAATATCCTCTTTAAGCGATAGCCAAACTGTCGATATCTTAACAAAATGAAAGATTATTCTGAAATGTTGAATCCCCAAAACTAGTTAATAATAACATTTTAAGAAAATAAGCTTGCATCAATCATCAAAGTGTTACTAAAATTCTGGTATTAGAGTTCTATCCAATTTTAGGATGACCTTAATTCTCTATAAGAGTATATATTAAAAGTTTGCTGATATATTTATTGATTTAAAGAAATCATAACAATATTTTTATCATTTAATTATAAGTAGTCTGTGATATTTGTAGACAGTTATTAATGATGAATGAACATGTTAGGTTGATTTTTGACAAAAATTAAATAATTTATAATGTGAAATTCTTGTTTAATGTTTTAGAAAATAATAGTTTTATTTATTTATATATGATAAGTTAGAAATAATTGCCCAACATTTCAAGAACGCCTCAAGCCAAAAGTTTCCATTCAATAGAACATTTATTCAACTCTTCTTAAAAATAATCTAAATAATTTCACGATAATTCGTTAAAATCTCTTCATAACATTAGTAATGTCTCATTCATTCGAAATGATAAATATGAGGTTAAACAAGATGTATTTATACAGTAAAAATTAACTAGTAATATTATGCATCTCCATTGTTAAGCAAATCTCAAATGTTCGAAGTAGAGAGGCAAAGCAGACAACGAAAAAATGAGGTGTATTCTCAAATGCTGAGTGAAAATCCATTCAAATTTAATAATGATTCCTAAGAAGACATAGTTCCTGAATATCCTCGAAGTACTTACACAAATTTATGCAAATATTAGAAGTATCTTCTATTCATGTGAATTTATTCGATCTAAGAGATAAGGAGAAATTAGCATAATTATTGCATGAAACCAGCGAATTCTCTGACAAGCTGTCCTAACACATCCCATAAACTAAACCAGCTAATGTTATAATTCAAAGATAAGATGTCATAAAATTGGCTTAATGGATTGATTATTAGATGAAAATAATTGTAGTCGACTCTAATCTGAAGGAAGAGAAGCTCCTCTTTCAATTGGAGTAAGTATTTAATTAGAGTCTCAAAGAATTAGTTAGAGAAATATCAATTGATTGTGTAGAAAAAGGGTAATTAAGTTCTTGTAATTAGAGTGTTATTGGAAAAGATATGGAATCAATATGTCAAATTTAATAACATAGTCATGCAAGCAAATCAATAGGATAAAATCAATTAAGAAACAGAATACTTAAATCAATTAAAACAAGTAAAATCTCATAAATAAATTAGGTACATCAAACCTATTAAATATCAGTCTAAGTTTATGAGGACAAAGTTAAATTATTAGAAAAATAAATACAATAATAATAATAAAAATATGAAGAAAAAATCATGGATTTCGATAATCTAAATTCTAAATATAAACACATCATTTCTAAATTTTAAGATTTGAAATAAGAAAATGATGAACTCAAAAATAAGTATTGTATTACCATGAATGAAAATGAGGATTTATCAATTAAAAATAATGCCTTATTGACTGAAAACTAGAAAATAATAAAATAACTCAATGATAGAATTAATTATAGTCTCTCAAAGTAAAAAAGAGGTCAGCATGGATTTGGAGATTTTGAAGATCATAAATCAACTAGTTGTTATGATTTATACTCTACCATGGAAATACATGTCAATAAATTAACTCAAACTAATGTAGATAAAATTCAATAATATGTTCAAACTGACTACAGATATTTCAAGTAAGTAGGAATATAATGCGACAATCTAGATATGGATGAATAGCCCATCTCAACTCCATAGACATCTGTAAATAGGTAATTTTTATCATTTTTATAGAAATAATTCCAATCCTCCAAATTCAGAATTAAGAAAAGCTAAGGAAATCAATTATGCATTAGAAGATAGAGTGCGAATGGAGATTTAAATTCAAGATCAATTAAGAAAATAAAAATAATTAATCTAAAGAGAAGTAGAATCTTAATAAATTAAATTAACTAATTAAGATAATTTAATTATTCAGTTACAAAAAGACATTTAAATCCTGTAATAGTAATTGGAAAAGTAAATCGAGAATAAATAAAGAGAAATGACAGTTGTTAGTATTGAACAATAAAATACAGAACAATAAATGACATTAGGACCTCAACAAACTACATCTTCAATCAAAACAAGTCTTAAAATTGAAACGCAAAATAAAACTCATGAAAATGCCTCAGATCTAAATAAACTATCATAAAGCCAGAAATCTAAATAATTAATCAATTTAGAGGCATCCAAGTAATCGTAATCATCCTAATAACTTAAACAGACAAATTCAACTGGGTTAAGCAAAATAAGTACAGTTGAAACAAAAGATTCAAAAAAATAAATTAAATCCTTTAAAAATTCGAGTCAAATAATCCCAAGAAGATAATCATAAAACTCACTTCATGTCAGCAACTCCTAAGAATTAGATAAGAATTAAGTCAATGAGGATCCTTTGAGCAAACTTGTTAATGATTTCATGATTGATACAAAAACTAATTTTAATTAAAGAGGAAGTATTGTCTAACAAAGAAGATAGACATAATAACAAAATTATATTATGATTTAATAGGACAAGTTATGTAAAGAATTATTATTTATCATTAGAATAGAAATAATAAAAATTGAAAAGGGAAAACATTTATGTTTGATGTCGCTTTAGCATTTATAAGTTAATTGTAACAAGATTTTAAGTAAAATCCAGAGCAAATCGAAAATACAATATCGTTATAAAATCTATTAAAATAAATCTCTTTTTTCTATAAAGAAAGATTGGAGTAAAAGTACCCATTATATGCTATTTGTTATGAATATTTTATGAATCAATATGGATTAAAGAATGTTGCTGAGTAAAAAATGACATCGTTTTGTTAAAGTCTAATATTTTACCAATAAAATACTAGAATTAGATTATTCTCTCGATTTCTACAATTATACGAAGGGATTTCAAATGAAGATCTAGATTTCTATATATAATCTTTATCAACCCTAGATGAACATTCTAATCCGTTAAATCTATTATACTGCAATTAAACAAATGAAAGCATATATGTTAAGCAATCTAAAATTAAAAAATAATTAATGATGTTAAATGAAAAAGGATAAGAGATACTAGAGTAACTCAATTAATATCATAAAATAATAAAGGGTGAAATATATGTTGATTTAGATCAATATTATTAATTCTGCCTTGAGCAATTTCAATATTTAAGAAAAATATAGAAAGACAACTTCAATGAACTATTTTTGGCAATAGATGTTGATGATAATCAGATTATTAGTATTGAAGAATTTGAAATATTATTTAATTTGATTGAGGACAATTAAAATTTATTGCAATATAAAAAATTGTTTTTGAAGGAGATGCAAAATAATGATGGATTAAACTTTTATTAATTTGGAATGTTTTGCATGCACTATAATTTGTTTACAAAGTAAAGATAGGATATTTTCTTTTTTTCAAATCAAGATAGTTTAAATGCAATATACAATAATTGGGGAAATTAAAGAACTATTATTACTAGCAGATTGAAATAGTCTAATTGTTTTAATTAATATTATCAGAATTTAATTAGGAAATTAGATAATGTAATATTATACATTGAATATTATTAGGCCTTAAAAAATAATTTAAGCTTTACTTGGAATTTATGGAAAATCTTAGAGGAATAGTCCAAAAAAGTAGTTTTGGATAATATAATTCTGAATATCGTAGGAAATAATCTAAATAGTATAACTGAAAAATATGAATATTTATTCTCAAAAGATTGAATTTAAATAATAAATAATGGAGAATCATATTTATAGATATAATTTATTAGTTTTATTTTCAAAATAAATGAATATATAATCTTAATTTTTACTATAGAATATGATTCTTGATATTTACACTTATAAATTAAGAATTAAATTTCAAGCTTTTGTTAGAGAGATTTTAAATTTTGATTTTGTAGAGCTTCTCAAAGAATTTAATATACTTTTCTCTAAGTCCCATAACTTATTTATTTTCACAAAATCATTTGCTTTTTACAAATAATTATTTAAGACAACTTATTTATGCTATGATTTGAATTACTGTTGTTTTATTTGTTTGAACTGTTCCAAATTTTATTATATTTATTGTTCTTGTAATTAAACTTTATGCTTTTTCTCAACATTAAAAGATTTAGATCTCTCTCTTTAAAGAGTAATAAATTTATCATATTGTAATGATTGTAGTTTCATTTATTAAAATTTTTATTCTCTTTGTTATTAAATAGATAAACGAATTTGCTGTTAAAGCTTAATCTAATCTTATTTTTCTTACTTTTTGATATCCCTTTAGAGTTGCAGAGATTAATTTCTCGTCTCCTTATTTTGTTGAACCTACCAAATAAATACTCAATACTCTCTCAAAATGTGAATGATTGTAACTTCTAATATTATTAAGATATTAAATTCTGTCTTCAGTTTGTTACTGTTTTGCTTGTCTAATATTAGGTTTAAATGTACAATCTTGATTTTTGGATGGATAGTAATTTAATTCGATTAAGCATAATATCTAATTATCGTTTCATTTCAATTTACTCTTTTTTTGACACTCTTTCACTTAAATTAGAGATTGGATCATCAAGTTTAAATGAATCTTCTCTAAAACTAAGCGGTCTTGACATTGTGAGTTTATTATAAATTTTAATATTAATTGATAATTAAATGAGTGGAAATAAGAAGATGGATGTTCTGATAAGCATGAAGGCTGAAATATAAGCATAGAAGGAAGGACAAGAAAAAATATAAAAATTATGTTTTGAAAATATCAACATTGGATAATTTACAAATGAAACAATAAAATTATTGGCAAAATACAATGATTTAAGTAAAAATGATGAATAAAGAAAGTATGTTTGGAATTCAATGATTGCAAATTGTCATCTTTAGATAATTTAATAGGATTCCCAAATCTAACAAAATTACGATTATGCAATAATAATTTGGATAAGAATAGTCTCCAACATATTATTTAGCATTTTCCCAAAAGTGACATACTTAGACATAAGTGGGAATAAAAAAATAAGCCAAGATGTATATTATTATTTTGAATAAAAAAAGGATCTTAAAGTTTTGGTTGAACTAAAAGAATTATAGCATTTAGTATTTAATGAAAAAGATACTGATAGAGCACTCCTATTTGAATCGATACCATAATTGAGTTATATTGATCACAAGGACAAGGCTGGAAATGAAGTAGAAGACGAAGAAAATGAGGATGAAGAAGATGAAGATGATGATGATGAGGATGAAGAAGACGAGGAGGAGGATTTAGAAGATGATGAGGAGGAGGATGATGATGAAGAAGATGCAGAAGAAGCAGAGGAATCTGAAGAAGAGTAGCCAGTTTAGAAAAAGAAGAAATAGTGATGAGAAAATATTAAAAATAAATATAGACTCATTTTTTAGATGGTTCAGTCAATAAACTTTAATAAAATTTTAGGTTGGTTACACTTTTTGTATTTTTGAGTGTATCATTTGAACATATCACTGATGATAGTTATGATTATGATTATTGGGATAATAGTGATTGTTAACTATTCTGAGAATTTTTGGTTCTTTTTCTTACTAATGAGTCTATTGTGTCTTTGGTAACTTGAGTAGATGAGTTTTTATCAAATTCATAGGCTTTGTATCTTTTCTATTGATAGAAGAAGGCACTTTCAAACATAGGTGTAAATTAAATAATCAATTTCTATTCCCTATTCAATTATTCGAACAAAATTCTATCGTTGGTTGTAGGTTATTTAAATACTAACTTAGTTAATTCAGGAATATAAGGTGGATCTACTTTTTTTTAAATGTATTTTGAGATATCAACATCCTAGAACCAAGGATGTGCCAATATATCATCAACTCCACTCTTCGATCCCAATCTCCTACTTGGATCCTTAATCATAAGTAATCGAATCAAATCTTTGACTTCTGGACTTAACTATTTGGGGAATGTCACCTATTCATTTAACAATCTAGTGTAAATGATATTTTTATCTTCACAATAAAAGGGGGGAAGACCTGTAACAAATTCATATAGTAATGCTCCTAAACAATAATAATCAACTAAATAATTATGTCCATCATTATGAAACATTTCAGGTGCCATGTACTCAGGAGAACCACAAAACGAATAAGCATTCTATTCTGGTTGCATGTTGGGTCTTGCCAAACCAAAATCAGCCAATTAAATATGCCCTGTAATATCTATTAACACATTTTCTGGTTTTAAATCACGATAGATCATTTGTTAGTGGTGTAGAAACCCTATGGCCAAACATACTTCTGTAATGTAGAATCTAGCTTGATTTTCTGTCATCTTTTATGCTCTTTTCATGTAACTAAACATTTCCCCTCCAGGACAATACTCTATGCCAAAAATTATCCAATTCTTAGTTTCAAATACAAATTCTATCTTTGATGTGAATAACGAACCTTTATTGGTAGTTTCTATAAGAATATCTCTTTCATTCTAAACTAAATCCTGTTTCTCATTTTAGATGACAAAGCTTTTGCTAATCAACTTCAAGGCTACGAAACTACCATCAATTAGTGATCGAGATAAAATAACTGTTGAGAATCCACCTCTGCCTATCACATGCAAAAACTGAAAGCAACTCAAATTCAATTGCTTCGGTGGAGATATACCAATTATAGGCTTCAACCTTAAGGTTTTTCCAATCATGTGATTCATTGGAAGAGAGGGAACTGTGAGATAGTAATCAAATCCAATGTTTTCATCAAGTGTTGCAAATCCAACGACTTAATAGTTCCCAGATTTACTTTTCAGAACACTTACAATTTTATCAGTCGTTACATTAGGATGAAATCGATGAATTTGTGTAACTTCTGAAGAATAATGGATGTAAACAGAAATTTCCTATATTAGTTCCATTTTATCAATTGAGGAAAGATTTCCCTTCCCTACTTAAACAGAACTTGTTAGAAGATCTTCAACGCTATTTCTGCGAGTCATTGAACCTTTTTCTAAGACGAGTTTATTTTTATTTGTCAATTTTTGGTTTAGAATTAAGTTAATTCCCTTTGAAATTTATTGAGATGGGAAATTTGATTCAGTTGGAACTTTCGAAGATTTCACTAATGGTTTTGGTTTATCCCTGGAATTTGATCGTTGCTAACTATGCACTCTCTCAGTTAAGCTACCATGATTAACTTTTCGAGCTGAATCTTGTTTCACTAAATCCTTCAAAATAATTTGCGATAGATTTCTTTAAAGGAATTTTAAGGGAGATTGTGATGCATTTTTGTTAGATTGATTTCTAGTGCTCATTTAAAAGTTTTATATTATACGAGCTGGTGACATTATCTAACCACTTCGTTATCTCATTTATTGTTATCAAATAAAAAAATTAATATTATTTACATTTTTGATAAGTAAAATAATCAGATCAATAGTTGCTATTGCTAATCATATATTACTTTTCATGAGTTAATTAGTAATGCAATTTAATATATACCAATATCACAATCAACATTAAAAGATTGCATCATTTTATTTAGATTAAGAAGGATGTGCTTAACAATGATATTTTATTTAACTTTTATCAGATATAATTTGGATGATATTACGAAAAAATATCAATTCATTCTAATTTAATATTCTCCATTTTATGTAATGTATCTCACCCATGGCAAAGCATTGTATCCACTTTTATCTTGAATCTTTAAATATCTGACTTAAAAACCAGAGACAGTAAAGTAGGGGATTTCAAATGTGATATTTATAGGCATCTTCTAAAATTTATCTCTATTCGGTGATACGATTCTATATTTAAATTGATATGTATATATACGTTGGGAGATGGAATACAGCATTCATCATAAAGTCTCTCTGACCTCCAAATTATTTGATGCTCCAACACATAGCTTCCTTATCGGGCATATAATTGACAGAACCATGAGCAGTTCTAAATTGAGGTTACTCTGCATCATCAGGCACTGGTACAAATATCTATGGATATAATGGAATGAATTACTTCAACATTGTTTGCTGTACTCTTAGGCTTGAAATTCGATTTGGCTTTAACTAAGAACTCAATCTTTGTTGCTGATTTCCTCTCAATCAATACATCAACTGAAAATAGTGGTTTCACTCTTATATCCAATCTATAGGAGATCAATTCGAAATCACCATCTGGAGGTGTAAATTAAATAACTCTTTCATTTTCAAATTTTGATAATCTCACACATTAATGGAACTTAATATCATCAAATTCAACTGCCCTTGCTCTGGATTAACGACCTTGTGCTTCAAAAAATGCTTTGTCGTTCAAACCTAATTTCAATTCAGGCATTCCACTCAACATACACTTCACTTACACTTATCCTATAATCTCACTCTTTATTACATTTCCTTGTTGCCCTATTAGCATATTCAATTTCTCAATCACATCCAAAAAAACTTCATTTTTTTTATACTTGATTCCCTCCTTTCTCCATGATATCTTATTAGAAACCAATGCAACAACATTGAAATTAGTTTGCTCTGGTTATTTCTTCTCCTTCAATTAAAAACTTTCTGTTTTGATAAATTCTTTCAAAATTTTAAATTCTGTTGTTTACGGATATCCATTATCAAGCATTTCATCTAACAATTCATAAACAACTACAAAATTATCTCTGATTGACTCCTCTTCAACATTTACAAAATATTCCTGTAATACCTATACCAATCTGAATAAAAATGAAAAAATCATTAGACAATTAGCATTTTGAGAACAAACAGTCATAAATATTAGATTGTTGTGCCTTATAAATATGTAAGTATATCCATCCTTGTCTATCATTACAGGCTTTTGAGTATATTCGTCAAACTCCAATAATTTTTTATTAAATGTTTCGTGAATATTCATCGGCAATTCATTTCTGTATTACCTTGTAATCAAGACTCTTCCTTTCTAATCCAAAATGTAAATTGATGAAATTCCAAACATTAATAATAATAAAACACGTCAAATTAAAATAATTAGCATATATGCACAATATCCAAGTTTTTCAATCAAATAATAACTTAATAAAAATAAATAATTTTCATTTTTATGAATTAATAGAATTTGCCATTCATATATACTAGTTAAGAAGGTAGATCTTATGTATGCGAAGAAAAAATTGGATAAGGCGCTCAAGGAATGATATATAAAGGTTACAAATAAGACCAACCAAATCTAAAGGTAGCAATAAAATTTTCGGACGATACTAGGGATGATGAATTGTAATTTTTGTATAGACTCAAAAAAACATCCAATTAATTTCATCACATCATCTAGTACTATGATGTTGATTATGATAAGAATAGTTCATTTAAAAAGTACTGCTTTGTTATGGAATTGGGCTCCAAAAATTTACTAGAAGAGATTTAATTTACGAATAATAAGGATGAATCCCAGAAAATATAAATTATTTAATAGATTGCTTTTGGGATCAATGAGATTCATTAATTTAAACATATTCATAGAGATATTAAACCTGAAAATATTATTTAAGTTGGTGATAAATGGAAACTGTGTGATTTTGGATTTCTTAAACATCAAATTAGTAAAAATGTCACTTAAAAAGTTGGTACTCCATATTATATAGCTCCAGAAATTGCTTTTTAAGATCCTACTAAAAATGTTTAGTATAATACTAAAGTAGATATTTGGTCATTTGGATGTATCATCTATGAATTTCTAACAGGTGATTTGTTTTTTTAAGGAGATTCATAAGAGGAAGTGGTTTAATAAATTTATAGTTATTGTTAGAGTTAAATATCTAATGCGAGAGAAAAAAATAAGGATAATAGATTCAATAGGATTAAAAATCCTAAGTTATAAAAATTATGCAAATGTACAATGACAGTTGATCCTGAATAACGATATGATACTAATTAAGTCATTGAAGAACTTAATAATCTTATCTAGGACAAACCTATCATTCCTAAAGATGATGCCAATGAAAGGAAAACTATCAATAATAATACTCCTAACACTAAATTTGTCCTTTAAAACCAAGCTAACATGAATACCCAGCCATAAATATAAGCACCGACATTTTTATAATCAAATTTAGGATAAAACAGTACTTTTATTTCCACCCTTCAAAAGCCCCAAAGCTTCCAACAACATAATACTTTTCCAAGCATTTAATCTTTCCCTACAAAAGATCAAAAGGCTTAACCCTAAAATCTACCATAATTTTAATTAAGTAATAATTAATAGGCGTAGTAATCAATATCATAGAGTAATTCAAAAATATAATTAAATACTTTATAACCTTAATAATTTTAATTCACCTAAACATTTCCGAAACCTCCATTTTAACCACAATTTTTAACTAACACTCAACCACAAATAACCTCTATCATAAATTAACCAAATATAGAATCAACCTAAAATTTTCAAGGAAATAATAATCAAAATTAAAATTAAGTTTAAGTATAAGCATTGATGACTTAACATCTGAAAAAAATAGTATAACCAAACTACGTTGATTGCATTCTAAACTATTACTAAAATTAAAAGATTGACAATAATTGTAATGATGCAATAGATTATCTTCAAATCATAGTTAATTATGTTAACAATGAAGTTAGTTCTAAAGTTTAAAATATTACACCACTAGATAATAAATGATATTTTTGATTTTTAGTTAAATTAGAATAAATATTATAAATCATAATCCTTGCTTAACTATTTGACCAGCCTTTGATAAATTTGCAGAAGATTTCTTACTCAAAATTGACATAAGTTCATTTTGTAGTGATACTGATAGATTATTTTTTTATGGGGGAGATGAATCTGTTCTAAATTTGTTGATTGATTATTCTTCCGATTACTACAAATAGACTTGTTGTTATTAAGTTGTTGAAAAGCTAACTTTTTCTGATAACTCTTATTCTAATTGTTACACATATTCATCTAATTAATAAACTCTAGTTTATAAGGAACTTAATTATTATTAATAATAATCAATTTGACTTCCAATTGAATTTTTTTTTTGAATATCTTCTTTTGCAAAATTCAAAATCTAATAATAATTTTATGAATTGGTCGATCTTCCTTAATATTTCAAATCATATTTATTAATTTAGAAATTCAACTCTTTTATCATTTTGTTCACAATATTTAAACCTGTTTATTTTCCTTCTTCTATATCATGAAGTATTGGTATGAACTTTTCAAATGTCTAATCAATGATCTCATTATTGTCAAATTCAAGGATTACTACTTCATCCTTTATATACAAGGCTTTTTTCAGTTTTTTAACAAAAATTATAGCATAGGCTACTTTTCTGAATCTTAAGTAAATATTCTGATTTCTAATCTAGAATTAGTTTCTTAGGAGGACAAAATAATGTATATAATTTGAATATTAAATTAATTGTGAAAACAAAAATTGAGTTCTCTTATTTTTAAGTAAATATGATAATAAACTATAACTTAAAGCTACTTTGTTTTAGGAAATTGCTTTTCTTACAAGTAATTCTTCGAATTCAACTTGAAGTTATATATATTAATTGTTTAGTTCTTCAAATTCCTATGCCAAATCCTATTTTTATTAGAGAAACTATTAATTTATCCTCTCTTTCTCTAAGATTTATTAATCATATTGATGACATGATTCAATTAATTAATCGATATATTGATGATCCTTTTATGCCTTTAGATTTTATTGCTCTAGAGCATCCTATAATTAATTAATTTTGTCTTCCTGTTACTCGATTATATTTTAATGTTCTAATTGTAATTAGTCTCTTGCCTTGATATGCTCAGAATTCAATTATTCAATTTTGTATCTAAGTTACTCACCTACTTTGTGCATGTCTTAAATGTTTTTACAAACTTAATCATTTTCTTCCTTTAATTGAGTATTTGTGGATATTAAACTCTAAATGATTTCTTTGATATCAATAAAAAATTCTTCAATTTGTATTTGATTGTAACTATATTTCTTCTTCTTTTTAGGAACCGATTTACGACTGGTTGCAGAAGATGATTTTCTTCCTTCATACAATCTTTCATAAACATTTGACTTTTTTTTAGTAACCAAACATTCTGCAATAGTTTCATCAATTTATTATTAAATATAATTAAACAATTTTGAGAATTCTTTGTTTTACTATTCTAATTAATTAGAGTAATCTTTTTATTATTTATATTGATCATGTTAAATTTCACATTCTTTCCTTAGTTTTTCATTTGCCCTGTTCATTTCGTCAAATTACAAAGCATAATTCTTTTCACATTCCATAGCAGTCTGAACTTAAATATTGAATTGTTCATTTAATTATTGATTTTTCTTTTCTAAATCCTCAAATGATATTTTGACGTATTTTAGTTCAACCAATTCTTAATGTTACTATTCCAATCTTAATCGATAGTCTTCTAACTCTTATTTTAATAATTCATTCTCTGTTTCTAATTGCTTAAGCATATTTATTATACTATTTTCAAACTTGTTTTTTTCAGATGTTATTTATCTTAGTTATGTTTCAGCCTCTTGTTTTTCTTTTTTTAAAATGGAATTCTTTTTAGTTAATTATTATAATTCATCTTCTAGTCCTTTGACTGCATCTTTTATTAAGGAGATTTATTCAGTCACTTCTTGTTGAGTCATTTACTTCTAAGATAACTCCTAACTTTAAAATTTGACTTTCTCCAATAGTTCTTAGTTCTTATCTTAGACTTCCTTCAATGCAGCCAATAATTATTGGTTAAATTATTGCAATTACTTGGTTTTTTTCTATTAATTATCAAACATCTAATCATGTTCTTCTTAGAGAATACCAAATTGCCGATCCCCATACTCTTTTTATTTTATTGCTTAACTCAATTATTCTTCCAACTCTTGTAATCTTTCTTAAAGTATATTAATTGTTTAGTCCTTAATCTAGACATCATTACTCAATAACTTGATTCTAGTATAACTTTCTTGTATTGCTTAGACACTGTCGTTCATACTTAAATTTAAAATTATTAATAAATAACAATCTAATCTCATTTCATAATCATTCCCACTATATTCAAACCACTCTTGGCCATTTCCCTTTTTAATTGCTATAATTTTTTCTTATGATCCCCTCTGCATTTGTAAAATCCTTGGAAATTTGTTGCAGTTAATAAAAGACACATAATTGGTAAAGGCAACTTTTTAAAATAATCTAAATAAATTACCCAAATTGCTTTGAATCCAATTAAGTCTCCTAAACACATTATTCCCCAAAAAATAGTTCCATAAACAAGACATGCCCAAAAAAAATATTAATCGACTTAATTCGATTGCTCTTATGATTAAGTTTAGACACTCCATTTCTTACCTTTGACCTCAAGCCACCAACACAACCCAACCAATTTCAATCCAAAATAATTCTTCATCAAAATAAACTACACCAATTGTAATAATCCAACAAACATATATGTATTAGACATATCCTACAAAACAATAAAACACAATCCTGGCAATCCAGTAAGTATTACTGCAGCAACACAAAGAAAAGGATGAGCTGCTTCAGTTATATCATACTATTGCACTAAAAGATCTTTCTAACAATATTAGTCGTTTAATTTACATTAGCTGCTTCTATCTCTTCTTCCTATTGGTTATTTTGATAAACTGAATCATATTTGTCAACAGTAAGATCCACATCAGGCTCTATATGGTCTGTAATTCTTTTAGGCTATATATCTATGTTAAAATCCAATGAAGTTTATTCCATTTAATATTATTTATTTATATTTCATAATTAAAAATATACCTCAATATCTCCTTCTCCCACTACTTCATAGTGCTAATCTTCAATCAAAAGCAATTAGCAATTTAAGCATTTATAATCAAAGACTTATGATTAATTAATCTCATTTGGAATAAACACTTTTGTTTAACAACCTGCCTTTGATTTATAGGATAACATAAACTCTCTAGTTTCAGAGTAATATTAATTGGTTTCAATAGAGTCAGCACAAATTTAATAAGCATAAGGTCTTCTTAATGCACTAAGTTTTTATTTCTAAAATGATCCATCTTCATAAAAAAGCCCTTCTTCATACATGGTCGACATAGTTGTATGATCATTATATCCTTTATATTACCAATAGGTCCAAGATTATTAGTAACTATCAGCCTTGTCAAGTATATAATCAAGTATTTCCTTAGATTGCTCATCATCTCCAACTGCTCCAAACTCAGTCAAAAAACCTCCTATTTTAAGATCATTAACATTTCTCATTTTCAAGTAGTACATCAATTAATTAATCCTATTACAAAATACAGACGAAATCTTCTCTATTCCACAATAAACATGATAACTGAACACTTCTTTATCTAAATATTCTTGTCCACCAATATTTGAATCAAACCCAGCTCCTAAAACATCAAGAAAATCAGATTCAAAAAATATTAATTTTTCATTATCAACTTTTCTTATATAGTTATGAATGAGTTTATAAAGAGGAACCAAATATTTTTAATTTGCAAGACCTGGCCAAAAGAAGTCAATTATGCCTTTTTAAAAATTTCCTGGAGAAGGCTCATTCAAAATTTCATATCCTATCACATTCCATTCATCCTTATGTTTTTCTGCTACTCTTTACCAAAATTACCCATAATAATCAGCCAATCCATTCTAATTTGAATATAGCATCTCGAAATGCCTTCCAATATCATTTGTAGAATAATATAAAGCAAACTTTTACTAATAACAATCCTCTAATATTGGATAGCCTTATTCATTAAATCTAATTTATAAAGTTTTTGGAAATGGGAAGTCTTTCTTATCAACTGCCCAATCAGGAAATCCATTTCCACAAAATTACCTATTAAATAAGTCTTAATGAGCATCCAAAATAACATATATTTTGTATTTAGCCGCCATTTTCACAATCATCAAAATCTTATCTAAATATTCCTCATCCAATTCACCTCTCTTTGGCATAGCTCCTTCAAATGAAACATGAAGTCTAATCACATTAAAGCCATTCTTGCTTAAAATTTAACAATCCTCTTCGCTAAAGGACTCCATATAGTCAAACCCTTCCGTTTTTGGTATGTAAGGAGCTTATTTATAGACAACATTAAATCCATGAAAAATTCTAATTGCTCCATTTTAATCTTGAAAGTATCTACGTTCGTTAAGAGTTATTGGAGATGCAAGAGCACTAACAATTAATATAAGGACTTAATATATTTACATATTATTTAAATAATATTATTAATATCATTATTAGATAAATATTTAAAAATTTAATGAGTTAATTCCAAATAATCAACAAAAACAATATACAATAAACTCGTTTAATAATTTTATGATTATTCAAGAGTTACCTGTTAATATTTCTGCAACCAAAAAAACAGAACTATTGTATACAAGGTTTATTTTAAAACTACCTTATTACTAATAACTTATAGGCTTCATTTGATTTGAATAAATACAAGATTCAATATTTTTAAGGACTGATCAACAATCAAATAATTAAAGTTGGAAATATTTATTGTTAGATTGCTAACAATTTTAATAACTCAAGTATTTTCATAATTTTTTTTAGATTTATTCATAGGCTTTCATATAAAAAATGATTTTTAGAACAAAATAAATTAAAACAATTTCACTCTTATAAAATCTAATGTCATTTGTAATTATTCGAAAAGTATGATAGTAACATTAACTTATAATACCTTGAGTCTATTTATAAATTAAAAAACTGATTAAAAGTGATTGATTAAATTTTTATATAAAATTCATTGAAATTATTTGTTGATCCCTTCCTAATCCAAATCTACAAGGCATCCTATATTCTTAAACTATTATGATAATCTTTAAAAGAGACTAACTTATAATAGTTTAGCTTTTTATGATTTAACTTATGGCTATTCTTATTCTGAATCCTATAGTAATATAAAAACTTTGCTTCTAAGGATACAAGAAATACATTATGGTTCTATAATTTTTGTAGATTAATCAACAATACAATAATCATATGAATCTGATTATAAAATATCAGTACACTATTAACAAGTGGAGAAATATAAATGCTTATTCTCTAATTTATTATTGATTTCTTGCATATCTTAGAATCTTTTAAATTCAAAAGTGTATTTTTAATTATTTTCTGGAATCTAATCTTTTTCTCGTTATAATCTTAAAATCCATTCAGACTCATTTGGAAATGTTTCGATGAAATCATTTATTTATTCATCTAAAATATCATCATCTACAGAGCAAAATAATATTTTTTTCTTTGTAGATCCTAATAAGAATAATAAATAGGTTAACATTCTTCTTTTTCCATATTGTCCTTAAATTAAAACAAAATCTTCAGCGAGTAGACTTAATTAAATTGCTTTAAATTAATTTTCATTTAAATCTGATTTAAAATCATCTAAAATTAATTAAACAGATTTTTATATGCCTTCATCCAGTTGTGATTTACTCTTAAATTAAGGGGTATAACCTAACATAAGAATTTCTTTTTTTCTTTACCATTTTTTATTAGTTGCGAGTTCAAATGTGATAAAATTGTAATGCTTAAATGGATTTGATGGTTATATTTTTTGTATTAGTGTATCCTCTACCTCTAATGGACTACCAAATGTACTTAGTTCTGTTTTATCTTGAACATGCATGCGTATCAGATATTCAAGATCATCATCTTATAGAACTTCTGACCTAGATGTCTGATTTAATAAGTATTTTTAAATAATATTTGGTTACTTTTTCAAAATGAATTGATAGCTTTTTTAAGTTCTCTTACATTCAAGGCTTAATTCTTTATTTGTAGGAAATTACTCTTTTAAAATTTTACGTGCTTATCCCTCAAGAAACGTGTTTTTTGATGATAATATATAATGGATTTCATGCGTATCGTTAAATCTTTATTTTTATTTAATTTCATATTCAATTTAAGAAAATACTTATGCTTGCTTTTCTGATCTTAGGTTCTAAAGCATGCTATTTAAATAATGCCTAGTTTAATCATTAAACTATTTTTCCATTTATTAATATTTATAAATTGTAAATTAAAATTTAGGTTAATTTTTTAATAAATTTAAACCATAGCATACAACTCTTATTCCACATTTCTAACATTTAATCTATTCTTCTTCTGTTTTGATCTCTAATTAAAGTGATGGCAAAAGGTGATAATCTTCCTCTGATTTATTAAAATTACATAACTCTGAAATAAAATGATTTCTAAAAAACAATAGGTCTTTTTATTGAAAGAAAGTAAAAGGAATGATTTTATAATCTAAATTATTTAAATATAACATCAATCCTATTTAAGTTTTCTATTAATAGTATTCATTCATTAAAAGCAAATATGTATACACTTAAATCCTGTCAGAAGCTAACTTAATTCCAGTTTTTACTTCTATTGGAATCTTACACACTCTTTACTCAACATTATCTATAGTTAGATTAACTTCTATAATCGAATCAACAACTCCAACTAAGCCAAAAATGGATGATTATATATTTTTTTCATTTTCTATCCATTTTATAAATTTGATTTCATATTTTTATTCCGCAACCTATTATATAATAGGTAATTGTTTAATGACAAATTTTTTAATCCAAATTAAAGTATTAATAATTCCCTAGAATAAACTTATTTCCATATCTTTATCCAACTTTTATTTTACAGAATATATTTCTATCAAGAATTTTGATTTGATTTCTTCAAAAAGTACTCTCAACAAGACTGGGATTTGAGTTAAATCTAATTCTTCTGTATTTTATTCATCTACATACTAAAAATATTCATAATAGTCATTAATTGATTTTATAACATTTTAGAACAAGTAATGCAAAAAATTGCCTCTTAATTTGTTTGGGTTTGTACCAAAAACTTAATTTTTAAAAAAATCTTTGAGGACTTATTTCCTTCTACAATATGCTAGATTACTTAATTTGGTAGCAGAAACTAATGTTTTTGGCTCCAAAACATAAAAATGATCATTTTTGATTCTTTAATTGAAATAAATTGTGTTATCATTATTAAAATTACCATAGACAAGAATTGCCATTCCCTCTGTAATAGTATTTAGATTATTGTGATGATCAAAAAGCATAATGTAATAGTTAATTCCAATATAATCTTTTTTTGTTTTTATCAATAAATATCGAGTATTGGATAATTTTTGAGCTTCAAACATAATTTTTTGAATAGTTTCATCATTTATTTTCTCTTGTGAATTAAAGAGTTGAACAACAATCAAATTGTGAAAAGCATTTTATTATTTAAGTTGATGACAATTAATGGTTGAGATGTTGGAATCATACTATAATTCTTCCTATTGAAGTTGATCTTTTCCAATCATTTGCAATTTAATAAAAGAATAAATAATAAGGTGCCCTAATAAAGTGGAATTATGATTAATGATATAAATAATATAATAAAAATTATTATTATGCAAAAGTATCACTTAGGTTGAATTCTATTTAATAATTTTAATAATGATTTCTGATTAGTATTTAATTCTGATTCACATTTCTTTATACATTTTTTATCATTTTTACAAGCTTCCAAACAGACTTTGTTTTCATTTTATATCAACTACAACCCCTTTTTATAAATTAAGTATTCATTTGCACAGGTGGAATAACAAGAAGATTCAGGATTGAGCTCCCAACACTTGTAGCACTGTGTCACTGCTTTGAAAAAGAGATTCTCGTGGTCCATTGATTAATTTTATTAAAAAATATATTTTTCATTTTTTCTTTTATACCACTATATTTTCTAATATTAAAGACTAGACATCTGGTGAGTTAGAATATAAAACTAATGCAAATTTGCCTAAGGGAAAATTTGATGATTACTAAAATATGAATAATAATAAAACTTCTGTGATCTGTAGCTTTTTGAATTCTCCTTTTCCTTTTAGTAGCAATTTGGTCCTTCCAAGTAGAAGGGGCTTTCCTTGGGAGTTGACAGTGATTTCTTTAGGAAATTTATCTGCTGAAAATCTTCATTAGAGGAATAGGGTACAATTTAATGTAGACTGTGTATTCTTCATTTTTTGTCAAATTGCCAGAATAATCTCTCAAAGAAATAGAAAGTGCGAATTCAGATTTGCAGTATATGTTTTAAATATCCTTTTCCAGATGAATAAATATGCTTGCTTCGTCATTGCTGTACAATTTGAATAAGTTCTTGTTTCTAGATCTACGCTTTAATTGAAAGTTCTCTAAACAATGCTAAAAAGATTTGAGTCCCATGGAGAGGTTATGGATTTGAAGACTCTAAGATGATAACATATCCTCAAGCATTTTGAAATTCAAATCTTTCTATTTATCGAGAAATTCTTACAATTCTTACATTAATAATCATAATGATTAAGGTATTGCCTTTGTTGCTTCTACTTACAATATGTTTCTCAGAAGATGCACCTGTCGCAAGGTTCGCATACGGAAATCTGAATTTGATGCCAAGACAGAAGGCCCCCTTCTTTAGCGCTACAGCAGTTACCCCAGATTTGAAATTCCAAAAGATATCTCTCTCCGATTACCAAGGAAAGTATGTGGTCTTGTTATTTTACCCATTTGATTTCACATACGTATGCCCAACAGAATTGGTGGCCTTTTCAAACGCAATCGACTAATTCAGAGCCTTGGGTGCAGAAGTATTAGGTATTTCCACAGATTCCCATTTTACTCATTTGGCATGGTTGAAGACTCCAAGAAATCAAGGAGGAGTCGGAGATCTTCAAATTCCATTGTTGGCAGACATTTCCAAGAAGATATCAAAAGCATACGGTGTGTTAGTTGAAGATGAATTGGATGAATTATATGGTGCTTCATTAAGAGGATTGTTCATCATAGACAAAAAAGGCTTAGTAAGAACATTGCAAATAAATGATGCTCCAGTAGGAAGATCAGTTGATGAAACATTAAGATTGATTTAAGCATTTTAATACACAGATACACATGGTGAAGTATGCCCTGCAAATTGGAAACCTGGGTAAAGAACTATTGTCCCAGATCAAGATAAGAAAGTTGAATATTTTGCAAAAAGTGAATTATGATCATTTATATCAGGTTAATTCATTTAATAGTGCTTTTCTTGTTATCGTCTTTTTGCCATCAAATTTATTAAATTTAGCAATCATTAATTCTGCATCCATCAAACTCACACTTCTAGTTGTCGAATGTTCTAAAATCTAAAGTACATCTAGTACATCCATATATCCTTTATGGAAGTACCTATCTAAAGAACTTAGGTTCCCCTCTCTCAAAAATTATAATTTGGCTTTTTGCAATTGCTGTTCTTATTCACTTAATAATTCAAACAAATTATTGGCAACAATCTAGACTGAACTTTATAGATCTGTCACTTTGATCTCTTATTATAATGGTTGTCTATCATCATAATAAGTGAGAACATTTGTAAATAACTCTTGCGAAATATTCTTCGAATTAACCCCCAAATCTTACCATTCTTGATGCCAATTCTTCGAAATTAAAGATTTCAAAACTACTACTTCTTCCAATTAAGCCATTACATTTTACAAACACCTTTGCTAATTTAAGTAAACAGACATTAAAGTATTAAGTTCCTTAGATTCATTAGTAAAAGATCTAGGTTCTGTATTTTAATTTGGAGTTCTCGTTCTAGTTCGAACCTACTTTGTTTCAGTAGTTCGAGTTGTGGCCGTGGGTGTTTTAGCTCTAGGAGTGTGACACCCTTTATTTTCTATTTTTTAAATAACAACTGATTATTATGTTTAAAGTGGTTTATACCGTCTTCTCAATTTCTCCATGTAACTTTAATGTTAAGGTTCTCTTTTAATGATTGTACTTATTTTCATTAAAGGAATCTCTATTTTGTCTGATGATCTCTATCTTTATGTTTTAATGGCTTAACTAAAATCCTCATATGTCATTATATTGGCATCTCCTCTACCGATTCTCTTTAATAATAGTTCTATTTCTTCATCCGTTACAGTTTATCTGATCCTAATAAAGAATTTCTTCAGCTTTTATAAGTCCACTAAGTTTGTTCCAAATGATAACTTCTTAAAAAGTACTAAAGCATTATAATCCCATCTCTTGAGTACTTTAATTCTTTATTCATCTAATTATCTTTCTAATTTTATTTCTTCGAACAATAATCTTAAAAAGGTAATGTCGGCTTCCTTTTTTTGAATGTTGCCTGGCTAACGAAGGTACCTCTCTTAGAATTTGGAAAACAATAATTTGTCTTCAAATCCACCTAGACGACTAATCAAATCTTTCAACTCATATGTTTGGGTTTCGATTTAATATTTTAATAAGTAATCTGACAATTGATCTAGTCTACAAACTGAATTCTTGAAAAAGGATGGAATGAATTCATAATCGGTTATTTCTTATATAAATTCTAAACATCGATCTAGTCGTCTCTAATTATATATTTTGACATACCTCATTCCATTAATAATGATCTAGAAAAATTTACATAACTCTTATTGTGTTTCAATTGAACTCATGTCTAAATTCGTTAAAAAATTAATAAAATCAAAATAACATAAATTCTCCAGATTTTGCCAAATTCTTTTTATTCCAAGTGTTGATTATGATTTCTGGTTCTTCATTTGGAATTTCAGCCATCTTATATTGTTTTCCTGTTTCCCTCATTAACATTCTCTATTCTCTCTCCTTTTAACTTTCCCCTGCTACGAAAAGAAAATTCTTGCAATCAACAAACTTTTTCTTTGGCTAATCCTACAATTTCTGATCATATAGAGTAACCAGTTTGTTAGTATACAACCTTGTTTTTTGAGACTAAGCAGTATCTATCTCATTAATTTCTAGAATATGTACAATATAATTTACTGTTATCTGATATCACAGTTTCAACCTATTTGAATGGATTATCAATCAGTTTTGTATTGAAGTTAGCCTAAATATCAGAAAGAACAAACTGTTATTACTAGGCAAGTCTTTCAGCATCAAAATCTGATAAAAAGCGATTAACTAACCTATTTTCAAACTTCTGACAAGATTTAGTATTCATTGATTAAGTGAGTAAAGAAAATTAGGGTCTATTATCTTTGTGATCATACCATCTTAATTTTAGATACCAATATCTACTACTGTTCTTTTCATCCTCTCCCTTGCTAAGCTCGATTGCCTAAATCTTTTGGTTTCTTTCTCTGTATTAATCAGCTCTACTCATTATTGTTTATTCTGGCTCTCTCTAACAATTAGAAGCCACTTGGATATTAACATTTTCCCAATGAGCCTTTACGCTCTCAAACTTTTTCATTGCTCTTTCTTCTCTTGAAATAGCATTTCTTAAATGAAATGGAAGCTTCTCTTCAGCCTTCTCTTATTCTATTTATGCCTATTAAATGTGCTTTTCAGCTTCTCTCACTTTCTCATTCAAATCTCTTTTACTTAAATAACGTTATTCAGCTTTACTCCTCTTTGGTGTTTTCCTACCCTATTGTTTATCTATTATTATCGATTAGGCCTATTAATTGGATCTCGTTGGAGGTTAATCATCAAACATTGAATCATCTGTTGTCTAGGGATTCTATTACAGTTTCCTTAGTCGCTGATATTGTCTCTGCTTCTCTGAATGAATTTTTAGAAACTATTAATATCCAACGACTGAATATTTGATCACCTTATCCTACTTATCACTATCATACTTAGGACCTCCTGTATAATCTATATACTTTTTTCGCTCTTCATTATTTGCCTCTACAATTCACTTATTACTATACCCTCAAAAATATTCTGTGTTGACTACTTTAAGACAAACGTATCAGCCCCTTATTTCAGCACTCTTTTAAAATTACTCTGTGACTAGATTTGCTCTTGATTTTGCATAAATTGTTTAGTCTAATCTCCTAATCCATATTGAGTATTATAAAAATTGCCAGTTTCATTTGATCTAAAAGTGCTTGTCTTTGTTGAATTAGGAAGGTAATCAGCCATTAGATCGTTTTTAATTGAAGCTTTTGATTGAAAGATAATTGGTTAGGATATTAATAGTGTTTTTTTATTTTTTTCTGATTTCGTGAGATTTAATGGTATTTTCATTAAAATTTTGGTTTTTAATTATTATTTCAATTTTTGTTATTTGATCGAAATATAATTCTCTTAAATTTCATTTATTGACTTAGATCTTCTTTTATTTAATTTCGTTATTCTTGATGTCTTTTATTTTTAGGCTCTATCTATTTGATTCAATTTTTAGTGATCTAAGCAATTAAATTTTTAATTCACTCATTAACTCCAAAGATTCTAGCATGATAATTATTCAATAATAATACTTTAAAGTATATAAATAACAATGAAATTTTACAAATATTTTGTTATAATGAAACTCTTTAGTTTATTAGATTTAAAGTATTTAAGATTTATACTAAAATTAATTTAAATAAAATTAATTGGTTTTATTTTCAACTAAGACTATGAGTGAATCATATATAATATTTTGGATGCATAAATTGATATTATGATATTTAAACCTAATAGAGGATTTGTATTTATGAAACAAAATTATTAACACTTTTATACTATAAAATTCAAGTTTTTAATTTCAATATTCTCTCTAATATCGAGTTTTATTCATCGATGGAGGTTTCTTTTTTAAATTGATCCCAAAGATCCATCCAATGTGATTATTGATTTATACCCATAAACACAGGAATTTCAACTTTTTTTACTTCATTAAAACTCTTTTTTCGTTAATGCTATTGTTAATAGCTGCTTTTTTTCCGCTCTTCCTTTGAAACGTAGACAGGTTTTAACTATTATTAAATAACTATGTTAAGTTTTCCAAATTATTGGATTGAAGGCTCTGACATACTTTAAATTTAGAATAAATTCAAGTTAAATAATTAAACAAATTTTTTAGAAAAGAATTTAGATAATACATTTAAATGTTAATTAAATGTGGAAAAATGAAAAGAAAATAAAAAAGCTAATTATGATAGAATCTTTTTCTATATGTCATTTTTATATTGATTAATTCATTCCGCTTAGTGCTTATCTTTATATTAAAATTAAATTAAGATGAATAAGAATGTCTACAAATCAGAAAAAGATTATATGAAGAGAAAACAAAAACTATACCAAGACAAGCTGAATATTATTCTCTCAGACATCGAATAATTTTATCAAATTAGATTATCACGTAAATAATTTTTAATACGATACTTTCAATATTTGTTGGAGTTTAACGAGAGATAACTAAAAGGTGATATTAGTCCATTCTTTTATGAAATGGTTGACTATTTTAAGGAATTCAACATAAAGTATTTATTTCCAAAGTAAATTTGGACATTCGACGTTGCAAGTATAAAATTTTTATTAATGCAGAGTCCTTTATAAATAGTTTGTATAATGTCTCCGATTCAGACATAATCAACATTTTCATAATGTTAAATCTAATCCTGGAAGGAAAGTTGAACTATTCCTCAGAATCAGTTCTCAGAGTCCTTCCTTATGAGGGAGGCAATGTCAAATTTCCTTTCGAATATGATTATGTAGTAGGATTCAATTTTCAAGGCTTTTTAAAATTAGTAATCTAAGTAATTCCTAAATTATTTCCAATTTTAAATGGTGAAGGAAAGCTCACACACTTTGAATTTCGACATTTGATAATTCTAGTGGGATTAGGTCCTGAAAATTAAAAGAATTCAATAGGTTATTATGAAATAGACAAGTATTTTAGAAATTAGTAGACTTCTCCTAATTTTTTTGCCAACATGAAATTGGTAAAAGAATAAATAAAAGATGAAAAACTCTCTCATGCAACAAAGATTGGAGAGAAACCTAAATCTTGGAAGGATTTATTGCTGCCAAGGAAATTTGAGTCTATTTTCTTAGATTCTCAGGATTATGTGTACAATGAACAATTGAAAAGATGGATTCCAGTTTCAACTTAAATTATTTTAAATAACAAAATGGCTAGGATCAATCAATTTTCAAGTAATCATTTTTTGATCCAAAAATATAGTCAATAACCATCTGCATTCTAATTATTTAAAATAATCTAAAATATTCCAAATTACAAAGTTAACCTTACCAATGAGTAATAAGAAATTATATCCTATAACGGAGATGGATTAGTAATTGGTAGAAGTGGTACTGGAAAAACCACTTGTGCCTTATTGCGACTCTTCACAACAGATATACTATTTAAAATCAGAAGTAAATTAGATTAGATTGGTAATTAAACTACAGCTATATAACTTAACTAATAACAAAAGGATTGTTAATTAAAGACAATCTTTGTTACAGCCAGTCCCTTGTTAGCTTGTTAAGTTAAGAGATTATATGATAAACTAGTATAGAATATCTAAGATGTCATTAATAACAAAAAAATGAGGCAATAGAGCAATTAGGCAAACACTCAAGAGTAGAATGATCAAGAGGGGTTAGATTAGAGCACTTTTTAAATTATAGATGCAATAAAGAATGATTAAGAGTAGTAGGAATGTCAATAATTAAATGAAGAAGTGGAAGTCGATGATTAAGACATTGATGAATATGAAAAAGAGATGGGAAAATTTTTGAAGTTTTCTGATGTGAATCAATTTCCAATATTTGTAACTTTGAGAAAGTTTCTATTTCTGGTTGATACCTCACTTATAAATTCATTTTTTGCTATTTTTGGTCATAAATAGGATAAATCATCCTAATGGCATAATGAATAATTTGGATAAATGAAATTATCTCAAAATAATAATGAAGTGATAGAAAAGAAACTAGAATAGATTAATTAGAAATTAATGGATGAAATTGATAATTCAGATTACATTTAAACAAAAATGCATGAAGTAACCTAAGATGTATTTGTGAGGATATTCTGGCCTAAGATACTAGCAACAATAAAATTAGAACGTTCTGTGTCCAAATGTTTTGATCCAATCTATGTTTGGTCAGAGATTTGCACAAAAATCAAAGGTCATGAAACATCTCATGAATATCCTGATAGATATATGAATTATGACAATTATTATTATATGTAAGGTCAATCAGAAGAGGAATGTAGCTTTGTTTATGAGGCCTTTCAAATATATGAACAACTAAAATATTAATTGGGATACTATGACTTATTAGATTTAGTAAATCATATTAATTAAGAGTTGGCTTTTGGCGATGATGTTATTGAAAATGTTCATTACTTATTACTAGATGAATTGTAGGATGTTCCAAGGGCTGTCTTGATTTTATTAGATCAGTTAACAGAACTTGGTTTATTTTGTTGTGGTGACAATGCTTAAAACATAGCTAAAGGGATTGGTTATAAATTCTTTGAGGTTTAAAATTGTTTATTGTCTTATAGAAATAGCAAGAAAAAAGTACATAGAAATCTTAAAATATTTGATTTGAGTGTAAACTTTAGATCACATAACAACATTTTGTAATTGGCTAACTCTGTAATAAGAATGATTGAAATATTGTTTCCTTATAAAATTGATAAATTAAAAAAGGAAACCTCAAATTTGAATGGTCCAAAACCAATCATAATCAAAAGTGATGATGTGAATCATTTATTGAGTAATCTTTGTGATTTCTTTTCAAATGACCAACTCATTGTAGAATTTGGTTGCAATTAAGTCATTATTGTCAAAGATCAAGAATCAAAGACTAAATTACCAATTGAATTGTAAAATATACTATGTTTAACCATCTACGAAGCAAAAGGTTTAGAATTCGATGATGTGATTTTGTTCAACTTTTTCCATGACTCAACTGCATCTATCAAGGATTGGGAATCATTAAATGATTTAGAACCCTAGGCAGAATATCTAAAGAAGGCTGATTATGAAAAGTTTATTACAAGTATTAATAACAATAATTATTAGATCATTAGACAGAAATAATAGCCTCCAGTGAATAGAAGAACAATAATGAATTAGTAGAAGTTTGGTAATTGAAACATAAAAATATGAAAGAATATCAATAAATATCTATAGATCTATGTCAAGAATTGAAATAACTCTATGTAGCAATCACAAGACCTAAATAGAGATTAATTATATTTGATTAATCATTAGAAAAACGAAGAATTATTCAGAATATATGGACAAAGCTAAATGCTGTTAAAGTGGTTGATTCACAAGGTTAACAAAAAGATATTAAGTTTTAATTATAATTGTAAAACAATAACAAGGAGAATTGGAAACAATAGGGCTTTAAGATGTTCAGAATGAACAATTATGATTAAGCAGCAAAATGCTTTAAATTTGCTCAAGAAAAACAATTAGAATAGAAATCTATAGCTTATTATCTTGTTGTTAATAATGCTCATATCGCTAATAATCATTAACAATTTCTATAAGCTGCAAAGATATTCGAAGAAATTGGTTTATTACCAAGGGCTGCATAATGTTATTTCACTGCAAAGGAATTTTAAAAAGCATAAGAATTATATGAACAATTAGGATAGATAAACGAGATGGCTGAATCAGCATTCTTTGCTAAAAATTATGAAAAAGCAGCTTAAGCCTTTGAGATCTTAGGAGATTTGAGAAGATCTATTGATTGTTACTGTTTATCAAAGGAATGGGACAAAGTTATTATGATGTTAAATAAATACAAAAATGAATTCAGCAATTCAGAAAGATAAGCATTTTTAAATTCATTCTTTCCTAATTACCTATAAAATTTAGCATAGGAAATCTAAATTCAGGGAGCAGAATAAATTGATTGCACTTAAGAGTTCTAAGAAATTAATTAAGAAGACAAATCTGTGTTGAATTAATCAGAAAGCTTTGTTATTCAAAATTCAATACTTGATGAATCTGAAAATTAATAGGATTCTTAAGTCGGACCTAGACAAATTATTAATTAAAGTAAGGTTGAATCCAGCCAAGAGATATTAAATTTTGAAGATAATGAATAATCTTAATCATTTTAAATAGAGAATGAGAGTTAATAAAATATGGATCATTTATCTATTTTTGATCCTGAAGATGAATGGTTGAAACTAGATTAAAAATCTTTAATTAAATCCATGTCATCCAAGATCAGTCATCAATCAGAATTTTCCAACATTGTACTCCTGAATCAACCAGCATAAGTTTCACTATTGACATCTAAAAACAATCCTTCCATTTCCAATAAGATTTTATAAGAATTAATTCAGAAATTCCAATTGTTTTCTAATGAATTTAAGAATCACTTGGTTTCACAAAAATATCAATCTGTATAATTGTCAAATAGAAAAGATGATGATAAGGAGTTTGATCACATAATTAATTTTGTTTATGATTTGGATAACATAGATATCGATTCAATTTATATGATTTTGGATCTTTTGGAGGATTTCAAGAGTTACAAATTGTGTATCTATCTATGCAATCACTTTAAGTTGGCTTCATATCTAGGAAGGTATCTAGTTTCGCTAGTGTCCAGCTATTCTACTTTGCCTAAGACTAAAGCTTTAGTTCTCATTCAAATGATTACAATGGGATCCTAGAGAAGGAACTTGCTTGAACAATCAGCCATATCTTAAATTGCAATAAATAATATACTGGAAACAATTAATCCAATATTTCTAACATTCAAAAATGAAGAAGAGTTATCTCTAAACAATAGTCTAGGATTGAGTTGCTATTAACAATTAATTGGATTAGGTTTTTGGAAGACATTCGTGTACTAATTGAACTTTAAACATTCAATAGATTTATGTATGTCTTTTAACAACTTCTCGGATGGAATTGAAATTTTCAATAAAATTTAATTGCATAGAAAAACAGAATTATCAGAAGAAGACCAGTTCAAACTCAAAAAAATCTAATATTATTAATAGATTAGGTTGATTCAAGGATAGTAGGATAGAGCATCAGATTTTGCAAAAGAACTTGATAATGTATTTTAACTTACAAAGAATTATTATACGAACAAAAAATAAGTATTGGAAGAAGTGGATCTTAATTAATTAATCGTTAATGCTAATATCTACAAAAAGGGTTTGAGTTTTAATTAATAACTTAAATAAATAGAAGCTGTTATATTGAGTTTTGATATACTTAAATTGAGAGTCGATTGCTCAGATGAAATATTTATCGGATTGTTTGAGATAGTTGAATATTTTCATAATTCATTGATTTCATTTGAAAATTAAGAGAACATCAAAGAAGCTTTATTATTTTGTTATGGCTTCTCCATTCCTCAAGGAGAAATTATGAGTCACTACTCTCATTCTTTATTGATACATATTTCATCTAAAATAATAAAACAAGTGGTCAAAGATTATAATAATAAGGAAGAAAGTCAGAAATAAAATAGTTCCTTGATATTCGTCGATATTGGATATGAGTATATTTCAATACCATTTGAGCAAGCTATAGAATTAATTAAAAATACGTTTTCCTTGAAGATTTAGTTGATTTTGAATAATAAATCTAAAAAATCTATGGAGTATTATCAAGTTAATGATGATGATTCATTTTCTGTTAGCTCTTAAGAAGATTGGGAAGATACATTAGCAGAGTTATTAGTATTTTTAATGCTTGAGCAATCTAATAAAAGGTTTTAAAGTAAAACTCCATAGAATTAGAGAAAAGAAGAATAAAAAAAGTTGCATCCTCTTTCAATTTATTACTCAAAACAGACTGAGTCTTAGGAGTATTCAATAATTGATTCTGAACCATCTTAAATATTATAACTCATACAAAGAATAATATTGAAAAATAATTTAAGAATTACGAACACTCCTAATTATATTAAATAAATGATTCGTGAGATATCTTTGAATTTGATAATCCAGAATAAAAATTCGAAAGATAATTATCATTCAGCAATGATTAGGGCAATTAATCTATTAAATTTGACTGATTAATTATCTTTTGCTGTATTAATCCTTCAAAAGTAGAAAAAAGGAAATGAAGCATATCTTAAATACATTGAATTTCTTGAATGCTAAAATTTTGGTATTATTGAGGATGCCATAGGTTGTTTTTTAGATTATAGTTAATATGTACTCGACAGATTTTATTTGGATGAATAATTAAGTCATTTGATTAGAATTGGTTTAAATATTCTCATATCATTGTTGTCTAATAGTTAAGAGAAGTTAACAATAATTAAAGCCTACAAAGAATATTTAAATAATATTTAGAATGTTGAAGAATAAAATTGTAAATTAGAGATTGGAGTATTTTAACTAAAAAATTAAGAACTAATAGAAGAGTATCTATAACTTATATTTGAATTTTACTAGTCCTGTTGTTCAAAGTACTACTAGGATTAAATATTATAATTTTTAATGGTTTTTGCGATAAATCTTTTAAATATTTAGTAAATTAAGACTATTAAGTCAATTATTGAATTCATTAAAGAAAATAAGTAATTAAAAACCTTGTAAAGGTTATAAGATCTTTTAGTTAAAGAAACTTCAAAGAATAAACAGGAAATTTAACACAAAAAACACATAATGAGCACATTAACAAATTAATTAGATGAGGATATTGTTGAAGTAAATGTTGTGAATATAAAATCAGAGTAATAGTTGGATGAATGTTATGATAAATGCATATAGGTTTGGAATAATTATTAAAGCGACACAGATAAAAAAGTAATTAGTATAAGAGATTTGATTACAAAGTGGAAAGGATTTAGAAAGGATCATAAAACATATCTGAGTGAATTAATAAAGAGAAACTTATTATTCAAGAGAAGTTTATAATACTTTAGGATTGGAGATAAAAGATCGAGTGGTTTAATCCTATGTTAAACCTTAAAAGACTTAAATAGATATATGAAATACAATAATTCAAATTTTAATGATAATTTGCAATAAAGTGTAGTATTATAGAGGTAATATATAAATGTATATATTTAGACAATTATTAAAGGCAAGGTAAAACTTTGTTAATTCACTTGATGTACATTTAATAAATTCTTTTTTGAATGATTTGGGAGAATAGATGAAACTATTGATGTAGGGAAATGATATTCATAAAAAGGTGAAATAGTTGGAAATGGACCTTAAAGGATGGGAATAAAATGATGAAGAGAGATAGATTGAAGAAAAAATGATGGAGTTGAATAGGTAACTGATTGTTGAGAAGTGGAGAAATCTAAAAGCTGGTATAAAAGTATAGTCAAAATAATAAAATTAAAACTTACAACCTAAAGCTAAAAAGGATTAATTGTCTACAATATAAGAAGTAGTTGAGGAAGTTTGATAATGATTTATAGATGATAGATATCTAAAAAATAGTTCATATTAAATATATTTTTAATAAAATTTTGTTCTTTTTATTATGAATTATTCTATTTTGAATAAATCAACTAAAATAGAATGGGAGATCAAATTACTCAATAAAATATGCGAGTGATTGAGAGCAAGAGGAAGAGTAAAGAGACAAATTCTTAGGCAGACAGAATGTCATTTTGAATCTCAATTATAATTCTATATTTTCTAGATTGTATAGTTCATGTTCTAAATCTTGATAATTAGATATTTCCTCCGAATAATAACAAAATAGAAGATGATATTAATTACAAGGGTTGACAACTAAATTTTAGATAATTCTATAGTTATTCTAAAAGTTAAAGCACAAATTATTTTTCTTAAATATTAATGAAGATTCTTCGCACTTTAATAAGCGTAAAGATTGATTATTATATTATTTTCTCTTTTATAAATAGAAATTAATGAGCCTCAGGGACTTCAACTATCTCACAATGTCTGCCTGTAAATTTTGGGAAAATTAACTAAAAACTCCTAAGAAGGAGGAGGAATCTACAGTCTGCAGCTTATAAAACCCACCTTAACCATCCATTTTGGAAGTTTCAGCATAGAAGTGTGAGGAATACTTATTTGGTGGATAAGAGAAAATCTAATCGGTTGACGAATCGATAGAGGGTGTCGAATAATAGGTGGAGGAAAAGAAAAAGTCGAAGGATGAAGACAGTTCCTCATCAATGTCTGAGAGGGAGGGTCGAGGAGAGTCTAGGAAGTCTAAAACAACATCTAGTAAGAGGAAAGGTTAGTGTCTTTTGTGATTTTAATAGGAAAAAAGAGACTTACAATTTAATAGAATCATCTTATAATGGAGAATATGAGGAGAGGTTCCAATTTGAAAGATGTAGTTCAGTAGATTCCTGGGAGCTCTGTAAGTTCGATTAGAAGGCAGTTTAGAAAAAAGCTTAAAGTTTTAAATGAGGAGTCTGAGAACGGAGAGATTGAAAATACCATAATTAGGATACAAGAGTTAATAGAGTAAGTGGAAATTGTAATAATTAATAGAGATCAGAGCATAGAGGCAGATGTGAAGATCAGAGAACTAAAGATACTGATACCCAACATCGAGAATCATTTGCACTAAACAAAACAATTAATACTAAAGAAATACTTATCCTTATTTCAATAAGAGTGATTGTCTTTCATACGTTTCCACAATTTCAAAAAACAACAAACAAAAAACGAATTCAGTCATATGACTCAGACATTTGAGAGTCTTGATCCTTTTGAGAGTTGTCTAGTTCGTCTTCGTTTTCGTTTTCGTTTGCATCTTCTTCCTAAATCTTTTAAGCAAATAGGGAATCCGTTTTATGCTGAATGCCAACCAATTTTTCTAATTCCATGATTCTTTTATGTGAAAATAGAATGGATTATCTAAATTAATAGTTAGGTATAATATCTACTGAATTTATAATTTATCTCTATTCAATCCTTCAATTTCTCTCATCAATTTATAATTCTCATTCTTCTCATCGTGAAGTCTCTCCTTTAATTTGCTATGAAAACTCTTAAGCATAGGTTATAATTCCCGTATATTAGTAATATTGTCATTATTAATTTTTTCATTCATGTTTTTGAGTTCTTCCTATCATTTCCAACATTTAATTACCTCAGTTTTTTTAATTAGCTCTTTGTATTCCTACAAAGAGTCTTGCAATTGTTTGATTGATGTTGTGTATAATGTACTCATAGCAGCCACATTGTCACTTGCACTCATTCTGGTTTTGTACTTTTCATCCAAATTAACAAATTATTTCGATTTCTCATCATAGATATCTGGAGGCTCATAAAGTTACCCCATTCCAGCTCTTGTGAGCACTTGAGATACTGATTTGCTGACTTCATCTCCTTGGAGGAGCTAAGCTGTTACATGATCTAACCTTTAGAGATTTTTAATTGGTGAGCATGATGTCCTTTGGCAGATATGGACCATTGTTCTACCCAAGATTCAGACTGTATAAGCCTCCTTGTTTGCTTGGTCTAAGTTCAACCTTCATTTATTAAAATAAATAATAATCTTATTAATTATTATATTTTATTTTGATTCTTTTTTATATTCTAATTTTTTTTCTCGAAATATACCCATTACTAACATACTCACACTCTTAAGGAAAAAGTGTCAACATTTAATAAGGATGATTTAGTTACTTAAATAAAGTAGTAAAAGATAGTTATTGTATTTAAAATCAAATGTTCTTGAGTTTTCGAATTTTTTGTAATTTGTAAACAATGTTTTCCAATCCCAATTGTTTGGGTGTCTCTTGAACTCTCTCAGATTGCAATGATAGGTTTCTGATCCTCAGATGTTGATTGGCTTACGACTTGAAAAGTTAGTCAAAGGCCTTGTGATCAAATTTAGTCAACGGAGCAACAAGTAATGGATCAAGTCTTCTGGATTGCGCTGTTCTTTTCCTTTCTAAAAATAAACTATGTGGTTAATAAATCGATTGTCTCCACTTCTCCATATTAATAATATTTAATACAATTATTGATCTAAAATCAAATGAATTATAAATTTTATTATATCCCAATGGAAATAACATCGATATTCTAGATAAGTAATTTATAATATTTTACACATATTGTATAATATTGAACATATATATGATAAATTTATTTAAAACTGATTGAATGTTAGATTTAATTTAAATTTAGTATATACAAATAATTAAGGGTTGTACTTTGAAATTATTTTAAATATATTTTGAAATCAATCAAATATTTTTTGATTAGCGCTTTTATTTCTAGTTATATTTCTTCGATGTCTTCTATGTCTTAATCTAACTAATTCTTCTTCCTCCTCTTCGGAGATTTCTTGGACTTGCAAAAACGTTGGAGACAACATTTCCTATTTTTATTCTTGATTTAATTCTTTAATTTCATCAAAATGAAATGAGTAATTCATCTATCATAGAATTTGATATACATTCGTATCGCTCTTTTGATTACGAGAAGTGCTCCTGATCATACTGCTTTTGCGAGATGCTGGTTTCCTAATTGAGTTGCGCATTTTAAGCACGTTAGTGGGAGATATGAAACCAGGTGTTTTGGTGCCGTCATCTTGAAAAGAGTCAGTAAGCGGATCGAAGCAAGGGGAACTTTCAAAATAGTCTTACTTGTCCCACATCTCTTTTAGAACCTAAGTAAATCGAGTAAATTCATCCTCCTTAGGTTACTAATTAGAGACTGAACCATAAAACTCAATCAATTGTTTTTTCGATTGCAGACTTGGATTTATGAGATTATGTTTTTCTTTGACATAATAAAAGGCTTTTTCGTAATTCCAGCCTCGACTAATGAGATAAGCAATTATTATGGTGGGTGCTCCTTACAACCCGTTATTGCAGACTACAAGAATCGACGATAATTTCAATCCATTCTAGATTAATTCGCAAATATTTTAAAGTTACTATGTGGATTTATTGTCTTGCAAAAAGACTTACTAAACACTAAGCTCATTCAATTACATAGTATCGTGCAAAATCAGTATAATGTTTGGAAGGACTCTTGTCTACACAAATAATAGTCCTCAGATTCCTGGATCGAAGCAGATTCAGTTGATCAGCCGCGTGAATGTTCGACATATAAAGGGAATGAAATTTGTCGCTGATTATATGATAAACTTAAGACGAATTCATTTTGATAATAATAAATTATGAACATTAATAACTAATTACTAAAGATTGTACAAGATGTATAAGATCACCTAATTCCTATAGATTCAACTAGCAATCAAGAGTGATTTCGATCTCAAACCCAATGTGGATGAATTGATCAAAATATTGAGATAACAAGTGACCATTCTAATTGAGTTGGTGCAACAACAAAAGAGTGTCGAGTATGATTAATTGGAGTAGGCAGTTCAGAAAGCTGAAGCTGAAATTCGAAACCATGTTAGAGTAATTATGCAATTCTAACCAATTTAGGTAGAACAGTAAATGAAGTTATATTCAGACAGTCTCCAAGAGAAGATCGATTAATTAGAGAGGGAAAAATAAGAATTACTCGACAAAGTATCCTATCATTCTACTAGCCATTAAGAATAAGACCCTACTTCAAAGCCAGGAACGAAAGATCTCCTCATAGAATGCTACCAGAGAATCGAGTCCCAGTTTATTCAAGAAGTCCTACATATTAGGCAATCAGGTGTACAATAGATAATAGGCCACTTCACAGGATAACTGTGCATCAGTCATACAAAATTGTGATAGTCATTAAACCAGGGACAAGCGAAGTTCTGGCACTCAACATTCATATATCATGATGAAAAACATGTATGACATTTATATTAACTACTCAGTCGAGAAAAAATCAATATGAATGCCTCTTAGGAAAAGGTTAATGACAAGAGTTCCACCATTCTCAAATCTCAAAACAGCTCTGCACTTATTAAGATGTTTAACATATAGAAATTGATCATTAAAAATCAATAGGATCAACATTTGCAGTAATTAAAAAAGTACTCATACTCATTATACCCATTTTAGTAAGACTTTGAATCAGATTCTGGATGATTCACAAGCTACAAAAAAGAAACCTTGAAATTATCTCACATTTATATATATTTATTAAACCGTTCATTATTTTAAATTTAAACAAAACCATGTATGAAAAAGTTAAAGTCGCAGTCCGTCTACGTCCTTTACTAGATGAAGAATTGCTAACCAAGGATAAATCTGTTTGCGTTGATTCCATTGACACTTCTAAAAAATCAATTATAAGTATTTGTTTATGATTCATCCATCAGTTAAAAAGGACTTTGAAAAAAGGCAATTTCACTTTGACGCTGTATTCGATCCCAAAGTTACTCAAAGTTAAGTTTACAATGACGTAGCCAGAAACATCGTTGCAGTATTATAATCGATTGAAATTGTAGAGTGTGATCAAAGGTTATAATGGAACCATATTTTGTTATGGCCAAACAGGAACTGGTAAGACATACACTATCATGGGAAAAATTGATACTGAAGAAAAGGGAATCACTCCACGTACATTTGAATAAATATTTCATGACATCTCACTTGATGATGAGTATACCTATAATGTACAAATGGGATATTTGCAAATATACATGGAAATGGTATACATCAATATCTCTATGACATAGTTGTTAGATTTAATAAGGCCTGATAATTCTGAAGTCAAAATTAGAGAATCACTCCATCAAGGAGTATTTATATCCGGTTTGGAATGGCTTAAGGTTGCCTCCCCATAAGAGTGTTTGAAGATCATCAATTTAGCAGAGAAGAATAAGGTTGTTGCCTTTACTAATCTCAATGCTCACTCCTCAAGATCTCACTCAATTTTAATTATTAAATTAGAAAAGCAATCTTAAAGGTAGCATTCCAAATCAATTACCATATTCTAGAAATCTCATAAATAAAAAACTAATCTTTCATAAGATATTACATTTGAATAGTTAGATTTGAATAATAATAACAATGGTGGTACTTTATATTTAGTAGATTTGGCTGGTAGTGAAAGAATAAAGAAGTCAAAAGCCTCAGGAGATAGATTGAATGAAGCTCGATCAATAAATTGTTCTCTAACAGCTTTGGGAAAATGCATTCATGCTTTAACTGGCCCCAAAAATTCCTTCATTCCATTTAGAGATTCCAAACTAACAAGAATTCTATAGGAAGCATTGGGAGGTAATTGTAAGACTGCCTTAATTGTAAATATTGGGCCAGCAGGGAAACATGTTGAAGAAACTCTTTCAAGTCTCACTTTCGGAATGAGGGCAATGAAAATTACGAATACGATATAGATTAATTAGACTGTTGACTTTGAAGTATTTTGATTCTGAAATATCTATTAGTAACTTGTACAATAACTAAAAGTAGAGTTATAAATGAAAGATGAAATCATATCAAAATTAGAGACACAAAAGTCAAGAGCAAACCATTCAGATAACTAGGTGAGTAATTCAGAAAATCAATATAAAATTAAATTGGAGAAAGTAGAGGAACAACACAAAGGATTTCTAGAAGAAATTGATAAAGTGATGGTTGAGTAAGAACAAGAAAATGAATAATTGAAAAAGTAATTGGCTTAATTCATGATTGAATTTGAGGAGTCCAAGAGTAGAGAGAAGTTTCTACAATAGGAGAATCTAATCTTAACTCAAAAGTTAAATAAATTAGATATTGAACTATCAAAGGCTCAATCCAGTGTAATTATTTTCTTATTTCAATTCTAGAATGTAAATCTAAGAAATTAAGTACAGCAATCTAAAGAATTAGCTAAAGATCAACAACTATAAGAAATCACATTTAGGAATTGCCCTCTAATTTAGGTGAGTAGGGAAAAATAGAATTAAAAATGGAGATCTGAATTATAATAAATTACTTCATAATATGCTAACAGATTGGAAGAAGTTAAAAGATTTGAAATGCATCATTCAGGAAAAGAGAATGAAAATATGCAACACGAAAAATAACAAATTGATGACTTAACATCCTAAATTAAATAACTCAAATTTGATTCCACAATAAACCTAGACAAGCAATCAAAATAAAACTTAATCATCAACTAACTTAATTAGTAAATATTGAAATTAAACTAATAAAGAGAATCTGATAATTTTCATTCACTAGAATAAATTAAATAATTAGAAAGCGAGAAATTTGAAATCTCATTTTTATTAGAACAATCAGAAAATAAATCAAATGAATTGCTTTAAAAATTAGAATTAAGTGAACTATATTATAAGTAAATATTAGATGTCAACTCATAAAATTATCATAAATTACAAGAAGAAAACTTTTGTTTAAAGCAATAAATACAGATAATCTAAGAATAGTTTGATAATCTTCAAAAAATCTAACAATAGTAGTTCTAATAATATAATTATGAGAAATAAGTACTAAAACAATAAAATGATGAGTATCAATTGAAACTCTAATAGGTTGTTATAAATAACAAGGATTTGCAGTTACAATCCAAATTAGAAAGGAGTAGCATGCAATCATTTGACAACAAATCATTGAAAATCGATTTTCTAAATACTTAATTGCAATCTAATGAATAAAACTTTGATATCGAATTAAAGAAATCTATAACTGTATCAGGATAAAATGAAGGATAAATTGTGATTGAAATGTAAATAAGAATTCAATAACTTGAAGATTATATAGAAAATTTATAAAATCAAATTCAGTAAAGAGATTTACAAGAATAGACTATTTGTTAAGCAACAGTAAAGAGTTTATTAGAAGAACTTGTTAATTAAGTTGAACAAAATATATTGATTACAAACAACACACATTAAAAGATGTAATCATTTTCTATATTTATATAGTTCTGACAATGATTAGATATTCGAAAATGGAGAACAATCTTACAATAAATAGAATATACAGTAATTAGTTTAAAGCCTGCTAATTGATTCTAGATAACAAGATTAGTACATTACAGAGTGTGAGGAATTTAGTGATTCAGAGATTGAATTTTAGCTAAAGAATTTCGAATAATAAGAGTAGCAAAATCAAAGTTAATTGGATGATTGCAATCACAAATTACAACCAGCATTTTCCTTTAGTTAAGAATAAAAAAGAGTAGATCAACCGCGTTCTCAAAATAATTCAATCCGCATTTAAAATTAACAAAAATTCAAAATAAAAGAATCTTAATTTGAAGCAAACGAAATTAATTGCTAGATTGATTACAATGAATCCTTTGAACAGGGTATTTTAGATAAATAAGTAGATTCCAGTTTAAGTTTATAAAATCAAAATAAAAATTATGATCAACTTGGGGAAGTCATAGAGAGGAAGCAATAAAATGAAATGAAATCTAAATAAACTAAAAAGTAATTTTAATAGTATAAAAAGAATTGAAAAAGAGAATTTATACTAAGTAATTAAATATATGTCTTAATTGCTCAAGGATCAAAATAAAAAGGAATGCAACACATTGGATACCTTAAGATCATCGATGCTTGATTTTAATAACCTATGTAATACTTTAACAACTTACTTTTCATGATAACATTTGAATTCAATTAACTTATTATCTTTATTAATTAAATTATTAATGTATTCTATGAAAGATTAACAAAAAATAAATTTTTATATAATAATATTTTGGTGTTCAGACAATAAAATACAATTTAAATGCAAGATAATAAATTCTTTTTTAAATGGCTAATTTCTCAATCGATAACCTTGCATATGTTAATGAACATCTTGCAGCTAATAATTATTTGAATGGTGATCACCCAGGAGCTGATGATGCCAAATTCTTCATTGCCTTGAATGGTATGCCACCCAAGAAATAATTTCCATAAATTTATTTTTGGTATTTAAATCTCAATTTGTTTGCTCCAGCTACTAGAGCTTAATGGATTTCGGCTGCTTCACCAAAAAAGTAAGAACTGAAGAAGGATGCACATAAAAAGAAGTAATAAAAGTAAGCTGGCAATGATGATATCAATCACTTTGAGAATGATAATGTTGATGCTGAAATAAAGGTTAAGGCTGAGTAAAGAAAAGCAAAAACCTTGGCCCAGAATAACCAATAAAAGCCTGTTGTTAAGAAAATGGTGATCTTTGAATTTAAGTTATTTGAGACCATCGATTAAGCCTAATTGGAATAGATAGTCAAAAAGATCAAGGATAATATCAATCCAAATGGTTTAGTTTGGGGGTAGAATGTCGATTATAAAGACATCCCATTTGGAGCCAAGAAGATTGTTATGTCAATGATCATTGAAGATGACAAGGTACTTTATAATCTTAAGCTTCTAGATTATTATCGAAGATATATTTGATCAAATAACCAGTTTGGAAGATGATATTTCGGTTGTGGACATCGTATCGCCATGTAGGTTGTGAAAATTATAGGTAAAAGGAGAGAATCCGTGCTATGTAATCGAGTATAAAAATATCAAATCACATCATTGTAGTTTAATTAATCATATCCAAAGATATCTACAATTCTTTAAGGTTATTGACTTCTTTGTTGTCGAAATAAACCATAGGCTCTTGATTTAAATCGCTGATCCTTACAAATTTAGATCCTTCTATTCTAGAGGTTAAGCTTGAAGAGTTTCTATCTTCTTTTGATCCTTTGTTGCTTTTATTTTTTGGCAAAGAGAAATGCTTGCTATTTGATTTAAAATGAGGAGAACCACTTTTTTAAACTTACCTGGGATCTTATATCCTTAGACTCACTTTTGGCAAGATTGGTTTTAAGACCACAGGTTGAAAATTGTCTTTGGAATCTTCTCTTTAATGTTTTTTAACAATGGATCCCAAAGTCTATCTGAGTGGATGATTTTGTGCCAGACTGAATTGTGATAATTAATAAGCGGATTTTAATATCTTCTTGGATTCCACATTCTACTTCAAGTGTTCCATTTCGACACCTAAATTATGATAAGCCACAATTAAAATTTGCATCCTCTCTTATTAATCCTTATTAAGAGAATTCTATTCAGTTTATCTAGTTTTTTATTAAGTACTGATCTAATGTAATGATAAGTCAATAGAATTTTGATGTTTCATTAAGTCCCCATCTATTTGTGAGTTGGACTTCAAGAATTATAGGAGCAGCTCATGCTACAACATAATGATAGATAAATAGATATTTTAAGTAGCCTCTTCATGTCTTTCTAAAGATGAAAAAACTGCACATAAATTCAGATAGAGTTCAGGTAGTTACGCGGATTTATCGTTTCTTAGTATTAATCAAAATTTACTTACTTTAATTCTATGGCTAAAGCCTACTAAAGATATGATAAGGCTGTTCTTGTCTTTCCAATTTTTCGATAATAACAGGCTAGATTACTGTAGGTTTGTGCCTATTGTATAAGTAAATAGAAACTTTAAGCTCTAGAACCGAAGATGTTAGAAGTTCAGCCTTCTTGAGGTACTTTAAACTAGCCTCAAAATTTTCCACTTGGAGTGCAATCAGTGCCTGTTAATTAAGCAATTTACATAGAATTCTGTCGTATTTCATTTTCTAGAGAAGTTTCAGATGCAAATTATATACTTATTGATCATCATCGCCATACTTTTCCACTCGCTATTAAATGCTGGTTTCTATCTTCTGGATAATCCTATCCACATTTCCCTGATTGATTTTTGTAAGATCAATTTCTTATTCCTGCATTATTTATTAATATTATTGTTTATTTTAGTAAACTACTCTAATTTTATAAGTCTGAGTTCATAATAATAGAGAATTATAAAGAAAATTGTGAATAGGTCAGCTAATGATATTAAAAATAATAGAAATTCAAATATAAAATGAGTTCTTGTTAAATGGATTAACAAACAAATTTATTTAAATTAAAATTTAATTAATCCCAATATGAAGGCAATTTAAATGATGGAGCTTTATAATATGATGAATGTATGAAATATTCATTAAGTATAAAGGATAATCGACATTTGGTGATAGCCGATTTAAGAAAGTTGGAGTTGTTTGAAGAAAAACAAATAAGAGGAAGTTTTTGTATTTAGGACAGTGTCCAAACAATTGCATCTCACCTTGAGAAACTAGACGCCAATGCGAAGAAAAACGAAGAGAAATACCATACTCAACCTATTCGTAGGATGGTGATTATTAATGACGATTACACCAAGATAGAATAAGATGCTGAATTGATCAAAAATCTAATTAACAGTCTGAAAATGAATGAATATAAGGTATACTATTTGAAGACTTCAGTGGAAGCATTCTTAGGGAAATACCCCTTTTACACTTTGTCAAAAGTTATGTTATAAAATTATGAGAATTTGGATAATAACGAGGATTAATAGAAAGTGTTATTCTCTTATTCACAATTCCCTTAATAACTAGAGGAGAGCAAACTCTTTCTAGGAAGTAATTTAAATGCGAATAGCAAAAAGTAATTGGATGCTTTGTAAATTAAGACGATCATTGATTTTAAGAGATATGAACCAGATGCAAAATTATCTGCTTGGAAAAAGGAATAATATAATTATATCAATTATCCTATAAGTGAAGAGGGAGAATAATTAATAGATTTTAACCAACTAACTGACCTAATAGAGAAGTAAAATGGCCCTGTATTATTGTGTTGTCCTGTAATTATTATATTTTAATGATAGGATGGTTATTCAACAACAAGTGTTGTGGCAATTGGATATTTAATGACATAAAAGAAATAGAACTTTAATATTTCATCATTGAAAGTATTTCAGATAAGAGGAAACACTACAGTGAATAAAAAACTTTATACCCAAGTATTGACCTATGATCCAAAAACGATAGTTAATAAGATAACGCAATAACTAGTATTATAATGATACCATAATTAAATCAATTAAGCATATTTTTAAGTTTAAGCTTGAATTTTTTTAAAAAAGGTTCTGTGGTTGTTTTATTTTTTTGAGAAACAGGGTTGATTGAAGAAATGAAGTTAAAATAATCAGCTGATGTGTGTACGCAATAGCTCTATTGACTATTTTATTTCTGAGCGAGTAGTAAACTCTTCAGACATTTCTATCGATATTGACTTGTCGAATTCTTACGAGATGATTTATGTTATGTGGAAATGACGATCCTTTGAAAAGCTTTAGGATAGTTGGGTTGAGGAGTAGGGATTCTCTACTCTACAAAGGTACTTTTATTATGACAACTTTTGGGCCTTGAAATGTTAGTCGGAGTTTCAGTGGTTGATTGACGTGGTTATAATCGCGATATTGGTTACTTAAATGTAATAATTCTTTTCTTTTATTGACTTGTTTTTGCAGGACCTATGGGCACATCCCAAGGTTCTGCAATGAAATCTGTATCTATTTAACGAAAGAACTTATTTGTGAGTGGTATTTGAATGAATTCTCTGAGAGTTGGTTCTATATTCAATAATTCCAATTAAGGATCTCGAGACATATGTATATTGGTAAATTAATTATATTTAAATATATATTTAATACTTCAACCTAATTTAAAACACTTTTCATTTGCATAGCGTGCCAAATATTATGGGGCATATTGCATCATCTTCTCTTATCCAACCCAAGATGGTCTTACTGGTTGTCCACTCTCTCTTGGTTTCCATTCCACCAAGAATATATACTTGTTGTTATCCAATTCATCCTTCGCATAAGTGATTATTTTGATTATTTACTCCTCAGTGAATGCTACTCTACTCCCTCCCTTTTAAAACGATTTAGTAATGTTCTTCAACTCCTTATTCAATTCTACCTACTCATTGCTTTCCTTCTTCAAATGATATACGAATTCTTAATTTTCGCGTTGTGGAATCATAAAATCAGTTGTTGTCTGTCTGCATATCTAATCTTCTGTGGTTTTCAATGAATCCAACTCTCTTATCTATTCATATTGCTCATCATCCTCAATGATCTCCTTCAATAATTCCATATAGTAATTCTGATTGTTTCTTGCTTCATACTATTCGATCAAATCTAGGTAATTGCCCAATTTGTACATTTCAATCCATTGAGTCCTCACTTTATGAGTAGGAGTCTCGAATTCAATCAGATAAAATATCACATTTGGAGTTTTGGCTCTCTTTCCCAATATTCGTTTTGGATATTCACTCATATTATTCTATACACTTTTCAGTTGTAGAGTATTTACATCAAAAGAAATCCTTAAATTATTTTTCTGATCTCTTTTGTAATTCCCATCTCTCTCTTAATTTTAATCAATCAATTTCATCTCATTCTAAAATACTTCTTATTTTTATTTAATGTATTATAATTACTACTCTCGTATTCATTATGTTTAACCTAAATAACCACAACAATGTTGCAATCCCTACATTGTATCACCCAGAATGTCCGTACAATATCCAATTCTTATTTTTAGGTCATCCCCACTTCCATAAAACAAATGAGAGAATCCATACAAATACCATACAATTAAGATATCATGAAGGCAAGTGCCATCCTAGAAGTGGGCCAACGAACTCGTAATACTCATTACAAACAGCGATTAGAGGGTATTTCCACTCCACTATTATAGAGTTGTATCTCAAGTACGAGGATGGTTGCATTTATAGGGGTTAAGGCATTCCACCCTCGCAAAGACATGGCATGGGAGTCTTGTTCAACACCGAAAATCAAGAGGTCTATTCTGGAGAATGGTTCAATAATCTCTATGAAGGATTTGGAATCTTGGTCAATCAATCCCCACGTGTTATCAAACATAAAATTGACCCCAAAGATTTAAACACCATTGAAGATGGATGGCATGACTACAAAGGCTATTTTAAATCAAATAAAATGCATGGCGAAGGCATCCTAACACTTACAAATGGTCAGAAATTTGAAGGCCATTTTATTAACGGTATGATTCATGGAAAAGGACGCTTTTATGGAGATCAAATCATCGTCGGAAATTGGTTTGAAGGTGTTTTAATTTGACAGTTAATATTTTCTATTTTACTACTCAAAATTCCTTTAACATTATATTAAACATGTATTCTATCTTCAGTATTCTACAGTTCTTGTATTGGTTAATGTCTTTCCCATTCTGAAACTCGTTTTAAATTTATAACTATAAAATAAGTATAAATGTTGTTAATAAATCAATTTTAGTAATTACAATTATTAATATTAACTTTGAGTTATCTAGAAGATATTATCAATTGGTTATAAATATTTATATCATACAATTGATCATAAAAAAATTAATTTTGGTTTATCATTTAACAGTTATATATATATCTTTAAAATAATAATTCCTGTAAATTTTCTTCATTATTAGAATATTCTAAAAGTATATCAAATGACTTCCTTCATTTAATTTCTAATACTCTCCATAATAATAATAATCTCAATGATACATCTTTAAATTAAGTGATTATACTTCTAAATATTATTTTTAATCATAAAATCTTAAGATCTTGTAAAATGAGAAATAATTAGGAATCTTTTATAAATTTAGAGATTATAATTAAATAATGATTGGATTTGTGTATTCCATATTATTTATTAGCGTAACAAATAAGGATTTATATTTGATTAATATTTATTTTTATTAATAATGTCAAATAATTCAGGATATCTAATTGTTTCTTTTGTTCCTCTTTCTGTACCTACAAGGTTTCTTTCAGCAGCAATAAATAAATCGAGAGCATTAGAGAATGATTTCGATGTTAGAGTGACTAATAAAAATTAAGAACATTGCTATTTCTTATTAGAAAAAATTGGTGAGAATGTCTTCAAAATACGATTGCTTACTCATCCCAATCATTTTGTATTTTGCTCAAATGATAACACAAGGAAATTCAAGGACCAATTTGATGTGCGAACCCATGCATTTGATGAACAAAGAAATAATTGGGATTATTGAAAATGCTGGATGGAGTTGTTTTACAATTAGATCGGAGACAAATCCTGATTAATACCTCTTCATTGCTGATGATTTTTCAAATCAACATGAAGGTGAATTCGATGTTAGAACCCATTCAATTAAAGATCAAGAAAAAAATCTTTGGTTTATTGTTACAATTCCAAATATTGTGCATCCATATGGTGAGCTAAAACAACACCTGATTGTCTAATTTAGACCTGCTCACGTTAACTAAAATTATTTGGCCATCTCTGATTCTCACCCCTAATTTAAATCTGATTTCGCAGCTAAGGTCATCGGTGCCAAGAATTTAGCCACCAACTTTTATTTGGAATTAGTCCATGAGAACAAGTATATAATCAGATCTGCTTCACACCCACTTCAAATGCTTTTTGCTGCTAATGATAAAAAATTCAATCAATGGGGAGATTTCGATGTCAGATTTCACTCATTTAATGAAACAAGAAATCAATGGATAATTGAATAAGCAGGTAAGAATCTATGGACAATCAAATCTGCTAGCAACCCTGATTAGTTATTGTTCGCTGTCTAAGATGAAGCTAATGGAAAGGAGATCCCTATTAGAACTCATCCACAAAATGAAGAAAGAAATAAATGGCATATTGATGGATTTACCTAATGATTTAATTACAAAAAATTATAAATAAAATTAATATATATTTTTAAATAATACACAAAAGGAAATGTCAGATACATTAGAAATAAGAGACAACTACATCATAAAATATAGTGAAAGCAACAAAATAGGAATGGGGGCATTTGGAGAAGTATATAAATGCCGAAGAAAAGATGGTTCTGATGATGATGATTCATTATGCGTAAAATTAGTCTAAAAAGATAAAGCCATAATGAAATAACAACAATAAGGATTGACGATATAGAAGTTATTAATAAATCTTAAACCAGAAAGGCTTGTACGTATCGAGAATTATTTAAATTTGCCTCATCAATTCGAAATAATTATGGAAAGATGTGATATGGACTTAGAAAAAGAGTTTCAAAGTTTACTGAGATAAAAGTAATGGTATAATCTTGACCAATGCTTAAATATTGTTCATTAGATTGCAGAAGGATGTCGTATATTATATGAGCATAATATTGTTCATAGAGACATTAAACCTTCTAATATCCTGGTGAAAGTGGAAAATAAGAAGTAAATTAATGAAAGGAAGGTGTATAAAGTAAAATGCAATATATTAATATTAGATTACCGACTTTGATTTTAGCAAAATCTTGGAAGCCTTTCACTAACCTAATGCTTTAATCACAAACGTTGGAACCGCAACTCATTCCTCTCCTTAAATAACTTTCAATAACTCAGGGAAAGGTTATTCAGGAAAATGCGACATTTATTCATACGGAACATTATTCTATTAAGTATTTTTTGAAGGAAAATTACCAAATACTTAAATAAAATAATAGCGACAATAATCTTGTAAAGACAATGAGCTAGAAAACATCAGATTATTCTAAAAGGCTATATAAACATAAAAGTTCAAATGCAATCCTCCAAAATACGATCGCGCTTAGGAAATAGCTGATCTATTGGACAAGATGATTGTTTATGAGGAAGAGGAAAGAATTTCATTTGATCAATTTTTTCTACATCCCATAGTAAATCTAGAAGAATATGAAATTTTCAAAATACAAACAGTTCAATTTAGAAAATAATAGTTTTATAATTCAATTTGGAAAAAGTATTAGAATTAGAACGACATTAATACAATAACTTTCATACTATGCTTATAATAATTAGGATATTAGGAGCTTCTTTACTGCATGGGATTTATCCATAGTATTATTACAGATATTCACCCATCCTATAAATTAAAAAAAGATATCACTACCATCTAGAGAATTTTATCATAATGTGCTAAAGATATCAATTTTTATCCTATGTACTAGAAATAAACGATGGAAATAAGAAAAGAATATTTTTAAATGAAGGAAATATTGAACTAATAAGAATTAACATTCCTGCAATTGAAATAAAAGATATCTCCAGATGATTAATAAATTCAACCTCAGATGGTGTTGCCGCTGCAAGAAGGAAAAAGAATTGAACCTCAGTTAATATTTGATACATTGAGGTCTCTATTGGATCAAAATTTATATGAGTAATGATTTATAGTACTAGTTAAGGGACTTAAAATCCGAAATTAGGAAGGTATTATAATTTTAAGAAAAATACCCATATGAAAAATATAGAGAAGTAAATCCAGATGAGATTTTCAAAATGGACATATCAGTTTGATTTGATTCATGTATATAGTTAGAGAAAGTAATTCAAGCAAAGTTTACCACTATTTTTTTATTATAAATGATAATTTTTATTATAATTCACATTAATCCAAAGCCTTCTGCGTTATCCAAAGATATCATGAGTTTATCCTTCAATGTTTCCTTCTTCTTGTAAAGTGGCAATAATAGAACGTTGAAACAAGTATGAGCAGATGGCAATTACTCAGTATCTAATGTTTTTTATGAAAATCGTACCTTCACCATGCTTTTAAATAACAAACTTAATTGATTTGAGTCCTCCCACAGGGATCCTATCAGTCCCAGTACAGAAAAACAAAAATCTCTTTTACATCTCAATACTCAAAGAATGAATGCAACTCCAGAAGTACCTATTGATATTCAATCATCATTCTACCTTATGTACTCAGACTTATCATCGAACCCATCGTATTTTGTAACTAATTCTAGATCTTTAAGGTCAAAATGTGGCAAACCAATTATTAGGGCCTGTAACTCTTCTCCTGAGAATAACTAATTTTGATAATATCAACTACCTTAATACCATCACCATCAACCACAGATTTAAACCCTGAATATAATAAATCAAATTAGTGTTTCACCAGTTTATTTAAGTACCAATCAGTATATAATTCAATATATTCCTCTCTATTATCTTTGGTGACATTAATTTAAAATCCATTAGGCTGTACATATATAAATAGTTTATACTTTCAAATCATCAAAGTATGCTTCTCCCCACACAACATAACTAGCATTAAAGTTTAAAGTCAGACTCTATATTAGATTAGAATCTGTTTGTTCTCTCAAATACTAAAATCCTGTATAGATTTCCATATCCAATTCTTTCAAATCCTCTTCAGTAACCTTTTCGTTCTATAACTTTTTGAATAAGACAGTTGGGAATCGTACATCCAGCAACACTTAATTATAGAGAGCCAATCCTAACAACTTCCCTATCAAAGAATAGTATATAGGAATTTCAAAGGACTACGGATTGAACCAATACATGGTTCCATTGTTTTTAGGGATAAACATGCCATAATCTGGCGAAATCAATTTCTCCATCATCAATCTGAAGAATTCTCTTTTTGGACCTCCTTCGTCCACTCCTTATTCTCCTATAAATTACACTTTTAAAGGATTCTTAAGTGGGATATGCGTTATTTATAATTACTTAATAGCTGATTCTATAATATTGTTTCTCTCAATTGATAAATTTAAATACGGAGCTTGTCCAGTAAAATGATATTTTACTGAATGACTCATGCTATCATGTTATTTGACTTTGCAATCCAGACTCAACAACTTTGATTTAAACTCAATTGGGATGGACCAAGCATATAAACAAAAAGTAAACGAATAATTTCTCCATTACTTAGCTGCATAATAACGAAATTGTGAAAATTCCTCTTTGTCTGCATCTTACTTATACAACTTCGTTATCAAATCAATTACAAAATCTGAAGACTATATTCTAGTGTTCATTTTATTAGAAATTTGTAAAATTTGAAATAATTCAAATAAACCTACCATCTTTTGTATGTCATCTATTTCTAAAAATGGCATCAGAGGAGTGTGTTATTGTCTTAAAATTTCAGAATTTATTAATTTTTTAACAACCTTAGTTGTCTCTTCAAACTCTGCCTTTGAGAGATTTGTAAACCATCTAGATAACTATTGTTTTTATGGTTTATTTAGTCTTCTTATGATCTTCAAAATTATTTGAGATTTTTCATCAATAATGGATTCCAAGAATTTACGAAATTATAATATCAAATATAGTGCTCTCAATTGATATAAATTAGTTAATGGTTCTAAGTTTTTTTCCCTTTGAGAAAATAAATTATTTATAATTAAACTGAAATCCCCTTTGTATTTGATGAATCTTTTTTAAGTCTCAATAATGAGGTTAGTATCAACCTCTGCAGTTTGAGGATCAATTTGATATATACCAGCCTTGTTGTAATAGTTTTCAACGAAAGATGCTCCAAATATTTCCAATTAAAAGGAGATTCTGAGAGTGGCTTCACGCAAATCTAATTGAAATTCAGAGGTTTGAAATGGACTCAGTTTATCATTGATACTTTTCACTGGATAGCATAATTATTCCCAATTGACTTCCTCATTCTCTACCAACTATTAACAAATCCCTTTGATGTCGTCTTAACTAAAATCCTGTTCTAGAAAACCATTGTTCAATTTGCATTATGGAAAATCACATACATATTTACCACAACCCTTGGAAGCTCTGTTAAACAGGAGTTCAATATCATATTCAATTTACTATTACTAATCCATTTTATTAAATTGCCATTGTTCTGATTCGAAATCGAGGATCAAACAATTATCCCTATTTGATTACAGTTGGAAGATCATGAGATTCTCTTATAAGACATCTCCATCGATAAGCATTGTTTATTCTATCTATTCGGTTAGCAGATCAACTTGGAGGTGTTAATGTCTCGGTAACCAGATTCTGATGTTGCTAATTTATTTTTGTTTGAATTCATCTTGGAATGTCGCTTTTAATAGGTCTAACCAAGCTTTGATTTCAGAATGATAGTCTACTTAGGCTTTGACACTGTAAAATTTGTTGTCTCTTACAGACTAGTAGATCAATGTAAACTAGAATTATTAAAATTGTATACTCTAGCCAAATTGGGATACACAACCTTTTTTTTTTCGTTCTCGGAATAGAATCCAATTCGTTTTTATGGTTCAATTGATGAGTATTTCTCTTTAAATATATCAAAGACTTCTTTAAGAATCTAATTTTTTTGATGTTTATTATTACGTATTCATAATCCCATTCATTTTCCAAATAACGAATGCTGGAATTATAAACATGATCTTCAGGTATATATTTAAAAACCTTTTCATTGCATATCAAATCTGAATTCATTTTATCAGGCTAATATATTTAAATTTCAAAACTTTCTTCCTGGCCTCCTTTTATTGATCTCCCATTTCTTCATAATAATCCACATAATATTTCCATTATTTAATAAATTTTTTTGATACTAAATAGTACTCTATTCCACCCTTGTCCCTTATTGTTTTATCATATCTCTATCGTAATCATATAGAAATTTACTCTTCTTCCATCATCATATCTCTTGATTTCCTCATATTCAATAGGATCTCCTAAAGGTTGGTGCCATTTATGCAAGAAATGATTAATCATGAAAATAAATATAATTTAGATTAGTATTAATAAATTCATAAAAGACCTTTGTTCAACAGCCATTCAAATCGATTAATCAATACATAAAATCCTTCCATAAACACTCAATGAGTAATGGGAGTCGCATAAATATTTGAATTAGTTTGTAGCAATTATGATTAGATTTTGTTTTCAAACACTCTCAAACTGTTTAGAAAATTAAGAATCATAATAGGAAGTATTTCAATTGATTTGTGATGTGCATTATTGATGGTTATTCTTTGAAAAAATTCTATTTTTTGTTTATTTTATTAGAATTTAAATTCTTTATTTGGAATGTAATAGGATTAAAATCAAGGAATGGACAACTAGATGGCTGATAAGGAAATGACCGTTTAAGAGCAACTCTTGGAACAATAGAAGAAATTTAGGAACTTGGAATCTGACAGGAAGGCATATGCTGAAGAAACAGTTGCAAACATTAAGAAACAAAGGGGAATCATAGACAAACTGAAGAACGAGAATTACATTTTAAAGGACTTGATTGCTAAAATGAATTCTCAGAAACTTTAATTAAATTAAACTACATATTCTAAAGGACCTAATATTGATACTATTATTGATGATTTGAAAGTAGCAATTAATGAAGAGAAGAAATAATAAGAGGAAATTGATACTCATGTTGCGGATTTTTAAAAAAAGATCATAGAAAAGAGACATGCTCTTGGAGGTTACAATGCAGGAGCAGAAAATGAGAGTGCTTTATAAAAATAAATAAAGATATTGGAAAATAGACTGGACAAAACAAATTAAAAATTTAATGAAGCCATAGCCATTAATAAACAATTGAGATAATAAATTGACAGTTTAAGAAGAGAACGAGTTATTTTCGATAATTTATACAAAAAATTAGAGAAGGAATTGCATGAAAAGAGAAAAGTAAGGTCTAATAAGTTATGAATAGGAAATGGCCGATATTATTGAAACTGCCAATACTGCATATGAAGAAAGAGATAAAGCCAATGATCTGATCCAAAGTTTAAAATAGTAAGCAAAAAGAGAATCTGCTGATTTTGAAAAGGATTTGAGAGAGTTGAGTTAAATAATGGAAAAAAATAAGAAAACCTTAGATTATATGAAATTGACAGAAAAGAATAGGGAAATGGATACTTAGGAGGTAGTAGATCCAGAAAAGTTAACTAAACCCAAAACTACCAAATTAACTAGAGATAAAACAGTAAATTAAACTATTGTTGAATAAATCATGAAATACGAAGAAGATTTTGCCAAAATATAGGCAGCAACTTAAATTAAAGTGTTTGATGAATTAATCAAAATATTCATTTAAAATGAAGAGAAGGTATCTCTAATTTATTGATATCATCAGAATTTTCAAATGTTCAAATATGTTAATGAATTGAGTAATGAAATCGAGGATCTTGAAAAGCAAATAGGAGAATTAAAAGAGGAAGCATCTCAATATGAAGGATAGGGATCAAATGTGGATGTTCAAAGAAAAAGACACTTGAAAGACCTTGAAGAAAAACTATCTAGAGCTGAATCAAAGTCAGAACAATATGAATTCAAATACAACGAATCATTAAAATTAATTAACAGCTTAACTGTATGAGTATTCATTTTTCAATTATAGAATTGGATTGAAACTTTGTTTAATACTGTTGAATGTGATAAATAGATGGCTACAGAAATTGCAGGATCTCATGGAGTCACTGATACCAATATGATGATATACTTAGGCTTAATAGAGAATAAAACAAATAAGTTGTTGTAATACTATTAGTAAATTCATCAAAAAATATCAGAAAACTAAATCAACTCTTTACAATAATTAGCTGCTATGAATGAGAAAAATCTATAAAATAAAAATAGGGCTGAGTTGCCTTAATTTGGTATTAATATTCACTTATATTAGATGAACATGAAGAGGATGATATAGAAGGAGATAAAATTTTATCAGTAGAAGAATTCAAGAAAAAAGCATTAGAAAAACTTGAAGTATCATAAATATTCTATTCTAGAAATAATAGAATTAAACTAAAAATAAAAGATCTGGTCCTAATAAATTAAGAAAAAATAAATGATATTTTTATATATATATAAATTAACAACATAAAATAATTCATTTAAGCTCAAGTTTAATTTTTATAGCTGCCATTCTTTCACTCTATTTCAAAGGAATCACTTTTATTTATTTTTGCCTCTTATATTTTTTGTTTACTTTTTTAGAATCACACAATGGTTATTTCATAATAACATAATCTGTTTCAGGTTTTAAATCAACAAAATGCTTGTAAGGATAGATATTCCATTTTTAATTAAAGTCACTAAAATATTGAATGATTCTATCGTCATATTCAACTTTTGAATTTTGAGATTATTGTCTCAATTTAAATACAAAATTCTAATGCTCCCATTAAGTAAAATCAACCTTCAAACTCGATTCTGGAAGATTAGGTTGAATGTTCTCAGTAAATTTAAGTGAATCTAACAAAGATGCTTATATTTTTAGATCTATTCTTTTAAGATTAGTCTTGTTATTCGTTTATTATGAGCAATTTTATTGCTTTGAGTTTAAATTAGTGTTGCGTGGTTCTTATATTTTTGGTTTCTTTTTAATTGGGATTTAGAGCACTTCTTCGTCTTCTGGAAACTATTCCATTTTAAGAAAAAATGTGTTTTAAAGTAATTAATTTACAATCTTAATTTGGAATATTTTACCGCCTTAAACAAATTAGATAATTCTATGATCAAATTGATATTACATTTATATCCAAAACCCATATATTTAATGATAGATCTTATCTTTATTAATCACAATTCATACAATTAATGAAGAAGATATGAATTCTCATAGAAACATATATTTAAAAGTATAAAAAATAAATCAATAGATTTGTGAAATAAACATGTGTACCCTTAGGGATGCATTATATTAATATAATAAAAATAATTATATTGTAATTATCAAATTCATCGTTAAAAGGTATAATTATAAATAATAAATAAAATTATTAAAAATGCAAGAAATAGAAGCAAAGAAGCAATTAAAGGCAAGCGAAGGAGCTCACTTTTTTTACACTTTGATATTCCTTTCAGCCTCTGGAATAATAGAGACTTAATTTATTGAACAGAAATGCAATCAGAATTTGCAATTGTTTGTTCATTTAGTATTCTATGGATTGATCATCTGGGGTACTTATATATTGATCACATTAATACCACGGTATGTAATATGTGCTAAATTGAATTAGATATAAAAATGCTGCAATCAACTTGTTTTTCAATTTTCTTGATATTTGTTTTGGGATATACATAGCATTATTATTGTTTTATGGAGGACGTATGTATATGGCACCAAACGATTGCCAATCCGAAGCTCCTGCTTTATACTTCTTCTTGGAGACATTTTTGTTGGTACTATTAAATTTGAAATTATTAGGTTAACGGCATCATATTTGCTATATTGTTTTTAGCATTTGTGTCGTATGTGTTAAAGAGATTTTCGAAATCATAATAAGTTTATGAGGAAGGGAAAGATGAATTTTATGATGCATGAAAATAATTTTTAATTATAAATGAATAATTCGGTCTAAAATATACGAAGACCTGTAACATCCCAAAACTACAGATCAATTGATAAGTTAGGAAGCAATAGCCAACAGAAATTGCCAAATTTGAGTGATGTGATGAATCTAAAATTGAAGCATCAAAGTGAAAAAGAGTTGCAGGAATTGATTTAAAAATTAGTGAAACAGGTTTAATAACTCAATTCAGCAGTCATCCAAAAGGATAAATAAATTCAACAATATGAATTCATGATTAAATCCCTTTAAATCGCAATAGAAAAAAGAGATTGCATTATTAGTGCATTGAGAGTCGAAAAGTAATAAATAGTTGAGGTCGTGAATCCATTGAAACTGATGATAAAGACTGATGATTCAGCAAGAACTCCTAGTTTGGGTCCAAAGAAATCATTGAGGACCAGAACAAAAGACACCAATTTTGATGAGAATCTCTCTGCCATCCTTGATTCTGACTATGGTATATATATTAGAATTAGTTTGAGCATTGCTGAGTCAATATGTAAAATGCTATGAGGAATTAAATCATTTGACATAAATTAAGAATTTAGTTTCTAATGAAGATTAGTTCTTTGCAAATATTTAGAAAATGGAATTGAGTAACATTGTACACATTTTTGATGCAATTTAATTAGTATTGTAAGAACATAAACTATTGTTCAAAAATGTAATCAAGCAAAATAAACTATTTGATGCATGTTTATAGATCTACGAAGTAATTATTGTAGTGATTAATATTAGCAAATTCCTTTGAATGATTAACTAGAGAGTTTGCAAGGGTTATTGAGAGATTCACTAAATTGTGATAAGGTGCAAATTTACGTATTAGACAGCGAACATTAGGAATTATGGACCAAAACAAAAGATAGAGTATTGAGAATCTAAGCAAATGAAGACATAATTGGAGCATGCTTTTAGGAAAGAGGTTTAATCAATGTTCATAATGCATACAATGATCCTCGATTCAAAAAGGAAAATGATAAAGGATACAAAACAAATACAATTTTGTTATGTCCAATTTTGGATAAGCAACAGAATTCTAATGGAGTTATTATGGGAGTTAATAAACTAATTGGCCATTTTAATAATGATGATCAACTATTCATTTCCAAAACATCAGAAATGATATCAATATTATTGAGAAATCATCAATAATCAAGTGAATCAATTAGTATTTAGAATGCTCTCAGAAATATCATACATGTATTATATTTCTATTCACTTTAGGCTTAATTACAATTAGTGTATATGAATGATACGGAACAAATCTTATTCGAAGCAGAGAACTTGTTGAAGAACTTGTTTCATACATAAAAAGGTTTAGTTTATGTTGTTAATAATAATCGATTGTTAAGGGTGAATGAAAAGAAGTTACTAGAGGTATCATAACTTGGAATTGGAATTGTGGGGGAGGCTCATAGAGTCAAGGAGTTTCTGTGGGTTCAGAATGCTTACAATCATTAGTCGTTCAATAATTTAGGTTTTTAGTTAATGTTATCTTTCAGTTGACATTCAAACTACTATGCCAATCTACTGCATTGAAATTGAAGGGAAGAATCAATCGGTGATTTTGTAGGTTATTAACAACAAAGGAATTAGGTCTCAAAAGGTTAGCTCGTTTGATTAGGAATTGTTGGAAATGTTCGGAAAAATTATTTTAAGTAAAATTGATTTTTTATAATTATGATTTTATGTATCACATAGTATATATAGAATTTATTGGCAATTTTAAATTCTATAACCTTATTTATAAGTTGTTCAATGAATAAAGAAATAATTTTAATGTATCATTAATTAATCTAAAATTATTAATAATTAAGGAGACTGAAAACGTAAAATATTTAATTAAGTTGAATTTACCCTTCTTCTAAAATTACGGTTTTTATTTTTGAAACCCAAAATAAGTTCTCTCCAGGATACAATAAAATATACATCTCAAATTATCAAAACATCCAAGTAATCTAAAATACACAATTTAGACTTTATCTAATTGATATTCTTAATCAATTTAAATATAATTGATATTATTTCATGCAGCCCAATGTATATATGAATGATATTAAAAAACATAAAACGTGGATATCCAGCTTTAAAAAGGAGATTCACGAGAAAAAAGAAAAAAATAAGTTCCCTAATGGAGAATTCAAATTCAAACCACCTAAGAGCATTGAAGATCAACTTGATGAATTATCAGTATTCTAGATTTATATCAATAGCAATTATGCTAGGCCTGTCATTATGATAAAAAAATTACAATCAAAGGATTTAAGGGTAATTTCAAACTGGAACATTGGAAAATGATTGAATTGAGGTTGAGAGGAGACTATTCCATTTAATAAATTAGAATTATAGACACAAAGCTTGAAGAAGATAACTTATTGATTCTCCCTTTATGGTTTAGTTGGGTGAAAGCAAAGAATTTGGTTATAGAATTCCAACACAACGAATTAGATGATTAAAGTGTTGAAAAATTCATTTTTCAATTGTTCGAAAGAAATATCAACCTAGAAAAAGTATAACCTTAATCAACTAAATTAGCTCTTTATAATTAGTAATCCTGGTGTTTATAAAGGATTTTTATTAAGAAAATTGAAGCATTACTTGATAAAGAAGTACGAAGAAAATCCTGACTTCTATTATCTATTATTGAAGAACAAATCAAAATATTCCTTGGCAATAATAAAAATATCAAGATTATGGCAGGTGCAGAGAATTAGAGAAGAAAAGGAAATTGCCCTAAAAAAAATAGATTAAACATTCTATTTCAGTTTCCATTTATCTAATTGTTTTACTTAAATTAATTGGAAAGGATTTGAGCATTTAATATAATGTACTTACAATTTAGAAACTTTGGAATAAATTTCCTCATTGGATATATCAGACAATTATTTAGGCACTTAAAGTAGCTTTAATACTCTTTGTTAAAACTTGGCCACTGCCAAGGGATTGATTTCCTTAAAGTTGAAAAATTAACCTTTGTTTCATAATACGAATGCCATTTATTCACTTGTTGGAGATAGATATGATAGCTTTAGGGTTAACCATTTAGATATATCAGAGAATTCAAATATATTTGAAAAAGCCTTTTAATTACTAGCAAATACTATTTTCTTGAAATGTAAATCCATAAACTTAAATAATTCACTTACAGAGAATAACAGTACTCTTTATAAAATAGCTGTTTTGACTTAGGCTTATGAAACATAGAATGAGGAATTTTAAAAATAAAAATAATAAGAAAAAGCAGTTTTAGGTATTAATCCATGATTTATTAAGGCAAGTATAGATATAAACACAATTTACAAACCTTAGATTTATCAAAAGTAGAAAACTTTAATAGATATGATCAAATAGAGATGTTACTAAAGGTCATGATATTCTCTGAGCACAGTAATGTTAGAACACATAGTATATTTTGTTCCATAATATGTAGCTATTTAGAACTTAGATATAGGAAGAGCTGAAATATATTGCAAGGCTTTAAATCAATTTTTATCAGAATTTAATGTAAGGAAAAAAAAATTAGACTATCTTCAAAATTTTAAGTTAACTTTAAAGCATTTGATAATGCTAGACTCTGAACCAGAATATACTATGAATGTTGAAGTTATGAAATAGTTTTTTCTAGATTATTTATTTACAACTACAAACTCTGTTTTGGAAATAGAAAGTTTCAGATTTGTAAAAAGCTTTGCTAAGTAAAATAGAAAAGAAGCTTTAAAATTGGCTGCAGCCTACATCTTAGAGTCAATTCACAAAAATCCTAAAATAAGGTATTCCTTAACTTGCCTTAAATTCTTTTCATCGTGTGTAGAATTAGATGTTTAGACCTTTAAGTGTTTTTTATTAACTCCTAATATTAGATTAAGGACATTTAAATACTTCAAAGACGAAATGAAAGTAATAACCATTTATATAGATATAGGGCGAAGGAAGTGTTTATTTGAATCAAATGTAGAATTTCTTGAATGAAATGCCGGAGACCTTTGTACATAGCTTATCAATCTTAAAATTAGATACCATAACAAATATTTCATTTGATGTAGGAAAATTGATTAGTTTGATGATCTACTCTCCTAAAATCTAATTGAAAGAGTTTCACTTCTATAAAATCAAACTTACAAAATCTTCTTTAACTTTAAGAGAGTTAGATTTGATTGTTTAAAATCTTACAGATTGCAATAGAATATTGGGATTAAGATAATTGAAATTTGGAGATCTATAAGGTACTGGAGAAGAGGAGTTTTTTAAATACATAGTATTCAGTCGATTTATCAGATTGAAGAATTTAACTATAAAAGCAGTGAATTTTAATAACCTAATTGAAAATCTGCAAGCTACCATTATACCAAAGAATGTTAATCCATTAGAGGATTTAAGTTATTTGGAATTTGAAGAATTTTAAGTATAAACGAAAGAGTTATGGAATCGATTAGCTCAAACTTTCATATTTTCAAATAGAAAATTATAGTCACTTGTTTTCAATTCTCTAAACTTGGATTATAACTTTACTTTAGGTATGACTTAAACTTCAGCTCTGTTTATTTAAAACACAAAGTCCTCCTAAGATCCCGAATAGATTCCATTATTATCACTTAATGATCTTAAATTTATAGATTGTTCTTTGAGCTACGATTTTTTATCATTTTTTTTTCCTATCAGTCAGGTTGAAAAACTTGAAATCATTAGGTGCAAGAATTTAACTTAAGCAATGATGAAAGTCAGAGAAAATTACATTGAAGAGATCAACTTATTTACTTTGAAACTATTCACTATGAAGAGTTGCTCTATTACAGATACTAACTTATTTGAATGGATGGTTGAGAATTTAATCTTGAATTTTGACAGATAATTGCTAGAAACATTAAATTTAGATAATTGTAATTTAAATGATGATATGATTAATCCAATATGTTAACAATTACAATTAATTGCAAATAACATTCTAGAATTTAAAAGAATCTTTTCATTGAGATAAATTAATTTATCAAACAACCCTGATATTTCAGAAAGCTAATGGCTTAATGTAATTTAAATATTTAATCTAGATATTTAACTCAATCCTTCATCTGAATTAACCTCTACACCTTCAAAAAGCCCTTTAAGATACTCGTTAAGATGACATTAATATGCTAATCAATGAGAATTCGCTATTTGTTACCTAATCTCTACTTGGTTTAAAATCAAAATTGTATTATAACCCGTAACTCTTTAAACCTTAATTTCCTTAATAATTGTAACAATTAAATATTGATTTGGAATTTCAGAATTTTATTCTTAAAAATAATGGTTAATCATAATTAGAATACCTTGAAATGAAAAGTTAAATTTACACAAGAATCATAATTGGGTTAATTTTATTCCCATATAGTTAATTAAGAAAACTAAAATTGTCTCATTTAGATTTAGATTTATTTATGACTTGTTGCAAAAAGTCTATCGATTTTTTTTAGAAATACTTGGAATCAAAGCCTGAAAACACATTACAAATTTAATTTATCAAACTAGAGGATATTCATATTAATTAAGTTACTACTCAAAGTAAACAAAGCATTGAGCAATTCTTTAGTCTATTTCTTTGTAATAATCAAATTAATTTAAAAAAATTATCTATCAATGGATTCAAGGAATCATTTTTATAGATCCTATTGACTCTATGTGATAAACGATAATCATACTAGCTTGAAAAATTGTCAATTGAAAATTGTGAAGATAAATTGACATCAGATTAATCTAATAAATTTTTAAATTATTTCATTTTGGGTAAAGTCTTTCCGATCAAATCACTGACAATTTCGAAAGGAATACTATTTGACTAAATAAAGCAATTTGAAATTTAACCAGAGAACATTTGCAAAATAGAGAAATTAAAAATATCGGTAGATGATAAGGGCAAAAATCACATGTCCTCAATATATAAGATGTTTACTTTGCTTTTCCTTTAAGAGAGCTAATTAGAGTATTTGGAAATTACAACTCCCAATGCAGATAGCATATTCTAACATATATTTGAAGTATGCAAGGCACAGAAATTGAAACTGCAAAGTCTCATCATTAATGCAGAGATCAGTGTTGATATGGAATTCTTCCATTTTCTCTAGAAGTCAGTTGAGACTTTGAAACTTTTGAAGATTTACAAAATAATATATCTAAAGTAGAATGATGCTAATTATCTATTGCATTAAATTTGTATGACTCCAAAATTAGGAAGCAAATTGGAATTGAATAAAATAGAGCATGAGGACACTTATTTTTTTTATTATAATCTAATCTTTAATGAAATGTTTGGATTTACAGATTTAATATTGAGGGATGCTGTTAGTTTTGCTAATTTATAACTGAATTATTCCATTTATAAATTTAGATATCTAAAATTGGATATGGGGATTGATTATAATTCTAAAATTTAATTGGATGTTGATGCTTTGACTTTAATTTCCTCTAAGATAATATACAATGAAGACAGTGTTTTAGAGGAATTAGTATTGATGAATTGCGATCTAAGAATACCTGCTATAAAAGCAATTGTTAATTCTGCATAGAAGTTGAGGGATAGAATCACTTATACTTGGCGTTAGAAATCCTTCTATTTGACATTAAAAAGAATATGCATCTTACATTCATTCCACATTGGATAGGAGGGCATGGACTTATTGTTTAATAATTTAATTTACTATGAATATATCAATATAGAACGAATAGAACTATAGGCCATAGAATTGGATGATAAAATGGTTACTGATATGATCAAGTATGCCGTTGATTGGCTGCATTTTCAGAAGAGAAACCAAAGGTAATTTACTAGGATATTTCCTCTTCGTTATTTGGACATTGGAAAAAATGAGTTATTTTAAGATAAAGCAGTTTGGTAGAAGTTTTTGAGAACTTTTGTTTTTACTGACAAGGCACCTTATTTGGAAATCTTGAATCTTCATTTTATGGCTCTGAATGATGGAATAGCCAATAATATCTCTTATAATGCATTAAAATATTTAAATTCTAAATCAGGTGATTTCTAATTCCCTTTGAAGAGATTAAATTTTTCCAAGAACAATTTCTTAACAGAAGTAGGATGGAAAGATATCTTCAATAATTTCATTTTTCATCCAAAGGTTTACCTAATAGAATTAAATATGACGAGTACTCAACTAGATTCTGAGGAGAAGTTGAATTCAATAATGAATGCTGCTAGAAAAAGAGCAGCTGTCTCAAAAAATAAATTACTTCCATTACATACATTGTTATGTTACAATGTGACTCTAAAAACTATGATAGCTTAATATTTGTCTCAAAAATCATAATAATATTAAGCTCCTGAGGATTTACCCATTAAAATTGATTATAAGTGTTGGAAGTAAGGTATCTATGATGAAATTCCAATTAATTTAGGAGATCAAATAGAAATTTTGAATTCCTTAATCTATAATACAACTGAATTGATCATACCCAGTCACATTGATTGCACAGAAATTTTAAAGTTTTCCTAATTTCATCTAAACTTTTTGGAACATTATTTATAAATCTTAAAACTTTCGAACCCAGAAGATTCTCACCTAATCATAAATTTAGCCACTTTAGACAAGTTCTCAAATCTATTTAGATACACAAAGGAGAAACCAGCAAAGCCATACCCATATTATATGATCTTTTAAAGAGAGACTTACATATTTCTTAGTTAGAAGGAAAACAAAATCAAAAAAATAAGTTTAATCCAAGCAGATTCTTAATCTTTAGAAAAGTTACACCAATTTGATGTGCTGCAAATTTGGGAGAATATTCAATTCTATTAGTGTTAAATTGATTAAATAATGATGGAATATACATTAAACGATGATCTAGTTGAAAAGATGTTATAAAAAGGTTATACAGAAAGAGACTTCATTTCATTGTGTAGATTGATTCCTCCCTCGAAGATCAGAATTTAAGGAACACTCAGTCTATAAGCAATAAAGGGATTGTACTCTATATTATATGACACCTATTACTTTTAATATTCAGTAATTGATTATAAATTTGATGACTTTTTGAACATCGGTATTGGATATGGGTTGAGAGAAACAGCTTATACAGAAGCCTAAGGAAATTATTGGTCTAATTTGCTTCGAATGACCAAGTACAACTTTTATAATACTTTTGTTAAGCCAACTTAAAAATATGTTTTTGATGATTCAGTCAAAAAGTTGGACAATTACTTATCAACTAAGAAATTAAATCTGTTACTTTTAGTTTTAACCAACTTTTTATTTTTTGGTGCTGCCTTAGTCGCACCATTTTTCTTGATTGAATTTGCGACCCATGAAAACGAATAACAATGTTAAGTAACTAAAGGGTATTTGTAATACTATTGTTATGCTGGATTTGCGGTTATTTCTGCTTTGGTTGAAGGATATCTGTACTTTTCGATTTCAGATGTAATTCCAGAATACGTTACAGCTTTGGAACATGCAGTATAGTTTAATGAATCAGAAATTGAGATTACTGAATACAAACTAAAATCGAGTGCTTTGGATACAAATGGTGGTCAAACAATAGAAAGGTAATTCAAGGAAAAGAGGAAATCTAGAATTGAACTATCGATTGAGTAAATTATCTCTCGCTTACAAAGTGCAGGATAATCAAGATAAGCAGCAATAGTGAATCGAATTCTTTAATTTTTTATGTCCTAATTATTTAAGTTCGACCTTTTTGGTGATGTGACATTCATTTTAGTACTTTAGAATTGCAATTATAATGAGTTGTTCTATCTAACCATAGCGATTACTGCTGCTACTTCAGGGGTTCATTTTCTCTACTTCATGTATTTAATCTTGAAAAGAATATCCAAATAAAATAGACAAATACAACAATTGTCATCCTAATACATTAACGACTTTTACACAATTGGATTTCAAGGAAGAAACGCTGCCTTATCGAACTTATTGGATTCTATTGCACCATACAATGTGTCAGTAATACCAAATAATAAATTTACAAGAGCTATAGTACCAAATTCAGCTGGTAAATCAATGAGTAATTTAGTGAAAGTAGAATAAATAGTTTATTATTTTAGGGCTATTTTCTATAGTTTATATTTGAAGACTTGCCATAGATAGTGATTTAGACCTATTTTACAGTGAGTCAGGCTGTGAAGTTTGAGGGCGAATTGGAGATTTTGACTTATTGTAGAATAGCAATTTCATTTATAACGGTGGTTACGTCCTTTTTAAAGTAATTATGGTTGATAGAGGGATAGGTTTATGTCGATTAGGCCGACGATTTTGGTGCAAGATGATTTTGATAAGTTAAGTGATAGGAAGAAGCAGAACTATAAGGTTGAGAGGAGGGATTTGTTGCAATAGGAGAATTGGCAATTGAAGAAATACTCGTAGTATAGTTAGAAGGCGGAGAATGATCAACAAAGACAGAGTTTGGATGAGACTCAGCCTTTGAGATTTTAATCACCTTGAGGAGGAAGCATTTGATTATTTTTTATGAATATAAATGAATTAAAAAATATTTAAATTTGATGATTAATAAATTTAACATTAATTTGATTGTCATTTGTACAGAAACTGGATGAAGGTGGATGGAGATGCAACATGGAATTGAGGAGAAGTGGAAAGAGGAAAAAGGAGGAGATGAATAAATATAATATATAATAATAATTAATGGATATTTCTAGAATAATTGGGAAATTTTGATAATTAAGGAGATTGATTTTGATTCGGAATTAAAAATTAATTTGAGGTAATTAAATGCTCAGCAAATTATTGAGATCAACATCAAAAGTGAACTAACACACTGTGAATGCATTCAGCAGCAAGGTCATGAAGGGAGAATATGTGATTGGTATCGATTTAGGTACTACAAACTCTTGTGTGTCAATTATGGAATGTATAGATATAGTGTATATTCAGCTGGAACACCCAAAGTTATTGAGAACGCAGAAGGTATGAGAACAACACCATCAGTCGTTGCATTTACCGCTGATGGACAAAGAATAGTGGGAGCACCAGCTAAGAGATAGGCTGTAACAAATCCTGAAAACACAGTTTATGCAACAAAGAGATTGATTGGTAGAAGATTTGATGACCCAAATGTTTAGAAAGACATCAAGCATTTAAGTTATTCAGTTGTGAGAGCTTAAAATGGTGATGCATGGGTTAGTTTGAAAAGTAAATATACATTATTAATCATCTAGGTGGCTAAACCTATTCACCATCCTAAATTGGAGCCTTTGTCTTAATTAAAATGAAGGAAACTGCTGATGCCTACATTGGAAAACCTTAATCAAAGGCAGTCGTTACAGTACCTGCTTATTTCAATGACTCACAAAGATAAGCCACAAAGGATGCCGGTAAAATTGCTGGTTTAGATGTTCTGAGAATCATCAATGAACCAACAGCAGCAGCATTGGCCTTTGGTTTGGAAAAGAAAGATAACAAGATCATCGCAGTTTATGATTTAGGAGGTGGTACATTCGATATTTCCATTTTGGAAATTAATGCAGGAGTATTTGAAGTTAAAGCAACTAATGGTGATACAAGTTGTGGAGGTGAGGATGTTGATTCCATTCTATCCAATTGGATCAGTCAAGAATTCAAGGCATAAGCCGGAGTTGATATTTAAAAGGATAAAATGGCTGTCCAAAGAGTCAGAGAAGCTGCTGAAAAGGCTAAAATTGAATTGTCATCAACAACTCAAACTGATATTAACTTACCATATTTGACTGCTGATGCCTCAGGTCCAAAGCATTGCAATCTCAAATTGACCAGAGCCAAACTCGAATCTTTGACTGAAGATTTCCTTAAGAAAACAATCAAACCAACTGAAAATTGTATTAAAGATTCTGGTGTTGATAAGAGCAAGATCGATGAAGTCATTTTGGTTGGAGGTATGAGTAGAATGCCAAAGGTCTAAAAGTTGGTCTAAGATCTCTTCAACAAACCACCCAACAAGTCAGTCAATCCTGATGAAGCAGTCTCCATTGGTGCTGCCATTCAAGGAGGTGTTTTGAAAGGAGATGTCAAGGAATTATTATTATTGGATGTTACTCCTCTCTCTTTGGGTATTGAAACCTTGGGAGGAGTATTCACCAAAATGATTCCAAGAAACACAACCATCCCAACCAAAAAGAGTTAAACCTATTCAACTGCTAGTGACAATCAAACTGTAGTTTCAATCAGAGTCTTCTAAGGAGAAAGAGAAATGGCTGCTGATAACAAATTATTGGGACAATTCGATTTATCAGGTATCCCCCCTGCTCCAAGAGGAGTACCATAAATCGATGTCACTTTCGATATTGATGCCAACGGTATCGTCCATGTTTCTGCCAAAGACAAGGCAACAGCTAAGGATCACTCCATCACCATCCAATCATCAGGTGGTTTGAGTGAATCTGAAATTCAAGATATGATCAATAAGGCTGAAAAGTACAAGGATGAAGACAAGAAGAGAAGAGTATTATATTATATCTATCCAATAGGAACTCGTTGATTTGAAGAATGAAGCTGATGGAGCTATATTCAACACAGAGAAGTCATTGAATGAACACAAGGCTAAATTATAACCCAATGAAGTTTAAGAAATTGAAAGTGCCATTCAAAATTTGAGAGTCCTCTTAACTGAAAATCTCACTGCCAATGATGTTCAAAGACTTAAGGATGCCGTCGAAAATGTCAAGAATTCAGCAATGAAAATCGGACAAGCAATGTATTCAAATTCCATTTATGTCTAGGTATCGTAATACCGGTGGTGCAAGTGAATAATAACAACAATAATCTTCGGAATAATAGGGAGAATAATAACAATAATAAGAGGGTGGAGAAAATAACAACAATAAATAAAATTGATATATTATGTTATTAATATTGTACATTCCTTTAATATTGGCTTCTTATCTTTATGAGAATTCAACACTCATCACATAAACTATGTTTTATGAAAGAGAAGACAATCCGATGTACAATTTGAGTGTGTTTGCTACATATGAATCCTACAATCAATTGGATATCAAGATTGAAGATCTTGAAAAACGACAATTTCATATTCCATCTGACATGGAGCCCTTTAAGAGCATTTATAATGATATCATTAATCCAATCGCATGTTCGCATTATGATTACGAAACTAAAATAGATGAATCCCCTTTTAAATTTAATGTTATCAGAGCTGACACATAAGAAACCATGCTATCTTTATATGATATTATAGTCTCCGAATTATACAGCGAATTTACAATAAAAATACCAACCAAATACTTATTTGGATTGGGAGAGAGAAATCAGAAAGGATTCAGATTCAAGGAAGGAATTTACACTCTGATGGCAAAAGATGTACCGTAATTATTAGAGGATGGGAAGTAACCAGGCAAAGGTGTCTATTCATCTCACCCAGTTTATTTGATGAGAGAAAGATCAGGCAAATACCATGTGTTATTTTTTAAGAATAGTTCTCCAATGGATGTCATATATAAAGACGATAAGTTGACTTTCAAATATATCGGTGGAATACTGCAACTGAAACTCTTCTTAGGCGACTACGATCCTGAGACTGCAGTTAAATTGTATCACTCATATTTAGGAGGTTGGGCATTGCATCCTTTTTGGGCTATGGGTTATCATCATAGTAGATGGCCAATCAAAAGCAGTCAAAAACTAAAGGAGTACGTTTATAAGCACAAGGAACACGATATCCCCTTAGATACCATATGGTCAGATATTGATTACATGAATGATAGACAGATCTTTTCAGTCGATGAGATGAGGTTCCATAAGAATGACTTCGAAGAAATCTAGAATCAATTAGGAGTGAATTACATTCCAATCATTGATGTTGCAGTTGGAGTTAAATATGGTAAACAAGATAAAGGATTCAGAGAGGGGATCAATTTAGATATCTTCTTAAGATCTCCAAATACAGGTCAAAGATTCAGAGGCAAGGTATGGCCAGGATCTTCATATTTCCCTGATTTCTTTCATCCCAATTGTTCAACCTATTGGAGAACTATGATCAAGCATCTCTATTAAAGCACTAATTTTAGTGGATTATGGATTGACATGAATGAACCAACTAATTTCTGCGATGGAGAATGTGATCTACAATAAGGAAGAGATAAATGGAATTCTACAATGGACTACACTGATGTGAATGAAACTTACAAAAATAATCACATTAGATTCCCTTACATTCCAGGAGTGTCACCACTTGAAAAGATGACTCTTCCTCCGAATCTGTTCCATTATGGTAAACATCTCCATAAAGATGTTCATAATCTGTATGGATTGCAAGAATCATTTGAAACTTACCAAGCATAAAAAGAAATCGGAAAACCATTGCCTTTCATTATTTCAAGATCCACATTTCCAGGCAGTGGACATTTCACTTAGCATTGGGAAGGAGACAACGAAGCATCTTATACCTTCCTGTATTTATCAGTTGGATCTACTATGTAATTCAACATCTTTGGTATCCCCATGGTAGGTGCTGATGTTTGCGGATTCTTAGATAACACTACTCCTAAATTGTGTGCTCGTTGGGTGTAATTGGGTAGTCTTTATCCATTTTTCAGAAATCACAATAACGACAGAGCCAAGGATCAAGAATTCTACTCTCTCGGTGATGATGTCTTGTTGGCTGCCAGAAGAAATGTTAAATTAAGATATTCTATTATCAAATGGTATTACTCCTTGTTTTTGAGATCTAATCACACAGGTACAATATTTCGTCCAGTCTTCTTTGAATTTAATGATGATGTTAATCTTTTCAAAGATGAAGTCTTAGATACTTAATTTCTTATTGGAGATGAATTGATGGCCACTCCTATCTTAGTAGAAGGTCAAACCATTAGAAAAGCCTATTTCCCCAAGTCTTATTGGTATCATTTCTTAAGTGGATCTAGATTACAAAAAATAGAAGATCCAGGGTAAGAACATTTTGTTATGTGTAAATACACAGATTATGTACCCTTATATATAAAAGGGGGTAGTATTATCTTGTAATAAAATATTACTTAAGTGAAATCTGTTAAGGATCTTAAAAATCACTATTATGCTGTCATAGCCATTGGGGAAAAGGATTCTTTTGGTACCATGATAGACTTAGATGAATTCTCCGATTAAAAGGTAAATATTCATTTGAATTATAATTATAGATCGTAGAGAAATGTGATCAATTAAACTGCATTCTTAATGTTAATTTCTCAAAATAAGACAATCAAGCGGAATTTACAATCGTAAGAGCTGATAACGGAGGACCAGCATCATATCCATTATTTATCAGTAGATTGAAAATATATGGTTTATCGCCCTCTTAAACCATTAAGTGTTCTAGCAATGTAATTCATAATTTTAATGTAGAAAATTGTTGAATGTTCATACAGCAATGAAAATACTTTCCCATATATATCTAATATATAATTAAATGAAGGAATAGGACTTGAGTTTGGTGAAACCACTGGAGTGTTCAAATTAACATTGTAATTTTCATGAAAAATTGTTAATACAAAAATCAATATTATATCATACAACTTTCTCTTTTCAAATTTAGTGTTAGTCATTATTGAAATCTAGTTTCCACCATTTTCCACATCCGATGAAAGTTTAAATTCCATATTCTCTTAATCTATCCCTCAACCCTCTATCACTGGTCACAACAGTTGTTTCCTTGGATTTTTATACATTCTAAGAGCACAAGTCCACGATTAAATCATCTGCGATTCTTGGATGCGAGGATTCAATAGTAAATAATATCTTTTTGTTTCCACATTCTATCCAAAACGTAATCTTTTTTCCTTCTTAACTCAAATTTATTAGATTCTTGAATAGATCCAATTAGGTTATTTCACCTTACAACTACTGGATATTCCTAACCTTATAAACATCCCAAATCAAATGAACTTCATTTAATTATGAATTAACATTTTATAACCAACTTGCAACAATGTCCAGCATCTTTACAATTTGCTCTTTTTATTTTCCATGAAATTCATTCCAATTTCTGTTAGCATATTTCACATTGTTACAATCCACATACAAAATTTAGGTATCTTTAACAATTTAAATAATGTCAATCTCCTCCTTCTTAACCTTTTTCTTTGTCTTATCTATCAATGACTCCACTATCTTAGCCTTATCTCCGTTGTACTTTTTGATTAATTTTAGGATCCTTTTTTGATCATCAAAACCCATTGCAAGATATTCTTGAGATTAATCCTATTGCTCTTCTGGTTCTTATTTACCTTTTTAAAATTAGGCTAACCATTGTTATTGTTCCAAATAAAGTGGATGTTAATTAATCATAATTATTATTCAATTCTTTTAAGTGCATCAACATTTATGCCGCATTATTCTGATAAATACTTAATAATAATATATTGTAGAATAACAATATTATAGAATTGGCTTCAAACTCAAATCTTTTATAAACTCATATACTAACACAGCAATGGTTATGTAATTCTAGCATGAAAAATGTTTAAATATAAAAAAACAATCATCAGTGAGAGAATTTAGTCATTTAATAAAGGCAATTACCACTGTAATGTCATCTATGACTTCATCTTCTCTTTGCCATGCTTCTCTTGCTGCTTACACCAATCGTTAACAAGCCCCTTAAGCATCATCCTTTTTATAATATTCATAAACAGTTTCAACAACCCATTCATTAGAGAGAAATCTAATTTTAGTATAAATAATACTCCCATATTCCATCAGATGCAACAATTATGAACTTATCGCAAGGCAAGAGTGAATGCTTTATTATTTCAGGTTCGCAAATCACACCAACTTAACTAGCAACATAATCACCAAAACTTCTTGACATGGCTAAACCTGGAACATCTTCATCTGATTTCCAGACTCTTGCAGGTCCAACTGGATTCCCATCTTCATCACTATATGCTTACACACGACCTCCTCTCTGAATGATTCTGGCTTACTCAAGAAAACAATCAGGTTTATGATCTTTCGACAATTCAATTACTGACAATTTATTATCGAATCTTCCTATAATAGCTCGACTATCACCAATATTGGCACAGTATAATACATTTTCAAAGGAGATTACTGTTACAGTGGTTGCACCTGAGTAAGTCACATCAATTCCACTATCGAGTAATTCTTCATTTGTTTATAAGAAGCAATTTTTGAGGATTGTGTTGAGTTACCTAAGGATTTGTTATGTATATTTACTTATCTCTATCATAACAGGATGAGATACCCATAATACCCTATTCTATGAAGGAGGGTAACACTTATTATAAGAATTGAGCTACTTAATGACCATTCGTACCATGGCCATCAGAAACTTGAATATACCAATCATTTTCTTTATTGTTAAATTTGTTGATTAGTTTGTAGATGTCTTAATTGGTTTTGGTTTAACCATTGTAAAGCATTCCAGGAGAACTCAACCCATTTGCTTTAGTAATGTAGAGTTGCAAGTTGGAAATATCTGGATTACTGATTGAACGAGGCCCTTTGAACAATTTGGATTTAACTATGGATTGCTGTTGCTGCTTAGACAATTCCATTAATTTTTGATATTTTTTTGAGATGGCTTGTTGATTGAATATATCTTTGTTTTACTGAATTCCAGGTTATTTGGTTTCAGGCTATACTCCTCATTTGATTTTTAACAAGATGGACAAGGCATTAGCTGATAGGTTTTGTGTATTTTCTTTGGTTTCGATTAATTTGCTGTTCTAACGTGCATGAGTTTTTTTGAGCAATACACTGCTTATGTCTTTTAAATCCTTGCCACTTGCAGGCCTTGTCTTTTTAGCTTCTATTTTAGAATTGCCACCTCCGTTCCTATTGCTTGGCACTAGGTATCTAGATAGTAAAAATGATTGATGTACTTGTTGGTATTGACAATTGGCGATTTTAGACGAGCTTGTTGCTCTTGCTCACTTTTCCTTTTGAGGAGAGAAGCATACAATTTATCAGGAGAAATTTAGGAGACCTTAGCTTTCATGCCCAAAATAGTTGTTAGTTATTAAATTATTAATATTGTATATATTTTTTTACTTGATCAAATATTTTCATCTTCCAATTCTCCTCTCAAACTATCGACCATCTAATCAGTTTGTCTCTACAATTCTTCAGGTGATAATTCGCTTTATCCCGGAGTCTTCTCATAGGCACTTTATAAATCCCATGATGGTGCTGCATCCATTTATGGAGTTTCATCCTATTAAAATCTGCTTTCAAATTGTCTCATTTCTAAAAGTGTCTACTCTTCAGGCAATACTTATAATGGTTGACCATTCTCATCTAATAAATCTAACTTATCGATGGCTCTCACATAATCCAAATTTTCGTCTTGGGTTAAATGAACCATAGGGGGACTTGGAGAGTCTTCGATTATTGCTTGCTTTCCCATATCTGGTGATGAACCATCGTTTGTGAATAAATCTGCAAAGTTTATCTCCTTCTATGGAGTTTGATCCAAGGTCTCCTCTACATATATTTCATTATCACTAAGTTAAATTAAGGATTTGTGTGATTTGGATTTTTTAATTGCATTCATTACGGCATTTCTTTCCTTTGTTTCAGCCTTCTTGATGTTGTTCTACTTCACAAAATCATTATTTGTTTCCTCTGTTACTGAAATGACTCCAACATTGCTACTAAGGTCTTATGCTTCTCCCACAAATTTGGAACTAGATTAAAATATATCTATCATTACTCAAGTTCAACCAAGTTTTCAACATTTTATGTTTTTTTGTGTTTCTTATGTTATCTCATGTTTGTTGCATTTGTCAAGGCAAGAATCAACAGAAGAATTGCTATGTATTTCATATTTTTATTAATTATTAATCCGTTTTAATATAATTCAATAATATTTATCATATATTATGCTTCTCATTATTTTTCTAAATATATTTTATTATAAAACATGTGATTTATAGATTATAAAATAAAATGCAAAATTAAGATTAAGAATATCTACTCAATGTTGTGAACCCCATCTTAGAATAATTGGCACTCTATTTAGTCAAAGAAAAGCCTGACAATGTGGTATATCTATTCACTATGATTTTAATAGACACAAGCATCAATCGAATGGTTAAGCGTAACAGGAGGTAATCTTATTATGCATCAATTCCCTAGCTTAGATTGAAACTGGATTACACCACAATCAACACAATGAAAATGTCGAATCTTCTGATGATACAGAATCCGATGAAGATGATTATGAACTTTATGCTAATAATCCCATTAGACCTGATAGAGCAAGTGTAAGTGCTGAAGTCTATGGAATTTATAATAAAAAAACCAATTTCAAACCTAAAATAGTCGCAAAGTCTCACCTGCAAATTCAGAAAATCAAAGAAAAATTAGCCTAATCCTTTATGTTCTCAGAATTAGATGAACATGATTTGAGAATCGTCATCAATGCCATGGAAGTCGTCTAATGCATTAAAGGAGATGTTGTCATTAAATAAGGAGATGACGGCGACAATCTCTATATAGTTGACGAAGGAACTTTGGATTGCTCACGAACTAAAGCTGGCCAAGATGCTGTGCATCTTAAAACTTACAAACCAGGAGAATCATTTGGCGAATTAGCACTCTTATACAATTCACCCAGAGCAGCCACCATAGTTGCAGAAGAAAACTGCGTCCTATTTTCTCTGGATAGAGGAACATTCAATCACATCGTCAAAGACGCTGCTATCAGAAAGCGAGAAAGATATGAATACTTTTTAGCTCATGTAGAGTTGCTTTAAGAACTTGATCCTTACAGCAGATCATAAATTGCTGATGCCCTCAAAAGCAAAAACTTTAATATTGGTGATCACATTGTCAAAGAAGGAGATGAAGGAGACATCTTCTATTTCCTCGAAAAAGGAGAGGCTGTTGCCACTAAAGTCTTAAATCAAAGTATTAAATACTAATTTATCAACAATTTTTAGGCTAGCCAGCTTAAATCGTCTATTTTTATAAGGAAGGTGATTATTTTGGTGAAATTGCATTACTTAGATAAGCTCCAAGGGCTGCTTCTGTGATTGCTGAGGTATCCCTTAATTCTAGTTTAATTTAGACTCCATGCACAGTAGTTTATTTGGATAGAGAGACCTTCAAAAGATTATTGGGTCCTCTAGAAGATATACTCACTCGTAATTTTAAGAAATATGAAAAATATATGAATTGAGATTATAAAATATCTATTTATTTTACAATAGAAAATTTTAACTAAATAATTATATGCATCAGTCACAAAACTAAAACAGAGTATCAATTGGTTAGAAAGAAAAAACGGAGTTAACAGCTCAAGATTTCAAAAAGTTTAATTAAACTTCTATTTAGATTGCTTAAAACGAGAATTACCTAGACAAAGGAAGAAATTGAGAAATTAGAGGCTAAATTAGATGTATTTAAACCTGAGAATGCAAAATCTTAAAATCAGAAATAGTATTTTCATGACAGAAGAAAATTCATATTCACAAACATTAGATTGTAGAAAATATATAAAAATTTAGATTATAAGCTCATCTTGGGAAATTAATTTAAAATCAAGCAATTTTGGAAGATGAAAATATAGAGGAAGCTAAATTAGAAAATATGTTGGGCTCTATTCAAGACTTAAGTCATTAGAACTTGGAAATCATGAAAAACTTTCAAACTCTGAATCAAACACCTGATGATTAACCCTTACCACCTGATTTCATAATGATGAGTGAAAGGGTGGCTAGAAATTACAAAGTTATATAAACTCAAGAAGAAGTTGATGATAAATTTGATAAATTAAACAATTACTTTTAAAATGAGATCTAGAAATATTACAAAAATCCAATTTCAGCTCCATATCTTAAATATGTGCCCAAAATTGTTTGAATTATATCATAGATTTTAATTCTATATATTAAATTTTTATTATTTCATGTCAAATCAATTATGACTAAATATATTCATTATTTTCTTTAACATTGAAATGTTCTCTTTTTTATCAGAACTTTCCTTTTTATCAATAAACTCTGGTTAATTTTTCAATTATTATTGCTTTTCAACTTTATCTTGTGGTATAGTTCTGAAGTTGAAACTTGTTCCAACAACTTATTTCTTTTGTTAAGTTGTTTTTTGATTGCCATTATGATTAACATTCTTCATTTTTGCAGCATTCTTAATATTCCTGCTACGTAAGTTATATGAATTATATATTTATTCATCATCTTTTTCCCATACCTAATTTGTTTTATAAATGAATTTGCCTTGATTAGCTTAATTATCTTAAGATTCTAAAGACTCATCTGTTTCTTTTGCCTAATTTTAATTTAAAAATATTTACATCTTAGCTAATCCATTTCTCATGAGCTTGATTTTCCAATTATAGGGCATCATTATTATTTAAAGATTAAGAAGCTAAATTCAAAGTAACCATTTCTCCATCCTCATTTACATAATATTCCTCCCAGTAATCAGTGCTTGAAGATACATTGTAAGATGTTGAATATGAATAGGATTCTTCCCCGCTGCTTGAAGAATATTGAGTTGAGTTACTGCTACTACTTGTCTTTAATCTTGTCTAATAAGAATTAGTAGATGCATCCCAATAATATTCATATTACCCATCATCATACGTGCCTTATTGAGCTATTTAATCATTGGATACTTCTCTCCATTTGTATGATTAAGAAGCAGCATCCCAATATTATTCATAATATGTAGTTGAACTAGATGAAGATGTTGAGTATCCTTGAGATTATTAACCCTTTTAACGGTATTGATAGGATTAAGTATCGTAATCCCAATAATATTCATACTCAATTTAACTGGAAGAGCCGCTTTTCTTTCTAGTCTGATACGATTAAGTATTCACATCCCAATAGTATTCATATTCCCCATCATCATAATTGTATGAAGTACTGCTCTTCTTTCTCCACTAATAGGACTGAGTTGATGAGTCCCAATATTATTCGTACTAATTAGTATCATATGAGTTTGCCTTTCTTCTCCATTGATAAGAACTTGTTTCCCAATCCCATTGCCATTCATAATCATCTTGCTCGTTCTACTATTGCTATTTCAATTTCCAAACATAAGTTTATTAGCTTGAATCCCAATAATATTCATACTCACCTGAGTCCCAAGTATTTGATCCTAATTATTTTCTTCTCCATTTATATGAATTTGAAGATTGATCCCAATATGACTCATAGGTATATCCATTATAAGTGTAAGAACTCTAGGAACTAGATTATGTAGAACTACCCGATTATTTGAACTTATAAGTTGAGCTGCTTTCATCCCAATAATATTCATAATCGCCAGATTCCCATGTACTTGATCCTGTTTATCTCCTTCTCCACTTATAAGAACTTGAAGATTGATCCCAATATTTCTCATAAACATATCCATTATAAGTATAAGAACTAGATGTAGAACTGACTGATTATTTGAACTTGTAACTTTAACTGCTCTCATCCCAATAATATTCGAATGTATCACTCTCATATGATGTTGAGCCTACTCTGTATCTTCTCCATTAATATGAATTGGTGCTGGCATCCCAATATTATTCATAAACAAAACCATCATAAGTGTATGAACCTGATGGCTTTGTATTTATGTCATAAGTTTGGCTTCCTTTTTTTCTTTTCAGATATCTAGAACCATCCCAATAGAGTTCATAATCATCTTCATTAGGACCTGACCCCTTCACTCTACTTTTGTAACTTTATGAATCAACATCCCAGTAATATTCATATTCAATAACAGTTTCAGACCTCTTTCTTTTAACATATTAAGATCCGTCCCAATAGGTTTCCCACTCGCCCTCATCGCTTTCATCATCAAAGCCCATCTAACCCCAGTCATCGTCCTCATCTTCAGGGAGAGGCAGAGGGGCAGCAGATTTTGTAGTGTTTTTTGCAGCTTATATGATAATCTCTTCATAATATTCCTCGTAATATTCTTCATAGATTATTTCCTCATATTCTTCATCTGGAACAGGTAAGGTTTCACTTGTTTTAGTAGTATTTTTTGGATCCTTCACAACCACTACTTCCTCAGGAACTTCTTCTTCTGGAATGGGTACTGGTTCTGCTTATTTTGTTTCATTTTTCACAACCACTATAATTTCAGGCTCTTCTTCCTCTTCTTCTGGAACTGGTAGAGGTTCAGATGGCTTTGTTTTATTAACAAATGGCTCATCTGGTACAATTACTTCCTCCTCAACATATTCTTCTTCAGGAATAGGGAGAGGTTCTACAACTTTTGTTTAATTAAATGTATCAACAGGATCTTCAATAGGATCTGGCTCGATAATTTATTATTCAACTGGTTCTTCTTCAGGTATTGGTAGAGGTTCTGATGGTTTGGTTGTGTTCTTTGTATCAATAGGTATAATTTCTTCTGGTGTTTCTTCTTCTGGAACGTATTCTTCAGCTTACTGTTCTTCTGGTAAAGGCAATGGTTCAGCTGGTTTTGTAGTGTTCACACTAGCAGGTTCAGTTGGAATTGGCTCTTATTCTTCTTCTGGAATTGGTGTTTCTTCCTCTGGAACAGGTTTTGGTTCTTCTTCAGGAATGGGTTTTGGCTCTTCTTCTGGAATAGGCTAAGGTTCTTCTTCTGGAATAGGTTCAGGTTCTTCTTCTGGTACAGGTTGAGGATCTTCTTCAGGCTCAGGTTATGGATCTGGAGCAGGCTCTGGGAAAGACATTTCAGGGAATAATTCTTCTTCCTCCTCTTCTTCTTCCTCTGGTTCAATAACAGGAACGGGCTTTTCATCTGGCTTTGGCTTAATCGGTTAAGCAGGTTCTTTGCAATCGTCACCATCGTCTTATTGCACTACAACTATTACAGGCTGAGCTGGAGCAGAACAAGCAGGCTAAGTAGTTACTTTTAATAAAATAATATATTCTACATAATGCTTCAAGAATTGTTAACAATTCTCCATTCTAACTTCCAATAGTGGTTGTATTTGAATTTTAGTATACTGTAATGTTTATTGAAACATTTTCCATCTTTCCTTCTTAAAACTATTTTATCAAATCTTGAACTTCAGTAGTTCTGTTCCCATTGACAGTTATATTTGTTTTTATCTATTCAGGAGATTTTGGCGGCTCAGTAGGAGGTTAAGGTGGCTCTGCAGGTGGTTTAGGTGGCTCAGAAGGAGGTTTAGGGGGTTCAACAGGTGGTTTTGGTGGTTCAGTAGGTGGTTGAGGTGGTTCAACAGGTGGTTTAGGTGAATCAATTGGTTGTTAAGGAGGTTCAACAGGTGGTTTAGGTGGCTCAGTAGGTGGTTAAGGAGGTTCAACAGGCGGCTTAGGTGGTTCAACTGGTGGTTAAGGAGGTTCAACTGGTGGTTTAGGTGGCTCAGTAGGCGGTTAAGGAGGATCAACAGGTGGTTAAGGAGGCTAAACAGGTGGTTATGGAGGCTCAGCAGGAGGTTTAGGTGGCTCAGTAGGTGGTTAAGGAGGTTCAACAGGAGGTTTAGGTGGTTCAACTGGTGGCTTAACTGGTGGTTATGGTGGCTCAGCAGGAGGTTAAGGTGGCTAAACTGGTGGTTACGGAGGCTAAACTGGTGGTTATGGTTGATCAATTGGTGGTTTAGGTGGCTCAGCAGGTGGGGGAGGTGGCTAAACCGGTGGCTCAACCGGAGGTTTAGGTGGTTCAATAGGTGGGGGAGGTGGCTAGACTGGTGGCTAAGAAGGAACCTCAGAAGGAGGTTAAGCAGGAGGTTATGGAGGTATTTGTGGAGGAACTTAAGGCTGCTCTTATGTTGATGGTGGCGGAGGTGGTGGAGGATTAGGTATTGAGGGTTGATTTTATGGAGGTTATGGTATTTCACAGGGCTGACATTATTATGTCTGTGGTGGTGGTTAAGGAATATTTGTTTAATTAGTGGTTGTTTATGATGTAGAAGTAGTAGTCGTACTACTTCCCTATTATTGATTAGAGTTTTATTAAGCATTTGAGGCTTGAGGGTCTACACAATTAATTGGCTATTATGTTCCTGAAATATTGGTGCCTTATTGCTAAGTATTCGATTATGAAGAAGATGATGATGTAGTTGATGATCCTTGACTGGAATCTGAAGTGTTGGGTGTGCCATAAGCGTCATCTATATAGCCTGCTTCATTTTTTATGTTTTGTGCTTGTTAATTGATTGCTTCTTGTGCCTTTCTTCTCTGCCTTTCTTCCTTTTAGAAACAAAATTCTTAATATGTTTAGACTTCCTCTATCTGGGAATTTAACGCAGAAATTTTTCGCTGTTTATTCGGTGTTGCCAAAATTTCTTCAAGGGAATCAATTATTGATTGAAGCTCTTTCTTCAATAAATCTATTATGTAGCCTGGCTAATCTAAAAACCGCTTATTATACTTATTACCTTAAGCATCTTTGCATATATCATCAGTGATCTACATCAATCCGTGAATTTTAAATTGATCTTTCTAGATGAAGGAACTCAAAAATAAATTTGATTCTGGGATTGTCGTTTTTATTTGCTTTAATGTTTCCAAGTCGGTCTACAAATCACAATCATCAGTTTGCAATATTTCAATCCAATAACGAATACTTATAATGATATTATCAAATTTAGGTTATTCTACACATTCAGGGACATAAAGTGTGATGGGATTGAATAATAATGCTTCATTCAATGTCGTGAATCCTGCAAGCACTTAGTTTAATGCATAGAACACTAGAATATAAATTAATGTCATTTTATTAATAATTATTTGTTAACTTTATGAATTTATCTGCCAGATCCTATATGCCAACTTAAAAGTCAATATCGCCATTGATTGATCGGACCACCAAGAAGCGCACTCTTACAATTCAAGAGCTTACCAAGTCAACAAAAACCACAAATAAGTTAATTACAGAAAAATCCACTGAAAAAAAATTGACATCCAATAGTTCTCAAGAAACTTCAGAAACCTGTTTAACTAGGAATGACTCTGCATAGGACAACAACAGATTGTAGTAATTGAAAATTAGAGTGTTAACGTATACATATATCTCTCAAAAAGCTTAGAGAAAAAGTCTAACAGATTGAAAAATTTGATCTCTGCAAAACTACACTGTTACTGAAAGAGCTCCAATACTATCGTGCTAAGCATTTTAATAGTTCAAATACTTCAGTGATGGCTGCTTTAGCTTTAGCACGTAATTGATGTTATAAATTACTTTATAGTCACTTATAATACATAACTCCTTATCCTTTAAACTATAAATCAAATTTATATTATAAAAATCATTATCTGGTATAACTAAGAGATAATAATCAAATTAGTCTAACCATAAAATAAATATGTCAAATAATAGTAATATTATTATTTATTTAATTATTAATATATATAAATGACAGTTTCACTATTTAATAATCCGAAAAATTGTTTCAATTCTAAAGTAGATTGGTATTTAATAGAAATTGAAATGAATAATATATTAGTTTGAGTATTTGTGATGAATAAGTAATAAATAATATATCTCAGATATTCTAATATTCATATCTAGATTTGCCAGCCTCTCCTGCAGGTAAAAGGGTTTATTATGATTTTTAAAGGAATGCTAAGTAAAATGAATAAATATACTCTTATAATTTTAGAGATCTTATCTTCCCCTTGAGACATTTGAAGAATTATTTGGAATGATTTCATTTCTGAAAATAACAATATTGATTACCTGGTTTGGAGAATATTCAATGCTGGGAAATTCTATGTTTGTGTTCTTGACAATTGAGTTTGATTGCCATATTGTTTTTAAAAAGTAGCTCCTCGATCATCCAACTAAATAGGTGGTCTAACATAATTGTTATTCTAATCAATTTAATTATATGTTTAATTAAATTGTTAAGGCTGACTTTACTATTACTAAACCTATTATTGCTATTCTTAAGTTCCTTTTATTTCTTTGGATGACTTTGTATTGACTATTGTTTTTGTTTTAGATGATTTGACTTTCTTTTTTTTCTTTTTTTCCTTTTCAGAATCAGAGTCATCACTATCACTAAATAACTGCATAATTTAAGTCTTTAATTGAGGCTCATTTAAGAATTGTTTCCAATTTCCGTATTGCCTTTCCAATTACTTGGCATGGCTTTCACCTTCAACAAACACATAGGATGGATAAGGACAATCAACATACACTGGCTTAAGTACAGCAACTTAAACAGGAATTTGAATCCTCTAATAGATAAGGTAATTTAATACTTAAACTTTCATTTCAGCATAATTAATGCGATCAGGAGGAGGCATCATGATCCAAATTAACGATTATAATTTAAATAAAAATAATGATTGTCAGTTCTATTTAAATAAAATAATCATTTTTTTAAGAAAGATTTCATCGTCTATCTGGTTAAACTTCAATCTTCTATCTAGGCTCTTTGAACTGTAATGCCTCATAATATTATTTACATTCTGCAAGTATATTTTTTGAATTTAATTCCATCTCTTCTACTTTTTCTTTAAAATACAAATTTTTGTAATAGTTATCCTCCACTTCTTAAAAATTGTTTCTCATTTGCTATTCAAATTTTGATAAATCTGGTAGAAAAAGCGAAATTCCAGGCTCAATACTTTTAACTCTTTATTTAAATATCCTCAAAATATCATTTTTATTATCTTCATCTTCCACCTTTATTATGCAATTCTATTAGACTTTTTCAAGTTCATTCTGTTACTGATCATGGTTTGCTTTAACTTTTTTCTTTTTTTCTGATTCTTAACAAAAATCCTGCTTGCAAAACTGTTCCAATTCATGTTTAAACTGTTTCATTTCTTCCGACATGCTAAACTTATGTTCCTTTATTTTTTCTAACAGTGTTCTCAGCTTGTGATAATGGAGCTATTTCATATGAATTAAAGGCGGCTTTCTATTGCACAGTTGCATTTAAATCAAAATCTGTTTTGATTCACTAACGAAGTCTTATCCTTTGCACCATTTCTTTTATTTTACTTACTACTCATTCTGATCTGACTCAATAAATGGTATCTCATTATTATCGTTAAAATTTTTCGATTCTTTGTAAAAACTTGAGAAATCAAAGTCTTTTAATATTCTATCTTTGAACTCTATCAAAATAGATTATTAGAATTTAAATTCAACAAGCTTCATTTCATTATTTAGATGCATTGTTAAATCTCTTCTCACAGATTCAGGCAGTTCTTTCAAATATTTCCACACTCCTTAATTAGGATATGACTACAACGTTGCGCATCTATTAGCCGACCCTGGCTTGATCGACACACATGTAGATAAAAGGTGATATGGCAATTAATTATTATTGAAAAACTTTCTGACAGAATTTAAAGCCCATTTCATGAATAATTTCTTTTTTCCTTCTAATTCATTAGTAGGTATATTAGTCTAAGTTTACATTTTAATATTATTAATGATTTCTAGAGTCTAATATTAAAATTACTAGCTTAATTCTATAACTAATGAATTCAAAAAAGATTTGGTTATGACCTTATGTGAAGAAATTCTATTAATTTGTAAAAAATAACTATCAGATTTAAATTGGAACTGAAAATTTAATAGTTAGTTTATCTTTATTTTATAAATGATTTTATATTGATCTATGTGTATTTCAAGTGATAAAGTAAACTATTTATGAGGTAAAAATGAATTGTTCAGCAAACCAATTCTCCTCTAAATATTGCGATTTACTGATTCTCTGCCTATATTGACTGGCTGATCTATATGTGTTTAACAATTAAGAAAGAATTCTCTATTCAAAAATTTGTATAAAAAGGTTTTTGAGAAACTGTTTTTTATGGCTTGAATCAATATTCAGTGTTATATAATAAGTACTAATTCTATCATATTAATCTTTTTGGATTCGCATAAAAACAATCATTTAAATCGAACCTCACATAATATAAACCATCCAGATCATATTTTAGAGAAAAGAAATTTTATTGTAACAGTTTTCTTGTGAAAAAACTTGTTTTTAGAAAAACATCATTTTAAACTTTTGGATTCAATTCTCACTTTTTTAAGGAAATAAGTATTTAGAGGCTTTGATTACCATCCATCAGCCTCATACTGATTAAAGAAATTCAAATAAAACACAGATTGAAGAAATCAGGATGATGAATAAAAGTATTTATTATTTTTTGGATATGAATAAGAAGAACTAAAGTAAGAGTTTAGACAAACTCTTCCTTATCAGGTGAAAGTCTGGGGTTTTCGTAGGCATGCTAATAAATTGGAGAAATATAATTTAATGTTCCTATTATATAATAATCATCATAAATTCCATGATTTTTTTAAAATAGCTTCAAAAGTCTCATCTTATTATATAGCCGATGATACATCCTAAATTTATATATATTGTCAATATTACTTAATAAAATTCACCAAATTCTTAAAATGAAATGACTTTATCTGGTTACCCCTTATTCCAATGTGATACAAATTCTTAAAACACTTGTCTTTCTGTTTTGTACCCCTTGAGTACATCAGGGTGTTCTTTAACATTGATAGTTCTGCCCATCGTATCCAAAGTAACTTTGCCTGCTCTTTATTCAATAGATGCATAGGCTCTTTAAACAAAATACAGTCTTCTATCACTCATTTGTAACTAAGAATATCAAGGAATCTCATACTCTAAAAGCATCCAAGAATTCATTAAATTCAATTTTTCCATTGCTTTTTTTATCAAAAGTTTGAAAGATCATTTTAGTTTCATCTTCAGAGAGATTGAGTCCAAAATTCCTAAGTCCCCATTTAAAATCATCATACTCAACAACTCCATCTATGTTATATGTAATTAATTACTGTTATTTTGATCCATTTCTAAAAAGACCTTAGCCAATCCTCGCAATCCGTAAGAACCTTTGCCAGTAATTTGTTACTTAACTCTGATCATTAGATTTTTAACATTTCTATTGTCATCCATGACTGACTCATCAAATTATTCACTTTATTTATTTGCTACAGCAAATTTCCATAAATTCTAAGGTCTATATTAAAAATATAAATAATTTATACTCTTAATTTCTCAATGGAATATCAATTGTCGTTCTGCCCTCCTTTTCAGCTATTAAATTTTATGTTTTGTTCAAACATTAGTAAGAATGCACAAAAACTTCTCGTTCTCTACCAAAATCGTTTTAGTATACAATATCATCACTTGCTAACCAATGTTATGTAAATGAGTGTTTAACAAGAATGACATCATCTATTCTTATAGGTTGTCCTTCCATTTCAAATCTAATTTTCGGATCTGAATGTTCTAATTTCCATACAGTATTAAAAACATCACTCTCTATGGCACAAACTTCTTATTTTCTAGATATCTTAGCACATCTAGTTGGTGTCTATGGAAGTGAATGCAGAAAGAAAGCTTTATTATTTGAAATCCTTGGATTTGCAAGAAGTCTAAAATGTTATCCGTAATGTAAAACATCATCACCAAAAAAATTGGGTTCTTTGGTATAAGGTACAACTACAAATACAGATCTTACTGTTGGTTATGTTGTTGGTGCAGTGGTAACATTGTATGCTTCCTCAGTTATTTTTAATTTTTCTTAAATGTCAATGGATAAGAAGCCTAATGTTTTAAGGTTTTGAAGCATTATATGGAATCCGAAATGGATGTATTCGTCTTTTGGAAAGGTAAGTGATGCCAATCTAAGACTGAAATTAGTTTTTTAATCCTTGACAATGCTTGCCAGTTACCCATTTTATCTATTTTTCAAATAGTCTTTTTTCCTAATAAATTCATGAACAAATTCTCACTTGGTCTCATCTAACTCCCACTCTTCAAACCAATTACCAATGCGCGTCTAGAACTTGTATTTGTGATCCACGTTGTAGTTGTGCATTTAATTTAATATTGTATTAATACATCAATTATAAAATATATCCTATTCATATTTACTCCAATTTTTATGATTAATACGCTTCAACTCCATCAATAAATGTCGACAGAACTTTAGTTTGATGTATTTCCGATGGTTTAATCTTCAAGACATTTTAGTTTATAATAATAAAGTTAGCATGACCTCCCTCTGTCAGCAATCCCAATCCTGGCTTCTAAATTAATTTAGCTGATCCTTCAGTATAATAATGTAAGGCTTATTGGATGGTGATTCTTTGTTTCAAATCTCCTATTGGAATTGGATTTTAGGTGTGTCCTAAAGGCTACCTAGTGACTGCCACCTCAATGGCATCAAAAGGATTGGCTGAACTGACAGGCCAATCACTACCTAATCCAATAATACACTATTCCAGATCTCTTATAGGATACATTCCTTCCATGTAATGTTAAGGTAGACATGTGGGCATTAATGAAAGTGATGGACTTTCATAGAACCACAAGGCAGAGAAGTTTGCACCCAAATTAAGCTTTTTGAGTAGTTCAATAGCTTTTGGTGAAACAAATTCAAGATGAGCTAAATAGTTGATGACATTCTTGTTCAACTTATGTTAGATTCTCTCGAATGCTTCAACCACGATATCAGTTGCTCTATCTCCTATACTATGAATATGTGCCTAGATTCCTCTATCATTCAGTCCTTCAATTATCTAAGGGATATTCTAAATCATGAGTTATCCATTGTGTGAACATTGGCAATATTTAACATTCATTAAAGCTGTCTTTGATTCCAAAACACCATCTACAAATATCTTTACACTATGACAATATAATTTCTCTAGATTCAAATCTCTTATCTCTTTAATCTGATTCTCCACAGTCTCAAATCTCACTTCCTCATCAACATCTTCATAACAGATAATAATTACTTTATGTCTATTCCAAAAACAAATCATTCCAACACAGACTCATGCAACAATATGGTAATTGATTTCCATAATTTTAATTTTAATACAACTTCTTGTAATTTTGAAACAATCTTTCTTTGACTGCAGCATCCTGGAATGCAACTACTCCATACTTCACCAAGTGTTGTAATCCTTTCAATAGACAATCCTGTTATTCGATCTCACTTAATTTTGGAATGTATTTTCTCACAGCATTCATTTGTTCTTCTATATAGATGCCATCTTCTTAGCGAGTTTGTGTGACTTCAAATATTTTAGAATTGCACCAATAAGCATGGCAGTCATCTCTCATTATTATTAATGGCTTCTCAGGACATACATCATCTAGTTCTTATATATTCTATTTTAACTCTTTAAACCATCCTTATGCTTTTCACATATTTAATTATTTCATTACAATATCCATATGCAAACACCCACTCATTTTTATCATGTTCCCCCTTCACTATGCTATTCCTTATTGCATTCTTAGCATCTTCCCAACTACAATACTTTTAGATTGTGAGTCTGCTTAACTAAATCCCTCCACTTTAGGGATGCACATGACTATCTATCATTCCAGGCATAGCCATTTATAATTCATTTAATTTGATGATTCTAATATTTATGGCTCTATTTACTTCGTTTAATCTATTTCCAATTCCCAATAACCTGGTTTATTGAGATGTTCTTATAAGAGTTCATTTTGCATTTAACCTTAACTTAGTATTTGAGCTGTTTATCCGAGCCTTGAAACCTTTCCAGCTTTGATCGACATGCATTCCACTTATACTAATGGTTCGAAGGACACGTAGATAGTACCAATAACAATAATGTCCAATTATTAATTATGATTATCCATTTATTTAATTAATACTTATATTTAATTATTGAATGAAAATTATAAAATCTTAAATTGTCAGAATTCATCAACAGGTAATCAATAATAATGAAATCAAATCATCCTTTTTTTATAAATTAATAACACATTTTGATTTTCAAATTTGTAGATATTTTCAGATCTCATTAAGAAACAATTGTAAAATAGGGAGATTTTGATGATGCAATACAACTATTTGGAATCAATAGAATTGTAACAATATCATAATAAGGGATAATAATGAATTAAGCAAATAAATTATAATATTTAAGATTATTTTAATTCAATTATGAAAGCTTTCGAAAATTTGCGTGATAAAATTATATCAACGCTTCAGAATGTCAACCTAAAATCAGCAGTACTCTCAAATCCTATTAAAAGCCTACTAATTATACAACATCAATTTTTAATGCTTTCATATATTTTCGAATAGAAAAACAATTCATTTTTTTACATTGTTGCTACTACAACGAGGCCACAATTACTCTTACATTCTAATAATATTTGTTATTTGGTTTTACCCATCCTATTACTATACATTGTGAGTATTTTTGTTAAGAAAATACCTGGCAGACAAAAGATATTGGTGATAGGATAGTTATTAAGGGTGAGTGTGTACAATGTATTTTTTGAAATTTCAAGAGGAGAATTGCAATTTGTTGTTTAAATCCTGCTAATCATCATCAGCACTATTGACATTCTATTTATCTTGGGCACATTGAACATTAGATAGAGGAATTTCTCATAAATTTCGATTAACTATTTTTAAATAGCCAACCACATTTTAAACAATTTAATACTAATTTTTAAATAATATTCTAATTATAGTCATCTCATAATAACCATGTTATGCATGCTCTACTCACTCAATGGATTTCTTAATCAAATTATCTACTCCCCCATAAAATCAATCAAATTGCACCCTTATATCCTCTATGCTCACCTGATAACCATCATTCAGTGTGTGATTTATTTTGCAGATATTAAATTAAATGAATTTCCAAATTTAATTTTATGCTCCCTCATACTTAAACTCACCTAAATGTCCAGTGAAATCCAATTAAAGTTCCCAGTCCAGAGTCTGGAATCCTTATTGTTGAACATAGGTGATGGTTGCATAACATCTGAACACATTAAAATAATCATAAACAAAAAGTTGATCCAAAAAGAATAGGACAGAATACTGTATGCTACAATAAGAATCAAGCAGAAACATTATTATGAGGCCTTGTGTCTATTGTACAATTAGAAGAGTTTGAATTGGTTGAATCAAATAAAAAAAACCTTAATTATTGATGAGTGTCTACAATAGTTGGAGTTCAAGATAAAGACCTCTTCGAAGTTTGATTAAAGTGTAGCCTTGGCTGTTGAGTAATTGATGAAAAGCGAGGACAGGAACTTCATTATTCAAGAGAAAATTATCGAAATAATTAAATAAAAATAACACATCCAGAAATGCATTACTGAACGAGACCTTAAAATCTATCAGAAGCTCATGAACTTCGTTAATAAAGTTCAAGAAGTCAAACGGAAACTTGAAAAACAGTATTCACAATTTCCCAATCAGAAAACTTAGGCAATTCTAAGTTTTTTATATGCTGAAATATTGAATGATTATATCTCTGCTAGTAAACTCTCCCTCTCTGCATCCAAATAAGAACTTATTAAATTGTAAAATCATTAAGCAATTTTCAACATGTTTAACTCCAAGATGATATACTTCATTACAGATTTCGATTAGCAACGATTGATTATTAAACGAATGTCTAGCAACACATCCTAGTTGTTGAATCTCAGACATGATTAGCTAATTAATAAAGACATCGATCAATTATTACCTTGGGGCATCAGAGAACATCACAATGAAATGATCATGAATTTCTTAGAAGAAGGTATTTCCAAGTATATGAGAAAGGTAGATTTAAAATATTTTAAATCTCATCAATCCTCATATTTAATCACTGCTGATTTTACCTTAGACATTAGTTTCACTAAGTCTTCCCTGAAATTCGTAACGTTCTTATAACCTGTGATTCATTAACCAATGATTATAGTTCTAAATTAGAATAAGATAATCAAAGAGTTTAGTGAGAATTTGATTGAAACATTAAATGAAAAGCCTGAGAATATATTAAACAAACACATGAACCAATTTTTACCATCCATTGACACAATAGAATTTAGCTAGGTATTGGAGAATGTCGAAATGATATCTCAATAAAGCAGTTACAGTACACTGAAGTCATATTCTATCATCACAACAGTCAATGTAAAAATCAAAGAATTAAAGGGTAGAATTATTTACTACTTATTGACTTTTCAATTTATTAAAAAGATGAATTAAAATTACACTTTTAATTAGATGGTGCAGAGTTTCTCAAATGGAGCCTTGAGTCAAGATAAAACTGATGCTAAAACTACAGAAATGAAAATTAAAGTTGAGGATGACAGGTTTTCAGGAATCTTCAAAGAAGATATTACAGTCTCTAAACCCTATATTATGGATGAATAAAATTAAAGACATTAAGCAAATTCTACATTTTTTCAATTTTAATAATTCTCTAATAATTATCTTTCCATAACCTAGGATAAATAAAAAAGAACGCTCCAACCAAATTAAGTACTCCCAACCAAAAGCTAAAATAACTCCACTTTAATTAGTCCTAATAATAGTGTATTTTATGATTAATTACTCTTTCAACAACAGTACTTTTCTAGAAACTCTTAAAAACAACTTTCTTATGTCAAGGAAGAATGCAGCATAGATATGGTGAAAGAACTCCATGCCGCTGATGATAGTAATTAAGAAGAGGATTGCAAGCGATCTTAGGTTTCTTCTGTGTAAAATTTAAAACAATCTCAACATTTTAAGAAATATCAAATTTTGAATAATGTCAATCGACAACAATGCCACTTAGGTGCATGTTTATTTTTAAGGACAGCATTATTCTCATTGATTGCTCACTCAATCATCATTTATATAGTAAAATATATTTAAATCATAGATAATTTAAAGTTTATATAGTAGCTTAAATTAGCTAGTGAGGGATATTGAATTGCTCTAAGTTAAGAATCAGGCATTTCAACCTTTGGAGACATTCTGGGTGAATAGATGGATTATATTCAATTACATGAAAATGAAGCAGAACCACCTCTTGGATGAGGACGAATATAATCAATTGTTGATATTTCCAGAATACACGATACCCTTATAATTTCTGAGATTGTAATCTAATTTGAATGAAATAGTAAATAAAAAGGAATTGCTGAGTTCTATGTCATCTATCAATATTAAAGTGTTACAATATATTGATTCTGATGAAGGAGAGATTTATGAAATCTCCATAAGAAGTTGCATTAACATTTTATTAGAATTCTAATACACTTTAAAGTAATTTTACGTTTAAAAGTAACAGCCCCAAACTGACAGTGCCTACATCTATTATAGTTATAAGAATTCATTCAATCTCAAGTAACAATTTCAAATTTTAAATGATAATATATATGAACAATCTCAAATAAATTCTATTTATATCCTAACCTAATAAAGAGTACTATATTTGATAGAATCAATTTTGATCATAGCAAATCTGATAATTCTGATTGTGCTGATCAAGATTGTTGAGAAGTAGCATTTAAAACATTTGAGATTGCTCTTTTATTGTCCAAAAGAAACCTATTATTAGGATATACAAAACTACTAACTTTTAACTAAGTTTATTCTTAAAGACAGCGATAATTTATTCAAGTATTAGTTTTCCGTGCATGACAAAGAAAGACACTTATTGAAGTCTAATTCTCGACATATGAAATCGAAAGATTAGATGCAAAATAAAAAAAACAACAAGGATATCAAGATTTAAGTGGGAGACTTGTCTGTGAGAATATTATCATTTCTGATTATGTTTCTTCTGTTAATCTAGGGGACATATGTGTATTTGATGATGTCATCGTACATTAAGTCATATCAACCGACTGCTTAATTCTACAGGCAACTTTCTGATGTAGGCACTGACATCCCCACACTGTATTCGCATATTAGTGTTTTGTATGGGATCTCAAATTTCACATTTCTTGGTTACGATGACAAAGAGAAATTCATTACTGAAATTCAGGAATCCCTTTGGAGATTAGAAAATTTCGTCAACGTTCAAAATGATTAAGAGAAGTAATTATTTTCTATTTAATAGTAGCATATTATCTTAAAATTTCATGAACAATTATGATTCTCTTTAAACTGCTAATCTCTGTAATTATATAAATGAAGAGATATATGATAATGCCCCTTAAATTTGTAATCTATCACTTAATTAAAACTTGCAAAGGGGGATATCTTCTGTTTTAATTTACATCTTAAATTCAATAAAAACAGAAAGAGACTTAAATCAATTCACTGAAAAGATTGGCTATGATAAATATGAATTAGAAGGGGCTTTGATATTTTCAGAATTCATAGAACACCTCAATGGTGAATTCTATGAGGACTTGAAGAGCGTTACGATAGAAAAATTAAACTAACTAATTGTATGTTTATATCATATTTGCATAGTTCACAGTTATTGGAATTTTCTGCGTTCTTATTTTTATGATGTTTTTTACGTTAACTGTAGGGAAGTTTTACTTGACCAATAAAAACAACGCAATCAGCTAATCCATTTTTATGATACCTTTTTCAGTCATCTTTTTCGATGACTATTATGAATTAAAACTAAAGAAGATCTAACAAAAAGCATTTCAGAGTAAATAAATCATAATATGACATTCAATCTTTATGCTATATATTAAATTACAAAAGCAATATTCTAATTTGAAGTTTCATTCATTTTTATGCATCTTTGTTGAATTAAAATTATTTCACCAAATGCTATTGATGAAATTAATATTCGTATAAAATTTATTCCCTTTTTATTTCTCTTTAAATGATCATATTCACATTAAAATTTTTTGTAGTATACTCCCAAGTTACTTAGCATAAGGTCTAGTTTTTTACTTCGAAAGAAATTTCAATTAATTATTTTATTAAAAAATGATAATAACACATTTTATATATATATTATAATAATAATAATTTTAGATCCTTTAGAAATTCTTATAGTAAGATATAGAATTATGAAATGCACAAAAAATTCATTACGTAATTATATTTATGAATTTAAAAAAGATGCCACCAATGATTTTGTTAAATCCAATTATTAATTGATCTAATATATTATATATATATTATCTTAAATGAATGAAAAATTGTAGAGATGGCTAAATTACTGTATAGAGTTGTATCTGAAAAACGAGGAATAGCAGGTTGTTTTTCCAAGCATTTTAATATTGATTTTAAGATTTCAATAGGCTTTGCAAACCCTCAGCTATATATATGGCAAGAACGCTCCCTCTTACTTGACTTTGGTATCGATGTTTGCCAGACCACAACTTTATTTGCCGAGTAGTGATATAGCCTAGTATGCAATTTCAATTATTTGCCTATTTTACCTGCTAAATATTGTTTCAACGATCTCTCACTTTAAACACATTAAAATATATGGACAACTATTAAGAAGTGGCTTGCTGAATGTTTTCTTCGAATATTCAACTGGAATAATCAAAATTTTTACTCATACTCTTTTATTGTTAATTTCCATAACTGAAACCTTAATTCTTTAGGGTACTTTAAATGCATAAACTATAAACTTCCAACACACTAGATATACTATTTTGGACTTTATTATCCAAAGTTTAAACTATACTATTATGATTTTTTATTCTTATGAATTATCAAATTAATCAATTATATTTTTAGCTTTCGCTATCAATTTGCTGAGAGCTATCAATCAACTCTATTATTCTCCCTTGAAGAATTTAAACACCAAATGCATGTTATTGACTATTTACATATACAACCTATACCAAGGATTCCTATGGATTTTTTCTATCCAACGAGATTTCATCTCAGAACTCGTCTTGATCCCTCTAATTTACAACGTGTTTTACTTAACATACACAAGAATATTTAAATTATGCATACTCCTCAAAAAAGATGGGGTTTGTGACATGTTGTCCATACTGGTTTTTTTGGATAACATCAAAGAACTGAAAGCAATTCAAATACAGAAGCCTAAGAATGCGAAGGATAAGATTATATACTGTTCCTTGCTCATGATGCAAGGCCAGAATTACGAAGCCTTCTGTGAATTGACAGCAATTAACGACAAAGATCTGAATGTTCTGGAGAGATTCAAAAAGAAAGTGATTAAGAAATAGTGTATCAACAAAATAGACATCAACATATAAGTGCAATCAGAAATGCAGCATCGATTATCTCTAACAGTTGCCTCCTTGATAGCAAGTGAGCAATAAAATTCTATTATTTACGATGATGTTATCCAAATCCTGAAAGACAAGATTCGAATCCTTACATTATTAGCATAAAGTTAAACTACTTACCATTATTCCTAATATTTCAGCTTCACTTCAAGACTGTTGGATCTTCAAAAAAGGTTGGAAATGCAATATAAAAACTTTGCTTGTGCCAAAACACAATGCATATTGGGATTTTACTATGTGGAAGTTATCAATGATTATTTGGCAGCAAATTCGCTATTTAGTGTAATGTCGATATCAGATGAGAAGGTAAGGAGAATCAACATTAACCAGGATGTCTTCTCGAACAAAATGGTATTCATCATTACAACATTCAAAGAGAATTTAATCATCAAAAAAGTATCAAGTGATGCTCCTAAGTTTTTTAATAAATCGATAGATTCACTCTAAGGTGAGAGTGCAAATATACTTATACCACCTGGTATTTCATAGCATCACGATGAGTTCATCCTCGAATTCCTATCAACAGGATAGGCTAAATACATGAGAGTCATAAACTCAAACTATTATTATTGTTCAGAGAGGAATTATATGACCAATATCGAATTTGCTTTTGATGTTAATTTTCAAAGCGATTTCAGTTTTATCTCCTTTATTTAACCAGTCATGAATTAACCCATGTCTTTGATTATTAACAGTGATCATATCATAACTTGTATCAGTGAAGGACTCATCTCATATTTAGAACTAAAGTTTTCGATTTCTAAATATATTGGCAACAAAATCTATGAAATTTTACCAGAGTTTTAATCCCCAAATCAGAACTATCAAATTATTGAAAATGTAGAAGCCATCTTCTCCAAGAATGGGGAAGATGAGAATTTATTCTAGTAAATGCCAGAGTCATATATTACAGCCTATAGTATATATCACAAAAAATAAAAAGATCAAATAATTTATTATATCATTACTTTTGAATATTTCAAAAAGAATTTGGGATAAAGTTCTATGATACATTCTAAGTTGAACAATTCATTTAGAAAAGAAAATGTGATTTAGTAATGTTTCAATTTGATTAACTAGGAGAGTTTTGTTAAAATCCCATATAATGAGTACAATAGCTAATAAAAGATATTGAGTTAATAGGATGCTCGAAAACTATTTTAGCTAGAAGAGAGTTCTGAATAACCAATCATTACGAATGAAATCAAACTGATTTCATAATCAGAAAAATTTAATTTAATTAGTCCAAATAATAGCAATATTGAAATGCTAACATTTGAATAAGCCAAGGTATCTAAACCCAAATTACCAAAGCCTAATGTAAGAATTTCCATAGCTGGAGAATAATCAAGTCATGAAAGAGTTGTTGCCTATTAGGATGATCGATCTTCGTAAGTCTCCAGTTTATTGGGAGTAAGAAAATCGAAGTTCTATAAAAAATATGAAGTAGTTCAGAAGATTACTAATATAGAGCCTTTTTCCAAAAACCATCAAATTTTAATCATTCTTATTGTATTAAGCATTTTGATTTAATTTGCAGTCTAAATATTAGTATTTATTATTTATATAAAATAGCAACTAGTTTAAATTAACATCAATTTGACCAATTTAGTCTCAGACATAGATCTGCTTTAAATAAAGTATTTCGTTTTTCAGCCACTTGAAACCTTTTTGTTGACCAGATACACTATTGTAGCATATAGTTAGTAAAGAGATTCAAAAGCAATCACTTTAGCCCAATTCAATGAACTCATCAAATTTCCAAGATCTAATCTCGTGCTTGGGTATGATTCTCTGGATTAAAATCTGAAATAAGTGATGAGCCGTCCAGAATTATAAGACTTTCTAGAGAACACTTATTTGGATATTTACATTTATATTAAATCTTAGGTTGGTGAAAAATATAATATGTCATTGAGAAACAGCATAAATGTGTTAAAAAGTTACTAATACACTTCTAAAATGGCCTATGTAATTGATGGAGTGGCTTAAGCAGATTGTCCATACTCATACTATTAGTACAGAAATTATTTGCCCCTTAAAACAGTATTTTCTGAGTTAAATCAAATAGTTTAGGAATAAACTATAGAGAGATCATACACTTTATAAAGACAAATTTCAATAATCTTATTTATTTGTATCGCTCTGCTTATCTTATTCTAAATAGAAATTTTCATTTATTACATTAGAATAACTAAGAGAGTTAATAGACATTTTCATTTGATGCATAATATTCCTGGTTAATATATAGATTTTGAAATTTTGAGGATAAAGTATCTGGTTGAAAGATTATTTAAAGATTACAACATTCTTTTTAAATACTAATTTAATTTGAGCGAAAAAGAAAGAGTATTAGAACAGTATACTGAAAAACTTGGGGCAATTAGAAGGAGCAATCAAAAATTAAATTCTATTAATTGTACTGAAATTCGATATTACTTGTTTATGATTGTACTCATGCTCATCATGGCTGGAAATTCTCTACTTACCTTTTTGGAAGGATGGAACTATCTAGATAAATACCCTGATACTGCTAAATTTTATAGAGCAGTTTCAGATGTAGGAACAGATGTTCCAACAATGTACGCGTAAAGGGATATTCTCTATGGGAGAGCCAATTTGAAGCTATACACAGAATAGGATTGCTAAGATTTGTTGAATGAAATTAAATAAGCAGTCAATAGAACATCCTCCTTTTTAGATTAAAGCAGATCCTTTAAAAAGTATTAGATAATACTATTTTTAGATATCTAGTGTCATCCTCATTTGAAGACCTCTACCAATCTATTTAAACTCATGATTTATGCGATTTCTTACCTGACGATTTGAAATAAAAGTCTCTAACCATTTGTCCAATAGTGATGAATTAGAATATGAAGATGGGTTTAAAAGCAATTTTAGTTTATATGATTAATTTCATCACCACTGACATGGAGATTAATTAATTCAAAACTAGAACTATTTAAAACTATCTTGAATTGGAGGGTGCCTTTTTAGTATCTAACATTATTGGATATGTCAATTAATTATTTAATGCAGATTTAACCTAATAAACTCAAAAAATCATCTCCCAGATTAATGTATTAATTTTACTAAATATTTTAGTTACATAACATTTTTATTTTATCTGTTCTTTGTTTAATTATTCTATTTATACTAACTGTATTTAAGTAAAAGCTAGTTTAAAAATACTTAATTGTTTAAAGATTTGTACATTTACTACCTGTTTACCACTTATTTTTAGACAATGTTTTTGAAAGGAATTTAAGGCAATTAGTGTAATCCAATTGATTTATATCTGGTTTCTTACTGAAATTTATCGATTAATAATTAACATTTTGTTAAATACATATAAATACAATTAATTATCTAAGAAATATAGAAAACTCTTCATTTAGTGGGTTGGTATTAACTAAAATGTTATTGCATAGCTTTGATTTATGTTATAGTAATATCTAATCGTTTTTTTAAATTGGATTGCTTTTAATTTGTAGGAGATTGAAATTATGGAGGAGACCAAAATTTTTTTCCACTTTAATTAAAATTTTATTTTGTATTTAATAAATTGTACGTTGATCTAAAGTCACTAACTGAAGTATCTTTCATTGAAGAATCTTCGGTGATTTCTAATTAATTATTTTAGTATCTTTTTGAGGAATCCTCTGTTTAGTTAGTCTTTTAATTAGTTAGTGTAGGTTTTGAGTATTTTTTAGAGAGATCCTTAAGCTAATAAAAAAACTAGTGTTTTTAAACTTCTTTATCTTTTGATGGTTTGGCATATTCCCTAATTTGAATAAGTATATTACTTTAAACACATCTATAATTGCTCAATCTTAAATTGATTTTAAGAATTTATTCTGCTTTCATTTTCATTTTTATTAATTTACTCTTATAATTTTAGCTATAATTGATTGATTTCTTTTTATTTGGATTCCACCTAATCTTACAAAATAGTAATGTGATCAATGGCCAATTTTAATTGCAATTGTAAAGTAACAACTTACTGTTCTAAAATCTAGTTTTTCTTAAATAATAATGAATACTTAGTTTTTATAGATTTCCTCGCCTAGTCTTTCTGATGAACTAATTAATTTAATTTAAGTGTTATTAGTTAAGTCATCACTTGTTTTGTCAATTATGGATAACCTCGAGAGTGTGGCCGATTAATCAATTAGATTTTATTCCATCTTAAATTTGGTGTAAAAATCTTTGGATAGATACTCGGATATATCTTTAGATTAAAGGAAATTTGACTTGGAGATGTCAAGTGAATCATTTTAAATGTCCATACTTTTGGCTATAATATAAAAAATAATAATTATTGATTCAAAAAGTTGAGTTATTCTATCGGAATAACTCTCACTAAATAGAGGTATTTGAAAAAGAGAAAAGGGGAAGTTCGTAAACAGAGGATATACTTTGAAAAATTATAATTTATAGGTGTTGATGAAAGCTTTGTCACTTCTTTGAGTGTACGCACGGCTTTTTCAACCCCTCATAACTGCAGCTACCAGTTTGAAGGGTGTCTTTCACTACTACTAATGCTAAAACCACTAACACTACTCGTTTGGGTCATATTATTGGAAGGCTCTTTTCACAATTCCCTCACATTAATTATTAGTAGTATTAATATTGTTATTATTTTTGATAATATTGCTATTATTGTCTGCAATCTTTTAAACTTCCACATTATTCACATCTGTCTTCTTGGTCTGAGATGCTAAAATTAAAATAATGCTAAACATGAATGCAATGTAGATGACGACGAAATAATACTAATATCTGGATTTATAATCGGTTCTGGTATAGATTTTATATCCGAGTTATCAGTTTCTTAATGACTATTACCATAATATGGACCCTCGTAATAAGGATAATATTGAGATTGGTTGGAGGCTGTCATTCCACTTAAAGACTCTCCCTGCCTTTGACTATTCATGCCTCTTCTTCTACTTATTTGACTTCTCATCAGTTTGCGAAGTTTTCGTTTAAGGATTCTCAGTTTTTTGGTTTACCTAATAAAAGTAAATTTTTCTAGATTTGTTACTTTAAAATATCAGATTCTTAAACAGTCTAGATGAACATGTTAGTAGTGTTATAATGAGTTTGAAACATTTAAGCGAAAATCTCTTTTTCTGCTTCCAATTCTTGTAATTCCAATTCTTCGTCGAAGTGGGTTTGGATGTAGTTAATTGAAGTTTATGAAAATAATAAAGAATTGCTAGCTGATGAGTTGGTGAATGACATTTTATTTGATATGATGAAATTTTTTGTTTTAATTAATATCCCAAAAGTTATATACCAAAACTCAAAAACACAACTTCAAAATCTTATAATCAATTATAATTTTAAGTAATCAGATTTAAAATACCTTCTCACATTAAAAGATAACCTTTATAAATATTCGAGTGTTGATTATAATTGTAACAAAGAAGATGATGGCCTTGACAATCACTCCACAAATTGGATTCCTCCCGAGGACTATTTCCAATCATTTTATTCATGATTATTGTGGTTATCTTTCAACTGTATTATTTAAAACAATAGAAAAAATAATATATAATTAAAATCAAATTAAGAGTTCATTTTAATGATTCTCTAAATTTAATAGTGTTTTCTAAAGTTGAGGCAATTTGACATAATATTCCATCAAACACTCTTTAACCCTTTATAATTTTAATTAGAAGACATCATAATTACTTTCAACCAGAATATCTATTCCCAAACATTCTTTAACCTATTCTCGAGATCTTGAATGAAGCTCATTATCACCTTAAGATTTAAAAATGATTTCAGAAATTTATTAACTATTTATTTGTAAGAAATCTCTCATATTGATATTATTTTGTAATTTACACTCTTATTAAATGCAATAAAAGAGTTCCATCAAACTGGGTTGCTCTTTATTTTTATATAAAAACTCATCCTATGATTGGCTTAAATTAAAATTAGTTTAAATTAAATTGATTTGCTTTTAAATTCGGAAACCTTGAATCTAAAAGTGAAATATGGCATGCTATTTTAATTCCTGATTAAACTTTTGACACACAAATCTGCCTTTAATGATATCCTATAACGAACAGTATGTATACACAGTTTAGAAAAACACATTTCCTAAATTAGATATCTTTTTTAGTTGATTTTATTTGGCCTTTATTTTAATGAGTAACTTATTTAAAAACCTCAAATATTTTGAGATTGTAGCCATTATTTAATCTTTATTTTGAGCATCACAAATTACTTTATAGTTTGAACTAGTAGAAAAATCAATAAGATTTTTTATGTATTTTTTCAAATCATCATATTAATTTTGTTCTATCCTACACTTTTTACAAAATTGCATAGCAGCCACGTTTTTTATTATTCTTCTTTCTTTCTCAAAGAAATTAAACCAGTTCAAAGGGTAATAGAGGAGTTATTAATTTACAGCTTATATAATATCGTATTTAGACAGATATTCATTTCGCTTACTATTTTAAGATTTCGCTGCTGTATTCAAATCTATAAGTAAAGTTAAATAGGATAAGAGTTATTGAGGAATTTTATTAAGATTTCCTTTTTATGAGATCAATTTCCTTAATGAAATATACACACTTCTTAAACTAGGGATAATAGGTAATTAATAATCTCCGATATTTAATGACTCTAAATATTTAGTCCTTTATATTTTATGGTATAACAAAAACTCTATGTTAGTTTCTATTAAGTAATTTGTGAAAAAACTCACTAATCGTAATTATTTGATATCCTGAATGGATAAAAATTGCATAATATTTCTGAAGACAATTTAAGTTACAAATCTCTTGAAAAGATTTTTCTCCTTATAGACTTTTTTGGGTTTTTCCTTCTTAATCGTGCTTCTTTATTAATTTTCTTATACAAGTACTTTTAAATTTTATTTTGGCAATTATAAAGTTTAAAATTGCTACACCAATTGATTAAAAGTATCGAAAGCAAATTTTATTTATTCTTATTACTTCTATTAGCTTTATTTTAGTTCTTCGAAATGATTTAGAAGAGATATCTTATTTGAGTTCATTTTTATATTTTTTATTAAAAAAAAATGCAATTTTTTTATAAATAAGGTTGAAATTCTGATGAAATCTATTTAAGTTAAGCAATTATAAAGTTGTTATTTCATGTGAAATCTTGAATGTATGTAAGGGAACCACAAGATTCTAAATTTTTATACATGTGTTTCAAGTGATTTCCAGAACAATGCAATTAAAGCTACCTAAATATTTTTTCAAATTGCTATCCTTCTACTCTGTTTCAAGAATAATTGGGGGGATTTTAGATTTAAAGTCTGTTTCTCTTCTAGAAAATACAGCTCAGTGCATTATGAACTCAAGTAATAGCAATAAAAACACTGAAGGATTATTAGAAATTTTAAAATATTTATTGAGTTTACAAGATTTTTTATAGAAAATGGTAGAATTAAACGTGAAGGTGAAATTTATATGGAATTGAAGTCAAGACGTCAATAATTCTAATGTAAAATATTCAATAAAAGATATGAATTCTTTTTAATTTGCTTGATATGGTAATATCAATTCACAAACAATTAATTATTATTACTACAAATCATATGGGGGTGTGCACATCAAAAAAACACCACTATCCTCTTCAGAGAAGCTAACCTTAGAGAAATATTGAAATCGACTTTGTCAAATTGTTAGAGTATAATCGTAAAAAGGAAGTCAAGGATAATTAGAACAATTAACAACAACAGTCATTCTGTTAGATTTTCTTACAAGAAAATAAAAATTCTAATCATCAAACCTTTACATAAAACTTAGCTCCAACAGCATAGTTAGACTACAAGAAAATATGATTCTTTTCTTGGTTAAGCATTGAAACTGTTTGAGTGATGTATTTGTTTAATACACTGAATTATTAATAATATGGCTACTGTTCTCCATTCTGTTTTAACACTTTCTGATACTCAAAAAGTTTCATATTTACTGTATTTAATTTTGAAAACAATCCAAATTAATCAATTAATAATTATATATACTCATTAATCTAAATCAAGGAATATTTGATATTCTGATATTGATCAGAATTTAAAATGTAATTACAAACACCTAAAAACCAATTGGTTATGACTTTACCCCATTTTAGTTCTCATTACAAGCACTTATTTAAAAGCATTGAATTCAATAACAAACTTCGATGTCTTAAGTTTATTGAAACATTTTTTTGAAATTTGAGAATTCAATTTCAATACTCATGAATTACTAAGAAAATTAAATGATTTCAAATTTTACTAAATTGTACTAATTTTTCCAAAGTTTAAGTTATGAAACAAATTGTTATTAGAATTTAGCAATTAATGAATACCATTATTTTTTCTTCTCTTCTTAATATTCGAAGTTGGTTCCTTCTATTTGTACAATTGTTAAGCTTAGTTAATCATAAAAAGCATTAAATACTACATTATATGTCTTAATTATTATTCAAAACAATTTATTTTTTTTTGAACTTTAAAAAAATATTAATTAGGGTGCATCCCTTGAATAACTTTACCAATTCAGTCACTCTTGAAGATCTGACAAATTAGAAATCAAAAGTTTAGTATATATTTTCTATCTCGTTATTTATTGGATGAATGATATATCACAACTATTGATTTTGTAAATATTTAATATAACAATTATTTATGTAATTCTTTATTTTAAGTACCGAAGATTAACTTATCTTATATCCATCTATTTAAATGAGATAATAATATCCTCTGATATTTTCTTTGAGTACTATTTTTTTAAATAACTTCTTTCTTTACCATCTTCCAAAATTCAACTTTATTAGACTGATAGATAAGGATCATAAACTACATCATGTATTTATTAATTAGCTGAGCAATCATGCACATTTATTAATGAATTAAGAAATTTTGCAATTTAAATTTATGAAATCCATAGACTTAAATTGCAAACAGGGCTTAATTTTTGGGAAGTTTAAAAAATCATAAACAAGCAGTTGTCAATATCATATGAGTTCATTTTAATTATTTTTTATCAACAGATTAATACTTTAGTAAAATTTATTTAATATCATTTCATTTATGTATTAATCGATTTTTAGTTATAGAAAATCTTTAACTAGACTTATGATAAAGAATGAATTTATCCCTTTTCAAGGTTCTAGATTGTGATTAAATTAATAACATCTCTAAAATTAAAATTAATATATAGAGTATAGGAATTAAGAATAATGAGAACTTGGTAATGAATTAAACTATGATACGAGAAAAAGACTGCAAGATTATTGATTAATTTTCTTTACATATTTATTCATGATAATGTATATTTCACCATTCAAGGAAGGGATCATCAGCGGGCTTGAGTGCAGGACTTTAGGTATCAGATTCTGGGTATGATGAGAAATTTGATGTATCATTTGCAGCTCTAAGGAATAAATAGGCAAGATCTTACTTAACAACAGGCTTATAAGGGACTGGCAATTTCTTCTGAGTTAGCAAGTTCCAATCTAGATTACCAAACCATCTATGATTCTTGATATCAGCCGCTCCTATAAATATATAAGAGGAGAGAATTACCATTTTTTAAGTTTCCATATCTTTTAGATAAATCTGCAACTAATAAATGTTTGACTAAGGATTTTGCATTTCTAAAATAGTAAAAACAGTAGTGTACTTATCAAAAGACTTAGGAAATTTAACCTTGCCCTTAAGGATCTTTTAATAAATAGCCATAGGATCTTCATCAGAGAAAGGGTCGATTCCTGCGTTCATCTCGTAGATTAAAATTCCCAAAGTCCACCAATCAACAGCCTTGCCATGTCCTTTATTCAATAAAATTTCTGGAGCCAAATATTCTGGTGTTCCACACAAAGTATATGTTCTTCCTTCAACAACTTTAGCAAATCCAAAATCTGTTAGCTTCAAGTATCCATCATCTGCAATTAACAAATTTTCTGGTTTCAAATCTCTATAGACAATATTCTTGGAATGAAGATATTCAAAAATTGAAGCAACTTATGAAGCATAAAATCTATAATTTATGTAATATTTTTTACGCAGCGTGTTAAGTATCGAGTCTGCCTATGCTTCTCAAATAGGTAAATAACTCACCTCCTGATACGAACTCTAATACTAAATACAAGTATCTTGGATCTTGGCAAAATCCCTCAAAATTGACCTATTATAAAGTAATCAGTCAAATTACGATAAAAGGATGGGATAAGTTGCCCAATATGGTATTTTCATTAATAACATGATCAACCTATTTTAATCTAATGATTTCAGCTTTCTTTAAACTTTTCAAAGCAACATATTTATTTGTTTATTTGTTTCTTGCCAATTTAACTCGTCCAAATGATCCTAAAATTTAGGATTTCAATTCAAATACCTGTTCCTAGTGTTTGAAACACTTCATAATCTGTCAATTTCAACTTCTTTGGTTTTGCCAATCCCGTACTCATCTTTCTTAAGATTTATGAAATAAATAAAATATATAGATATAAATTAATAGCAATCGCCTAAGAACTTTATTGCACAAAGTATACCACAAGTAAAACTGAATTATTCCCTCGATTTCATCAGAATAAATTGAAGATTATAGAGTTTTAAAGACAATTAGTTAACACGGTATTCTAAATTGAGCCTATAGATTCAATATGATAGATTATGTTAAAATGGACATATGAAAATACGACTTAAAGAGTGCATTTATATAAAAAATGTTGCATAATTATTGAATTTCTAAATGTTAGATATTTATACATCCTTATTAATATTTAACAAATATCAACCATCTCTTTGATCTCCAAATGTTTCTTGGGGTTCTTCCTCACCTTAACGTCCTGATTGCTATTATTTCTTTTTGATTCCAGAGACAACATCATCAATTCTCAATAACATGCATGCAGATTCAATGGCAGTCTTAAAAACTTATCTAAGGGATTTAGAACATTATAACATACTTTTTAACTGAAAGTGGTTCCCAAACATTAATCTCATTCATCTTGGCAATCTTTCCAGTGTTTCCATCTACTCCAAAATAAAGTCCTCCAGTTTCACTGTGTTTTGCTCTCAATTCAGTCAACACTCTCACAGTGTCAGCTCCGCAATTAGCTGAAAGAGTTCTTGGGATGATTTCTAAGGCATAGGCAACTTTAATAGGATTAATTGATTTAATATACCTGCTTTATATGGTAACTAACCTAATCCTTCAACTTTATTGGCTTTTTCCAACAATCTAGCACTAACTTCCATTTCAACAGCTCCTCCTCCTGGTAATAGTTTTGGATCCTAATAAATGTTCTTAGCAACAGCCAAACAATCATGTAAATTTCTTTCCTATTTAATTAATTCATTTTATATTACCATTTCATTGAGTACATCTTTTGAAGCTCCTCTCAATATGATTGAACAAGCTGTGGGATTTTAGCAATCAACAAAGAATGCAAAATAGTCATCTCCTATCTTTTTGACTTCAAATGTTCCACATAATGTACCTACATCAGTTTCTTACAATTCTTCTGGTCTATTGACAATTGTTGCCCCAGATACTCTTGCTATTCTAGTATTGTCTGTTTTTCTAACTCTTCTAATGACAGAAACATTGCCTTTTAATAGGAAATGTTAAGCCAAATCAGAGACTCCCTTTTCTGTAATAACAATATCAGGTTTATGTTTCAAAATATCATTGCACATTAATGCAACTTCATTAATTTCTTATTAAAGTGCATCAGTCATATCTGATTCTTTTGTCATTTCCATATTAGTCATAGACTCTCCCTTTTTGTATTCTAATGTACAATCCAATAAAATGATTCTTGGATTTTTGATTTCTCTTCTCATTCTTGGATGAGTGACATCTTTATTAATCATGACTCCTTCAAGTACACAACTTTCTTCAAGAGTGCCACCAGGAATCTTTTCTACTTTTGCATACCTCTTGATTTCCAAATTCAATTTATTAATATTTCCACCTCTTAAGACTATTCTTGTAGCCTGTAAGGAGAGATCACTGATTAATGTTCCCCATCTGAATGCAAATTTAGTTCCAATACAAGATTGTAAGGCTTTCATAACTTCTTCCTTTTTGTCAGTGTCAATCTATTATGCAATTTCATCTAAAATTGAAACTGAATCTTCCAGAGCCTTAAAATAACCATTAACTATTTCAGTTGGATGGATATTCTTTTCAATGAATGGTCTTGCAGCAACCATCATTTCACCTGCCAAAATTATGACTGATGTTGTGCCATCTCCAACCTCTTCATCTTGAGCCTATTAATTATTATAAATAACAATACTCTTGCTAATTCAATCATACTCTTTGCTGCTGGATGCTGAACATCGATTTCTCTTAGGATAGCATTTCCATCATTTGTCATCACTATTCCACCCATTGGATCAAGTAACATTTTCAACATTGAACGAGGACCAAGAGTCGTAAGGACTATATCCGACACAGCCTTGGCTGCTTATATATTTCCCAATTAGGCCTTTCTTCCTTATTCTCTTTTTGTGTTAGCATTCACAACAATCACTGGAGCTCCTTACATATATTTTTAAATATAAAAACTTTTAATATGGATTTGATTATTTTCTTTTATATTTATTCATTAGTATAAGTGTCAGTATATTACAAAAATTTATTTCCAAAATACTATATTAAATCATCAAATCTGCTTAACTAGTTCTAATAAACTATTCAAAGAATCAATTATGTCAGTATTCCCTTTATTCGATTGCTTGTCCACTTTTGCCTTTGAAAAATCAATTAGTCTGATTTTTAAATCATCCTCTGAATCAGAAACTATCAATAAACTCGTTCCCTGCCAGGAGACCACTTCTTTGCAATTTTGAGTTATAAATAATTTCAGATGTTCAACTTATTCGGTTAAATTTATAATCATTTCTAATGATATCATAATACATATATAACTTACAACTCTTTTTTTGTATGTTAAAAAAAGTTTTCAACTCCTCTGTCAATTCATCTACTGAAATGCGTCTCCCCCAGTGCTTATCTCTAAAAACTATTATTTCATCGTTTTCTTGAACTTTCATTCCACAAATTCGCAGACCAACTTTCGAAGATGTTGATTCTTAATAACGTATTATATGTGACTTTTTTTCAACTGTAAACCCCAATTTTATATCAAGTATTCGAAGGTTCTTTTAGCGCTGCACCAAATTTTCTAAAAGCAAGTATTCTAAAAGCTGAAAAACAGCATTTACTTTTGTTATTAGGATTAAACCTTTTCGCAATCAGAGATTCAAGCCATTTTTATTATCGTTAATCAACTTTTGGCTATTCGATTACTTGAGTATCCTTCAAAGTAATTACACCATTATATTAAGAGAAGAAATCCTAATAACCTTGGATATGTTATACCCATTCATAGAAACTTTAAAAATATTAACGAGAATGCATACATTTGTTCATTATTATTTTCAGTTGAACATGACTTCGCAACAAATTCCCCATCATTAAGTTTTATAAATATAGAATGTCCAGATATTTATTGCTCAAAGAAAGTTTGCTGTAATTCTTATTCAAAATTCATATTATAATTAAATACTAAATTAATCAAGTTAGGATATTTTGTATATTTATTTTTAATTTTCTAATAAAATTAACTAACACTATTTTTAATAGCAATCTATATCTTAAAAAATGATTCTATCTCCTTGCAATACCCACATAATTCTGAATTTCAATTCGCAATAAGTGAAACACCAATATTAGTGATCTGTATCTCAATTGAGATTTCTAGCCAAACCTTCTAGTTCATTAGGGATCCATTCTTTCAAAATTATTATATATATCTTAAAATTATTTCTAAGCTCAGCAATTCTTACCCTTTTCTTCAAAGTTGTAGAATGGAATGGATCAAAAAGGTAACTTGTATTCCCTAACAATAACTATATGTATTATTAAATTTAGAATTCAAATGTATCTAATAATTTATAATTGATGATAAATAACTATTAGAAACTAACAAACTGTTGGCTGACCTAAAATAATATACAACTGCGATTATTCATTCAAAAAGATACTCAGCAATCTTATGGGCAATTTCATTATAACAATTATTGTTATAATTCTATGTTCATAATTTCCATAATAGCAATTTCAATTGCTCATTAAGAAAGATAGAAATTCGATTCTCTGGGTAAACAAGGACATGATAAATACAAAGTTCCAATTTGAATGAAAACTTTTAAGCATTCAAGATTAGTTTAGAGAGATTATCAAATTCATAGCTTAGTTGATTATGAGTGAACATGATCTCCTCGTTCAAGCATAATAATAAAAATTTACTAAATTCATTTCAATTTTATCAATGTAATCAACATATTTTTGTTTATTTATGAATTGATTAATATATATAGAAGAAAATTTATATTTTTTGCATTCTGTATTTATACAACCTAATATATTATAGAATGTTTAATTATAGAATAATTATTATTTTGATTTAATCATGTGTCTTCCTATTGGTTGTTTGAAATGCATAGTTGAATTTGAGGCTATTCTCATATTGATTGCAGGGTTGGGAAGTTTTGGCTTTACGATATACTTGTAGATCGAATTTAACTTGGCAAAAGAAGATGATGTAAATATTTGACTTATTTTAAGGAAACAAATAAAGGGTAGGGAATTTTGGTTGCTTTTTGGATATTCTCTTCCTCAATGATTCTGAACGGGATAATTGGAATCTTTGGAGGAAAGAAAAAAAGCGCTTGTCTCCTATTAATATTTAATTTGGTTAATATTGCATTGTTTCTCGGATTTGTAGGTCTTACAGTTGCAGGATATGTGCGCGCACATTAAATTAATGGATTAGATGTTTCTACATATTGTTCGAATAATCCTCCCTTACAACAAACTTGGGATTTAGGGCAAAACCTTTTATGTTCAGCCGAATGTTAATGCTATATAGAGGACCCAACAAATCTTCCAACCGCTTATTTTAATCACACAACAAATTCATCAGCAGTATAAAAATAGTTAAATAAATAGGCAAATAGAGTTTAGGATTGCTCATCCTTTGATAACTGGGATAGTTCTCGGAGATCTTAAGCTAAATTATTTAAAAGTCTTGAAAAAAAATACGATTGCTCAGGATGGTGCACTCCATTTTCTTTGTAAATATTTTACGATATCAATCACAAATTTGATGAAAGTGTAAGTAGTTCTCTCTAATTTAGAATAATCAATGCTTACTTTCGTCCCAATAATAAATATACGATACTCTAAAACTTATAGGTGATATTTCAGCTGGAGCGGTTGTAATAATGGGTCTAATGGTTATATTTACTTTTTGTCTATGCTGTCATCCAACCAAAAAAGATTAGGATTATTATTAAAAATTAGCCTATTATGATTCTTGATTTATTTACAAGATAATATAAATTGTAATTGAAATAATAATTATTATTTTTTCATGCTCTTATTTTTGTTTATTATTGAAACGATTATAAATCGTACAATCTAAAAGCTAATCAATAACATTATATTAAATGATAAAATGAAAATAAAGTACCATATATTGCGAAAGAGAAGATAGACTAAAATTATAGATAATGAAGTAATTTCCTTATTATTTGAATAAGCTCTTGGGCTCTTTCGATAATGAAATGATCTCAATATCGAAACTTCAGGAATTAAGAGAATAAACTTAGAATTGTTACATTAGCCAGGTCAAATTTATTATCGCAAAAGTAAACTGATTCCGCAAAAAGGAATTTTTACCCTGTATTTCACTGTAAAAAGTAGCACTGGATTCAGTGGATTTTCATTAACAGAAGTTTTCAAAAGACCAGTTAGATAACAACAAGGAAATGATACTTATCTCAGAGACTATTGTAAGGAAAACTATATTAGATAGATTTTATTCGAAGATAGTAGTTTCTAAATTTTAGTCGTAAAAGTTTAACCTATTAATTATTTTAAGAGTGCTGTGGAATTCCTTAATCTCCTTATAATTTTTAAGTGGTTTCTTTTTTAAATTGATAATTAAATCAAAATTTTGTGATTATGAACTAAATTATTCCAAACACCCTAAATAAAATATCAATGATTATTCATATTCGATCAAATTTAAGAGTCTCTGATATGAATGAAATATCAAAGTTAATAGTAATAAAGCCATAGTTAATATAATGTTACTATAATAATTGCAATATTATACGGTGTATAACTAAAATTAATAGGAATAATTTAAATAAGAGTCCATCTGAATTTTTAGCAATGTATCGCGTTTAAGACCAGATTTATTTAATATTGATTATACTACCTCTTTCTTGCTTAATCATCACCATAATTTTAATAAAAATGAATATATATTATTAATATGTTGTATAATTTTATTAAAATACTAATCATTTTCCTTTTGACTATAATTGGATTAGGATTTCGGCTTCTCTTTTAAATTCCAATAGCAATTATTTTGAACATACAAAGAAGAATAGTTAACATTTTCAATTCTTTTATTGAATTGCAATACAATATGCTAAGTGTTCTCAAAGGAGAACGTGTCCTTGTAATAGATTTCGGAGCATTATATAAAGCCATTGGTTTATGGAGTGATGATGAGGAGGATGATGACAATTCTAACATGACAACTAAGTATTATTGAATATATCAAATTCATAAATGAACTCATCTATTAATATTTTAAATAATTCATTAATCATTATTATAAAAGACTCAATTCTTTTTTGAAGTATTAGTCTCCTCTTCTTGCTAAATAACATCTTGGCCAAACAAAATAAAATCCTCTTTTTCTAATTTATTATTTAATTAATGTCGAAATAACTAAAATTCTGATTCCTCATTTGATTATCTTGCAGTAGATTTTAAATCTAAATCATCAGCATTTTACAGATTTTAAGTAAAGATTACACCATCATCTATTCTTTATATCCACGGAGCTTCTGGTTTGTTTTCCACAACTATTGGCTAATCGTAATTATTAAAAATATACACTTAGAGTCTCCATTAATTTAAAATCAAATTAAGGAAGCATTTCTGGGATTTCCACTTAGGGCAAACAAAATGATAACCTTGTTTAAAGTTGTTATTTGTATTTTTTTAAAGGAATTTTCACCATTGGATATATCATACACAATCTATTATTCTATGGTAAAATAATAAGATCTGTCAATTAACACAGTTCTTTTTTCAATTAAGTTTGTTCACTTTAATCATCTATTAATAGGTCCAAAAATATTTAAAGTAGATTCTTTTATTCTTACTATTAAATTTTATCCTTTAATTTTATTAGATTCTCAATCCCCAAGCCAGTTTATCCTTATAATAAATACAGGATAGATTAATTAAATTAGAATTCTAACTAGTTATAGGCTCTATTGATTAGAGTTTACTCTTTGAGTACACCAGCATCATTTCCCTAAAGTGTTTCATAAGATTCAAGAAGAGAGATCAATGCAGCATCAAATTATTTTAGATAAAATTGAAACAAACATCTATAGAATTTAATATCGTATGTGTTGAAGATCTTCCCTTCATTTCCATTTCTTAAGAACTAATTTAGGCAATCTATACTATTTTGCAATTAATTTTAACCACAATTTCCTATTGAAGTTAATTTTAATTGCTACAAAACATTCAAGTCAACAAAGGCTGCAATATCAGTAGAACATTCAACCAATTTTTGTAAGTCCTATATGGCATTATTTAATTCTTTTATAGTAACAAATGTTTTGGCTCTATGATATAAAGCTTATGAGCATTTTTCAGAATTGATCATATTAGAATATGATGAAATAGCTTCTTCAAATGCCCCCATTTAATAAAATAGGTTTCCGATCATGATTTAATCTTATACATTTAAGCAAGATTCTTGAAACTTTTATAAATCATAAAAAGCACGATTAGTATCTTTGAGTATTAAAAACACCTTAGCTCTACATAAATAGGCGTCTGAATAGGACTCGTCTAAATTGATGGCTATACTCAAATCATTTAATCCTTATTTATATTGTTATCTACATGCTTAAATTAATCCACGCACATAAAAATATTTAGCCACATTTTCATCTGATTTATCAATTGCTTTGTTTAAATCACTCAAAGAATCATCCAATCTATTTAAAGAAAACAGTATTATTCCTCTACAATAAAGTAAATTCGAATTTTCATTTAATTTTACTGCCAAATTCAACAATTTAATTGCATCATTCAAAAATTTGTTTTTTTTCACTTCATCATCCTTTGGAATAAGTTAACAATAAAATTTGACTATGGCTACTGCTCTATAAAAGTAAGGTTCCATTTTTTTTGGCATTAATTTTGACGCCTTCACAAAATACCCTAATGATAATTCAAATTAATTTGAAACCGTCGCCATAATCCCTTCAAGAATAAACTTATTGTAAATTGAAGGTTTCTCAAGTTAATCTAATGATTCAAGATCCTATAATGACCTCTAATACTAAGATAGACAGAAATAACCATATGATCTGTATGAAATTATTAATCTTCTCAAGAAATCTTCTTCTTAGTGATTCGATAATAATTCTGTTAATTGAGATACTCCTTCCTCAAATTATTTTTTCATCAAAAGAATTACACCTTCAGTAAACTGTTTGATATTTTCAATAACTGTTTTATCAACATCTAAGTGTTCAGCTCTTCTCAATTGATATTAAGCTTCATAAAAGTCCTTCTATTAAATTAATATTTTGGCTTATTCATAGATCGACTTGGAAACAGCTTTTTTAGAATTATTATATTTGATTGCTTATTCATAGGCTAATGTAGCTTCTTAAATTTCATCTAACTAGCTTTCAATAATTTACTTCTTTTTGTACACAAAAAGCCTTTCAGATATAAAGCATCTGAATCTTAGTTATCAATTTCTATAGCCTTACTGATATCTGCCAAAGCTGAAACATAATCCTTCTAATCTAAATACAGCAATGTTCGTTTGATCAAAGCAGATCTTTTGAATTAATCCTCCAATTAAATTGCTTATCCATATGCTAATAGGCTCATATGTACATTATTCATCAGTCTAAAACAATCGCCCTTTCCAATAAAACCAATCGCCTTATTTGGTTTTAATTCAGCAGCGGTCATAAAATCTTCCAAAGCCTTATCAAGTTTTTGAACCTTCAAGTACAATTTACCTCGAATTATATAAGCATCAAAGTATTTGGCATAATGCTTTATACATAGAGTAAGCTTTGGAAATAGTAATAAACAATACCACATTCAAAGATTCATTGATTTAATCTTACTTTTTCAATGCAATTGAAAGGATAATGTATGCCTTTTTATTGAAAAGAGGATGTTCTTAAATTAGATGATTCAAATTCAAAATAACTTAAGAAAATTCTTATTAGTCAAAATATTATATAGCAATTTAAAATCTTATTTCAGGATCATCACTACCCTGAATTACTTTCTCAAATAAATTTGGAGCTTCTTATATTTAACCTTGTTTGATCATTTTTTTTCCATCAACAATCTTTTAAGAATTTTCAGTACGTTATTTAATGTATTTTGCTTAATTTAAATAAATTTAAATTACCTTGTCTGTTGAGACAATCCTTAAAGGAAATATTCGATAAATGATTCATATTATACATAATATTCTCGTTCTCCTTTAAATTACTACTATCAGCTAAAAAGAATAAGAATTTTAATTACTGTTATAATGACTAAAAGAATGTTGCTTTTTGGAATGGTTTTTTATGATTGTATTTGAATCTTTAGAATTGACATTTAAGGCAAGGTTGGATATATTATTTTTAGATTCCTGTAGGACTGTTTTCGGTTGTTTCTAAATATAATAATTGTATGGTATACTTAAATCACTTAATATACCAATTGTTTAATCTTTGATTTGGGAGGCTCTTGAGGCTAAGTTTGGAAGTGCATTGAATAGGCCTTCTGTAATAACTCTAAAATTTATAATGTGGTGTTTGTTATACATTGAAATTAGGGTTGACTTTGCAATTTTAGGATTTGAGAATTTAAATAAGTATCTGTTGATCTTTGTCTCTTTTTGAATCGAGTAGATGAGTTTTTCTCTTTAGAATTTATCATTCTAATTGTTTCTATATAATCAATTACCTGAATTTACTATTAACAATAAATATAATTTGAAAAATAATCCATTAGAAGAACCATATTTTTTGAGACTCAGAATTTACGAAAATAATTTTATAAAAATAAAGTGTTCATTTATCAAATTCTCTATCTTCCTAGTATTCTTTCATCGCCTTGTTTAAATCCCAATCAGCAACTTCCAAGTAATATTTTGCTACTTTTTCACTACTATCAGTGGGGTCCAGAATGCTTTTCATCATATATTGCAACAGAAATATTTTATGGATAGAATTTTAATCCATTTCATTTGATTAATATTCGTAGGAGGACTAATTTGGAATTATAATTGATTTGAGATGATAAATTTCATTTGTTGTGAGATTGTTAAATTTTCGAATAGATTCCGGAGTAATATTATATTTAATAGCCAAACCTTGGAGAGTCTCGCCTTTTATTTCATGTTCGAAATAATGATCTTTTTAGAACTATTATACTTATTCATCAGTTATATCAGGAGTAGGTGTTTCTTACATTATAAAATAAATAATTATAAAATAGAATCAAGCACTTCAATCATCATTAATTCGATTCCTTAAAATACATATAATCTCAATTTTGTTTTATATCTCAAATTGATTATTAAGATAAGTTTGAAAATTTAACAAAATATGAAAGAAATTCATTTGAATAATAATTGATAATCTTAGAATATGTTATCGGTTCAGTGAATGTGATATTATCTTCATAATTCGATATTGAATAACAAATAAGTTTTGTTCATGTATAGATTTGAATGTATTATCAAATTTTTATTCCCTATATTGGTTCTTTTATATAAATCAATATTATAATTTTTTATTTATTCATGACTGATGCTTAGATTTAATCAAATTCATTACATATATTAGCGCTTCTAACCTGATATTTTATAATTTTAGTTAGTAATTAATCATCACTATTTTTAAGTATTAAAGTTTATTAGATTGTCTTTCATAACACCTGGAAACAGAGTGTCTCCAAATTAAGTAAATGAGAGGGAGCAATATGCAATCTTATAATAATGTTATCAACAATTTTATTATTTTGAGAAATTAATTAATATGAAATATTTATGTAATTATTTTGAATGATTGAAGTAAAAAAGGGAAATTTTTTCATACTTAACTAAGAAGAAATTAGAGAGAAAAATTCTTTTCTAAAAAAGAATTTTAGACTTCATTAATAATAATAATTAGTTACTTCTGAATAAGCAATTCTATTTTTAAAAGGGGCATTGCCTAATTATAATAATTTATGGGCAATCATTTCTGAATTGCATCAATTATTACTAAAATATAGTGAATTGCATTTTTAAACTATGCCGTATATGTTTTAAGCAGTAAAGTAATATTTATAGGATATTACTTCATCTACTCTTTACCAGAATGATATGGATCATGAAATATCACAATAAATAGTTCTAGAAAATACTCTATTATTTAGGATCGTTAACCTATTAAATTAAGGTTGAATTTGAATTAGAAAATTTACTAGGTATGATGGATAGAGATACTTAATTCGACAAATGAGTTTAGGATGATTGACAGATTATGCTAAGTTTTATAAAATCATGCTATAGACTTTGAAGAAGCCTCACCATATTTACTAAAGTGTTGAATTGTAGTGAAATTAACAAATAAAATCGTAGATTGTAAGGATTTGAATCGTCTTTCTCCAATGTTTAGAGTATTATAATAATTAGAAGGATTAGGTTATAATGAATTCAATTAAATACATCCCATTTTACATTCATTGTAAAAAGACTCTTAAGTTGTGAGATTATTGAATGCTTTTTTAGTAAAATGCACAAATTCATTTGGAACACAAGATGATTCACAAAAATTATTCCAATATTAATAATTTAATCAAAACTAAAATTATTAAAAAGAATATATGATTAATTTAGATTGAATTATAAAATATCTATATTTTTGATAATCAATAAACAACGCACCTATCCCACCAACTTGGAAAAGCGGTTTTTGATTTGAAAATACGGATCTAAGATTAATTTATTAATTTACGCAAACTTTTCTTCCTTCATTCCAGAGAATCATGACTATACCAAATGGAAGACCACAAATTCCATAGTGAATGAACAAAATGTCTCTAGTTCCAAATCCTGTATTGAAAATTTCAATATAAGACAGACTCCATGTAATTAAAAATTCTATAAAATAGGCCAAGTACATGAAAACATTATCAAATCCTAAGTATAGAAATAAAAAGGTACCATTATAGATTACTGATCCTTTGAGTTATCTCAATGCTTGATAATTGCAAATTTATCCTAATACAACTCCAAAAAAGAAGGAAGTCTATGAATAGCTTGATGCTTCAGTGTGATAGCAGTAAGGTCTTTGTGTAACAGGTGATATTAAATCTATGTTACAATCTCCCCATTCCATATTTGAAACGATTTTACCATTTTCACATTTAAGTAGAACCATCCTTAAGTCATGAGCTCCATGCTTAGGATATATCCAATCAATATCCTCTTATCCTGTTAAGTCTGATCCTTCACAAGTTCCATCAGGGTAAGATTCTCTAAGATTGGAGTTACCAAACCACGGATCTTTAGGATTGTAAATGTCATGATATTTAGGAAGTACTCCTTGTTTATTCAATAAGAAATAAAGAGATGATGGAGTGAAGCCAAAGTCATTGAAGGAAATATACCATTAGAAGAATCCGCAAAATGTTTCTAATACTCCATTTTAGGCATAAGCAAAGGTAATTAATTACCCTCCAACCAAATGCTCATTCTTGTTTCTCGGTCTCCTGGTCATCACATCTAGATCAGCCTCCTCAAACACAAAGACCATTGATGGAAAGATATCTGTTCCTACTTAGATACACAAGACCAGGACAGTAGTAAGTGGTAATGGTAGTCTAAATACAATAAATCCTAAAAATGGAACTAATTCTGCAATATTGGAGGTCAATGAATACACTATAACCTTTTTAAAGTTATCAAATATTCTTCTTCCTTCTTGAATTCCCACCACAATACTTGAGAAATCATCATTTAATAATATCATATCAGCAGCATCCTTAGCAACATCTGAGCCTGTGATTCCCATAGCAATTCCAATGTCTGCCTTTTTAATAGCAGGACTATCATTAACACCATCTCCTGTTACAGCAACAATATGACCTCTTTTTTGACATCCAGATACTATGATTAATTTTTGAGCAGGACTAGTTCTTGCAAAAACAAGTTGTGGTTTGTTCAACCATTCTTGTAACTATCGACCTTTTTCGTCTTCAGGTAGGCCTTCGTCATCAATGGCCATTTTTGTCAATCTATCTCCATGGATTACCAGAGCATTTGATTAATGGAAGGCTTCTTCAAATGTAATATTCTTTTCTTCCATTATTTCATTTACGGTCTTTTCTGTTATTATATTACATTATCGTGCTATAGCAGCAGCAGTAACTGGTTAATCTCCTGTGACCATAATTACTTGAATGCCAGCAGATTTGCATTTTTACACAGCATTTGGAACTGAATCCTTTGGCGGATCAATCAAAGAGATGAGTCCAACAAAGGTTTGTTATTTGAATGGAAAGTTGAAATTGTCTAAATCAAATTTATAATGCTTTGAAAATTGAGACTTAGGTAAAGGAATTCTTGAAAATCCTAACACTCTTTCACCTTGTCTTCCAAATTTTCCGTTTATCTCATCAAATTCTTATGACCACTTCTCATCTATGATTTCCACTTTTCCATTACAATAAATACTATCACATAATGACCATATCCTTTCAGGAGCTCCCTTGGTCAATAAAGTGAAGTGAGAGTCTTCTTATTCATCTTCTATGATGATACATGCAAATTTGTTTGTTGAATTAAAAGGCTTTCTAGCAATTTACTAATTTTTATCCTTTGCAATATTTTTATTCGCTCTAGTTTATAAAATATCCTCTATTGGTTAAAAGAACTTTATAAGAGCAGTCTCTGATGCATCTCCAATTGTGGGCTTTTCTTAACAACTTAATTTTTTAAAATCCTTATTCCATTAGGCTTTGGCTTCCTCCAATTTTTAATCTTTTTGAGCTTATGATAAACCAATTGAGTTATTAATCTTAATTGTTATATTCTAAGGCAGACTATCATCAAATACAGCTTCAGAACAAATTACTGCCGTTTCATGCAAAAGCCTAAAAGTTGGGTCTTGGACATCATATTAATAATTGAAATAAGGCCCCATTTTCTCCTTATTGTGTCCTCTCATTTTCTTACCATTATACCAAATGTTTTCAACAGTCATTTTATTTTATGTTAAAGTTCCTGTTTTGTCTGAACAAATGCACGAAGTTGATCCTAAAGTTTCAACTCCTTCAAGGTTTTTCACTAACACTTTTAGACCAGCCAACTTCTTTGCTGTTATAGATAATGCGACCACTACAGTGGCTAATAACCCTTCAGGAACATTTGCAGAAATAATACCAACTGCAAATATTAGATTTTAAATAGCAGCTAAATATTATATAATAATAATTACGATATCCCACTGCAAAACCTAATACGAAGAACAAAATTCCTATAGATAAGGCTATACATGCTATGTATATAGTGAATGCATCAAGTTCTTTTTTTAATGGGGTCTCCTCCACCATCGAACTCTAAACCAATCCTGCTATCTATCCAATCACGGTCTTGTCTCCTGTAAAGATGACCACTCCTTTCCCTGTACCCTTTGAATAACGATTTAAAATACCTCTTTGCATAAAGTACCAAAGAATACCAGATTTTTTGTTTCTAATGGATTTTCTACATGAGTGCATTCTGGAGATCTTATCAATAACAGTGATTCTCCTGTCAAACTTGAATTGTCTACTTTCATTTGGTTGCTCTCGATAATTCTGATGTCAGCAGGAATCTTTTTTCCAGATTCTATAATCACTATATCTCCTGGAACTAAATCGACTGCTGGGAGTTTCTACTATTTCCCATCCCGTATCACTATGGTTTCAGGAGGTATAAAATTCACGAATCCTTGCATTATGGCCTCCGATTTCCTATTCTAAAAATAAGTCATAAGGGCTGTTATTAAAATGCATGCAATTAGAACTATCCCAAGGTATAACTACATAATAAAGCATTTCTTACGTTTGAGGGATCTTCTGGAGTTAACCCATATGCTAGAAAACACAATCCTGATGCTGCCCAAAGTAATAAAGCAAAAACATTTGTCAATTCATGTAATAATTGTATATACCATGGTGACTTTTCTTTTTAAGTGAGAGTGTTTTTCCCATATTACTTCAATTTTTCATCTAATTGATCTGAAGAAAGCCCATTAATCAATGAAGTTTCTAATCTTTGCTCTAATTCTGTTAACGGTATGGAATGTTCATCCTAAAATAAATAAATGTATGCACCATGTTTTTGAATTTCTCTGCTTTAGACGTGTCAACTTTCTCATTCTACACACCTTTCTCATTCTATTTCAACAACCTCTTCCTCCTTTGCATCATCTCCTTCGTCATATCATCAAACTCTCTTTAGGCGTCTAGTAATTGAATCTCTTAACTTGATGATAAGATAAGATATGTACTATTGTTAAGTAAATGCCGTAATAATTGCAGAGGCACTTCTACTTTAAGGCTTTTAATTCATTCTATTAAATTGATTAAGATAACATTTTCTTACACTTTATTTCAAATCCATTCTATTTTTAGAACACATTTTTACGAATAAATTCTTTTATGAATTAATTTACAATCTTGTTAATAAATTATTTAAATATAAATTTTAGGAATAAATAATTTCTTTTGTTGTTTGGAAAATTAATTAATGCATTAATGATAATCTTATTGGAAGGTCATTAATAAACTGTAGATCTTGTAATACATTAAGCAAAATTGAATTTAAATTTAGAAATATTCCTATGATTTATATTTAACTCAATTTAAAATAATTAAAACAATAATTTTCAAGTTTCATAACGCAATATTTAAAAGTCTTTACTTCTATTTAATTTTATTATAGGTATATGATTGTAAAAAAGAAATTGGTTTCAATATTAATTCCATCCGAAAATATTTTAGATATATCATTATTTTAATAAGTAATTATAATGAATACTTCAAAATATTACTGAAAACTTCCTTTAAATATTAATTACTCTATAGTCTAGACATAAATGCCAATAATTAAGCAATTTATTAGTGAATTATTTAGTCAAAAGAAAAGAGATTGATAAAACAACCTTTTCTACAAAAGAAGAGATTACCAAGAATATTCATTATTTGTATTTAAATTGATTAATTTTCTTATTTTTCCAATAATCTCAAATTATTCTTTTTAATTTTTGTTGACATAAATGAAAAGTACATTGTAACTAGAAGATAATTTTGATATGAATAGTATATAACCATCCAAATTCATATGATGGCTAGAGGTCTTTATATATCCAACTGAATTCAAGGACATAATGCATTGTTATATATGCTCCTAAAGGTAGGAAGGAGATAGCAGGGTCAGATCATTATTATGATATAAATCTAAAAGAGATTCAAGAATTTAATACAGTGGAGAAATTTTACAATTGTGATTGCTTTTTGTAGAGATCAAGTGAAGTAAGAAGTGTTGAAATTATTATTGAGAAGTTGATAACAAATTATGATGTTTAGGAAGGATAAAAAACGAATGTTGGAAAAATGCATGGTAGAGTAAAGAAATTTATTAGAGATTTGGTTAAATGATGGAAGAGAGAGTTGAGCTTTAAATGGATCCTAATAACCTCACTATCTATTTTTAAAGAACTCAGCTAGAGTTTAAACATAATTATCATAACTATGAGTCTAGGATACATCCACAATGAAAGGTGCTGAGTCTTATACTTTTGTCAAGTCTCCACTCGAAACTCTATAGTCAGAACTGAAAGGAAATCATCCAGATTAGATTAATTATATAGGAGATATTAGGTATACATATTTTAATGATAAATCAAATTAATAATACGATTGAATGAGTTTTTAAGGGTACAAATTGTACGGAATATTAAATATGAAATAAATACATCTGTTGTATTAAGTATAAAATCAAAATTTAGAATATCTAATTTTATATAATGCAGATTCATTCTGAGTACACATTTAACTTCGATTGGGAGACTGTGGTTAAAGGCTTCTGGAAAAAGTATCCATGCAAAGAATTCGACTTCATAAAATTCAATCAAGTTGTAGATATGATGCTTAATGACAATAATACTATGTCTATTAAGAGAATCGTATGATCTCATTATTCTAAACTTAGGTCTACGCTCGCAAATTCATGGTTTGGTGCTTGACTCTGGAAGAGATCACTTTTGATATTGAGAACAGAAGCATGGAGATGCAAACCAAGTTATTGAAAGCCTGCAAGTATTACCCGAACCTTTCAGGAGACGAATCAATCATTTATAAAGCAATAGACGATTAAAAAACTCATTATTCTGTATATTAGCATCATTTAAATAGAAACTATTGTCAAATTTTCATTAAACTTTTGTGTCAAAATTGATATCTCAATTCAACAGTTCTTTTAAAAAAGGCATTGAGGTTGTCGAAGCAAGATGTAGAGAGCTTTAAAGCAATTAATGACGATAAATAAATTTTTAACTATTAATCAATTATTTATTATAATATTTTAAGATGATCAAGAAAAAACCTTAAATCCCTTAAATTAAGGACTCAGAGTTGATCGATAAAAATCAAACCAAAAAATAGATGAGAACTGTACCATATTCCCATAGCCAATCCATTTAAGAAGAGGAAGAACATTCCTCATTGTCTTAGATAAACATCTATGGTCACTCCAAGCCTACTTTCTTAATGACTTTTCCTCAATAACCAAGAGACTTTTAAGGAAGTGAAGACTTAAGAGCCCCTACTATTATAACCAATTTGATTTCCAATAAAAGTCAAGAGCAAGTTGCTATTAAACAGGATGGTCGAAAATAACATTAAGTTCATTACTTAGATGAAAGTTCCTAATTTTCTTCCCAGCTTAATTCAGTATAAATTTAAAGATAGTCTATTTCTAGATGCGTTCAATTTTGGAAAATAAAAAATCTATGTAAATCAATTAGGATAGGGTAAAATTATTGGTTAATCATATGAAAGTTAAATTTTTGAATTTAATTCACTATTCCAAATATAATGATCCCATCCTTACCCAAGAATATTAAGAACGTAATACTGAATTTATACTCTATCTTAGTTTCCCCCCTCAAGTACCATTACTTCACTATGTATATATTTCTATCCACTACCTTATCGAATATCCTCTCATGTATTTTCATTCCAATTACTTAATTTTTTGATGTCTCCCAAATCATAAAAATCATTTCTTATATGGCTTATGGATTGGCATGTCTAACTATTTGCCAAGACCTAATATTTTAAAGGGGCCCTTACAAATTGTCGAGGGGAATCATTAAAGTCAATTACAAGGATAACAAAAAGAAAATATTCGACATCTTAAGACTTGTCCTGTTGTCTCTAAGCAGTGTTTTTGAAATAGATAACAGAGCAAAATTAGTAGCGATCTTATTGATGATGCTATTCTAATTCTTTAGGTAAGTGGAAAATTTTGAAAATATCTACAAGTCCACTCACCATTTTATTTTTGTATTCTAACTGTGGGTGTCAATAGTAGTTTCCTTTGCTTGTATTTATCAAGGTATACATATAAAACAATAAGAGTTTCTCACTGCGAGGAGGATCCAAGTCTTTACTTTTGTATTACTTTTGCTATTTCCTTGTTGACCCATTGTTCTAATATATGTAAAATAGACATTAGCATTTTAGCCATTGAAATAACTAGTTAAAATTCATTAGTGATATCCATTTACATGGTTCTATCTTACCTTTGTTTAGCTTACACAACAATGATCATTTATATTTGGATTAAACCAGATATAGAGATTGAAGAGGAGAAACAAAAGCTACTCAAAGGGTTTGTTGAAAGATTTAGGGAGAAATGTGAAAATGATGGACTTTTAAAAAGGTGTTACTCGTATTTAGAATTTAGAATAGATGTAAATAAGATTTTTAATGTTTTCAGGAAGATTTAAACAAAACGAAAGATCAACTAACTAAGAAGCTGAGTCCTGAATTAGAGGATGAGATTGATCTGTCTTTGAGATCAACTATGATTGATAAGATTGAATTGATGAATAGATTCTCTCCTTAATTCAAATAATAATTGCTTTATGAAATTGAATAAGTGACATTTAATCCAGAAGACAATATCATAATTGTACAAATAATAAGTATTTTAAGGAACATCAAATAGAGGATTTGGGATTGTTTTATATTTTAAAAGGATAAGTTAAGGTTTAATTTTAAGGTTCTTCCTTTGGTACCAATAAAAGAGCAGTAACAACTTTGTGTGAAGGATAAACTTTTGGATAATATTCTTTTATTACAGGGATTCCTTCAAACATTAGTATCTTCAGTTCAGGAGTCACCACATTGATGAAAATAAAGAGATCTGATTTCACATTAATAATATCGAATTATCCAAAAGACAATGAAATATTTTGCACAATGAAAGATAATGCGTTTTATAATTCCAAGTTATTTGAATGCTATTATTGTAAAATCAGAGGACATTACGTAGTAGAATGTAGACATTTATAATATTTTCCTTAAAGAATAAATGCAATCGAAAAACATTTATATACTGAAAAATAACAAAGAAGAAAATATTCAAGGAGGTTAAGAAAATATTTTGCTTGGCAAGATATGAGTTTGAATCAGGATAAGGCCAGATAATATGCTAATAGATAGAGTTAAGAGTAGGTCTCAGATGATTTGCCTGAAACTTCCCAATTGCCCTATTCTGAAAGTAAATTGTACAAATTAACTAGATTAAACACATTAATCAGTGAGTTTTGTAAGCAATTCTTTGGCATAGAAAAATTATAGTCCTGATTAATAACAATCAGCTAGCAATGTAAATGTAGAAAGTTTAGACCAATTTAACATTGAATAAGAATGTCAGGATGAACAAACAATTCCAATATAAGAACAATAAGTAAAAAGTATTAGAAAGAATTCAAATAAAACAACCTTAAAAACTGCAGGGTTCCCTATTAATTTCGACCCCAACAATATCACAAATTTAGGGAATAATTTATCAGTTATAGAGAAAGATGATAGGGAGATCCTGAATTAACTATAGGAGGCTCAAATGACTAAAGATAGAACCGTTCTCTTTCCTGCAGGGAGAAACAATAATTAAAACAAACTAACATTTCAGTATTATAAAGAAGCCTCATCAGGAATCCTACTCAAAGAAGATCCAATTAAAACTGATTCTTATCAGTAATAACAAATACAACAGCAATAGTAATAACAATTAACTCATAATACTTTAAAATAATCCATAAGACAACCTTCAAATAGATCGTATACATATTCAAATTCATTGTCTAAAGATATCTCCAACAATCCTTCATCAAATTCCAGATAAAATAAATCATAGAAACTATCCATATTATCTAGTCAAAACAGAGTTGTAGATTAGCCAGGGGTTAAGAAAATCAATAGTTCCAAGTCCCTCAGTGAATAAAACAAATTAAACAACAATAAGAGCCTAAAATCAGGTACCAAGTAGAGTACTCCAAATTAAATGTCCTAGTTCTAAGCTTTAACAACTCCAGAGGTAATATTAATTCTTAGTATAGAACCAAGGGTACTTTATTAATGATATTTTATTCAACAAATTCGAAAAAATGCAGGAGTACAAAATTTACTATCCACACAACAACTATAATCAAGTTATTGATCGCTATGTTAAATTTTTGGATTCAAACAGAAAAAACTATTTCAAAAGGAAAAAGTTAAATTCTGGTACTCCTTATTCGATAAAATGTTTTGTTGCATCCAAAATTAAAAGAGTAAAAAAGCTATTATAAAACTGACTAATTATTTAATATAAATAATTTATAATTCAATTCGAGGAGGTTAGTTCGGACAAATTTTTAAGACTCTAATGATTCTTCTTGTATAGTTCCTTAAGATACTAACAATATCCAGTGCAGCCATTACTTTCATTACAAAATGTTTGAGTTTGAGTCTAAAACGATTAGGTAAATGGTTTTTGAGAACACTCATTTTTCATTTAACTCCTAAACAATTTATACTGTTCATCCCTATTTGTGAAACAATTAAATTGGTTTTCCCCATAGTACTTGTAAACAACTTTGTCCCTGGTGGGGATATTTTTTATGAAAAATGTCTTAAGATATTTTGCTTTGAGATCTTCTACCTGTCTCTTCTTTTTGGCATCTATAGCAGTCCTAAAATTGAATTAAGTCTGGAAACTATCCAAAAGTTCTCTAACAGCAGAATCCTATGCTGGAGATTGCTGTTGTAAATTGTGATTTACTATATGATCTTTTACTGCTTATTTTGATTTCGCTAATATATTTATTTAGATGTATTTATTTTTTCTAGTTGAATTCATCAATGTGATTGGATCCTTGGGAATCTTTTCAAAGAAGGTTGGTGGTTACCTTTTTAATTTGTCAAATTTTTATTTTTTATCATCCGATTTATTCTCCTATAGTTGCAATCCCTCTGCAGTAGACAAGTCTGTTCTTATAGGATTTTCATTACTCTGCGTTTACAGTCTTTGATTTAACATTCTAGTATTCACATATGATTTTACTTTAGCTTCGTCCTTTCCTAAGACCCATCGTTATTATTGTGCTTTTGCTTCATCAATTCTCTTTCCGAGCCTTGTCTTTGTAAGCCATCCGTGATATTACCGAATTCCACTTTTTTCATAATTGCTGGACATCTTTAAGTAAACATGATGATAATAATTAAAAATTGGAAGATTATATATATTAAGTAAAATTAGTGATACCTCCAGTTAAGGAAATCTTATTTAATTATATAAATCCTTAATATCCTACAGGCTTATAGAAGGATTACACAACCATTCTCTAAGTGCAAAACAAATATTTAATAACCCAAAAAGACCTATTTTATGTATCACTGATTTGAAAATAATCGAAAATCTTTGTTAATCACTAAACTTTTAATTAGATTTCTTTAGGATCAATAGAGATTTAGTTTTTTTTCTTATTTTTTCCATCTTACTAGTATTCCTATTACAAATCTCCTTCAAAAATTCATAAAATGTTCAATTGTTCCATTATATATGGGAAATAGAACGAATAAATAGATTCCTCTAGAAAATCCTTTTCGTTGATACCTACATAATAAGTAAAAACCTCAATATTTAATATTTTAATATATTCACGAAATCTTCTAAGCAAGGTATTTGTTATTTCAATTTTATATAGTTTTAAATCTGAGTCTACTCTGAAATTCAATTTAGGATATTTACTATACTTAATCAAAGGAGTACTTTAATTAGACTCATCAATTAATATTGGTTTTTTTTTTGAATTTAATTCTAATCATTCCGAATCCAATATTTTGGAATGATTATATTCTGTATTTCTATATGAGAATATCCAATTAGTTGGTATAGATGTTTTTCATCCTATATTTGTTAAAATATCTCAAAAGTTTTTGTTTTAATTAGAATATTAATAAAACAATTTAATTTATCCCCTTTTGATTTTTGAAAGATGATGACAAGTTCAGGATCTAAAACTAAAAAAGGTTGATTTTAAGTATTTTAATTAAGGAATACTTATTAAAAATGGGATTTTTTTTTAATTGTTTACAAATATCGATAGATATATATTTATTAAAACTATTTATAATAATGGAAAAGGTAGGTGTAGGAAAATTGTTTCTACAAGAACTTTAAATATTCTTTGCCCTGTTATTAGGTGAGTAGTTATCTATTTTAGGTTTACAACAATCTTAGGGAATGGACTCAATAATTCCTTTAATTTTGAATTTCATTTCTGGAGTAGCATTTTTTGTGGCAAAATTTAAAGATTACAACTAAGTAAATGTTTTTTGGAAGTTGAAATTACTAATAATTTTGATCTAAGTATCTATGAATGTGGAAACGAGTCAATTTTGTTTAATTATGACTCATTTGTTGGAGGATGAACTGTTGAAGTGTTTTTGCTTGGGAACAGCACTGTTGATTAACATAATATAGGATCAGGAGACAAATTACATCACAACGATACCGAACAGCATTTTGTTATTTTTCAACATAGTAATATGGTTTGGGTTTCTGTTTATGAAATGTACGAACACAAAAAGGGAGGATGTGTATCTTGAGAAGGAACTGAAACAGAAGTCGACTCAATGTATTGATAACAATGATATGTAGTGAAGGAATCGATAAACAATAGGGATATTGGAAGTAGAGTGAATCAACAGTAATCAATGTTGCAAGAATTGAATCCTCTGAAAATAGAGAGTAATGAGGATGAGTAGATTTTACAACATGTTGCATGGATATAAAATCAATCAGTGTTGGTTTACAACAATAAGCTAAACATTGTTTATTAGAATATATTTTTAGGAAAGTTATTGAAACAATCTACTTTGGATGAATTACAAACCTAGTAATAGTCAAAGCCTGATTATGAGGAGCAATTCTTAAGCAGTTAGATTTTGTTGGGGAGTAAAGAATTAATAGAGATTAATAACGTTGTTGATTAGTCACTGAATAGCGAGTATTTACTAATTGATTAATTCAAGTGGTTCTTTCCTGTTGAATAGAGTGAATGATTATCACAAGTGCCGATTGAAATCGAAACTGACAATACGTGACCTGACTTTGATGATGCAAAATGAGTTCGATAAGTAGTTTACTTGGATATAAAGAGATGGCGAACGTGTATGGTGACTCTGTTTGCATTGAAGAGTGAGATGCTCGATTTTGAGAATGTCCAAGTCAAAGCCTTTGTGAATAAGATCAATGAGAATTCCTATGTCTTTTTCCTCTTTGATTAGAAACCAGTGCAAAAGAAGAGTGACGAAAGCAACCTCCCAATAATCAATGTAATCACTACTTTTGTGCATGAATCAGTAAGTTATATTAACTGTATTTTAACTCTAATTTTATTGACATAAAGTGACCATGAGAACACTCTAAAAATATCCCTAAAATAGAATTATTACACACCAATCAAATTAATAAGTTAGAGGTTCTTCTTATTTGTAAACAGCATGAGAGATTATATTTTCTACATCCAAAACTAGTTGTTTTTGAAGATCTCAGCATTTAGAGTGAGTGATATCGTGGAAGAGATAGTGAATTTATACGAGGATAATTTAAAGATCAGAGATGTGAATCTAATAACCTCAATAGATTTGAGTGATAACAATTAAGTGTTATTCAGTGATATTGATAGAGTACACTATAATGTTTAAAAATAGTTAAAACAAATTTTAGCTTGTTTATTAACATATTGTTTGAAGTACACTTCAGGATCATCCTTGAAATTGGACATCAAAAGTTATACGGTTAGTGGAATTATGATTTCATTCAAAGATAGCATGATTGCCAAAGATGAAAGCCTCAGGAAATCTATCTCTGCCCTCATAAAAACTTTGAACTCATCTCTGAAAACCTCATCATTTTATTAGGTGGATCTAAATAATTTATTAGAACTCTAAATTTGTGTGATATTATGTTTCTAATTGAGTGGCACTTTCAAAAGAGGAATCGATTTCCTTTATGACAGTTAGGGATGCGGGACATTCACTTTTGTAGTTGAATCCCAATCCAGTTCGTAGAGGATGTAGAGTCATCAAGATACAGGGCCAATTAAAATCATAGGACAAAGAAAATATTATGAAACATCCTTATCCTTAATGTTGGCCCAAGACAGCAGTGGCTATAGAGAAGAGTCAAAGTATAATATCTGCATCATTAGATACTACACGTTAAGCCAATTATCGAAGTAATTCTCTATGAAACCTGGAGAGGGCCTAGATGCTCACAGCGCGTACTTCTCCCAAATCTCCAGGATCAAATAAGACTCATCAAATTCTAGATAGGTCTAGAATTCTGGGTCAGTTCCCAAATAATCTAAAGAGTAGACAATCAGCTATTCTGGAACTTGGAAACAAGGGTTTCCTGATATCGTTTAATAGACATATAAGAAGAGTAGGAATGAAAGAAGTGAATCTCAATAAGACTCTCATTCAGCGTATGAAGGATTGGAACAAAGCATTCCCTCTATACATCCTCCTGAATTCACTCCTAAGTTGCTGCCTTCAGTCATTAAATATCGACTGAGGTTGACTTGTTGTTCCAAAGTGTTAATAGTTGATAATGATCATTACAGTGTATTATCATTACAGAAGGTACTAGAGAAATATAACATCAAATGTGACAGGGCCTTCAATGGAGTGGAGGCTTAATAGATGATTTCGAATAAGTAAATCAAGCCTTGCCATTGTGGGAACAGGTCGTACTTGTTATTTTTCATAGAATTTCATCTGCCAGTAATTATATTATATATATCAAACAAATTTGTAGCTTTTATCGGGAATCGAACTTATGAAATTCTTGAAGAGTTAGATGAAAATGGGATTGATTGATAAAGGATTTGCAATAATTATTTCAACATTTGCTGATTTGAATTTGAAATTGGAATGCTTTAAGAATGGTGCCGATTACTTCATTGCAAAACCATTTGATTTAATAGATATAGGAGCAGCAGTTTAATATTTAGATTTTTGATAGTTAATATATTTTCATATACCTTTAGAAAAACAATTTGATCTTTGTCTGATTTCTACTGTTTTATTCAGTAACAACTCTAATTGCATGTTCGAGGAGTGTTTCTTTTTTGATTTCTTCATAATGTCAATTTCGGAGGCTTTAAATACCTATTCGTTTGGGGATAGAGAGACAAAGTTTGTATTGAACCAAATTTGTAAGATTTTTGATTCCGAGACAATTGATTTTTAGAATATTTATAATAGAACGTCTCCTTGAAGATATATGCCATCAAAAGTAAAAATGATTTCCTTCTCCGAAATAATCTAAGCCTTTTCTATCAATTATTTGCTGTTGTTCTGCAATCGAATCAAAGATCCATGAGCTGAACCAACCAAACGAACTGAAAGCAACTCGACCTGCAGAAATGGTCTCTTGATTAAATCGTTTTTCAAGGCAAAACTAAAATAATGCACATACCTAATCTAACTGGGAATGGTAACGCCTTTCTAATTCAAAGTTCGAACTAATCCATAATAAGCCAAGGCATCTTGACTTGATGTGTACTTACCACTGTACAGCAAATAGCAGCAAATCATCACTCCTGTTCTCCCTTTACCAGCCTTGCAATGAACTGCAATCACATGATTTGGATCTTATGTCAGCCAATCGTGCACTGCTGTACAGAAATCAACTATCAGAGTGAAAGGAGGTGCCTGATGATCATCAAAGGGAAATTCAGCCACTTTAAAGAATGATTCGTGCTTATACTTTCTTTCTGAACATCTAGGTAGCAATCTTAATTTACAAATTTATGACCATATAATTGCTGGGATGACGTGTATTTAAGAATTTTTAGACTTCAGACATGGAATTTCGATAGATAGCCTCAAAATTCTCCGCAGGAAATCCCATTGCAATCAGACTATCAGTAACATCTGCATAAGTTATTATTTATTTACAAGTCAAATCCAAATTAAAACCATCCAATTTAAATCTTTTCTTCGATTTAGATACTAGTTCCTTTATAATTTCCCTTTAAAATGCACACTTAACATTTTTCATAATCTTTTATGTGATTTCATTCGCATGATTTTGCAACACCGCAGTATCGTTTATTCTCTCATCAATGTGTCTGTTGAAACTTCTCTCTATTGGTGTTTCGCTGATTGGCACTTCCTCATCACATTATTAAAGACTTTGTTATTCGATCTCTTGAACCTTCTGAATGTTTAACGGACTTTCTAAATATTCATCCTCATCACTGGATATCCGATTAAGGGACGTTGTGTCCTCTATATTATGCATTGAAATCATTAATAAAAATATTTCTTTTCTATAAAATATTAAATCACTATAATAACTATCCTATTTCAAATCAATCAACCAAAATCCCCTCCCCACAGAAACACTCTCGATAACTCAATTTTCCTAAATCTTGTACTTAATCTTAATAATCTTAAGTAATTCGTTTAATATCAAAATTTTAACTCACATTTAAATTTCCTAAATTAACTTATTTTTTATTCCTTCCAGCCATTCCCCAATAACACATGCCAATCCGAGACTAATATCAATTTGCGAGCACTCTCATGAATTCTATCCGAAATTAATGGAAAATAAATTCCTATCAGATTTTAAGCAAAAACCTTATAATCTTATTTAATTAATTAAAATAAATTGATAAATTATTCCGTATGCTATAAAATAACAAAGCTATTTAACCTTCAAAGTCAAACAAAAATCCTCCAACTAAAATAAACCAAAGAAATTAACAAATTGTCTCAAAAGCCTAACACTCTACTCCACAATCAGTAACAATTCTCCAACTAGAAAAACCGAAAACACAAAAATCTTGCTTTGAAAAATATTTCAATAAACCTGTTATATACAACATCATCCTCTTTCTAAATTGTAAAGACATTTCATCCCTAAGAAGAGTAAATAGCTACTTTAATTAAACATTTATAGAATGTCTGCCAATCTTAAAGCAGTTCTTCAACAAGCAGCTCGATATGAAGCAACAGTAACTTTAATCCAACATATTCTATAATCAAGTTCCTCAATTAAATGATATTGATTTTGAAGGGTTCAAACATGGTCTCTAGAATGAATTGATGTATGCCTGTCCAGAAAAAGTTCCCTAATTTTATCTCAAATGCATTGAACTAATTTCATAACTGCTTTTATAAGAATTACCAAAGTGGAGATACTCAAAGTACACTTATTAAATGAAGACTAAACTTCTTTATGAAAAATTAGAAAAGAAAGTTCCATTAATTAATATATATGACCTCTCTGATAAATAACTAGAAATTATAAGATCGGATGCACAAAATATCATGAATACTTCGCATTATTTGAAATGGGTATTCACTCCTCTTGTTGATTTTGTAGATAACTTAATAATAGTGACTAGATCACCACATTATGCAGAATTAAAAAAGTTTAAATAGATTTAGTATCGCATCTCTGAAATCTAATAATTTCTTAATACATACTTTAAGAATGAATGATAAATTAAAAAAGATATTATTTTTATTATTTCAATTTAATTTCAGAATTAAAATATTTTTTTCGAAAGACTTAAATTATATATATATATTATATTTTAACCTCTTCTATTAAGTTAAACACTTTCCGTTCCTTTTTAAAAAAATTCTATATTATGAGCATATATCAGTATATCAAATTCAACTAAAAAAGTGAATTTAATCTACTAAGATTTCAAATAGATGGATTACAGATATTCAGTGTAATGATAAATTTAAAGTGTGTGTTTCATTTTTTCTGTAAAATTCATTCAATATAGAAACAATATCTTGAATTTAATATCATATAATATATTATAATATACTATTAAATTAATTCATGATATTTTTAATTATATTGCTAATTACTATTAATGTAAACTTGATATATTAATTTGTCATATTAATTTTAGCATTCAGATTTGAATCTAAATAAGGAATCATACAATTTAATACTTCTATTCCCACTTATCTTAGACAGTTGAAAGCATTATTAAAAGAAATAAAAAAAATAGAATAAATTTTTTCATCTATACCAAAACTAAAACTCAACTATAAGAGATTGTTTTAACTTGACTTTAATATTTTATAGATGCAAATGGTTATAAAAATCAAAAATTCTAGTATACCTCATCATCTCTTCTATTACTAACTTATTATTGATTTTAGTTATAATATTATTAAGATTGAACAGGCTTTTAAGGCTGTGCAGTCAATTAAGTCACGACCTCTACCTTATCATTAAAGACAATTCCTGAAACTAAGTCATTGGATCCAAGGTTTCCCAGAAATCCACTAACTGCATTGCAAACCTTACCCCAATTTCCTTACATAGAGCCAGAAATGTCAAGGGTGAAAAGAACAATATAATTATTCACTTTCATTTACAACACAGGCTATAGCTACTTTTACATAAAGGCAATAGATTATTGATTGCTCTCAATAATTATTCCCTTTTATTATACTCTAAGACCAATCTACATCTAAATCTTTTAAAAGATTTCATTAATTCCATTGCTGTGAATGGGAAAATATTATGCTGACTTTCCACTGCATTGTAAAATTGCTCGCATCTCCTATTACACTGTTTGATTGTTTTCAACATTCACACCTATGTAAAAGGTTTAGAGAATATTTTCAGGAAGTTCATTTTTGAGACGGACCTAATACGCGAGAAATTCTTATAGACTGATTTAAGACCTATTATCCTCTCCATCAGTGAGTACCACATGAACAAATTTGAATTTGTCATGTGCACCCTTTTTGCAGAAGAGATCTAAAAGTTATTACATTAACTAATTTCCTTTAACAACTGCATCTCTAAATGCAGTAGCACCAGAACAACTAAATCTAGGTAGAATATTATTCAGCTTTGACTAGGGGGCTGATTCAAATCCAAGTATTTCCATTAAAATTGCAATATTATCCATTGTTTTTACTTTTATTATAAGGTACTACCTATAAGATAAATGCGCTATTATAATAAAATCAATTCTATTTAATTATTTTTAAATATCAGAATTGATTATATATATAATTTTTGTTATAAAAGAATTAATGCATTTTCTCCAATCTAGAAGAATTTCATGATAGTGGTCCAAATTATAGTAAATGGGAGTATACAGATGGTGTTTTGACCATCTATATTAAGATTAATTTATATTCTATTTGATATATCATGTTGGCTTTATAATAAGTTTATAATTTGAAATATATAAATAAATTGAAATAATATATAATATAATAATAAGAATTTTAATAAATGTAAATAGACTATAATTATAATTAGAGTAAATTTACTATTGAGACTAATTTTGTAATCGAGGGGTGATTATCACTTCAAGCCTGATTTCTGAGTTATAAAAATAAATTAGGCTTGAAATGCAAATTTTGTTAATTTTGTACTCGATTTCAGATAATTAATTCTGAGTATTTCATTTACATAAAAATTCTTTTTATTCGAGAAGTTAGTGAGAATCAAATTTATTTACTCACAGAAATTAAGAGTATTTTTTATATAATTATGATACTTCAATTCAAATGTGAAAGATTACACTACATAATAAACACTAACTATATTTTAACTTTGTATAAGGACAGGCTCACTATTGGGAACAAGGTAATATCTTCATCATGATATAAAATAGAGTCATCAAAAATATGAGTATAAATTTACACTCGAGAATGTTTTACACTGGTATGTGGATAACCTTAAATTATAAGCTTTCGGGATCGAATACAAAGGGATTATCAAATTCTTCAAGGCAAACACCAAAGATTTAGAACAATTAAGAAGCTTCTGCAGGAATCTCATATGCTTTGATAACATAGTTGAGTTATACAAACAAATAGATATTGATGACCCTTCAAGGATATAAGACCAAATATCGCTACAATAATTTGGACTGAAGATTGTAACTTAGTAGCAGTTGCTAACCTAAGTCCCACTTGTACGATAATTGAATCATCATGGAATAATTTCATACCATGAATGTTTTCAATATAAGAGCCAATATTATATTGTAACAGAATTCGTTGGAGGAATTACATTACAGAAATTCGTGACATAGAACCCCAAGTTGAGTCATCTACAATGCAGAGCCATAATACTTGTAAGCATTCTCTTATATTGAAAGCATCTGCTGAAGGCTGTCCAATATCTGCATCAACATTACGTCATTCATGCAACAATCGATATTTATCATATTATTTACAAATCAGATTTTATCAAAATAATCGACTTTTCTTAGGCTAAACAAAGCAACAACATAGATGATTAGGACATAAAGAATTGTAGCCGAATTCTATTTTATTTGTATGCAACATTTCATAATAATATTAGGTACACAGGGAAAGAATATAATGATAAAGATTATGAGCAGAATATTTAAACTCTATAAAATGCTTAGACACCAAAATTAGCATAGGAGCTTCTCCTGAGTATGATGACTGATTAGAATTTAAGTGTGCCTTAAATCTTAGAGCATCCCTACTTTTCCTTTTCCTTAAATCCATAAGAAAGGAAGAAGAGATTTCAGTAATTTTAGAGAGTGTAGAGGTCGACATCAGAAATGGATGATAGTGATGCCATCTCTTAGAGCATACCTGAATTGTAAACTAATAAGAGTAAATCATTAAAGTAATTAATGTGAACATTTCTTGTATTTAATAATTAAATTTATATCACATAAAAACATATTGATAAATTAATATACTGTAAAATAGTTTTTTAGAAATTAAAAACCGAATAAGTTATGAAAAAACAATTGGTCATAATTATTAAACTTAAATTATGTTCATGGTAATAACTGATTGAGCATATTTAATTGAATCTTGGAAATTATTTAAGATTATAGACTTGATATCCATATATATATAATTTAAATTTAAAATTATGATTTCAGATTTTTATATAACTGTATGAGAGTATTTAAAATGAGTTTTATAAAATGCTTATTTTTGAATAAAAAGTATATATTTTTGGTTTTAAAATTCAAAATAGGCTTTCAAATTTAATAATATTAGAATATGGGAATGAATATTTAATTACACATATAAACATAATATGACGATTAATTAACAATATTAATTAAAATAAAATTCAAATTTTCATGAACAGAAATAAATAACAACCTTAAAGATAAACTGCTCCTTAAAGAAAAGCTCGTTCTGAACTCAATGAGGAATAGAAGCAAGAGATTAAGGAGGCATTTGATTTATTTGACACTGAGGGCACAGGATATATTGATGTCAAAGGTACGATGTAAATTCTTATTTTGCTAGAACTTAAGGTGGCTATGAGAGCTTTGGGGTTTGAAACAAAAAAGGAAGAAGTCAAATAGATGATTAAGGAAGTGGATCGTGAAGGAAAAGGAGTAATTGAGTTTCCTGATTTTCTCGAATTGATGACAGTCAAAATGGTATCATGGTTAATAACTATTTACAGGGGGAAAGAGATCCAAGAGAAGAAATGCTGAAAGCTTTCCGTTTATTTGATGATGACAACACAGGAAAAATCACATTGAGAAATTTAAAACGAGTCGCAAGAGAATTAGGAGAAACAATGACAGACGATGAATTATAAGAGATGATTGACGAAGCTGACAGAGATGGCGACGGAGAAATAAGTGAGGAAGACTTCATTAGAATAATGAAGAAGACCAACTTGTTTTGAAAATTAGTTAATATAATTATATAATAATCATGGCATTTGTATATTAAGCTTAGCGAGATCTAAACCAATTATTGACATCTGTCCCATCTAATGTACTCTCATTATTCTATTCATAACAGGTGGGTCCAGGTTCTTATGGGCAACAAAAGAAAAAACCAATTAAGTAATCTATTGCTCCCTTCAATTCCCTATCAAGCCGACTTAATCCATTAAAAAATTCCTCCTTTCCAGGTCCTGGAAGTTATTGTGTAAATTTTGCAAGTGCAGGGTACAAAATCAAGTAAATATTAGATAGAAAGTGCTGCTTCAATCTAATCAATAAGACCTTAAGATTCTTGAAATCCATCAATAACAGTCTGTTTTTGCATCCAAATGTAAACGCTTTTAAGGAGTTAATACAAGTGATAATCCTGGGTAAAGTAGTATTTTGATATCTTAGTCCTGGATCTTACTAACCAGAATCAATTTAACGTCAACATTATCACAAGGGATCAGCCGAGAATTTTATTGAGTCTTTGTTGAAGTTGAATAGGAACAAGTCAATTCCATCCATCCCAACTAATGAATAAGTGTATGGTTATGTAGATGGTGGAAGTTTATCTAAATTAATCTATTTTAGCTCTTTAATTAAATAAGAGTCCTTAAGTGGTTATTTCAGGATCAAAGAATGATTCAGTAGGTCCTGGACATTATGAAGTAAAGAACTCCTTTGATCTGTGTAAAGGGAAGGGGGTAAATTGGCACTCTTCAAAACAACCCAAACTAGCACCTGTTATATCTAAAGATTAAAAAATGATAGTTGGACCTGGAACATATGATATTTAAAATGAGAGCTAACCACTGTATAAATTGATGCCCTCAGGATCTTTTCAATCTAATACTCAGAGATTCAATAATTAAGAGAAAGGATAAAGAACTAAAGAAATCCTTAAACTTCAATTTGAAAAGAAGAAATCTCAGTTACTCTAAGATGCATAATTTCAAGACTTGAAAGAAGAATAATTCGAGGAAAATGAAGTATAATTTGTCAAAACTTTAGAATGATTTGCCTGGTCCTGGATTTTATGCAAAAGATTAGAGTGCAGTAACTCATACTAAATCTACTTCCAAATTAGGAACACAATGCTTTGGATCCAAATTGAAAAGATTCGAAAGTGATTCACATTTGATCTAAGTTGGACCAGGAGACTATACAATTGAAACATCACTATCAAAAAGTAGTCTCTCATAAAAGTACCCACCCTTCTTATCATCGAATACTCGTTTCGAATAAAAACACTTGAACGGAAAGATTGGACCTTAATCTTACAATATAAAATAGAGTGTAAGCAAATTAGATAGTTAATTTAGTTGGAACATGAAATGATCAAAAAACTAGAAAGATCTCCTGTTGGCAAATTTGGCTATAATTCACCTCGATTTGATGATGGTTAAAATAAAGAACACCAGCTTGGTCCAGGATACTATGAGTATTCAACTTAGTCTCATTAACAATAAGGGGCTCAAACTGTGTTTAAATCTTAAACCAAAAGAATAGATCCAAATGTACAATGCAAATTAGAATTGCCAGCACCTGATTAATACAATCCAAAAAATCATACGATCGAGTTTAATATAAAAGAGGATGAAGAAGATGATCCAGAGTTTGAAATTAAGAGACCTCCATTTTAATCGTCGGCTCCTAGATTTTAAAATAAAGGGGATTTCAAAATTGATGAATTAGGTGAAGAACTGTATCTGAAGAAATAGAATCAAAATAAGGAAGACCATAAAGTTCCTTATAAATAAAAATAATCGCCTCCCCCTTTTAATGTGCAGGTATTCTTTAATATTTACACACTTAGGAAAAAAGGTTTCAATATCGTAAAATAACTGTTTAATCCCCAGGCCCTGGAGAATACAACCAATCTATTAATAAATCATGGGAGAAACCATCTTTTAATGTTCAATTCTCTTCAATTTGAGTGGATAAAAAATATTATATTAAGCATATCATTTCTTAAAAAATCTGAATTCCGATCTTGTATGTTAATGGAGTCTTCTAGGTTAAGGCTAATTATCACCAATTTTAAATTGTTTGCAAAGAGAAACACTAGCTTATTAAGATCGATGAGTTTAAATACTAAATAGACAAAATGAGATACGTGGGTTTTTGTTTAAGCTCAAGTGTATGATGAATAAGAGGGTAATTCATAGTATGGACGTGAACAGGGCTCAAGAGTTTAGATAGAGGGTCTTTAACTTATCTGTGTGTTGATTGACCATTTGGAGAGATTAACCATTCATCTTTGAGTGTTTTTGGAGATAGATGAAATTGTTATTGGTTTTTTGAACTTCTAGATATCATTTGTTTGATATTCTACTGGCTCACTTTTAAAGTAATTTTATTGAATGTTTTGGGTGAATGTAATTAATACTGTGTTTAGAGTTTAGGTTTCTGTTTCTCAGTCAAATACTGAAGAAACTTTTATAATTTTTCCTGTTCTCTATTGGAAGGCTGTAAAATTAATTCACCTGCATTGATTTTAATTGCATCTAATTTTTAATTGATTGCCTCAATAGTCGTGGAATTTTCAATTATATCTTGCAATATTTTACTATAGACTTATTCTTATTGTTTTGGAGAGACCAGTTACGGTTCCTCTCGTTGATCCCCTACAATTGCTTTCTTTGGTTTGTTTGGATTCTTTCGATTTTCTTCTTCTATTATGCGTTTTATACGATTATATTCAACTCTTCTTTTCTTATCATGGTAACTAACTTATGTATAACCCTCAGATACTTGCTCATAATATTGCTTATTTTATGCATAAACCATCTTGGAATCTCATTATGATATTTATAGTACTCCGTAAATAGCCTAATTTTATCATGCAATTCACCTACAAAATGAGTTAAGCTTATACTTGCTAAATAGAACCGTCTTAAGAATTCCTAATTGTCATTATAAGCTAAAGTTTGATAAAAGTCAATCACCTCTTGAGTTCTGGCTGAATTTACAAAATCATTCAAAGTCCTAGAATAATAATAACATTCGCTATTAGAGTATTTATTTTGAAGAAGTGTTTATACATCGTATTGTTTTATCATCAATATTAATGTTTTGATATCAAATTTTATAAAGTTTATACTTATTATTGAATGGATAAAATAATAATTCTAATTCCTAATGAACCTAATCTCTTTTACATCTATCTTTTTTACCCTGCTTCTATTTTTCATTTCTTTAGTAATAAAGTCGAATTTATTATCGTAGATCCAATATTCTTTTTATGGTTTATCCTCATAAAATCTAGAGAAAGTTTAGTTTCAATAAACTTATACTAAAGATTGGAGTGTTGCTCCCATTTTTTGCTAAATCTGTTTACTATATCTTACTACTTGATTAATATTAATATATTAGTTTAAGTAATAATACTTGAAAAATATTGATAGAATAGAAGGTCTACTAACAAGCATACTTACATCAAACTGGCTTAGAGAATTGTAAAGGAAATAGTTTTCAGATTGAGATGATTAGCTGTTCAATTACTTTTGTAGTTATTAAAAAAAAATCAAATTAATATTTATAAACTTGAATGAAAAAACATTAATGAGAGATGATATAAAGTTGGGCTCTTATTACTTTAATAAATTTTTCACTTGATTAATATAATCAAATTCAATATCTTCCAGAGACTTAAGGATGAAAGTGCAAATTCATTGAAAACTAAATTAGTTTACTTTTCAATATTACTTAGCTATAACTTCGCTTATCATTTCCATTAAATTGAAATTTTATATATTATTATTAAAATATCGATAGAAGTGTCATAGTTTAATTAGATTTTTAAATGCCATTATAACCATTTTGATTTTATAATAAGTAAGCTAAAGTTCAGTAAATTTCCTTTTATTTATAGTATATTTTACAAGTAGTGGTCTTTTGGGTTCAACCATTAAAGTACAATTAATCATATGTAGATATATAAGGTGAAATTAATAGCTGATCACAATAGCCTATGCCTTAACAGTAAACTTAAGTTCTGATTTGTAAATAGAATCATAAATTGTTCATCATCTTTTCTCTTATTTTAGTCTAAGTTGGGAAGAACTAAAAATATAATATTTATTTAAGTTCTAATATAAAAATGTTAACTATATTAATTTCATTAAACAAATTTTATTTTATTATTACGTGATGAATCAAGGTACAAGTTTTGAGCAAATATCGAAACCTTCTCCAAGAATAAGGGAAAGACAGATGAGAAGTTATACAATAAATGTCAAATAAAACTAAAGTCTAATCAATTCTTAAGAGAAACGAGCATCAACAATTATACAGCCTCTGAATAGTTTCAGACAACTATAATAGGATTCGAAAAAATAAAACCATAGTCTATTTTAAAAGGGCACTCTTGTTAATAAATAACTCAGAATTTAACATATAAAATATTATTAATAATAGTATTATAACAAATTTTCAAAACTTTAATTATTGGATTAACATGAGAAAGCCTGCCTATCATTTATAGATATTTCGTAATTATCTTACGAATCAAAGCCATTACCAATAGTTATCAATAAAAAATAAGAACTAATTAAATTGAAAAATCAAAGGCCTTAATTTTCTTTGTTATGAATTAGATTATTAATATTTAAGGCTATTTTACCTATAAAAAGATAAGCTAAATTAAATTATAATGATATATGGGTGCTTTGTCAATAAGTGATCTAATTTAGTTAGAATATCTGATTAAATTTTCATTAAATTGTTGAAAATAATTTCTGAAATATTTTTGAATCTCCAAGGATTGATAATTCCTCATCTATCAATATATTATCTCTATCTAAAGACGAGACTCTTACTAGAGTTGCAAAATTAAATTAAAAGTAACCATTAATTTGATTTCATCAATTATGTTTTCTCAAGTCTACTTTAAGAAAAAATAATAGAAAGAACAATAACCCTCTAGGTCTTAAATTCCATAACATCCATTCATGATAGAGACATCTACATATATCAGTAAAGAATAACCAACTACAATTTCCTAATTCATACTGTGTTTTATTTATTCTGTCCTCCCAATTATTTTAATAGTTTAAGTATAAATTATATAGATATAAATATGAATTACATAATTTCATTAAACATTTTACATTTGTTTCTTTAGGGCAATCTATTGCAATAGTTCCTACGTTTATAGTTTGAATTATTACTTATTTCCTACTTTAAAATTCTTCTAAATACATATTGCGTTTTGCTTATTACTCTTCAATCTTATATTTTAATTCTACATTTTGATTTTCTATATTTTCTACGAATTCTGGAGAATAGTCTTCACTTTACATTAAATCCTCATCCCAGAATGCCTCTTGTTATTATGATTGCAATTAGTAGGCTTATTGCTATCCCATAATAATTTATTAATTCTATTTAGTTTCTGACTTCTTTACTGATAATCCTGTTGGAGTATGAAAATAAGTTTATACTTACTAATACATTTATTGCAATTCAGAATTTTCAATGGATAATTACTTGTATTATTACACTAACAATTATTGATCTTCTTCAAGCTCTTTGCTTTGTTGAATAATTTTAATTCTCATCTAAAAATTAAATTGGCTTAAGATTCTTTTCCACTTTGTAAAGTATTTACTAATCATTTGATCTTCATTCATATTAATCTTAGATAAGTATTTATAGATAATGAGGTTTCTTCTTTTCCTCTGGTATTTCATGTGTGCTTGATTCAAACCTGAGTTTAATTTGCTTGAAATAACAGACTAAATATTAAATAGTAAAATACTAAGTTTTTTATTATGTCAACATTTGCGCATTATGCACCTTGATTATTTCTGTTATAACAAACTATTTTATAAAAGGAAAACGAAAGGTTTTTTAGCATCAACCTTCTAAATAGAATTTTAAAATTAAACATAATTACAATTTTTTGAGTATTTCTTTGTTTATTCTTTTTTAAATCTACGAAAGCATTGGAAAGTACCTTGAATTTCTATTTTGAGAGCAGAGCAACAATTTAAAATGTTAGTTATATGAACTCATTTTACCTTTTACTGTCAATATACGATTATTCATTTTAATTAATTTGAAATTTTCTTTTCCAATAACAAAAACAAGCTAATTTTTTATTTTCTAAAGCCATTACAAATTTTGAAATTGCTTCCTATTTTTTCATTTCTTTTTGTAATGAAACCTCTCTATTTCTCTAAAACTTTTGTAATATTTTGAGAAACCTTGATTGATAATTGAATCTGTAAGTGAACACTTTTAAAAATGGGATAATGTTTCTTGATTTCTTATTTACAAGTTTGATTAGCAGATGTCTATAATGATGATTGATTCTTTTTTGCAAAATGAAAATCATTCTGCACAGAGTTTCTTTTTTCAATATTTCCAATTGCACCAGGTTATAATTTTGCAATTAATATAATGCTTCTCTAAATTGATTAGTATTTGAAATGTTAATTTACAAGGTACCTTTTTCGTCATCCTTTTCTGACAATAACTTGATATTGTTTCGATTGGCTATTTTGAAGTTTTTGATTTTAAAAAAGGCGTAGTTTCTTAAATTATACAATTTTTGAACAATCCTTCGATCTATGATCTTAATTAGAGATTTTAATCTCTCTTCTTTCTGAAGTTGCTTTTTTTGAAGTAAAGAAACTAACTGTTCCATCTTAAATGAAATAAATTTATTTTATTGTAAAGTAGTATTACATAAATCAATAATACAATATATTAGATTATAAATATAATTAAATTCACACTTCTGACGTTATTAACTTAGTGAATTAAAAGGCTCAATTCAATCGAAAACTATTGAATCAAATAGTGGATTTAATCTAAACTATTATTAATTATACCTTGTGTCAATATATTTCATATTTATAAATACTTTCTTTATTATAAACAATGATTGCTTTATCTTAGCGTTAGAGTTTATTATAAAGTACCCTTCTACCTTGTGACCTATTATATGTGAATCTTTCCTTCAAACAAATATTTTGATTTAATTGAAATTAATGTATTGAATTAAAATTAAGCCTATTTGAATGCCCTTTTTGGATGGGTATTAATTGTCGATATCACACAACTTCAAAATAATTACAGATCTATTTATTTCAAGGAATTAATATATGTATATTAAAATTTATTTAATTTTATAATTTCTATGTAAATGTGTTCTTAATAATAAAAATATAGACAAAAAAATTTATATATCTTATCTCATTAATTTCACATTGTTGCATTCTCATTTCTGGGTGATTGCCACCGTTTTAGAGTAAAATAATATATTTTGGAATATATGAATGAGATAGTAAGAGATTGATAGTTTAATTTAAATTGATAATAAAAGTCTGTTGAATATTTAATATTAACTATATTGAAATGAAATCAATTCAATGTGCAAATCATAAATAAGATATTATCTATTATTGTAATGATCAACATTGCGAAAATAGATGCCTTTGTGCGCAATGTGAGCACGAACACGAGAAAACCACAGTTCAAAGTTTATTAGAAGGCTACAACATAAAAGAACTGGTCTAAACTTTCTAAAGTTTTAAATTTATCATTAACGATTTGATGACAAAGATGGAGCACGAATTAAGCTAACATCTTCAATAAATTAAATAACCTCAAACAAATGCTTAAAATTTAGAATAATTGAATAAATAATTAAGTGAAATCTCGAATATCCAAAATACTTTATAAAACAAAGTAAAAAACAGGCTCTAGCATATTATCAATGCATTGAAGGGGTAGGATTTAGATTAAAGTCCCCTTACTATAATAGATACTCGAAAAAAAGAACATTCTAAATCAATCGTTCTCAGTTAGGCCCAATTATAATAGGATATGATTAAGAAAACTAAATAGTCAAAAATATTTAAGATGAACCCTGCTTAATCCAATCAGCAAGAAACCTAGTAGTTAGTTCAATAACCAAATTTAAATTTGGATAGAGTTGAAGTAGCAAGATTACAATAATTGAGTACTTAAGATTGGGCTTGGAAAATGACTTCATCTACTGTGTTTTGCTGTATATTTTCATCGTTAAGAGACTTAAAGATCATAGGATTTTTGTAGCCTTGCTTATTTAAAAGTAGTACCAAAAATTACCAAAAAAAATCTGCAGTTATCAATTTCGGTATTTACAATAAAAAAAACTTGACTAAATAAGCAATACATCAAGAAAAATACACATTGCGACATAGTAAAATGAAGATAGTCAATGATTGTTATGAATTGATGTTAAGTAAGCCAGTTAACATAAAAGAATTCACGGAATATTCAATTGCAATTTGGCCTAGCAAAGTTTTATATTGTCACTATTTCAGTATTGCTGCTCCAATCAATCCCTTCATCGCATTTCAAACTTAAGATTTCAATGACAACCCTAAAATAAAAAGATCGGAAGAATTCCCTTAGGTTATATCAACTTTTCGTGCAGGTTTAGTACCATATTTAATAATTGATCCAAGATAATAATGAATGACTTTGCAATTTAAGTCTTTTAAAATATTAATATCAGAATTATATAAATATAATTATTAAATTCAATCATTAACACCTTTACCAATAATTTTTAAGGTGTCTTAAATAGTCTTGATGACACTGCTTAAATTGTCTATAATTTAGTTTTGTTGATTAAATCTTTAATTCATTTCTTCTTTCAAGTTGTAAGCCACATGATTGAATTCATCAATAGTTTTGACATGGAAATCTTGATTATTCTTTCGTTGTCTTTGAATTTCTTGATCAGTGTGATCTCTTAACTCTTTGCTTTAGAGAATTCTCTCTGATTTTTCATTACTCAGTTTTTCATTTAATTGATAAGCTTCATCATCTAATTTTCTTAAGATCTCCTTCTCTCTTTCAACTCTAGTATTTTTTTCTGTTTCATAATGCTCAAATAAAGCTACGATTGGTAATTAAATATACTGGTTAATTATTTTCTGATTTCCCTAAGGTTTTCATCGGATTATCTCATTCTTTCTTATTTTTCTTCTTCCAATTTTTGAGTTAGATCCTTGAGATAAGCATTTGCATCAACAATCCTTTAATCCGTTTAATGCGCAAATGTTTCATGTTGAGTTTGCAATTTTTAATTAGTCTAATTGAGCACTTGGGTGAATTTGGAATCATAGGCGATTAGAGTATTATTTATTCTTTCCCCTTCTTAAGTGATGAATTCTCGGGTATTTTGTATTTTCCTAAGAATATATATGAGAAGAACCTATGTACATCAAGAAATTTAGCTTCCAGTTATTTTTTTGCCTCTTCTCTATTTCTTTTCATATCTTCGAAATCATTTGCCAAGTCACCCATCTGCTTCTCAAGTAGAGTGAGTTTTTCGTTGTCTTTGGGCAATTGTTTGTAAGGTTTTTGAGTCAAAGGACCTGTAGCTTATAAATTAGCTTAAGTTTATTACATAAATTAAATTAATAAACTTTTTGACAAGAATTAACAAGTAACATATTTATCAATGCTAAAAATTTTATCTTCGTTTGATTACGACAGATTTTGGATTGACACTACCTCTGACAGTGTTGGATTCATCTAATTGAGTTTTGATTCTTTAAGTTAGGCAATCGATTCTATTCTCACGAATTCTATCATATTTTCTTTCTGATTTCGGATCTTAGTGATTTAGTTTGATCTTTAATTTAGGCACTTCCATCAAGCGCAATGGCTACATCCTATAGATAGTTTAAGGCTTCAAGACACTGCCATTCGAACTATTGACGATACTGGTTTTGGTGACTAAATTATGAGTGGTTGTGCTCTGAGCATTCGAAGCTTGAGTTGAAGGATTGATATTGTGGTTGAAGAAATGAGAGTTGGCGGCAACGACCCTGTGATTCGTAATGGTAGTTGCTCCACTATTGTTTTGTACATTGACCTAATGACTTTAGGTCTGGATATTGATATTCGAGTTAGCATGAGTACTGCATCCCGTGCTGAAATTGTTAGTAATGAGATTGCTGGCTTTTCTGGGAGTTCCTATCTAGAGATTTAGGTGTTTCTTCATATTCCCTATGTAGACTGTTCTGGAGGAGGTATTTTCCCTGATTATAGTTTCCTTTTGTTTTATTAGTTCCTTTTGTTATATAAAGGTAGAAAATTGCATGGCTTTGGTTAGATCTTATTCGACAAGAGATTGAGTGAATTGTTTTTGCCAATCTTTCTCAAGAGCTCTATCCGCCTCAACGTTCTTGAGCAATTACAAAATGGTTGTAGATTTTTGGGTTTCATTCAATTCTTTCAAGAAACAGGACAATTCTTATTTGATTAGGGGAGTGCTCTTCTTCTTACTTTTATTGGGACTCCTCCCCTTCCCCTCCTTCTTAGCCTCAATTTCTATTTGCTTTATTGCCCACTGATATTCGACCTGAGATCTACTACTGATGTATTTTAGAATGATGGCTTTTAATTCCAGAAAGTATAACATGGGATGATCAACACTAAACTGATAAGTTAGTAGATATGGTTACTTTATAATATTGTATAAGTTATTTTAGTTGAAGCTGGCAATTAGGCATATTATAGAACTGTCTGAGATATTCATCCTCAGTGTCCAAAATCTTCTAATCCTCCACTTTCATATAGACGGTGTGTTTCTCCTTCTTTATGATTTGGTTGATTGGTCGAGAAAAAAAATAATTTTGGCTCTGGCCATGTTTATAGTAGAGACTGAGATTCATTGTTTAAATAAGATTTCCCCTCCTAGAGATCTGATCAATCGAGGCATACAAGCATTCACGTGTATGCATGCAGAATCTGCATTTGTGATTTTACATTAATTATAATTCATTATTATTTCACTCGATTGATCAAATTAAATTTATATATATAAATAAATTATGCAATTGTCTCCTATTGATTTGGACTATTTGCACTAAGAGAGCATCGGGGGAGTCATTGCCGATGGTCTAACAGTGCTCTACAATACACAACCTGAAAAACCTATCGAATTTTTAGCCAAATGGCTATTATAATATTGTAAAACTTCCACTCAGAAAACTCACTTCCAAGATGATGTATGATAATCTTCACTTAATAGTTAACAGCTCTAGAAGAAAGAATAAAACATTTAGAATTTTATCCAATAGCAAAAGTAAGAGAAGGAGAGATTGGAAGAATTGCTTTAATTCAATTAAAAAACAATGGAACAAGAACTCAATTACATCGAGTATCTAAGAAACCATCCCTATCATTAGGAGTTGATTATTCAGGAGTTTCCAGAATTTCTGATGAAGAAATTTGTAAGAATCCCCTCTTATTATTTCAAATTAGAATTTGGCTGGTGTGTACATCTGCTATTTCACCCATCAGAAACAAGTAGTCGACATTGATTTGGTAGATGATGAAAACGCATTTATAAATCAAAAGGCACCTAAACTATTGAAATATGTAGGAACCTCTGTAAATCAAAATTTCCTTCTCCATCAAAACTTAACTGAATAAGCTATCATAACATATGAAGTACTCAAACCCCCTCCTCCTCCTGAAGAAGGCAAGGCTCCAGAAGTGTACAAGGGAATCTACATACCCGATGTTGTCAAAGAGCCAAAAGTTTATTTTCATAGATTCCCCAAGTTGGGATGCTATTTTGCCATTCCCATGAATTTTGAAACTTCTCTTTTTGAAGTAATCATATCCTCATAAATCATAGGATGCATTTGACGCAGGTTTGGTGAATAGGATAAAATACAATTCTGAGGTGGAGACCCAAAAGTCAGAGATTAAGGCAAAGGAATTAGAACATGCAGAATAATTACAAAATGCCGAAAGTGAAGATCAGAAACAGTAATTGGAGGACGAACATCAAAATTATTTGTCTTCGTTGCCACAACTTGTAGAGCCACCTTTTTTGGGCATCCAATAATAATACATTGTATGTGGTGATACATTAGGATAAGACAGAAAATTGTCACAGGAAGAACGCAATCAATTATACGATATGATTCAATAGTTTGGTCAAAGTTATCAAGAGAAGGAGATAGCCTTGTTGTCAGAGGATATCAATTAATAAATTGAATATCAAAATACTATTCCTGAGAAGTTGGAGGAGAATTATCTGGATCAAGAGAATCAATTTGTGGAGTAGTAAGCTGTCAATTTAGAGGAATTGAAGTAGACTAATGATCGGGATTATAGTTATGAAATAGAGTGTATTAAATTTGATTTTCTGAAGTAACAATTTACTGCCAAAGATTTTGCCTCTACTTTTCTTAATCTAACGAAGAGGAGGGTCATCAAATTCCCAAACATCATTAAAGCGTTATTTTATTTGTTAGGTTACAAAAAGGAGGAAATCACATTGGAAAATAAATTGAATTGGAAGATTGTGGCTTCCTAGATTGATTACAGATTCTTAGCCAAATTAGCTCTCATTAATCACAGGGGACCCAAAGAAGCCCCACTTCAACATGCTACTATATATAGATTGGAAAAATTGGTGGATGTGTATGATGAGGAGAAAGTTGCAAATTACAATTGGGCTTTGGGGTACTTACAAAGATTTCTCACTTTGTATTGTAAGTTGAGAAGGGAGGACGTTGCAATCAGAAAAGAAATCCTACAGGAGAAGAGAGGCCAATTATAGGCTGCCAAAGAATTGTTAGCCTAATTATTAGTATGACATTTATGAAATGACAATAGGAATAAAAAGAGACAGATTTGCAGGCAGCTAAGGCCAACTTCTAAGGGGAGGAGGGTGAAGAATTTGATGAACAGAAATGGATTGAAGAATGGGAATCTGAACATAATCTTCCTGAAATTGGTGATGAACCATAGGATGAAATTGATGATGACTTAGAATGATCCTCATAAATTAGAAATAAAATTATATATAGAGAAATATGAAAAATTCTCAAACAACTCCTGTACGTCGATCCATCACTATGCAATCCAGATTGTTGCAGAAAAGCGAAAGAACTCTTCTGCCTTAAGAAGATATCTTGAAGGAGAAGGTGAAATCGGATTTTGCTCTGGGGCATTTTAGAGGATTGATGAGTAGGAAGACACCTTAAAAGGAGTTGCCAAAAACTGAGATTTAGTTGAAGAGATTCGAGCAATTTGGAAAAGCTAATTAGCAATCCAAGAATAAAAGATTGACATTCTTAAAATATGGATTCAGATCGCATGAAAAGAAAAATAATTATTATCTTCAACCCTTCATTCGAAAGGTTAGGGAAGCTGAAGGAGATGTCGCCAATGATGGGTCCATGGGAGTAGTCGATCTGTGGAGTGATAGATGCATAAATAAATTGATGGAAGGGATGCACATGACTAGAGACAATCTAATCGTCAGAAAAATGGGGAGAGAACTAAATGACAGTGATTAGTAGATGAAGCAAAAATTAGAAGAGAGGAGGTTGAAGGACAAGATCCTCATTGAGTCTATGAGAATGGCTTCACAAGATGCTGATACCTTTGCTTTTAAATTTCAATTGCCTTCGAAAAACAAAAAAATTGTTGAGCGTATTGCTTAACCAACTATTGTTAGCACACTCAGAAACAATATCAGTCCGAATGAAAAAATATCCTCCATTGTTGATAACATTGACAATTTACATTAAGATTATTTGGAAATTTATACTGATTTATATAGTAAAATCAGGAGCTTATAAAAATTCATCAAATGATATCTTTTAATTCAATCTTATATTATAATACTTTGGGTCTAAAACCAATTATTCCCAATTGTTTCAGTTTCTCTGTTTCAGACGAATTCATAGGCACTCTCTGTTGATACAGAAAATCAGAAATGTGCTTGGCCATTCTAATAGGTTCATCCTCATGAATATTGTGTCCTGACTTTTCAAACAAATGGATTGGATATCTCGATTTGAGGAACTGATCTGTTGGTATCCTGTCACTTTCAGCTATGAACAGCATTTTTTAATAAGGGAAGGTGTCGAATCCATTTTAGATTCCTTCGAACCATTATTCCCAATATTGCTTTGTTCCTATGAGATCTACCTTCCATTCCAATTTGTCATTTAAGTAATGAGGAACTGTTATTTAAGCTGAAATGGGGTTCCGTATTAAATTATTATATAAATGATAATTTATGGCACTCGAATACGAACTGAACAGACTAGGCCTTTTTCTTAATTGATAGTCCATTATTTAGATGCTTTCGATGGCTTTACTTTCAATCATGTCAATTACGATTAACCCTCTGATATATGATTAATGTTTTATTTTAGATGCTATTGCTGCACCCAAACTATGCCCAAGCAATATTATATTTGTGTTAGGACATTTGATCCTGATGAATTCAATAACTGCCTCGCATTCTGATAACAAATTCTTCATCGTGAGAGCTTCCTTTCTCTAAGATAAGCCATGAGAAATAATATCATATGAGAAACAACTACAAAAAGTTTTGAGTTCTTGTATAAGCAAAGCAAAGGTCATTGCGCAATGTCCCGCTCCATGTATTAATAATATAATTGGCTCTGATTTCGCCACCCAATAGATAGGCGTACCCTAAAATGTAAAGTGTATTTTGAAACATTGTGAATGACCAAGTTTTCGTAATATTAGTTCCAATTCTGATTATCCTTATATTCATTTCTGAATTAGCCATTTAATGTTTCATGAGATTGCGAGAGTATCGATTGTGGTTGTGCATTCATTTGGAGAAATATTATAATAATTAAATAATTCTCGTAAAATTAATAAAATAATTATTTATGATTAAAAAATTATCATATTTCACCTATGAATCCCTTCCTGTTTATACCATGGTGACCTCATTAGTGCTGGATGGCAATGTATTGTAATTCTTCTTGGTGAATGTAATGAGTTTGAAATGAATTAGAGCCTACATTTGCGATTACAGATCAAAATCATATGATGGCATTTAGCAAGTTTGCAAAAGCAAAATTCGCCTTGCAATTGAGGTTGTCAGCAGAAATCGATTAAAGCGACGAGACCCTGAAAATCAAACGGTGGGCTAGTTTAGGTCTGACCTATGAAGAACTCTCTTAATTGCTCTATCCAGATTTGCTGCCTGGACAAGAATTTGCGATATGTAATTCGATTAACTATGTATTTGAATAGAATACAAATAAAAACAACTGTTTGGAAAGCTGTATGACAAGTATTTCAAATTAGTGTTCATCGAAAATGTGGATCAAGATAAACAAATGACTTACATAATAAATGCAGATCAGCATGGACAAATGAAAAAACAAATAGAAGTATGAAAACAATAGCATTTTAGAAATCATTGACATGGATAGCTGGTTGGCATCATCCAAAATAATTTATTAAATAATTAGAAGTATAAAAGCCAATAAATTGATTTGTTATTTTATTTTATCACAATATCAAAGTATTAGGAAATGTCCATTTACAAAATTATACTATTCGTTGTAATTTTAATGATAATCATTAGACCAATTAGTGCTTTGGTGTAAATGCCACACCAGCTGGATCTAGACTGCAGAGCACGATCTTATCTTCTCCAGGAGCTAGTTCGACTAAATAATTGTCTCCAATTTCTGGCTTCAAGAATTTAACGCCTTGCTTATTTGAAAGAACATTCTTCAATTTGAACGTTTTCTAAGAAGTGTTCTTATAATAGAAGTAGCCCAATCTATAAAACTAATAGAAACAACATAGTACCCTTTTGAAACAACTGTCTCCATAGCACAAAGCAATCCAGTGGTTAATTGCTATAAGTTTTTGTTTCCTCTGGCAACTTGTAACATAACAGCCTTTCTTAATTCAGCATCTCTAGGCACTTGTTTTGGTCTCAAGAATTCAGATCCATAGACACTGAATTAATATTCGTGTTCATTCCAAGTTGGAACAGCCCATTTAATTTTAATCTAAACTGAATACTTACCCTTAGTCAATTAACCTCCTAAGTGAACTTCAATGTCTTTTTGTTATTTTTGGTCAACGAACTCATATTCTCCTTTGCCTGAATTCTTAGCCAATAAGATTCTAACATAAGAATATTCGTATTTAATATCCTTGTTCAATTTGTATCTTCTCAAAGCTTCTTGATGAACTGTGAAATAGTATTCACCATCATTTGGAATATCAATATCATATTGAATAGTCTTAGTTCTTTTAGCCATTTATTTGATGGAGTTGTATAAATACTCCTTTCTGAAATAACCAACAAAAATGGCTTAGAAGTATCTCTAAAAATCTTTGATTTCCATGAAGAAGATGCCATCATCCTCCTTCTTACCGAATTTGACTTACTCTTTCAAAATCCTCTGTCCATAATGAACTTGCATCACTCCAATCACCATTCCATTCCTTATTTCCCCAAGGATTTCTAATTTTTAATAGAGTGACTTCTCCTTTGGTAGGATGATTCACATTATAAACCTTCAATAATGAATACGCATGTCCAGGTTCTAAACCAAAATTAGTATAATTTGGATTTGATCCAAAGGTACCACTAGTCATAACACACTTCATATCTGAACATTTTTGTAATTATTATTTGAAATCAGCAGCATTAGTAAATACAATCCAAGTGGGACCACCAGTGATACTCTTAATAACTTCTCTTGGATCACCACCCTCTATATCTGTGTAATCTATATTCATCTTAGCCCAAGCTTTTTCTAACAATGCAACCCACATTTCTGCACCTGCATTTTTAGAAAATGCTGGATTTCCCTATCCATTAACTGGAATAAAGTCATCCAACATCACAACCTTCCACTCACCATCTAAACACAATCTAATTGCATATAGTTTTTCATTATTTGCTCTCTGACTTATGAATAGATCCTTAATCACTTCAGGCCTATGAATAATAACAATTTAGATACCATCTGCAGGCTATAGTACTAATTGATGATAAAAAGTAACAATCTCCAAGAATTCCTTATTTAATATCTCTATGGGAGATCCACTTTCCTAATCCAACTCTACTGTCTTATGAATCATCTACATTAAACATCTTTAGGTTATTCTAAAAAATGTCACTCATTCGTTTCCAAGACAATTAACAAAACTTCATTCCGAGACTTCTTACTGATGCTGGGAAGTCTTTGTCAACAAATACTTGCTTTGACTTTCTTAGTTCCTCTCTCATTTGTACTAATTCTTTGGCGCCTGTAATATGTAAATCAATGTTTAAGAAATCAGCAAAATCAACCTCGTCATTTTTAACTTCTTGTTATTCAACATCTTCAACTGGAACTGGTTTAGGGGCAACAGCTTCTTCTTATTTCTTTTCTTCTATTTGTGGTCTTATTGTATATTTAATTTATTGTTATTATTGAGGATTTTTATTTTAATTATCCACTATTTATTCCCATTGTTAGAACAATTATCTCAAATGATCACATGAGAATTTCAGATTTCCAATTAACTTCTTAATAGATTGATATTCTTGAGGTGTAATTGAAGTGTGGAAAAACTCAATAAGTTCCTTAGCTTCTCTTTCCTCTAAGGACAGATCTCTGTTCTTATCAAAGAATTTGAATACTCTGTCTAATTCAAGTCGTTTTGCTCTGTAATTTTGAATTATTACAGTAATTGTTTACAAATCATCTTTTGATACCACTACTTCAACCTTTTCTTGTTTTTCTGTCAATTTTTCTAGGATTTCCACTGTCAACCCTACTAAGCTTTTGTGATCAATCAGAGCTTTCTAATAAAACCTATCGCAATCAGTGAGTGTAATTGAAGGGTCAATTTGTGTAATGAGTTTTCTAAAATGCACTTGTGCAAGAGTTGGTCGACCGAAATCTTGAACCACTTACTTAAATGGCTTTTTGATAGCCAATTTGTATAATGCTTACAAAACTTGATCATCAGATCCCATTAATATTAAAATAAATATCCTCACTAATAAATAACAACACTTGCTTAAATATTGAATTATATCAAATATTTATCTTTGATTTTCAAATAAGTTAAGTTAATTTATGGAATAATTATTTTATAAATACTCATCATAACGTATCTTTTATAATATGACAATTCATTCAAAGATTTTTAGTTGAATAAACATATATTTCATACTTCTTACTTTCATTAAATTATTATTAAAATGAAAAAAATAAATGGAGGAAAAAATAGCCATTTGAACCTGCAGTCCTAACCACTGAATTTAGAATTCAAAAGAGAAATCAAAGTACAAGAGCCATCTTATCTAGTTGCTGATCTGATTTAAAATAACTCTTAACTTAAAGAAATCAATGAATCAATCATTTTAACCAGAGTCAAATAAATTGAGACTGAAATTTATTCAAGTACATAAAGTTAATGTTCATTTATATAGCAGCAAAATCGTAAAAGTTATTGTCCTATTTAAAGACATAAATTTAAATAATTATATAAATACTGCTTAAGAATTAAAAAAGTAAGAACTTGCAACTAAATCTATCTTCAAATTATTAGAAATGAAGAATAAACTAACTCTATAAAAGTCAGAATACGACCCTCTGATACCAAATAAATTAGATCGCAAGAAACATTTATGGTCACCGACAAAATTACCATCCTGAAATCGAAAAGCCAGAACGCCTGATGCAAATGGGAACTTTGCTGCCAAACCAACTATGGTGTTTGCAGACTTCTTGCAAACTAAAGAATCAGCCCAATAATACAAAGTTAAGATCTAAAAAAATGAAGAGGATGAAGACGAAATAGACATAAGAATCTTTGATGGAATGCAAGGAGCTGCAGTAATCGGAGTCTATTGCTCTAAATAAATTACTCTATATGATAGCAAAGATGAAATACTAGTTGTTCTTTTAGTTCAATTTCCCCCTCCTTACAGGATGTTATGTGATAAGATTGATTTTTCAAAACAACATAATGCCAAAGAAACAATTCATTTTTTATCTTCGAATATAGACAGAAAGATAGAGCCTGAGGGAATTGAGTGAAAAAATATTAGCTTAAAGTTCGATAAGGAAAATGCTTCTTTTTTAATCTTACATAAAAGTCAATTAGAATAAATTTTAAAAGCAAGAAAATAGAGTCTAGCATTTGATGCTTCGGATATGATAATAAAGGAGTGGGCAAAGCAGTAATCTTATTTGGAATGGTGGGGATTGAACAAACAGGATCATAATCTACATTTTCTGATTACATGCAAAAGTGTCACAGATTCAAGTGATCAAATTTATGAGAAAGTGATACTGTAAAAGCCTTCATGCAATCTTAAAATTTATTAAACTATTAATTCATTAAAATATAAGAAGGAAAACGATGATTTGTTGAAGGCATTCCTCCAGACAAATTTAACCCAGATTTCATTCGGATTACTTGCAGATATGTTATAAGAACCCTAAAAAAATTAACTAGTTGAATTGGAAGTTCAGGAGGACATCGAGAGTATTCAAGTAGATAATGAACCGAATGGCATTAGAACAACTATGAGGAAAAACCAGAAACCAATAAGAAAAGTGAATAGGACAATAAATAAATAATTTTTCAATATTAAAATTTTAGATCTAACTCTGTAACTAATTAAGGATGACTATTTCTGACATTTTGATCACATATAAGTGAACAATAATTAAATATTATCTAATTATAAATATTTTAATAAATTTTATTGAATGACTAAATCCCACTTACTAATACTCAATGTATTTTAAGTCACAACTATTAGTCATAGAGTGAATACTATTATTAGCTAGGCAGGCTTAGTCTTAATATTCTGCTTGCCTTTGTTATAATAGTGACAACCACTAATAAATTTAATGAAATGTAATATAAAATTTGTCCAATGTCATTAAGCAGAATGAACAGAGTAGAATTCTTAAACTCTTTTTAATATATTTTACTCTTATGTCAATCATAACATATGATGTAGAAATGTTTATGGTGGAGATTATTTTTTTTTTTACATAAACAAAATTATATTAATTCAATTTGAAAAATTGAAGGAAAACTTGATTTCTATTTAGACATCTTAAAACAGCTTCTAATTTATTCTTATCATTTAAATAATAGAGGGCAAACAACTAGAATCTTAATAATAAGATCAGTATCCTTCTAAATGATTTTGATTAATAATTAATGAATGCAGATCAAGCATGTGAGTAAGTAGGTTGGAGTCTTTATATATTTTTCTGATCAAGAGATTATTGATTACTTTGTACAATTCAGAATGAACTTATTGATTCGATTACCTTACTATGTTGAGAAAAGTTAACTCTTCAGGAGGAATAGCAGCAAATTTATATGATTTGCAAAAATCCCTCTAATCGAATGTAGAGTGGATATTTAAAGGTGCAGATAATTTGGAAAAATAACAAAAGTCATAAATGATTTGAATTTAATGAAACTAGCCAATGTATAAGAATTAGCATATCAGACAGCCAGATAAGAAGCTAATAATGAATTGTTGTAAGTATTATCCTTAATTTAATATTAAAACCATTTTAAACCTTAACTTTAATAAGTTATAAGGCTCCCTCATTATAAAATTATATGATCGGAAATCAATTAGGGGTAAATGATAGTGATAATCAAAACAGTATTAGAAGCAAATGTAGTTCTAGAAAGAAGGAGAGAATAAGGATATATTAAAGACGCAAAAAACAAATTAATAATAAAGCAAAACAAAAAAATTAAAGAGAATAAAAGTTACGATTATAGAAACAGAGATAAAAGAAGTAAAGATCTAGGTCAAAGAAGAAGCAATTAAAGAATAGAAAAATTAATAAAATTAAATATTACAGAGAAGATAAATACCAAAAAACTTCAGAATTTGTTGTTGAAAATAGGGTACTAATAGATTATGGATAAGGATTAAAGATATTAAAAGAAAAAAAGAATTAAAGAGAAAAAAGAGAAAGGGATAGCGAAAAAGAATTAAGATTATCATAAAAGCAACAAGAAAAAGAGAAGGATAGTTAAGTAAAGAAAATTTTAAAAGAGAAGAAGTTCTTCCTTACCACTATAATCCCATTATTATGAGTAATAGTTACAAGATTTTGAATTAGAAGAATCATATAAGTTATCAAAGTAGTCGGACTAAGCAGATATAGGAGTTTTTGTATTTTTTGGACTACCCTAAACCGACTTATTAATAATTTCAACCCCTAATTTATGCAGTTTTAATTAAGTAAACTGAATAGGTAGAGCCTACGATATAGAGTGATTCTTAATAATAAAACAACTTAAATCGAGCAACTCCAAAAAAAGTATACTGGTTTTGAAATAGCAAAAAAACCTAATTTTGCCAAAAAAGTTGAATATAAAAAAATAAATATTTTTAGGGTTCAATGAGGATTATAAAGATGCCTGCTATATTTATAGAACACAGAAGTAGTCAACAAAGATAAACAACAAAGTCATCATTTATCTAAAAATCTAAGCAAGTATTTTATAATTAAATATTCAAAAGTGTAGCCGATAGTCAATGACGAATAGTACTAAAAAACAAATGAGAATTAAATTAAAGTCGAAATAATAACATATATTTTACATTTTATTTTAGTTTCATAACATTTCAAAACAAATTTTCTTAAATACTTTTTTGGTTTTATTAATTTATATAAACTCTAACTACACACTCAATTTTAATCAATATGAAGGAAAGCAAATATCAAGAATGCCAGTTTGAAGGTGATTCCAATGCTAGATTGTTACCTTAAGCAATCGATCACATTGACAAAAATTACTCTTTAGAAAATGATATGGTGTTAGGATGGGTTCCTGCTTATTATCAAGAAGAGATAATAAATTTACAGTTCTCAAATGAGTTGAATGATTTAGTAATTGAATTTTAGCAACAGAAAGACCCAAATAAGATAGTTTATTTAGGGTAGAGACCAAATGATGCAATGTAATTTCATAATTAAATCTCAGCATAATCTAATTATGCGTTCAAAAATAATAAAAGTAAAAAAATCAAGAATAATAAAAATTAATATTTATTTGTAGGAATGAATCCAAATATTGATTCTTAAATAAAATTCAATTCATAATTTGAAAGTGGAAATTTAGATTTAGTAATCTGGAAATCAGAATCTGAATATGATTTATATATGAGGGTTGATACAAATACGAATGGTCATACACTTTGGTATTATTTTGAAGTCACTGGTTTGAAGAATTAAGAGTAAATTACATTTAACATTTGCAATTTTCGTAAAAAGAAGTGCTTATATGAACGTGGAATGAAACCATATGTCTAAAGAGAATCTTAAGAGTGGTAGTAAGAAGGTGAGAATGTAAAATATGGGAGTTATAAATGTTAATTTAAAGATATAAAAAAATAATATTATTGTCTGACATTTACTTTAATGAATAAATAAGGGGATGACACACTAAAGATAGCCTATTGTATACCATATACATTTAGTAAATTAAATACGTTTATAAAAACCTTAAATTCACAATATATGGAATAATCATACTTTTGTTGCACATTAAGTGGTGTTTAAGTGCCAAAACTAACATTCTCTAAGGGTGGCATTTTAAAGAAGAAAGTGATTGTAATATAAGCAAGAATACACCCTGGAGAATCGAATTCCTCATGGGTTATGTAAGGTTTATTAGAGCATTTGAGCTCAGGTAAAGGCGAGAAATTGTTAGACTAGTAAATTAATAACATAATATATAAGGTTAGTCTTTGTGATAGTTCCGATGATGAATGTTGATGGTGTAATCTTTGGTAATTATAGGACTGGTTGTGCAGGGAGAGATTTGAATAGGTAATTTAGAGATAGCAACAAGAAATTGTATCCAACAGTTTATGCAATGAAGCATATGATGTCAGATTTGTATCAAATATATGGAGATCAAATAGTTGCTTTTATTGATATACACGGACATTCTGGTATGTAATATATTTTTATTAGAGCCAAAAAGAATGCATTTCTATATGGACCTGAATTTTAATTGTGGAATTGTAATTATTATAAATCAAGATTATTTGCTAAAATTTTATCTCTTAAAACTCAAATTTTTCGTTATTATTCATGTCTATTTAGAATAAATGAATGCAAAATAAATACTGCTAGAGCTGTATTTTGTGAGAAATATTAATTTATTAATTGTTTTACATTGGAGGTGTCAAACAGTAGTTATTATTATGATTAAATTACAGTTGATTTTACTGAATAGAAACTGATTGAGTTAGGTTAAATAATTGCTGAGTCATTTAATGACTTTATAATTCATTTTTAAGAAATAGATGAATTATTTAGTGATTTTAAGGAAAAGAAAACAAAAAGATAAACTAAAAAAAAAGGTAATAATTAATAAAATGAAGAAAATTAATTAAATCTATAGATAATTTGTTAAAATTCGAAGTATTCTAAATTATTTGAAGAGATGAAAAATGATTAACCTGATTTATCCTTTTCAGAAGGAGAGTCTGATAGTGAAAGGGAATCAGATGATTTAGATGATGAAGTATTAAAGAATGTTGTCTTGACATAAAATCAATAAAAATAAATCAAAAATTCTAAAAAGTTATAAAAATTAAATGATCTGAAAAAGAAATCCATCAGAGGTGATAATAATAATCCAACAGTAGCAAAAAATACTGTGCTATTAAGTAGATAATCATTTTTAGAAGATCAACCTAATAATATTATTTAATATACTTAAAATTACAGCATCAATAGAAGAACAAAGCAAAAATAATATAAATAAGATGACATAATTAAAGATAATTCCCTCCCCACAAAATATAGAATAAAATCTAACAATACTCAACATTTTAGAGGTACAACCGTAGGTAGCTTTTAATCAAATGTGGAATAAATGAGTAACCAAGAGAAAAATAAATCTCCGATTAAACTGAAAGTCTTAATACAAGATGCTTAATTGAAAGAGAAGCCAGAATTAAACTGTGAAATTAACGAGGAAAATATGGCTGATAAGGTGTTTTATCCATACATCAAAAAATAACAATAAAACCAGAAAAATAATACTAATATCCAATTTGCTGGTGATCCCTACTCTCCTACAAGAGATTTGATTTTTCTTAATGAATTCAATGACAAAGAAATTTTTTATACTCACCTTCCAACTGATTAAAGTTATAATTAGAATATTTCTGCCATTTATAATAAATTAAATAAGAACTTCTAACCTTCTCATATTTAAAGATACAATAAAATACAAAAGTTTTAGACAACTTAAAATCCTTCAATTAATTTAAGAAACACTTTACAGATGTCAAAGTTAGGAGCAACTGAAAATTCTTATGGGGTTAGTATAAAACCAAAACTCTTTGCCTCACTTTAAGTAGATGAAGCAATAGAAGGTTAGACAGAACAATGCAAAAGTGCAATGAATTAATATTAGAGTACTTCAATACCTTAGAAGCAGTAAAAACAATTTATGCAATCTTCATTTTATTAGATTTAAAAAAATTACAATAACGCAAAAGGTATGCAATAATACCTTTTTTTGAATAATTGAAATACTAATATATCTTTTTGTTTGTAATAAAAATTTTGATAAATATTAATTGGGTCACATTTTAGAAAAAAACTTCTTTTCCTAATTTATTCTTTCCAAAGAAGGTTTTAACCCAGAAGCCTTATAAAAATTTTGTTTCTAACCTAACATTTACCGAGATCTAGGATTATTCTTAACCGATTAAATTAATGGAACAATATCCTAGGATTTTGCGGACCTAAATTAATCAATCATAAGAATTACCTTCCTTAACTATGATATGAGGCAACGCAAGGAGTATTTGGTTATTAATTTATATGTTAAATCCATTCTTTGTAAACTGATTTTGTTTGGGCTTCTTGGGGAGATTCGTAATAAAAAGAAGAACCAAATATAACAGGTAAATTCAGAGATTTGCCTTGTGCTATTTTTTTTCTAAAATCCTATTCTCCTCTTTGAGATTCTTTTTCATCTAAATTCATTTTTAAAGGATCAGGTTTGAATGGAGGTTTGATTTTTTTAAGTGCTAATTATTTAAAATCAATAGATGAAAAAAAGGGATGCTTTAAAATTTCCTATACTCCTCCACTCTAACCCATTCTCTTAGTTGGATCTTTTTCAAGCAGAGCCATTAATAAATTTTTGACTTCTCTAGACAAGGACAGCTAGGAGTATATTAAAATACTTACATCATTAGGAAATGTCAATTTAGAGTATAAAATGTCTTAGTAAATTTGGTTAGTATTTGTTGAATAGTAGGGAGGTAATCCTGTTAGTAGTTCATAGAGTAAGGCTCCTAAACAATAAAAGTCGACCGTTTAGGAATGGCCAAGCTTTAATAACATTTCTGGAGCCATGTATTCAGGGGATCCACAAAAGCTATATGCTTTTTCTTCTCTTCCGATTTCAGGTTTGCTTAAACCAAAATCTGCAATTCTAACATGTCCTTCTATGTCCATTAATATATTTTCAGGCTTTATATCTCTGTATAAAATGTTGAGAGAATGAATCTCTTGTAAGCCCTCATTATAACAATTAATCAGATACCAGACAAATTTCTGAGATGTAAAAACAAGCTTATTCTTCGCTCATTCTTTTAATCTACTTTAGTTGAAAAAAGAGTTCTCCCCCTTGACAGAATTCCAATACAAAAACTACAAACTACCTTGATTCAAATGCGTATGATAAATGTAATAAAAAAGGACTATTAAGTAGTGTCATTATGTTTCTTTCATTCAAAACTATTTACTGTTTCTTTTTTGCAATGATAAACTCTTTATCAATTAATTTCAAGGCATAGAATTTTCCGGTATCCTTTTTCCTGACTAGATAAACTAATGAAAAGCCTCCTACTCCAATATTTTTAAGGAATATAAAGTCTTTCAAACCAACTTTGGGTTCAGGAGATGACTATAATAAGAATGCTTCCAATTTCAGTCCTGAATCCATGAAAACATTAAAGGATAAGTCTGGTTATGCGATGTAATAATCTATAGAGATTGAATGTTATTAAGATACAAAACTAACTATTTAATTAACTGATGGTTTATCTTTAAGATTAGCATAACATTCTTGCGGATTAGCAAATTCTAAATCGTGTAATCTTTGCAAAATTTGAAACCAAATCTATCGCATATTAAGACTAAAGACATATAACTATAGAGATACTGAGAGTCAAAATAAAAATAGAAGTCTTGATTTCCAAACCTGACAACTACGTTGTGATGTTTAACTTATTGCATTTATTCATCAGGGCCTAAACTTTTGGCTTTGCCTAAAATGGATGCAGGGTTTCCCATGTCAGTTTTAATGGTTCTTTTGACTGATTCCATGCCTTCGATAGTGACAGATTATGCAGAACGCTTTTATTGTCCACCTTAATTGTTAACGAAATTGGCATTGATGAAGAACTTATTTTGTTATGCAATAGAGTTCTGCGTAGATCTTTGTGTCTATTTGCTCAATTGTTATTTCATTCGAATATCATTCTTTTTCTGTTTGTATAAGTAAAACTTTTCTAATGCATTATCTGGTATTTAATCAATTGATTGCTATTTATTTTGCGATGTCTTCCGATGACTGGGAGTTGTGTGCAACTGATTCATCTAACTCTTCCTAGAGAAGGAATCTTGGGATCCAATTCGTAATACACCTTGATGTTGCATGTTAAATTTGTAGTTTAATTTAATAAATTTGAGAAATACAATATAAAAAAATCGATTGTTTTCAATCCGAGTAAAGAAAATTTTCAAATATTTTATAAAATTCAAGCAATAGTTTTCGACATTTGAACTTTTTATTTGAAATTTGGAATGGAGTGATTAGAGTTTCCAAACTCAGGTTTTGAAGTTTAATAATGGGTCCACATAAATTAAAAGTCGAAAATCTCACCACTCGAATCGATCAGGGATGAAGATACAAATCGGACAAGGGTGAACATCTCAAAATTGATAATTTAATTATGAAGATAATATATGTATTTATGTGGGGTTTGGATGAAATCAAAGAAATGTTCAGGGACTTTCGTGATTATGAGAGATGGTTTGACGGTAAGAGTTGGTGATAAAAGTGAATGGGGGAATATCTTATTTAATTATAATAAAATAACAATTCAGCAATCGGATATCTACTCTTTTTTTGACAATGAGGATACACTTTCCATTGATCTGTTTGTGGAACTTTTAGCTAAGAATTCATCAGCCATCTTATTCCAGAAGCATGCCGATTTTATTACTACTCTATCTACTATTGATATTTTTTTGGGAATAATGAGGATTGCGGTGGGATCTGTTATTGTTGTGTTGAGTCTCTACTACCAGAAGTTTAAAGAATTCTCGATTATATTGTCCATAGACGCAATTTATTTCTATAATTTTATTATTATAATTAATACCTAATGTGTTAAGATTAATGAATTTTAAAATTCTAGAACGAATATATTAATACATAGTTAAAATACTAAGAATACAATTTAAACCAGATTTTATTTCAATTTGTGGTATACATTAATTTGCTTTTCATAATTTCCAATATTTAAATAATAATTAATATTTATTTTATTATTTATAATTGCTAATGATGAGACATTTGATTAAGTGACATTCATGATCTTTGATCTAATCTTCTCGCTGAATTTCGAAGTGACTAATTTGCATATATAATAATTTTATATATATATAATTATTAACAATGGAATAATAGCCACTTAGCAATAATAGAGTAAAATCACATCTAACTTAAAAAGCAATCAAATTTGGAGGGCGATTAATTAACCTAAAAAAGAGAATTGACATCCTACGAGTCCTGCCTCGATTGTTGTGGAAATGTGTCAGGATGTTTGAGAGTATAGCCAACAATTAATTTAAGGCTTGGCTCCCTTGCATATTTTGTTGTTGCGATAACCCCTTCTACGCAGTCCAATAGAGTTCGGTGGGACTAGTCGAGAAGTTCGGAAAATATCACAGAAGCTTACCACCAGGTCTAAATTAAATCAACCCTTGTACCGTAATTTATTGAAATCTATTGTGAAAGGATACCGTGTTACCAGTGGACTTGAGAACAAGAGTATTGGATTTAGATCGACAGATCATCCTAACCAAGGATAACATATAAGTTAATATCGATACATGCATGTACTTTAGAGTTGTCGGTACGTAACTGATATTCAAACATACTCCATAGACCCAGTGCGTGCAACTTATAGGGTTTCAAGATTGACCTAGTCTGTGAAGGACATGACATATGCAGCATTGAGACAAGTTTGCGGAGAACACCAATTGCAAGATCTCTTGGAACATCGAGAAATGGTTCAAGATTCCATCGAAGCCTATTTAGACAAGCAAACAGAACAATGGGGAATTTACATAGAAGAGGTCTTCATCAAGGACATGGTTCTAACTCCATAAATGCAATCCGATTTGGCAGCTGCAGCCAAAAATAAGAGAATCGCTTAGGCAAAAGTCATTTCCGCACAAGCCGATGTTGAAAGTGCTAAATTGATGAAAGAAGCTGCCCAAGCCCTGGATAGCAAAGCTGCAATGCAAATAAGATTCTTGGAGACTCTTCAACTTTTAGCCAAAGGACCCTCGTAAAAATTGATGTTCCTCCCTCTAAGTCCAGAATCTTAGGGAGCCCACAACGGATGACATTATTTTGCTATAATATGATAATAAGATAGATATAATTCAAATTTTAAAATCTTGTGGAGAGATCCATTTTCCTTTTTCTATCATCCTAAATTGGTGTTACGGCACCGATGAATTTCTACTCATATATGTTGTAATCAAATTGGCTTATGCAGGCGTGCCACAACGAAATTATTTGGGTCCAATTATTTTCTTGCTTTTCTCCCTCTCTTCTTCTAATTCAAGTTATTTCTGAGTCTTGTACACATTATCAAATTGTTATGTTTCGAATTGCATTTGATTCTAGAAGGGCTATCTTATAGTCAACTTGGAATTCCAACCTTCTTTGGAATTGTGGTTTGATAATTTCATCCCATGACTTTGAGATAAGAAACCTGGTACCCAAACATGTTTGTTATTCTACTCAACCAAGGCATCATCAATTGATGGATGAAGTAATTTCATTATCTCTCCTGAGGTTTTGTGGAATTAAACTTTTTGCTCAAATTGATCATCAAATTAAGTTAATGTTTATCCTTTTAAGGGGGAATTTAAACCAGTTTGAAAATTAGTAAATGAAACAACTTTTCGAGATTAATTGTTAGAAGTTCTAGCAGTCTATCTATATGAATTATCATTCTAAATAGAATATATTTGATACTGTTAATATCTTATCTAATTCTTTGCTTGGTAATTTTTGCATTTGCTATTTGAATCTTCTCCTGCCTATTGCATTATTTACTACAACATCTAGCTTATTAGATTTCTTGGCAGCATAACCAGCATGATGAAATTCAGTAATCACATTAAATTTTATTGTTTTTTAATGAGCCTAATATTTATTCTTACTCATGTGTTCTAGAAATATGTCCATGGCATTATCATTTTGTTTAATTGATGCAATTTCAATTGGTATCGAGTGAGCTTATCCTGAACATAATTTAGTCAATTGATATCCCATGAAATTCTTCAACACAGTAGCAGTATCCTTGTATTTTCTTTTTACAGCAAATTATGTCCCTATAATATTGTCTGATATCTGTATAATCAAAGGACCTAAATAGAGGATCTATATATGTACCTTTAGTACAATCTGCCAAAGTTTAAAAAGTCTTTTTAGGATTCACGAAATTGAATGGATGCACATCCCATGAATTTTTATAGGGGACAACAAATTCAAATGGAACATCATTAAATAAGAAATGATGCATTTGATTTTTTCTCAAAGAACATACAATTTCGTTTTCTTTAGATACATAGAGCGTGTCTAGTTCCTTCATTCCTTTAACCTTGTATTAAGGTGCTTTCATTATGTATTTCCCAATGGTTTTAAATTCTTCAGCAGCTTTTCTAAAATGAATTCCAGCATTTCCTTTACTCACCCATTCACCTGTATCATAGTTGAATCCATACAAATCTCCTGTTACATTATCAAGAAAGAAATCTGTCTACTTTATATCAGTCAAATCCTTTTTGATCTTTGACAGATCACCCAACTATCCTCCATTCAATCCATTAATAACACTTATTTACTAGTAAATATCATTATTAATACACATTCAACATTTGAAGCTATCAAGAATACCAAGCCTTACATGGCAAATGATGAGGCAAAGATGATTTTGTTACTTCTGAGACACATTCTTAACAAAATTAGATACTAATGTATTTAGAGCTAAATACTTTATATGCATTTGGAGACCATGGTCTAAGATTTGCATCACCCTCAAAAAATATAATATCAATTGAATCGAACATTTTGCCACATTCTACTCTCACAAAAGAACTATCAATTTCATACAGCAAATCATCAATGGAGTCTCTATCACGTATAATGAAATCGATTTCTGTGTCGATCATCTCCTTTTTACTTAGCAAAGCCTCTTTAATGATCAGTTTGTATTGTTCAAAATTCTTCATGCCTTTATAACTCTTCCCATAACCATTAATGATTAGAATTTTCATTAAATAATTTATATATTTCCGAATTTATTAAGATTTATAAATTTTCATATCCCATAAACCCAAAATTTCATTAGATATCTAAAAAAAGTAGACATAAAATCTAATTAAATTGTAAAGGTCTTTGAATATTGTAAAATTAAATTAAATAAATTTGATTATGTAATCATTGGATGGTTCCTCAAGAGGTAAAAACTTAATACTACTAAGACATCATCAATTCGATCGATTCTGCCAATAAAATCACAGCCAAATAGTTTATGAAGCAAACCTACACTGATACCGAGGCGAGAATCAAAATTAATAAATCGCAGGATATAGCTCCAGAGGAAACATAGAATCAATCCCAAATCGATTAACCAGGAAAGCTAATTACTATAAAGTCCACACTTTCTATTAATGCCCTAAGAGAGAAATCCCAATATCAAGTAAAAACCACAATATGGATTATTGATAGATCATAATCGAATCATTTCTCTATGGTTTTGCAAATTTCCCCCTACTCTATTACATAATATTGCTCACTGCCTCAATTCAATATGAAGTCATCGGTTTTTATAATCAATTATATATGGGATTGTAAATAGTCCTCTGCTTTTGCATATCATTTTATGATACCTTCATGAATAAAATTCATCTTTATCGATCAATAGAGCAAGCCGATCAACAACAAATATTTGCCTACATAGATGACGAATTTAGAGAATGCAGCATCGGCCAATTATAACCTGGACATTTGATTAAACTCCTCCCGAGACAAAAATGCCCTACAGATGGTATAATAGTGGGAACTACTGGAGTATCTGAAAACATACCATTATTAGAAATTGGAGGTTAGACAATAACTCGTAGAGCAGGGGTTGCAAACTTCTGTGTTGGAAGACAACTTGAGGGCAAATTGGAGTTTGATTCCGAAGAGAAGAAGGTTAGAGTCGTTATGAAGATGGAAACAAACTAATTTTGTCTGGATTTCTAGTATGTTAATATAAACTTATTTATAGACAACAAAATAAAATTCGAATTCTATAAGCCAATAATTCATTTGATGAACTCTTTATTCTTGTAACTGGTTAAACTATGAAAGAACAAAAGGAAGAGCAGAGTTCTGCATATGAAAAAACAAAAATTAATCCAAAATTAGGTTTCTCCTTGCACATTCAAAACATTATTGTTATTATGTTTACCCTTCTATTATGTGTCACCTTATTGGCAGGTCACTTTATTCAAACTAAATACTTATACTTGGACGATAAATTGAGTGAGGGATATATGAAAACCTATTTGTAATTTCTGTGCACCTTCAGTTGGGGAATCCCCATCATGTAAATTCCTCTCGTCTTGATAATCAACAGGATTTCCAAATACTAAGCTGAGCATGATCGTCTTATCGAGTAAAAGCAATTCATTTAACCTTAATAGTGTTGATATTTCTGGGAAGAGAGTCGAGATTACTAACAGCAATGCACTAGCCAATATGGCCAGAGCCAAATATATCCTAACTGATTTAAATCTGCTCACTAGATAAACCTTGGTAGTAAATAACATCTTATTGAATAAATAATCTGATGAAATTAACCTCAACGATCTAGTTACAGTTACACCTATTGAAGATATTGATGATTTTAACTTCTGCTAATAAGAAGCCAAATATGCACTTTTATCTTTTCAAACTAGCAAAAAAAGTGAGGAAGACATTGCAACTCAAAAACGAATCCTTGATTACGGTCTATCTATTGGAATCAATGGAACATAAAGGATAATATAAGATTAAGAGTAAAATCAGTAGTATTTTAAAACAAAGTTTGAAGTAGTCACTTCAAAATATTTCCTAATTGGATATGAATAAGTTCTAAAAGAAGTAAATTTTCTATCAATATATACTTTTAGGATAATAAATAATATATTATTGTCTTTAGATCGAAATTTACAGATTGTAAAGATTTATTATCATCTGAAATTTAGTTATAGATTTCTAGTTTATTAGATGCTAAAGACAATCTTAATCAAATGAATATTATTTTTAGAAAGATCGTTTCGATGTAATATTTAGACAAAATAACAAATATGGTTAATTAACAGAGAAAAGTTGATGATGAAACTTTAAAACAAATTAAATCTGATGTTGAACCTGTCCTATTTATTGAAATCATTGAGGACTTTTATGACTGTTCTCAAGAAATCATGGATATTAGACAATGCTAATATAAAATTTGGATTAACTCTCACATCAAAGATGTAATAGATTCTAGTATTTGCATAGCCTTAAATCTTAGAGAATGACCCAACTATGGTAGGAGTGTTTGAGTAAACTACTCCTTAGATCATGATATGTCAAAATGGAGACGAGCTTCAAGTGGCTCTTGATTAAGTAGAAAAAAACAGTGTATATATACATTTTAATAATTTAGTAAATCAAAAATTTTGGTAAAGAACTTAACATATTTATGAATGAAAGACCTGTTTTGCTCATCATAGATGATACAACTTTATAAATTGGGTTGAAGAACCAATTACTAAATGAGAAATTTAGAAATTTCTTTCTAAAAATTCCTCTTGTTTTAATACTCAATTCTAAACCTCATATTGACTATTTGCTATCATCAATCATCAAATCACACGAATTAATTTGCATTACTAATTACATCACTTCAACACCATCAATGTAGATTTGTTTGGAAAATCAAACAGAAACAGCATTTGATATAAAAATGCCTACTTTTAGTTTCTTACCCAAAATTTTAATTATACATGGAAGATTAAATAATATTCGACAGGGCTCAGCGATCTCGCTGATCAATTATTTATCTTTTATCTTGTTTTTTATTTAATTTGTTTATGCATGCTACAACAGATTTTCCTAAAACTATCTATTAAATGAATTTATAATCTTTATAATGATGTTTTTTACTATCTGCTACATTTTCATATTTTTTAGCATGGCATAGGTATGAAATTACTCAACAATTATAGGATTTCCCTTTTGAAATTTTGAGAAGCCAACCAGCGTATCATTTGATGGTGAGAACTCCCAAAAACCCCTATAAAATATTACTCACTCAATTCTTCTAAGGGGGTATTCATGGAACCTTTATTGTCATATCAGTAATTTATACCTTTTATGGTTCAAATGATTAAAATGGATATGTTCATGGCTATTAACTACAATAATTTATGACATTTACTATCAGTTTATTGGTGATTGCTTTTAAGCCTATAATTGATTAATATAAAATTGTGAAATCATAGATGTAAATAGAATCTTCATTATTTAGATATCTAGCTATGGCATATATCTTTGCTACTGTGATGATCATCTATAAGAATAACGAAGAAATGGCAGATTTATTTGAGACCGGAGTAAAAACTAAAGATTTATGTGCTCTTGTGTTTTATCCCATTTGTGCTTTGAGTCCAAATTTGATCGGATAATTCATACAACGATTATTATCGACAAACAATTTAAATTAATGCCTTTACAAGATGGAATAGAAAGTAAAGCTATAATTTCTTATAAAAATAGCATGAAGAGGAATCAGAGAATCAAAAATTAAGGGATGCAAAGAATTATATCAGACTATATTAAAAAGAGGAGCTAGAATAATAAGAAGACATTGTAAATTCCAAGAAAGTCCTATGAGTTTATTTAAATATTTTGTTTATTCAGTATCTAAATTTAATTTATTAGAAAAATGAATCTCATAAAAAATAGCTATATTTGGTTACATAACAAAACTCATAATTCATTGATCATTCTCCTAACATCAGCATGAGTTAATTTTCTAGAGCTTGTCAATAATTTGGCTAGATCCATGACATTTTTATAGTGAGTGAAAGAAAAATCAATACTTTTATTTTTAACAAATTTATTAGCCCATGTGTCAAATAACGATAATACATCTTCTGCCTGATTCGCCATCACAAAAGTCTTTGCATAATGATTTCTATTCTTTGGTTCTCCTGGAAATGCAATGACAAGGTGCAGTAAAATGATTCCAATAGCATAAAATTCGTCTGCCATGCTATAATGCGAATCTTTAACATAATTAGCGGTCTGATAACCAAAAGTGCCTGTTGTAATAGTATTTTGAGATGTAATCGAATTGAGTTCTTCTTACGGAAGTCTTTCATCAGTCATGGTAGATAGTTTTTCCTCTCTAACATCCTTTCCCTAATCGAAATCTGCTAATACAACCTAACCAGTTTATTTGTAACAAATTTTACTTATAGATCTCCCTTGATATTGATAGTCACAAAAATATTTTCAGGTTTTAAATCTCTATGTATAATTCCTCTTTAATGAATGTATTCCAGACCATCTAATATTTGATTTAGAATAGATTTAATTTTATTAATTTTTTCCGCATTTTACATAACATTTAGATAATAGTATGAAAATGTTAACAGATCTGTTGGCTGATATTTATAACCAGGAAAGGAACAATATTCAAGTTACATATACAAATAATAGCCATCGTTTGTTTGTTCGATCCACCAAGCAAAAAGTCTTAAATTACTGTATAACAAAAAATACCTCAAGATATTTGGATGTATTAACTTGGAAAGTATTTTAGCTTCTCTGATTTTTCGAATGTCTGGGGTTATTGGAGTGTTTGATGCAGTTGCAGAAAAAACAGAGAAAAAATCAAGTTGAGTTGCTTACAATTTGCTCTAGAATTTAAGTTAAGATATTTCTTACTCGTTTCAATGCATATATCTAATCATCTTCTGGTCTGTACACAAAGAAGATAGATACTCCACTCCTTAGTTCATCTTGATTTGTTTAAGACAGTATTATATAGTCATTAAAAAATTTGTTATTTCTAATAAATGCACTTCTGGGATCATATAACTTTTATGCTGGTATGATTTGCTAAAGAGAATCAATTGCAAAGAAAGTTAATGTAATTTTAAGAGGGATCTTTTTAAACTATAAATTAATCTTTTTTCTGTTTATTAATTCGATTATTGACTTAAAAATAAAAGCATAGGCTGTTGATTTTATTTACCCAGTTGATGTAATGAATCCAATATTGATATCTTGATAAAATATTTTTATCAATTTATCACAGGCCTCTTTGAACTATTGTTTATTTTCAAGCTTTTATAATTACAACAAGATATTTCGTATTGCCTTCTTTATTGCTTTTTCGACATTCATAAGATGTTTAAGAAATGGATCATCATTTGTGAAATCCATCCTTATTTAAGATATTATTAGCATTTATGAGTATTCTTTGCAGTCATTGCTTTAAATAAACTCCTATCTCTTTTGCAAACTATCATCCTATGAGAATATTTTAATACTCATACAAGCATCTTTTATATTACAGTTTAATCTGGTTATTGAACAATCTAATCAAAATGTCTCTCTTCATCTGGTACTTCTTCAATCACTTTAAATCCATAAAATTAATCTATTATTGAGTCAATCTTAGCTTTCTCATTATTACTATTCATTATAATATTTGTTATATTCAATTGAATAATAATAATACATAATGACTATTAAATTTCAAAACCTTTGAATACAAGAGTAATGATTTCATTATATTTATCTTAATTAGAAACGTTGCCAAATAATAAGAAAATAGTTATTTTCGACTTCTTTTACTCATTGAATTAACAAGACTCTTTGGTTGCAACTTCTTTTTGAATTTAAATTTATGACTTCTTATATAATTATCATATACCATTAGACCTTATTTTAATATATTCAGATACTCATTCAAATAAAGATTGGTTTAAGAATAAATTTCATTATTAATTATCAGAAAACTAAAAAAATACAGAAATATAGATTAGATAAACAAAAAATATTATCAAAAGCAAAAGAGAAATAGAGTAGATAGTAATTCATTCTTTTAAAGCAAATTTAGTATATATTCAAGTAAATTTGTGAAATAGAATGATTGAAAAAGTATCTGAAGTTAATTAAAGATTAAATAGATTACTATTGATATGATATTGGACATTTTTAATATGAAGTATAAAAGAGTGTTGATCTGTGAGATGATGGTGAATAAACTTTGGATATTTTAGTTAATCTATGCAAAATAATAGTTAAGAGATAAAATGACCCTTCAATCTATAACTTTGAAAAGTAGAGTTAATAAGGTAAAGAGTGCCTCATTTGGAAATGGATGATATTTTTTGATGACTTATTTCATTTTATTTTGTTATATTTTATTCAAAAGTTTAAAATATAAATAATTAATTTGCCAAATTTTTTGGTAATCAGAAAGATCCTAAACTACACAAAAATACTTTTGCAAGTCAAATCCTAATTTTTGGAAACAAAATTACATTTTAAAAGAAATTATTCTTGATAATTCAAATAATAATTATTCCTGTAGTTAATTGATAAAAAATAAGATGCTGAATATTTGAAATATTTATATATAATTATAATCTATACATGAATATAATAGTAAATATTTTGCTTTATTGTAAATCTTTATATTTATGATTCACATACATAAAGAATGTCGTTTTTATTATAATAACACTTAAATCTTCAAAGTATAAGACACTTATACCCCACTCTTAGAATCTTTGAATAATATCTCAACAACTCTTAATATTAAATAGAATTAATTAGGTTTATCCTCAGAAACTTCTTTAATGTCATTGAAAATTTCAAGATGGTATATCAAAGAAGTTTTTCTTTTCCTAAATATCTACTACAGAGTTTAATATTTAGATTTAATAAAATGTCTAGTAGTTCATGATTTGTGGAACTCGGATATCCATATAGAAAAAATTGGAGTTTTTATTGAAAACCATTGAAAGACTGAGAATACTGCTGAGGCAACTCAGTTGTTTAATTAATTTGTGATAAAATGCTTAATTGAAGAAGAAATAAAAAATATCTTATATTATTATTTGCTGTAAATCTATCCATATATCAATCAAATAAGAATCTCTTTTTACCGATTTTAGCCTAACATGAAGGACAGAAGTGAACTGCATCTTTGCAATCTTTGACAAAAAATGGAATTAAACAACATCTAAAAATTAAATTTAAAATTACCCTAACCAAAGACCGACAGCAGCCAAAAGTCCACCAGCAGCATAAGCTCCAGTTCCAACTTCATAGTAAACTTGTGTTTAAACTTATCTTTGACAATAAGCACATGTAATCATATGAGGATATTTAGAATAAACTGGTTAGACTTTAAATAACTTTTGATTAATACCTTATTAGATAGCTGTGGGATTGTAAGTAACTTATTGTAGTTATTAAATTTATGGATATTGTTATTATTGGTATGGGATTTATCTTACATATTGTTGAGTTGGAACTATTGGTTGAATCGGCTATCCGATCTACATATTTGGATTTGGAAGCTATGGGTAAACAACCCCAGAGGCAGGTCCTTCATAAGGAGTTGGGGTTATTTCTGAAGCAAGTCTTACATGTCCATTATTCTGCATTAGTATTGCTTAATTATAATGATTAATAAAATGAGTTTGTTATCAAGTTGATTTAGACTTTGAATTAATAAACATCATATGATTTTATTCACAAACTATATATGTAGTGTCTCTGAATGATTAATTAAACAATTTAAAGCTATATTGAATCTTTAATTTTTGCTGAAACAATATTCCTTACACAATCAAGGAAATAGATTCAAAATATAATTATTTTCGTTGAAAATACTAAGCCAACCAAATAAATGAGGATCTAAGAAAATTCCTTATTGTATGAATAATTTAATTAATACTTAAGGAACCAACTTATTATTTAACTTGTATCGTTATCACTATAATTTTTTCAAACTTAAAACCACTATTTATCAAATATAGAAATTATCTCTTACCATTACAATAAGAAGGATCAACTACAATATAATAACGTAACTGATGGATTATTTATGAGTTTCTAAAATGAGATTATTATTATTTATAAATTTGTATGTCCAGACCCAGACTACCTACAGTTCATAATGACACGTCTTTAAATAAAGAGCCTATAGAAACAGTATATGCAATTGCAAACAGATATCATACAGATTGGGGTTTGAAAGAAATGCCTGACATGAAAATATATCCAGAAGTCTGCAAGGTCAAAAGATTGACCAGTATTTAAGACTGAACATAACTTTAGCCAAACCTGTCAAGCCTCCAAAACGAGGAACTTTTATTGAAGATTTATAAGAGTATCATTCCAAACTTCCTGGCCCTAAATACGAATATTAATCATTTTGGTCAGAGCCAACAGAGCAAAAGAAAACGAAAGAATCAAGCAAATATATCGAGTAAAATTAAAGAAAAACAATCATATCTGACATTGTAACTGATGAAAAAAGATACCCAAGGCCTGGACCTGCAGATTATAATAAAGAGTTCAAATCCAAAAGTATAGAGAATGAACCTATAATTTCTTAGAGATAAAAGTATATATAATATATTAATCGAATATAGATAATAACACAGGACTAACTATTTTGAAGATCTTATAAGCTAATAAATAAATGTCCCAGGACCAGGGGCTTATAATACTCCATCAAGAGTGGTTAGTGAACATGTAATCAAAAAAACAAAATCAAAATCTCCAGTAGTTCACTATCCTGGACCTAATAGCTATTCACCAGATGATCCTACATATTTCACTTTTGATAAAAAGTTTAAAGAATAATCTACTAGGAAACCTGTGAAAAACCTCAAGAAATACAATAGTAGTAGGCCTGGCCCTGTTCTAGGCCAATCAGATTGGAATAAAGGGTGGATGTCTAAAGTTAGCAAAGCTCCTTAATTCTCCATCTATTATGATAAATGATCATCAATATCTATAATCTAAAAGTTTTGCATTTACTTTCATCATTATTTCTTAGCAAATGATCATTATTTCTTAAGATTTTCAAAATTCTTTAACATTGAAAATTGATATGTTGATAATTTGATACATTAATTATAAAATTGATAAATTATTTTTGCATTATAATATTACTTCTCTTTATCATTCTAAAAATGCCTCAATAGATACTAATAATCCACTTGCACTTTAACTGATGATTGTTATTTTTTAATCAGTTTTGAAAGATGCATTTTCATAATCAGTTTATTAAAACCCAATAAGTTGATTTTCCAAACTTTGTTCATTTGATAAGTTAAATTTAACATCTTAATTACTTTTGATTTCCAAACTGTAGCATTCTCCTTCTTTTAAATATATATGATCTGGCATTTAAATTTGATATGTGTTTTTTTCAATTTTCATTTCATTATGATTTATAATAACCTTCCAACTATGTAATTTTTCTTACAAATTCCTATTTAAATTAATAAATTAGATACATATTTTTGAATATTGAGAATTCTAATTCGATTTATTTATCGTGAAAAGCTTTTTATAGCAATGATATATTCAATTTAGTTAATTTAATTGTGTGTTTCGGGTACAAAACATTAATATTTACCTATTATGGGGTCAAATCTATTTCCTTTTCGCTTAATTTTTCGAATCTCTTTAAATTAATATGGATTGGAGTAAGAATAGATTTAAATTAATTGAGTTTTTTATTCCATTCACTTTTAAATTCCTCAATTTATTAATTGCATTTGCTTTATAGATCATTGAGGTCATTTTCACAGTCATCGCCTATTTGCTATAATTTATTATCTGTATTATTCAAATTGCGAAATAATTGAAGTACTTTTTCCTTTAAAATGAATTCCAACACTTTTAATTGGCTGAGGACATCATTTTTAAATTCATCGAACCTTCCTAAGATATCATTGCATTAGAATGTTCCTCTTTATTTGATTTAATTATTTTTGATAAATGCTTCAACATCTTCTAACGATGCCAATTCCTATTTATGATCTTTATGAAATTCCTCGACACAAGTTAAACAAACTTTCCTTTTTTAACAGTTCTTGTTAAAACAAATCAATGAAATCGGTTTGTTATCATGATTAGCTTCTTCACACTACAATGATTGAACTCTGTTTTAGAAACTTGACATTTCTTTTTTAATTTTTTTTTATGTAAATTAATTTCTTTGTTAATTTAATCATATTCCAATGATGGTGAATTTTAAACTATGATCAATCCCTTAAACACGATTCTCTTATCTGAACACTAAAAATATAAGCAAAATGATAGATAATAATTAGTGAGGTTCTCTAAATGCCATTAAAATGAAAGTTGCATTGAAATCTATTTATTTCTGGAAGATACCTTATCTGCAAAAAAATTAAATTACAATTTATTATTCTGTTTTTATGTTCGAACATTTTAAACATAAATCATTAGAATAAGTTGAACTTGTATAGGAATTAAACTTATCATTTATAAATTTATATATTATAATTCTAATGAACTAGTTTGAGATGGAGACAAAGAAATTTATTGATGAGTTAAAAAATGGTGTAAGTAACATATTGGTATAATTTAATCTTTGATCTTCAGGTAGCCATTAGAGTAAGACCTTTAAGTTAGAAGGAGAGAAGTTTATCAGAGTTTGAGACAATTAGAATTTTGGATAATAAGATGATTGTTCTTATGGATCCCGAATAAGAAAGAGACGAGGATGTATTGCGATAGATTACAATAGTTATTAAGAAAAAATAGACTTAAAGAAACTAATTTTGCATTTGATTTTGTTTTTGATTAATGGGCAACTTAAGAGATGATTTACTAAAATACTACTGAATTTCTATTGGAGGGAGTGTTAGAAGGATACAATACAACAGTATTTTGTTATGGAGCAACAGGTTCTGGAAAAACGTTTACGTAAATTGAATCTAAAATAATTAGCATGATAGGTAATCAACAGGAAGTGGGATTGATGCCAAGAGCATTACAACAACTATTTAATTTTTCAATATAAGATCGATTTAAAAATACTTAGTTTAAAGTTTGTTATGTGGAGATTTACAATGAGAATATAAAAGATCTTCTAACCTCTGAGGATAAAAACCTAGAAATAAGAGAAGATAAAAATAATGGTATACAAATAGCTGGAGTGACAGAAGTAGAAGTTAAAACAGTTTCAGAAGTTTTAGCTCTTCTCAAAGTTGGCAACAAAAATCGTTCTAAAGAAGCAACTGATGCAAACAAGGAATCCTCAAGATCTCATGCAATTCTATAACTCTAAGTTGAAAGTAAAGATAGAGCAGGGGGACTATAAGAATCAGTTATATAGAGTAAATTTAGCTTAGTAGATTTGGCTGGGAGTGAAAGAGCCGCAAATACAAATAACAAAGGACAAAGAATGATTGAAGGAGCTAATATAAACAAATCCTTATTAGTTTTAGGCAATTGTATTTAATCACTATCAGAAGCAAATGAAAAAGGTATAAAAAATCCATTTATACCCTTTCGTAATTCAAAACTAACCCGTCTTCTCAAGGATTCTTTGGGAGGAAATTGCCGAACAGTCATGATCTCTAATGTTACATCTGCTGTTAGTTGTTTCGAAGAAACTTATAACACTTTAGTTTATGCAAACAGAGCTAAGAATATCAAGACGGTTGCTAGTCGAAATGTCTTGATGGCCCAAAATCATATAAGCAATTATGCTCAATTGATTTAAAACTTAAGATAGGAAAATGAGGAACTAAAATAGTTAATTCAATAGCAATAACACAATCAAAGTACTCACTAGTTAAGTATAATTTGAAATACAAACCTTAGAGCTACCATTAATTCATTAAAAGAATCATCCAGTTCCTCAAATAAGTTTAAAATAGTAAGCAAAATAATTAGAATCCATTATAAACTAAAATGTTGAAGATATTACAGAAACAAAAAACAAAATATATGAAATGGAGGAGCAACTAAATCATTTTTAATAAAATATTGGGTTTCTCTAGTTTTAAAAAGGTAGAACACAAGACAAATTCGAATAAATGAGATTGTAAGAGAGAATGGATAATGCAAAAACTTAAAAAACTATTATAAAAAGAAGCTAAGAGGATCTGGAAGAGTAATTATTAGAATATGAGATGCAAAAAGTTGATATATAAAAATAGATTTAATAAATTCAAGATTCAAATTACAAGAACTATTTAAATGGAATTATGAAATAAGGTGATTTTAAAATAGTAAATATTACATAAAATTTAGGAAACAGTTGAGATAAAAATTTAAGAAAAGAAAAGGAGATATTAAGAATAAATTTAAGATGAATAAGTCAAATAATTAAAAACATAGATCAATAAATAATAAGTTAAAATTGCTTAAAGCGCTAAATAAAAATCGAATGGATCTAAAAAAGGTAATCTAATGTATTTAATATTTATAAGTACCAAGCTTGCCTGGCGTTGATTCCCCTTATTACTCATTAAAAGGTGGGTAAACTTATAGTATTTCTAGGTAAAATATGCTTTAAAATAGATATCAAAAAAATAAATCCCATTTAAAACTTCCACCTGTTTAGATTAACTCAATAAATAAATCGCCGATAAATTAATATCCAAGTCCTAGTATTATGTTATTTATAATTAGATAAAAATAATGATCCAACGAAATATCGGCTAGAATAAAAATACTCCTCTCGATTGAATCGCCCTCCTTCTTTTCATCCTCCAAGTTCCCAAAGTAAATCTGCTAAAGGCAAATATATGAATCGTTCACTAGATATTGAATCAGTTAATGAAAGTGTTAATAAGAATTCTGTCGATGTACAGAATGATATTAGTTTAAGAAAGCTACATAGGCTGAGATAAGAATACTAGTAATAAAGATTTGAAAAGGCTATGAATAATAAATCTAATTAAAAGTCAATGCCTTCCTTTGGTAATAAAATTTTGCTTCCAGGAATGGTTCATAAGTCCCCCTATGTTAGAAACTTTTAAAACAATATTGAACCTATTGAATTAAAAAAAGAAAGGCTCAAAATGTGGAATATCAATCAAAAGGGGCAAGCAGGTGATAAATTTTAACTTTATAATTGAATAAATTATAACTAGAATTAAAATATGTATATTTCTATGCAAATGAAGTAGTGAAATGAAATGTATTTCATCAATCGTAAAATATTGATCTAATGATCAATTCGCTTTTAACATTATAAGTTAAAAATTATAAAATATGAAATCAAGTTTAATTAATTCTTAGTCTTTGCCTTAATTGTAATAACGGATGATCCATTCGAAGATATTAGATGATAAAGTTCCTAAACCTTGTAAATATCCTTTATTTGAGCAGCCTTAGTTTAAATACAAGTCTGAAAAAAACAACACAAAATCTCCATTAAGATTAAACCCTGCAATAAAATCAACTTACTCAAAATTCAAAGCATCCATTGTAAAAGTAAAAAAGATGATTTAATAAAGAGCTATAATAATTAATTATTCGATTAGTACCAAATGACAAAGACTTAAAGAAGAATACAAAATGAGATAGAAATTAAAAAATAATGGCGATAATAAAAATATTTGGAAGAAAAGGCCAAGATTTAGTATTTAAATGTTGAAGAAAAAGATATTGATTTAAATAAGGAACTGCTGAATCAATTAAAACTGAATTTGTTTTGTGAATGACATAATATATTTATATTCTTATTATAAGTGAAAATAAACTAAAAATTGTTTTAGTTTGTTTTATATTGCATTTTATTAATTTTAGAGTTAACAAAAAGTTTAAATCAAGAATATAAATGGCATAGAATTTAAAAAGAAATTGAAGTGATAAAATATTTTAATTAAGTGAGTGTTTCCATACCAAGGAGTAAAATTATTCCTAAAATCAATTGTATTAAGAAAATACTTTTAACCTTCTATTATTATAAGTAATTATAAATTAAATTACTCCCTGCAGAATCCCTTCTGAAAGAGAAATTTAAATAGAAAATCAGGAAATTTTTGCCCATTATAACCACCATTTACCAGTTTCTAAGAAATTTATATTTCAGTTATTGCTAGAGATCGTTGACTTTTAATCAAAGCTTATTTCGAGAAAAGCTTTAAGGTTAAAATATCAAAGGGGAATTTGTGCATACCAAAAATGAATAATAACTTAAAATTAATACTTGAGAGCTACTTTGATAATATTAAGATGTAAATCGAAATTTAAAATTGAGTGACAATTATAAATAATTATATATTAATCAAAACGTAATCATTTGTCTTGAATTAAGTCATCAATTAAAAATTCTTAAGTAATTAAGCTTTAAGAAATAATTAAAAACAAATGACTCAATAAAGACCTCCTATTCCAAAATTCAATGTTGACTTCTTAACCCATAAAGTTGAGACGACATTGCTAGAGGAAGTTCAACATCTGATATTCAAATTGAATCTGGATTTTGAGATAGAAAAAAAAGCAATCAGAATCATAAAGTAGACTCCACTGCCAAATAACCAAACAGCAGCTCGTGGAGTTATATTGTATTGTTTAAAAGAGTTTGGAAAGAAACTGCCTAAGGTTGATACCAAATTGGAATAAATTATAAAATACATTGAAAAATAGCAGGCCAGTAATTTCACATTTGTTTGTAAAAAATTGGGATTTTGTGATTAAGTTTCTGAAATCTGTGTAATCTTAAAGAAATAGTTAAATTACTTAATTGGAAGATTAGAATAAAATTTACAAGTGGCATTGACAGTTAAAATTGCAGCCGATATTTTTTTTTTATAATATGGAGGATTGAATACAAGGATTTTATCAGAAATTACTTAAGTTAATGAAGAGAAATTAAAGTCATCTCTTAATCGGATAACTCCCTTCTCAGAAAAAATCATATCAGATCTTATAAACCACTATAATGAAACCCTACTCTGAAATTCATAATCAATTTTTCAAATCATTATTATATTATATTTATTCTACTTAATAATTTGTATGGATTCAATTTTTTTAATTGCACTAATACATTTAATTTTGGAAAATTATAAACTTGAATCAGTTTATATAAATTTGATCATTTATACAAAATTAAACCTCTAAATAAGTATTTAGTACCTTCAAATTTTCATAATTGGTTTTCAAGATCTACACTCAATTATTGAAAATTCCAACATAAAATTTATTTAATCTACAATTAATAAAATGAGTTTTAGATTAAGATTTTTACATTCATCAATAGGATAATATTAGTTAAACAAGCTTTTAGATATAATTTTACAATTATTTATTGGACTCTAGATATTTGAAAGCTTCTCAAGCCAACAGTTATTAATCTCACATAATCAATACCATGAAGATTAAAGGATTAATAACATAATAAATATTGTTTCCATATAACTCCTTTATTATCATTATTATAACAATATAAAATTAGTTAATCAAACAATAATTATACGCAAAAATTAGGATGAATAAAAATTCAAGTTAAAATGATCTAACTAACACAAATAAATTAGAAGAATTTATAATGATTTTAATTTCATCAGTTTATAAAATAACATTTTTAAGATAATTAATCATATTTCAAAATTCATGTATTATGGAGCGATTTACTTTGTTTCATCAAAATCAGAATGAATGAAGCAAGGGACAAATTATTTTTCTATTGATGGTAAACTAAAGCTAAAAACCTCTAATTCATTTTGGCTCTTATAAATAGTTAAGGTAGATACAGAGGGATCAAATATTACAACAGCATTTTAACCTGGAAGGAACTTGGTGATTGGAGATACTTAACTGATAACTTCTTAAAAGTTATTAAGCCTCTCACCTTCTAGTGAAAAAATAATATAAATTTGTTTCTATGGAGATTCTTTATCATTCAAAAATTACACAAATTCAGCATTTGTGATATTTTTATCACAAATTCCAAAATAGGATTTTTCTGATAAAGACCTAAATAAATGTTGTTGAATACTTTTTAACTATATTAATTGAAAATATTGAAAATTGCTTCTAATTTATAACCTGATCATATAAAGTTAATCGCTAATTGTTAAAATGATATTAGATATTAGATATTTTTCCTAATTTCGAATCTCCAAATTTCTTTTCTTATTGAGAATAAAGTTAGTATCTAAGTGATACAACTTCATCTTCTGCTACTTTTAATTTTGATTTAGATTGATCAACATCATTTTAAGTTAAGATTAATTTATCTTAATTATCTTAATTAATATGCAATAATTGTTTGTTTTGAGCTTCAATTTACCCAATTTATTGGTTAAGACGATTTAATTGATTTTCTAAATCTTTAGCATTGTTTTTATATTTTTCAAGTTCACTTGATACTAATTACATTTATTATTCTAAATTTGTTTTGGTTATTTTATTTTCTTTTTCTTGGTTTTGTTTTTTTTCAAGCTCATTTTATAATAATGTAATTTTTTATTCTAATTTATTATTGTTTATTTTATTATCAACTTATTGAGATTAAAGGCTATATTTTAGCGAGGCAACCTCTTCTGCTAGTTTATTTTTTGTTTGATCAGATTCATTTTACTATTAACTTAAATTATCTTGATTTTTTTATTTATTTTGCTATAATTGTTTTTTTTGATCTTCAATTTATTTGTAAAGACAATTTAATTGATTTTCTAAATCTATTGCTCTTTTTTTTTATTTTTCTAGCTCATCTTATAATTATTAAATTTGTTATTCTAATTTGGTTTAGTACATTTGATTATCCTTTTCTTTTTTTTTGAATATTTCTAGTTCTTGTTACAGCTTTAAATCATTATTGAAATTTAATATTTCTAAAAAATGATTAGTATTTTCACATGCTTCGAGACATAAAGTTTTCAAATTTTAGATGATTTAGAGCTATTCTTTATTTGTTTCATTATAATTTTATTCAAAATATCTTTCACATGTCACTATCTCTTTGTTCATCTTCGTTAAAAATTCTATTTTATTTAAAACAAGAGGATTAATTTTTTTCAGACATTCGATTTTATAAGTAAGCCTTTCCAAAATTTGATCCTTCAATTATAATTAAATTGTTTTTTTATTAAAATTTACCTATTCTTATTGAATCTAAGAATCAATATTTTTGATTTCCTTTATTAAGGTTTCAATATTATTTGTAAATTTGTCAATCGAACTTTTAATTTTGAAGCAGTTCAATATAGTTTCTGATTTTCTCCATTATGATTACAAAATATTCATAATTGTCTAATCCTATTAAACCAAGCAGTTTATAAGAGATGTTTTTTCCTACTCTTAAGATTAATTGGAGTGATTAAAGAACTCCTTAAATTGTTTAAGTTATTACTCTGTATTTTCTATTTCCCTTATTTAGGATCTTAGTTGCTACTCAAATTTTTACTAAGTTTCTGTAAGCCTTATTGTTTCATTATCAATTTGATTTGTCTGTCCTTAATTTCTTGCTGTCAACCTCCCCCTAAATTAAGATTAAATTCCCAAAATAGCATCTAACCACTAATCTATTTCAAAAGTATTTTATATTTTCATTAGTCTTTCTATTGAATTTTCATTAAGCTTCAGCACGACTTTACGATTTGTTATCATCTATTCTTAATCAATCGGTATATGAATAGAAATAATATTATGCTATTTGATTGATAGGTCTTTAACATTCAAAAAAAGGTGATCAATAGCTTTCTCAATAAGTTGAACCTACCCTTGAAATAGTTGATCATCGCTCTTTGATTATTCTACCTTCATTTCATAAACATTTTTAGATGATGTGAATATTTAGAAAGAAGTAGTATTTATTATTTATTTCTTCTCCTTTAAAATTAGGATAAGGTTTAAATTAATCAACTCTGTAATTCTAAATCTTCCTTTTTGATCGGAGTTCATTTCTAATTGTATTTTAATATAAAATTATTATTAAAGTGTAGATAATCCTTGAAGAAAAAAATATTTCCTTGAATCGAATAAAAAAATCAGCCATACATTTTAAACTTTAATAAATTAAATTTCAAGAATACATATTTTAACAACTCAACTCAAATATAGAAATTTATTTTTTTTGTATTAATGATGTATTATCAGGTTGGAAAATCATGAAGTATTTGTATACTTGCATTGTTATTTGAATAATAATTTTTTTACAATATGTGTAAAAAACTGAATTTTCTAAATTTGAACTTTTGTTAAGATAAAGAATAAGTTAAAAGCTTAAGTAAAAATAAATTAGTACATCAACAGATTAACAAGCTAAAAGGTAGAAAAATGAAATTTATTATTTGCTTTGAGAAAGATGAGGGAGTATTCGATATAAAATAATAGGAGGTTCTTTTTAATTACTATTATGATAGTTCTTGGTTTTGGGTCTGGTTTGTGTGAGCACTTATATCAATTCACATAAACTATGGGAGTATTATGATTGGGTCGATTCAAAAATCTTACATTTGAGGTGTTGGGACAAGCATAGCAATTGGGGAATGTCTGTCTATTTAATTATTATTTTTATTTAAAAATGAATATAGATCTTCATAATAATTGATTTTAATAGTGCTAAACCTTTTCAATCTACAAAAAATTATACATAATAATCACAAGAATATACAGTATTAAACTTTAAATATAAGCCATAAAAATCTTTTTGAAGAATGCTTATACTTGTTTATTTAAAATAGAAAATAACTATACTGGAAAAGTCGATTTTAAAATATATTACTTAAATTAATACAATACAACAATTTTGTAAAAAATATAATCTCTATAAAATGTCATTGTTTTCTTGTATTAGCATTTATTCAGATGTTAGAAATTAGTATTACTATGCTTCATATAATTGCTTTTGAGTATGTTAAAATTAGTTGTTATTGAGGGGATTAGCATTTCTATTAATGGATTAGAATTAATAGCACTAACTTTGAGTTAAAGTAGTACAAACTAAATATGCTATTGATTATTATATGTAAAAAAACGTTAAATTGAGCTATAAATAATTAATTCAACTTAAGATGGCTGAAGCCTATAATATATATAGTAACTACATGCCTTTGCTCAAATCAAAAAGATGCTTACTGAACAAATATTAATTTTTTTTCCTAATAAAATTGAAGAAAGGTTTGTTTAAGAATAACTTTCATGAAAAAATTATCTTTAGAGTATCATGTATATTAGACTATAAATTGAATGGTTATTGAAAATAACAGAATAATTAAATTCGATCCTAACTATGTCTTTATAAAGACAGATTGAAAACTTATTTATATCCTATGTAACGCCCCTTTGCACCTGTTCACATAAATAACGACATCATATAAGAGTTAAGGTTAAGCAGATATTGATAATCTTCATTTTATGAATTGAAGATCGCAGAATTGTAAGTCCAAAATAATATCATATGTGAAATTCCAAAGAATTCACCAAACTTTGATAATAAACATTGTGATTTATCCAATTTTTTGACAATATTTCTCATTCTAAAAATAGGGTATTTTGCAATTTGCAAATTTGGTAATGTGATTTTGTATCTTAATTAGTTTCTCTTTATATGTATTATCATTTCAATGGGTTTGTATATCGAATTACCAAAAATGCCAATATATAATTAATCATATTGGCTAGAAAAATGTACATCTCTCTATTCTCTAGGTTTAGATGTTTGGGTTAGGGTTTGGGGTATGGGTTATGGTGTATGGGTATTCGGGGTTTGGGTTTGGGGATGGCGGTT